AGGATGTGTAGAGATGGCATGGATCATGGGTCTCATCAAGAACCACAACGGTCCCCTCAAAGGAAAGAGCTACTCCGGATGGGTCGATGCTAAGACTAACGAGCCACTTGATGACAAGGATGTCAAGCCCAAGTACGAGAAGTACATCCTTGAACACGCTGGTATCCGTCTTATCGAGCCCGAACTATTCAATGGCTACGATCCCAAGAAGAAGCAACTTATGCAGGAGATCCAGATTGAAGAGGATCTCGATCCATTCGAAGCTTCCAAGGAGCTTGCGGAGGAGTTTAAGAAGGAGCATGGCGACAAGGTTGAGATCTTTGCGATCGAAGACTCTGGCGAGTACACTGTTCGCATGAAGAAGGGCGCCACACTCCTCCTCCCCAAGGCTCTACGCTTTGATCGTCTCGTTGCTGGTCAGATCCCTACTGGTTGGGACGCCAAGAAGTACGGTGTGCCCGACGACATCATCTCTCAGGTCGACCCCGTAACACTCTTCGTACTTGTCTCCACGGCAGAGTGTCTGCTTGCCAGTGGTATCACCGATCCCTACGAGTTTTACCAGTACGTCCACCTTTCTCAGGTCGGTAACTGCGTCGGTTCCGGTATCGGTGGTACTACCGCCCTTCGAGGAATGTACAAAGACCGATTCATGGACAAGCCAGTCCAGAAAGATATTCTTCAGGAATCCTTCATCAACACCATGAGCGCTTGGGTCAACATGTTGCTCCTTTCATCTACCGGACCTATCAAGACCCCCGTCGGTGCTTGTGCCACTGCTGTTGAGTCTCTCGATATCGGTTACGATACCATTGTCGAAGGAAAGGCTCGTGTCTGCTTTGTTGGTGGTTTCGATGACTTCCAGGAGGAAGGTTCGTACGAATTCGCCAACATGAAGGCTACCAGCAACGCCGAAGACGAATTTGCCCACGGACGTACCCCCAAGGAGATGTCGCGTCCTACCACAACGACCAGAAATGGCTTCATGGAGTCGCAGGGTTGTGGTATGCAGGTCATCATGGACGCCAAGCTTGCTCTCGACATGGGAGTCCCCATCTACGGTATCCTTGGCTTCACTGCCACAGCGACCGACAAGATTGGTCGTTCCGTCCCTGCCCCAGGAAAGGGTGTGTTGACGACTGCGCGAGAGAACCCGTCCAAGTTCCCATCTCCGCTCCTTGACATCAAGTACAGGAGACGACAGATGGACCTTCGACGCAAGCAGATCAAGCAGTGGCAAGAGTCAGAGGTCCTCTATCTGCAGGAGGAGGTTGCAGCGATGAAGGACGCCACTGGCGAGGGTTTCGACGAGGCTGCTTATCTGGAGGAGCGTGCTGCCAACATCGAGATGGAAGCAAAGCGACAGGAGAAGGATGCGCTCAACAGCCTGGGCAACAGTTTCTGGAAGCAGGACGCCCGCATCGCTCCTCTTCGTGGTGCACTTGCTACCTGGGGTCTTACAATCGACGATCTCGACGTCGCTTCTTTCCACGGTACCTCTACAGTTGCCAACGACAAGAACGAATCTGACGTCATCAACCACCAAATGCGCCATCTTGGCCGTAAGAAGGGCAATGCGCTGCTTGGTATCTGGCAGAAGTACCTCACTGGTCACCCCAAGGGTGCCGCCGGTGCTTGGATGTTCAACGGCTGCTTGCAGGTGCTCAACACTGGTCTGGTACCTGGCAACCGTAACGCCGATAACGTCGACAAGATCATGGAACAGTATGACTACATTGTTTACCCATCCCAGGCCATTCAGACCGATGGTGTCAAGGCCTTCTCTGTCACTTCATTCGGTTTCGGACAGAAGGGAACCCAAGCTATTGGTATCCACCCCAGGTACCTCTTTGCCGCGCTTGAGCACCACCAGTTCGCCGCCTACAAGCAGAAGGTTGAAGCTCGCCAAAAGAAGGCCTACCGATACTTCCACGACGGTCTCATCAACAACACCATGTTCCGCGCCAAGGACAAGGCACCATATGAGGACGAGAAGATGCAGGAGATCTTCCTCAACCCACAAGCGCGCGTCACCATGGACAAGAAGACCTCGAAATACAGTTACGCGAAGAGCTCTGCTCCCAAGAAGGACAAGAAGTCGCAGGAGACGATGAAGATGGTTGAGCAGCTCACCCAAGCTACTGCTTCCGCCAACAGCAAGGTTGGTGTTGATGTTGAGAGTCTTAGTGCGCTGAACATCGAGAACGAGACCTTCATCGAGCGCAACTTCACCGAGAAGGAGATTGCATACTGCCAGAAGGCACCGAACCCTCAGGCAAGCTTCACTGGAAAGTGGTCAGCCAAGGAGGCTGTCTTCAAGTCTCTTGGTGTCAAGGGTCAAGGCGCCGGTGCTCCGCTGAAGGATATCGAGATTGTCAACGACGAGTCGGGCGCGCCAACTGTCCAGGTATGCTCATTCTTACACCAAATTTAAGAAGTGGATACTAACATTTACACAGCTCTATGGCCAGGCTCACGAAGAAGCTAAGCGCGTTGGTGTCAAGAGCATCAACATCAGCATCAGCCACTCGGACGACCAGGCTGTTTCAGTTGCGATTGCGCAATGTTGAATATAGACCGCCGGCGACTTGTTCATATTCATGACGATAGATACATGGTAGTATAGTTGGACAAGAGAAGGAACATTATTCCCCTGCTTGTTTTGGTCTCAGGCGCATAGATTAGATGTGTCCATGGCTCGTAAAGATTTATGTATTGTAATGCAAAAACATGTTCAAACATTGCTCTGTTACATTGCTTGATCATTACAGGTGTTGCGCTCGATGGTATATCGTTAGTCTTCTTCGCCTGCATAGTGTCCGATCGTTATCTTCACAACCTGACGAAAGCGAGATAAGCTCAACAAAACCCCGCTCGCTCGCACAAAGGGATGTTGGACATTGTTGAGAAAGTTCGGTTACATCAGATAAGACACCCCACTGTTAGCCGTTTTACGCGGTTCATTATGCAGTTGAGGCTGACCTGCAGCGGGTAGCTGCATAGCTTGCATGTTGTTGAGCACCAGTCGGAAAAGTCGCTGGGAACTGCGGGAGCGTGCACTTTGGGTTAGGCGTTTCGGGAGGGATAGTTTGGTGGTGAGATGGAATTGTATTCTGGTCGAGCCTGCGGCAGCTATATTTTGTGCACGATAGAAGAGTGACGTGATATGCGCTTTCGGTGGATGCAATGGTGCAGATAGATTACGCGGCCTTTTGTGGCTTTGGTTTTGACTTTGAGATGACATAGTGTGTAGCGGCGCCTTCTCGCTACTCAAGAAGCGTACAGCTATGGGGTTTTTTTTGTTGGCTAACTCTTTCGCTCTCGAATGCGTGGAATTTGGTAGAATATGTTTGTAGCTGTGATGGTAGGTAAACAATTGCGACTTCTGAGAGAGAGATGTAGGGCGTATGTAGTGATCATCATATGTATAATCTTTTTGTATGATGCCAAGGTCTTGGGTCCTGTATTGTACCAGACGGATAAGGGGGGATATCCGATTAGCTACATTCACTGGGTCAGGGTCTATATACCCCACTTCCATCTCACCTCCTTCACGCCCGTATGGCTGCCCCTCACTCCTCCTCCTCCGTGTGGCTCATCATATGCTCTCATGCGTCCCAAGGCATATTGTTGTATGATGGTTTTGTAGTATGCGGAGGCATGTCCGATAGGAAGGGAATAGGCCGAAAAAGCTGTATTTTACTTCCCACCTTGCATGATCATACACTTTAGCGTACCACAGTCTTTTCTTCTGCACACGAGTCGCTCTTCTTACACCTGACTCGCACAAGCTCCTACTGGCCAGCCAAATCATCACATGTCCTATAATTTCGAAGTACGATCACTACACAGGCCCATAGTAACACTTAGATGATCACTCTTCTTCATTGTAGACTCGAGTTAATGCCGGGAAGGCCAATTCTCATACATATATTGAATGTGGCTGCGCTCATGTTTTGTCATATTCCAGTGTACTCTCGAACAAGTCTGGAGCCTTCCACGTCGTTTGCCTACCATGATCCAAGACTTTCGTGTCGCCACTACGCAACGCCTCGATGCATGATGTGGCGGTCGATATATTTTTATCCGAAGCTAGCTCAAGTCTTCATATCGTAAGGGTAGACATGCTCAACCCATCTTATATCCTGATGGGATGGCCTTAGGTTTGGCGCCAGCTTCGTAAGTCCTTTGCTATGATCCTCAAAGTCTATATAGACCTGGATTGGACAACGATCAGAAAGCTCCTCCAGCCCATGATTAGGACATTCCAATGTTCCCCCAGCAGAGCTTGGGTAGTGCACAATGCTGTCGATGTCGTATGAGTCAAATGTAAAGAGGGGAAGGAGACTCCCAGTAATGCCTTTAGTGAACGCACTACACGCGCGTTTATTCTCAAGTACATACCTGATGTTACTGCATATGGTAGATCAGGTTATTTTAGGGTCGCCCTTGGCTTTGGCGCGTTGCCAACACTGTGTCGAGTCATCAATGATTGTTCATCTTTGAACAAATTTACCAAAATTCTGCTCACCTCTTTATGATCAATTATATTCTCATATTGGACCTTGATATAGGTGTCTCGATCACTACACTGGTGTTCATGTATCATGCCTAGCATTTGTTAGTGCATCCCTTGGTAACTTACTACAAGATGGCTCATTACCCATGACATGACCGAGCTTGTGCATAGCGCAATAAACACAGTAATCATCTCCAACATACAGCGTGCTCTCCCATGGTCTCTCCTGGTTAGGCTGTAAACCTACATCAGCCCCCCATTGTATTTTGTCTCTACCCCAGAAGATAGCCAGGGTTGTATGAGATAAAGCTGGGTTCCAGTTATCGGGGTTCTTGCTGTCTGGCGAACAGTACATCGGCTGTCCCTCGTTGGTCAAGTGCTCTTCGAAACTAATGGCGTGGCCGGCTTCTTTGCCAGCGGTTCCAAGAAAACTAAGGGCTCATCGGTCAACTACGACATATTGGATCCAGTAGGCATATACTCACGACATCCACGTGTCTATAGCAACTCTTATGACCGGCAAGGCAACCTCGCGATCCTCCTCCGTGTCGTAGTAGTAAAGGATAACGACCTTGTTTTCCAAGTCACGAGGCCATCTCACCGGAGCTTTACCAACAGGGCCAGCAAACATATCAGTGGCGCCTTGGCCGTTTTGACCAGGATCCACCTCAGTCTCATGTAAATACTGCGCCCAGCTGATCGCTTTGGTACCGTTTTCAAAACGGGGAGAAGAAATACCACAGGAGAAAATCTCATTGGGATCTGGCTTATGCTTGATCACACCTGTAGTCGTGAGGGCCACGAATTGTAGGAGATTGAATAACATCTTGGTAGATGATAAAGTTATTGTGGATAGAGGTAAGGGCGGGAAAAGTAAGGTCGAGAGGCGGCAGGTGTGTAAGTAATACAAGGATAGATTCGCGACAAACACAGAAGCCGTGAGCGACGTGGGTGTGAAAATGGCCTAGCGAGCTAAAAACCAGTGATATGAGAGTGAAAGTAATGGTGAGAACACGTAATGACGCATCACACACAAGCAAGTGAGAAAAAGACGGCAACTTTCAATGTCACGATGGTGACGGCAAAACGCGATTTTCATTGTTCTACTCGCAGTACTCGAGATGTGGAGAATGATGAAATACCCCAACACTCTGCAGTATTTTCTTTTTTTGCACGAATTTGAGTCTGAGTCTGTTTGGGTCACAGCCATCCAGCTCTTTCTTATTGAACGCAACATTAGTCGCCACATACACAAGTGTTCACTTGCCAAGTCTTCAAGCATTGTTGGAAGCCAATACTTTGCTCATCGCAGCTGAAGAGACTTACCGGACCAATGCAAGGGATCACTAACATAAGCATATCGAGCATGGTAATGGAGAGCTGGTGCACAGTGTGTCAAGCGATTGTTGTACTTCACAGGCATATTACTCGGCATATCACCATACAGACCATGGTAGAATTTCCTCTCTACCTCTTCGGATATTAGAAGGCGACGAAAATGAGCATGTAGTCTGCTTACATTGTCCCTAAGAGATGTTGAACAGTGCATGATGATGAAGTAGACTTCAGATGAAAACTAAGTATACCGAGCGATCCACTGTTTAGTGCTACTGTACCCCGGATAACACAAGACACTATTGTTAGGTTCAGGGTCGGCTCTTCACCGGTCGAGCCTTTCGACTATCATAACGAAAGCGCATTACTTAGATTAGGAACAATTAAGGTCCCCGCACTGACGCGGCAAGACCCTGCTCACCAAACACGTTGTCCGGAAGATCAGCGGAAATTATGCTGGTTTGTCATCTCGGTTCTTGAAAGATTGTCACACTTTCGATTCCCCGACGGATCGATCGCGAGATGCTACCGTAAGCTTAGAACAGAATTTGCCGTTTCAATTTCGCGTCTCTTCTTGGCAGAAAGATGGTAATCTGTGACTGGACTCGTAAGATGACGGTGACATCGACGGCTTCAATGAATGCTCGCAGCTCATCTTGTGGATCCTGGTGTCAAGTTGGTGACGGGTTTCTATAATCCTGATGATTACTCAGGATGGGACCAGTGGACGAGGACTTAATGCAAACAAGGGAATGAAATAGGATCTCAGCTTCGTTGCGGAGGTGTCAATGTTGACATGTAGTGTCATATTCGACGGGCCACAGCCTGATAAGCCTGACCCGCTGTCGAAATAACGGTGATGCTGGTTTGCAGCGATGATGCTTGGGTGGCCAAGTTTTAGAGGGCCTGTAAAGCTGTTCGGACTGCAGTGAGGCGTTCGCCGGACATGGTGTTCGGGAGTATGAAACAATCGTGGGGTTGTTTGGCAGGGTGACCTGGGCTAGATCTGAAACCTGATCAGATAGTTGCCAAAAGTACCAGCGCGTAGGTGTTTGTCAATGTGGCGTTGAATAGACTAGACGCGTCTCGTCGCGTGCTACGGGATGGTCACAGCAAATGAGACGTGGGCGTCTCACAGGGCTGGAGTAGCGCCGATCCTACAGCAATTTCACGGACGGCCTGGAGATGATCATCATCAGCGTACAACGGCAGGCGGCGGATGAGGGGCAATTTGCTCACCTCGTGGCACCGATGCAATCGATTAGGTCCAGCCCGGACTAATCATTTCGGTATACCGGTTGAAACTTGCAGAAAAGTTAATAATATGTAGAATATCTCAGACCGACCGTGGATGTTGTATATGCAAGAAAAGGACGCGCTTATCTACAGTAAGCTCAGCAATTACTGAAACGCAGCCAAATGAGGTAATGCCATCCGCTGACGAGGGAAGAATCAGCCACGTCGGCATTTAGTCTGCATGGTGTGCTCAGCACTGCAGCTTGGATGCGAGAAAAACGCCGGCTTTCATATTAGGCAATCAGCCTTCAACGTTCCGAGCAGAAGGGGAGGCATGCCCGTTCGGGTTCTACGGGCAGGGGCGGCCTGACGGTAGAGAGACGGCCACACGGGAGATGACACGACAGTTGGACCAGGTCTACGGATACGAATCTGGCCGGGCCCGGTATCGTAACAATACAAGACCAATTGAATTCTTAACCTCGAGAGTCGATCAGGAGGAGTCGTCGAGCATGGTTCTGCACTGATGGTAGTACATGGAAAGGGGAGGTATGACAGCAGCAGGCGGTTAGGCCAGGGGAAACAGAGAAAGGCCACCGGGACCATGACTAGGAGGCTGGATGATTCGCTCGCTTCATTGTGCGTCCCGAGGTTAGCGGCTTCAGGTACGCGATGGGCGTTTGGTACTTCTGGGTCGCCTCCCCGCATACTTTGGCTACCCATGTGCGAGGCTGGCGATTGGATAGTGCATTTTGTAGGAGCTGCAGAGCTGACGGGCGGAGAGGCAAAGCTGACGATGTGTCGTGGCGAGACGAGAAAAGCAAGTTGACAGAGGCTATATGGAAGATGCAGGGATGGATCAGCCCCTCCCGACGCCTGCAAGGTACCGTTCAGGGCAGGGCGCTGATTGGTCAGAGTGCCATGGTAGCATGATGTCCCTCGCCATGTTCATGATACTTTTTGTCGTTGCGGCAGCTGGAAATGGCGGGCCAAGGGCTATCACGAGAACGTGCGTGGGTGTTTTTGAGAATGTGGGGTGAGTCAAAATTTGTTATTGGAAAAGGAAGGAATGCCTCTGCGACGCGTCTGAGGAGGGAGGAGCGACGTCTGACAAGGAAGGCGCAGGTCTGACGAGGAAGGAGCGACGGCGCTAGCAAATGACCATTTGATCACGTCGCCGCGTCTTCAGTTGTCGCGTTTGCTTGTCGCCCGCATCCCCTGGGACGGCGCGGGTTTTGGGCTCAGCGGCGCAATCATGGCCGTCAGACTTCAGTCAGCCTGTCGAGCGGATGTTGGCCCGCGCGTTATGGCTTCTCTCTTCACCCTGCACCGCGACGCCCATGCACGACCCGGAAATGAGGCTAGTGGAAATTGATCCTTGTACCATGTGAGTGTGCTTGTCACTCCCCCAGAGGCCCAAAGAGTGCATACCCACGTTGACCCGCTCCTCGAAGCATCTTTTCGATCGGGAGATCTGCTCTCTGCATTCCTTTCCTTCACCACGCCAGCACTCCGCAGCGCGCGTGCATTCACTCCTTCACCTGTTGTCTCCAGCTATACACGCTCCTTAACTTTTGTCATAATCTATTGTTTTGTACTTTTTGCAGCCATCCAGAGACGCCCGCACCCAAACCCGCCTGCAATCGCCGCACGCCTTCCTTTTCGCCCTGGGCTCTCTCCTATGCCTCTAGCCGACATTACATTCCACCGTGCCTAGGACACACATTCAAAAAAAAAAAAAGACTGCTCCCGATCGACTGCGTTGTTGTTTTTAGCCCCACTACATGTTCGCATCTGCTCTTTCCCCCCAGCCCGAGTCGCCTTGCCCTCACCTTCCCCACTCATCGCTCGACTGCGCCTGCCCACCCTCCACAGAGAAATTCCAGTGAAGATTGGTTAGCGCACAACCGTCGCTATAATCCAGTCTAATCGCTGCCACTAGTAAGAAGATACCTCCTCTCGTCTACATTGCCAAGGCGCCCACCATTGCCTCTCGCCTACTCCTGATGCAATGCCGCGTTCGAATATTTTTGCTAATAACTACCAGGGCATCATGAACCGCTGGTTGAACAGGAAGAAGGATGGCGGCGAGGATGTGGCCGCTGCAAAGAAGACGAAGAAGGGCAAGAAGGGTCAGGAGGAGCCCAAACCAGAGTTCGACCTCAGTGCCGCATTGCCCAAAGCAGATGACTTCCGGACAAGTCTGATCATGCCCGGCCTGTCCACCCGCTTTAGCATGTTGAAGGAGCAGGACGACCCAGACTCCAAGATTGGCAAGGCCAGCGATGATAGTGTACTACAGCCGAAACGCCAATCGCGCCTCCACGAGTTTGGCTTCGTACCTGGCGGCCTCTCCGATATTGCTGAAGTCTCCTCCCTCAATGGCTCAATTCGACCGCCCTTCGCAAACGAGCGAACCAACTCCTTCGACAGCAGCAGAGACGACGACGGCTCCGGTAGCATGATGACCAGAGCTAGACCTGGCGAGGGCAACGTCTTGTTCGGTGGAAGGCAAAAGATCTACATGATCTCCAACAGTAATGCAAAGGGCACTGGACGGACACTATACGATGACGACGTCAATATGTCAGCATACCAACGGCTCCGACAAGAGGAAAAGGACAGGCTGAGGCAACAAGCGGAGAATGACGAGGGCCAGCACTCTGAGCCATGTAGCCCTACGGAGCTCAGTCGTAAGAGGGAGACTTCGTCATCCACCAACTCAGGCACAGTGAACACGCGTACGTCCACGGCTGCGACATCGATAGCATCCCAGGGTCCCAACTCTGTAACAGCATCCTCTCCTGCGTTCCCTCCAGCAGGCGCCCCTATGACATCTCCCGATCTAAGTAAATCGACGACGAAACGGAGGCTTTACGATCAGGCGCTCGACCAGCAAATCCAAGAGCAACAGTCCACAGCCATGAACCGTCTTAACTCCATACAACGCACACGTGCGCCAACCGGTCGATCAACACCACCGGTTCCCATAGCTCAAGCACGGTCTGCTACCAATCTCAGCGACCGCTTCGCTCGAGGACCAGGATTCCGCTCCGACAGCCCAAACGCGCTCCAGTACCCGGGCGTCAGCAGAAACAACTCATCCGGTGCGTCTAGTCCTGTCCTCGCTCGTCCACAATCGCCCGCGTTGGCGAGTCCCGTTATTAGCGACAGTGAGGAGGCACATGCTCTCAATGCCGCACTCCAGCCCAATGATCGAGGCAAAGCCACCGCTATGGGAACTTTCAACAAACCCAAGGCGGCTTTTAGTGAAGAGCAATACGCAGAGCGCTTGCGCCATATGCAACAGGACCGCGAAGGCCGTAGTACACCAACTCACAAGGTTGAAAAGTCTCCGCCTCGCAAGCCCACTTTGAGAGAGCGTGCAGAACAGCAAAGGCGAAAGCGAGCTGAGAGTGATGCAAAGGAGCGGTCGAGCCCTGAGTCAACTGCTGAACCTAGTCAAGTACCATCTGCTTTCTCCAGATTCCAAGCTGCCGCAAGCCAGATGAGGACTACAGGGCCAGCAACACCGAGCTCACCACCAACTCACCGCCTTCCAGAACTCCCGCGTCAGCGCGCAGCATCTCCAGACAACTGCAACAAGGCAACTTTCTTCAGTTCCCCCGATTCCAGTGATGGAGAGGAAGAAGCCCCCAAACCGACGGTTCCTCGTCCGATGGAGTCGACTCGCCGATTTGACAATCTCCCCGTGGCAACTGGACCCGCACCCTCAATATTTGAGCATCCTGCTCTCCGCTCTCGAATGCCATCGGAGGAAGAGGTTCCTCAGAGTGGCCCTGCGTCGTACAGCCCCGCCCTGACACAGGAAGCGTCTCCTCGCCCTGAGGAAACGGTTAAGGTGGATGGTACTGAGGTTGACTCCCCAACATTAGGTCCTGACAACGGCGGACTTAGTGGAATGATCAGACAGCACCTCCGCAACATGAGCAATGTTTCCTCGAACTATGGCGAACCAGGTCCACCAATGATGAGCCCACCAATGGGACTTGCCATCCATACACAAGAGTTTGGCCTTCAACGCCGCCAGCCAGGATCCGAATCAGTCACCCCTGCGCCCTCAACCTACAGCCATTCTAATCCGTGGGACTTGGATGACATCGACAACCCTTACCGCGATGAGAATGGCAGGATGATCTCCGAAGATCCGGTCAATGGACAGGGTGCCGCACCCCTTATCATGAGCGCTACTGAACCTAACCCCGCGGCCCCTTGGGACCTTACCCCGCGAAGAACCCACGAACGAATCGCCAGCAACGAGACAGAGGCTGACCACGAGGCTTTCCAGCGGGATCTCGCTCACAGGCAGCGTCTGATTCAGGAAAACCTCCGTGCCAAAGCTGAAGGCCGGTCAACAAGTCCAGCACCTGGCGGACCTTCTGGCGGACTGAAGACTGCCTTGAACATGCTCCGTGCAAAGTCGAGCCGTGAATCGTTCGCCACAGTTGAAGTTTCGAACAAATCAGTGAGGAAGCTTGCTCTTGGAGGAACTTCAGTGAACGTTAGCAGCACTTCGCTCGTGGGCCTTCAAGGTGACGTGCCTCCACTGCGACCAAAGCAGTCTCGAGTACTGCAGCAAAGCGAGCAGGACGCACAACGAGAAATGGAACATCGCCAGCGATCAGCAACGGAAAGTAGCCGGACTGGTCGCCCAACAGGTAGATCTCCACAACCATCGACGAGAAGTTCAACGCGAGAGCGCTCAAGCTCGGGAACATCATCAGGCCGCTCCCGAAGCCGCCCTGACCAATACCGAGATGATCTGGACCAGGCTATGAACGAGGGATCTCGTGGCGCGTATCCTCTCAATACAATGCCATCACTTCCTGGTTACGTCGCTCATCCCACGCCTCCACTTCCTGCTGAAAGACCATCACTGGATTCTCAGGGTCGCATGCGATCACGTAGCAACAGTAAAACTGCAGCAGCAAACTACTTCGAATCGAAGCATCTCCATCCCATCCAAACCAACGCTGGATCGGGCCAGAACTCTCGTCTCCCTCTTCCTCAAGGCAAGTTCTCTCCGGGAATACCAATTTCACCCCGACCGTCTCCAGGTGGCTACAACAACGCAAACGGCAACGCCTTCTCGCACCCAACGTCTCCAGTGCCTCCATTCTCTGCCAACCATACCCCTCCTGTCTCGAACCCCACCACACCCAACGTAACTGCCTTTAACCCAAGTACCGTGCAGCCGTTGACCAAAACTGGAGTTCTACGGAAGAAATCAATTGCGAAGTCGGAGATTTCGGAGCCTGTGTTCCTTTCCACAACTTCTTCCATCGACACGATCAATCTCCCAGCTGGTGCTTCTCTGAAGAATGGTATGGAGAACGACGCACCACCCGTTCCGCCCATCAACCCTATGAGAAGACGTTTCGGATTTGGCCGCGGTGAAAGCCAAAGCCCAACAGGACCATCACCTTACGATCCGGCTGTACAGCCTGGCATGGAGGCACCACGAGCTCCTTATGCCGAGCCCCTCCGCACGAACTCGTCCGACGGACTGATGAACCAGTCCCAGCAACCAAAAGGCAGGCTGCGCAAAGCGTCAAGCGAAGGCAGGAGTCTGCGTGGAAACGCACAAAGCCAATTCGGGCCATCTCCAGCTATGCCCCAGAACGGGTTTGCTGTACGCAACAACTCGCCTCCACGTCCTGTTAATGGCCCGGCTGTTACCCAACAGTCTATGGAGGGGGGCATGTTTTAGACGGCCCCCTCATTGGTGTGATATCTGACTCTTTTGTCGACATCGCAATATTTGAGATCAAAAGCGAACATGTCTCAATCTTTGGCACATTTGAAAAATCTCTTCTTCCTGTCTGTCTACTTTCGGTCCATGGATTGCCATATGTGCAACCACGGCCTTGTTCTTTCCTTGGTCTCTTTTTTATTTTTGGCTTTCGGCTCAGCAATATACCTTCCCGTTCTGCAACTTCTCTTTACAAAGATCACTTTTCACGATCAACGATAGGGTTCTGGCTAGATTACAACCCTCACCGGGCTGGACACGGTGTTCTTGGTGGTTGGCAATCGCATCAAACAGGTTTGAGTATATTCAGTAGAGTTGGGCTCGGAGGATTGCATGTTTATCGGAGTCGAAATGTATTGCTAGTCACTACAGCCCTTTCATGGGCTCGTTAGATATCCGGTGCAGCATGTGCTGCCGGAGTTGCGTCAGCCAATCTCATGGTGTTAAATACAATAAATTACACCACACAAAATGACCCATGAGCAACGCCTTTTCCAGTGTGAAGTCTATTGATTAAAATGACTCGAGACCAATTGCATCGCGGCCACTCTATCCGAAGCCAGCGTCGACTGTGGGAAAGGATTCAACGGTCGCAAAGTTGCTGAAACCCCCGCGTCCAATGTTTGGTCTGGTACATCTACCGTGCCGCATTCCCGGTTTCATCATTGCCGACGACATCCATGACCAACGGCGTCAACATCATCACGTTCAGAAAAGCATAATTCCATCACCATACAGAAGGAATATGAGACGAGAAATTGCCGATCTGCAAGGGCGAGCGACTCACGAGCCTTATGTTTCAGGTGCCGCAGACAGGAACGTGCATGACATCGAGAACGTCGGATCGTCGCTGCAAGAAGCGACTCTAGAACTATAGGCTCTAGACGAGGAGGAGCAGCTCTATCATTGTCGTGAAGAAGGGTGGAGGAGATGAGATGGCAAACTAGATTGAGCATCTGTGATGAAGAGATCGAAATTGGTGTGAGAGGAGAAAAGGGATACGGGTGGAGATGATGATCTAAGCCTGCATGCCGCTTATCGCGTACCTGCATCTTTGGATCCTTCGCGCGTGGCTGTCCCTTGCCGAAGCCAACTGGAAGTCACCGATAACTTCTCGGCAATTTTTCGCCCAAATGGTGAACCCCCAGTTTTGCGCAAGGGAATCTCTTCATCCTTCGTGGCTTAAGCACGATTTTCGCAGAGCGCAAAGTGGTACAGCGAAAGAATAAGCTATTGATGATGGATGCTGTACAATCTAGTCTACGGTAGCGGTGCACTACGCTACTGACCCAATCGAACCGTCGACGGCATCTTCCCCATCCGTATGCCAAGACGACATACTTTTGTCTAACGCATGGTCGGTATCCGGTGCCGCACGAACGAATGCAGGTTGCCCGAAGCAGTCGTCAAGCAACAAAAGCAATGGAGGAGATGCAGGGCACGAGAGAAAGAGAGACTTAACAAAAACGCTGCGTTCCTTCATCAGGTACAGTATCCCAGCACATCTACAGCAACGAAGCCTCGAGCCTCAGCATCAGGCCTGCCAAAACACCAATGACACAACTCCGTAACGAACATGATTGGCCCGGCGAGAAAGAATCGCACCGTGGCGCTGACGCAAAGAAAAAGCAAGGACGCAATCTCTCACTCCATCTCCACTGCTGTGCCACCACGCCACCTAACCAACGCTAAAGGACCGCAAGCTCGGCGCCATTCCAAACTCTAAGTGCTACCTAACTCTCCATCCGAGGCACGTCACACGCCTATGCGAGGCTCTTGCTCACAGTCCGGTCATCATAACTCGACAAAACATGACCATTTCAATGGTGTAGCCAAGATAAATCTATCGTGCAGATCAAGGAACATTGAGAAGAAGGGAGGGGGAGTGGGCAACCAAGCTTGCAGGAGCAAACTGCGGCAATCCCTGAGTCGATCTTCGGGTATTCCAATGTTAATCTCCACGAGTCTTGTCCTATGGAGCAAGCTTGAACCTAGGGATTGGTTACCAGAATAAGTCGGGGCAGCCGTTACATGTTTTACCAGTACATAGACCCTCTTTCCCCCGTCCTTCGCTCAACCCTGTTCATTCACCCGTCTCTTCGAATACCTCACCTACAGTCTATCTTTACTTTTCCGAAGTCCTTCACAGTCAATTACACAATATAATCAAGATGCGTTTCCAAGCTACCGTTCTCGCCGTCGCGGCTTCGCTCGCTTTCGTTGGTGCTCAAGATTTGAGCGGCATCCCGCAGTGCGCTGTAAGTTGCATTCCCCATGGTCATTGCTGGTCCGATGAGATCTCGGCAATCGCAATGAGGAAGCTCCACATGTTCTGAGCCCGGCATCAGCGCATGTTTGTTGGACCATCAACAACTAACACAAAGACCAACAGATTCCCTGCTTCGTAGCCGCTCTCCCTGGCTCCAACTGCGGCGTCACAGACACAAACTGCCAGTGCACCACCGGCCGTTCCGCCATTGAGAACTCTCTCCTCACTTGTGCGCCCGAGCGATGCGAGCAGAATGAGATTGCCAGTACGTTGATACCTCTATATGCTTCCATCCTATGGTCATACCTAACATAATCCAGGCCTCGCCCCTGCTGTCTCTTCCCTCTGCGCTGCCGCTGGTGTAACCCTCTCCAACATTCCTACCGCACAGCCCTCCTCTGGTTCCGCTGCCGCTACCGGTTCCGCATCCACCAGCCAGGTTAGCGGAAGCCGCACCATGAGCGGCTCTGCCTCTCCTACTGGCTCCCAGGCCGCTGAGCAGACTGAGAACGCTGCTGCCGGCAAGCTTGCCAGCTACGGTGTCGTCGCCATGGGTATGGCCGCTGTTTTCGGATTGTAGAGAAATGAATCAGGGTCTGGCAGGGAGGATACCATATCGAGATGGGGCATCTTGGCCATTTAAGATTTTGTAATTGAGCGGTCACATACCCGTCGTTAGTCCGCAATTGATACCGTCTCGTTCGTTTGAATCGTCGTTTCTCCGATATTGTGCTGGGAAAGGTTGTGAAGTGGTTTCGGATTTGTTCAGGCAGCTTCCAGCGCGCTCACCCATTTGCCAGACCATGCCGTGAACTCATCGTCTTCACCATTCCAGCTCTGTTTGACCAGCTCGATCGCGCTCTTAGCCTCGCCACAGCACTTTTCTAGAGTTTGTTTCGCCTCGTCTTCGTTAAGATCGTAGAATGCACCCGCGATGTCATCGACCGTTTCGGGTATCGTCTTGAGGGCGTTCATAAGTTCGTCAAGCTTCTTGCAGGGTGCCGAGGTGGTGCCGTTCGTGGCTGCAGTCGGTTCGAGTGTGGAAGACGCAGGATAGGTTTTCAACCTCCTCTTAATCAGTGCTTGGTATAGCATGCCTACCATCTTCAGCTTCTTGACACTAGTGTCTAGCAGTTCCTTCAACACCTTGTCATCCTTGCCGATCTTGTTCGACGCGCCAAAGACCTCGTCTTCATCTTCACTGCCTTCTGCTTCATCATCGTCGTCTTCAACGTCCTCTCCCCACTCTTTCAGCTCTTCAATCGCATCGAGCAATACTGCTCGTAGCTCTTGTGCCTTCTTGGCCACCAGTCCAACAACACCATCCGCGCATAACTTCAATAACGCGTCACATGCATCCCATAATACACCAGTGGAAGACAAGACTTCCTGCTTCTCGTTCTCTGTCGGGCCTTTGTCTTTACCTTGCGTATCTCGTCTTTGCTCTGCCATCTTCAAGATCATAGCAAGAACCTCTCCCCATGTCCCCAGCAGCCTCCGTACCTGCGCCTTGACTTCCGTGCGCATTATGTTCCCGATATCACCCCTCTGACCCTCTCGTGGTACGTATGAGGCCGCAGCCACCATGCTGTTCAGTGGGCCTGAACTCACATCGCCAATCTTCGCTATGATCGCCGAGGGCGTGAGAGGTGGATTTATGAGAAGGAGCGACAGCGTAGTCGTGTGCGATTTTAGGAGTGTAGTCGACGCTTTGATGACATCGAGAGGGTTTGCGATTTCGGTCGTTGAGGTTTCGGGCTTTGAAGCAGCATCTTTGGTGGGCGCGAGGGAAGATTGGTAGTGCGTAAGGAGCGCTTGCGTGGTTTTGGTGAGGTCGATGAGTGTGCGCAAATCTTTTGGCTTCGACATCCTGACGGGTTTGTTCAGTAGAAATTTAGGCAGGCCTCCCTCTGAAGAAAATATCGAAATGGCTGGCGATATGTGCGCCGTTCACAAGCCAAAGACAGTACCAAAATTTTGGTGGGGCAGTGACTCTTAGCGGGGTACCTAGGTAGCTCCGTCATAACGGACATCCTCCGCACACGGCTGCATCAATCTACGTCTCCATACCACTCTCCTCCTACTATCCATGATCCATTCCTGAATTGATTTTTGATCTCTTCAGAGTACCTCGGTGCCAAACTTGTTGTTACAACAGCCCGGTCGAAAACCCTGTGATTCGAGGGCTATGTCAAGGCAGTAAACCGCAAAACGTAGACTGCATGTGCTGCATCTTGGACATGCCCGAACGAGGTAATGTGCCGCTTATGCATGTCATCATATGTAAGTAGGCATAATTGAGTCCAAAGTCTGCCCCGACACCTGCTGAGATGACCACATGGCGCTCGCCCCCGCTCCCGTGCTGCTCGTACTGAGCTTCGCCAATCGGGCTCGCACACTAAGGAACGATGGCTGAGGCACTCAAGTGTTGACATTCACCGGAACCATGATCTGACCAGTAATGGCTTGCTGCATGTCACCCCGTGATCCCACGTTACAGGTGCATACATGACGACTTGCATCGAGCAATTACGCCTAGATCATACTATTCGTTCAACCAACCCGAATGGTATGGGCAGCCTTGAGGCCTGCCTTTGGGGGAATGTGATGATTCCAGAGGAGCAGAGCCGCAAGCCCTTGAACATACCAGCCTGATGTATATCTGTCAATCGTAGATGCGCGAAGGACATAGGCTCTTAGACTGTACCTCAGGATTGCACTGCTCTTCACCGGTTTCGCCTCCTTGTCCATCTGCCCGAAATTCAGTCACGCCCGAAAACTGCCCATTGTCCTCCGTATACCTCGTACTCAATGTCTTACGTGTGGGATACTTTTTCAGACTATCGCCTCGACCAGGCGGACTTGCAAGCGTACCTAACCGAATTGTATGGGTCATATAATTTTTTCATCGAAGTAAGACTTGCAGAAGTTTGCAAGGGCATAGGCTGAGCAAGGTTTGCAGGTCGTCAACGGGACGTACAGATTCTGGATTCCTAAATCGTTAACCCCTGTATGAGAGAGATTCGCAATACCCAATGTTAACACAGATCCTAACGTGCTTCCAGGATCAGCGAGCAGAACTTAAAAAACGGCGATGGGAAGATGATTGATGAAAGATGTTGGCAAAGATAACGTGGGGCTACATGCTAGACATCCTCGTACGCGGGGCTTAGCAGGATTTGGTGGCATTCGTCTAGGGCAACACACCGGACTCGGGACTTGGGGCTGTGATCATCTCCGGTGATGCTATATAACTTGGCTCACCCAAATCCCTTGGGGACAAACTTTTCAGCACCTATCATTTAGTTTTGATATAGTCGCAATGGATAAATTCGTTCTATCCTGCAAAGAGTTCAGGGACTATCCTAAGAACCTTACACAGCGCAGCGCCCTCACACACAGCACGACAGGATACTTTGATCGACTTGAAGCTCAATCCAAAGACCTCTTCCGGGATTCCCGAGACAAGAAAGTAGCGGTTGATTTTCTCGATTACCATGAAGTAGATCATCGTAAGCAGCCTATTGCCAGCTGGGGTTTAATCTGCTAAGCATGCACAAGGCTATAGCCCGGCATGCATCCAGGATCAACGCGAATTGGAACTCATATTGGGCTTCAGACAATCAATGAAGGCTGAGGCTATTGATCCAAGGTGTCGGTTCATGTACGTGGACGTTGTGTTTTCTGAGGCTCAGCTGATGATGGTAGATTTCTAACAGCAGGCCAAAGCCGGGCACCGTTGCGTATCACGCACGATATGTTCAGCTTGCTGTGCACATTCTATCAGGTCATCCCCTCGTTTCTGGACTTTGTGTTTCCTTTCGGGTTAAGGGAGCATGCACAAGACTTCCATTTCAGTGGGCTGAGAGAAGAATCCCGGTTGGCTTCGTACGACAAGGCCTGTGCGCTGCCCGGATTAGATCGCTCAGGAAGAGACATTCGCTTTTGCTACAACCTAAGGTCGGTAGAACCATCAAAAAGTCAGTCAAAATTACCGTGGTCTATCCGCCAGTGTGCTGTATATCATACGTTCGACGTGGAGAGTGGGCGAATGTCCTGGATTATCGTCAAAGGAAATAAAGATATCAAGAATCGTGTGACGGAAGCGTCCGAGAGGCAGACAAATAACGGGAAATCTCTCAAGTGTTGTGGCGATGCGTTTGCAACATCACTAGAGACGCATCTTTTGTTATGCAACTGGTCCGGCGAGAACTGGCGATGGTACATCAACGATCTCGAAGATCAGTTGCAAACACTAACAAGAGGGGTGTTGGCATTTCAAGTTGAGAAAACTCCTACGCCGTTGTCATCGCCTCTACTCCCAAATATCATGAGTCCATGCCTCAATGCAGGACCGTTTCACAACGTATCACAGATGTCTCCAACAAGTCCCCCGTCGCGATCTTTCACGCTACCACCGATTTTGACAGCACGACTTCCGAACCGGTCAAGTACTATGCGATCAAGCCCACAACCCTACACACAATCACCAACGGGTAATGTCGACCAGTCTGGCAACTTGTGGACATCGGTACCAACAGTCAACTCTCTTCCCAAGGCAAGACGATGGAACTCAGCTGTAAACAATCTTCGCGGATCACTGACACGGCCCTGGCACCTTGATACAGCCAACGACAGTCCAGTCTCTGGAGATGAAAAGCAGCTGCTATCATCGCCAGAGAGGTTGTCGCCCCCACAGTTGCCCCCCACCTTTTCTGATAGTGACTTGGATAAGACACCCGATATATTTACGTTCAGAAATCTTCAAGATATACAATACATCGAAGAGAAAGCACAGGAAGCTATGCTTGTGTTAAAGCTGAACACAGAGATTCTTGAACAACTGAGACTACATTACGACGAACTCACAAAGCATGAAGACTTTCCTCAGGAAGTGCGTGATAACTGTAGGACTAGCCTTCATCACTTTGGTAAAGGCGTAGTCGGGGTCGAGAAAGATCTACGCATGCTGCAGTCGCGGACTGAGACACTGTTACACCTCTTGGCTGACCGAAAGACCTTAGTAAGTACTGTACTCTCAAGTTTCATCGTTGGATTGGGGACTATTCTGGTAAACATCTAGACTGGATCTATCCAGTTCATACGAGAGGTCGCAGCTGTCAGCAGTAGTGCGGCCATCACGCACACCTCAGAAATGAGAAGCCCAAAAGAGAACAGTATACAGTAGGCATGTACTGATACAGTGTTACACAGGTAAGCGGCATATTGCAACATCGAAGCTCCAAAGCTAGCGAATTCTACGCAAAAGAGTCCCGAGAATCCGCAGCTCGCATGGAGACGATGACTTTGAAGATGCAAGACCTTGCTATGAAGACGAAGCAAGAGACAGTTTCAATGAGGGTGATCACCACTGTGACTCTTTTCTTCCTTCCAGCAACCTTCATCGCTGTAAGTGATTGGTATGGTGCTTTGGGTCCGCACATCTACTGACTCTATGCAGACTTTTATGAGCACCGACATCCTCAAATTCGAAGATGGTGGACAAGACTTACAAATACAGGGTCTCAAGCTATACTTGCAGGTTGCTTTGCCTGCGACAGCAATGACCTTCGTCGCGTGGTACGTCATCTATTGCTTGGCTAGAAGAGAAACTAGACCGAACGATCGGTCCGAAACAGTTGGTGAGGCTTGATCTCCAGGGTTGTTGAATCATTAGATTGGCCAAGAGTGTGTCACAAAGGAGCGGCATCTCCTCTTCTTTTTAGACGTATAGATTCCAAAAATTGCTTCGAACTGTGTAACACTCGGATCAGATTGTCCATGCTGTTTCGCACCATGAAGCCTGCCATAGATACGACTTCATCTAAAGGTTGACGTGGTTTCATGTAACGACCCAGTCGGGCGTCCAGTGATAAAGGTTGTTGTAAAAGCCACTAGAAACTGAGAGCGTGTCAAATCTGAGTTGCAAGCCATGGTCAGTAGTGGACCGGTGCATCTTGGCGGCTCCACGCCATGTTAAATTGTTCGACCTAAAGCCAACGTCACGCCCACGAGCAAGACGAATTCTGCCGTCTAATCCTCAGAATATTGATCACCACTTGTTGCGATCACCTATCCGATTACATTCGTCAATATAGACTCGTAGCAGGTTCGTAGCTGTAGTAGCTGTAGCTGTCAATGCTGGTCGGTCGTTCGCCATCCTTCCCTTTCCCACCGTCTGTTGTCTCTGATGACTTTCATTTCTGTCGTCGCATCTCTCATAGGAAAGAGGATATAGTTCCAACTGGATAACGGCAAGCTCAACGAAGGACGAGGCTGCCGTGATGCAGGTCCGGATAGATTGTGGCTTGAAGCTTTTGGTGGGGCACCGGGGTTTCCGTCTTGATCGCATTGCTTAGCGAACGACCGTGGAGTAGCTCCCTAGGCCTTAACTTCAGCCTGGCGGCATGCACTCATGGAAGCTTCAACCTCACTTTCAGCTGGCCTTCTAAGCTTGATACGAGCTGCTTCTCCTTCAGTTTGTTCCTACACTCGCCGCGACTCACATCGAATGTGACTACCTACTGCGCATCATCTCCAACGACCACTATGGCGTCCGGCACCAACTGCGAACGTTCCGATTTCCTCGAGCACGTAGAGAAGTGCAAATTGTTCGCCGTGGGTGAATGTCCGCCCACAGACACACGACCGATCGTTTCGATACGCGCACTCCGAACCTACCTTACTACAGACAGACTGCGAAAGCTCTTGCTATACGTGGGATGTTCGCCCAGCCATGAACATGCTATCCGAGAAAGATACCTGGCCGTGTTCTCAATCCTTCTTTCGATAGATCGAGGCCCCTACATAAGGAATTTCGTACAACACGACCACCTAGCAGACGAAAGACTGCCTTTCCTTACCCGCGATGGACTGCCAGAAGTTTGCAAAGTTCTATTCGTCGAGTTTTACGATGCGCAGTGGAAATTCTGCGCGAAACGGCTCGTGCATAACCGGCTGAACGATACGAGGCTACACGAGCATACGGTCGTGCCGTTCAAGAGGAAAGAAAAGCTAAAAGAGGGAGTGGACTCGACTATCTTCAAAGTGGAGTTGTTTGAGGAACACAACCACCTTTTTCCAGTAGGTCAACTCTCTGCGCGCTCTAATGATCACGTATATGTAGCAAGTGGCTGACTGCTTTGCGCGAAGGGCGAACTCGACAACCCCCCTACTAACGTCTTCATCCTGAAATCGTGTCACTCGGACAATATCAAATTATATAACAACGAGGTGGAGGCTTACAGGACCCTACTAAGTCACCCAAGTGGCCAACATGCGATGCAGAACATGGCTCGCTTCCATGGTTCGTGGATACAGGGTAATACCTGTAATATATTACGTGAATACATCGGCGGCGGCACCCTTACAGACTTCTTCAAACACACGTCGGAGCCAACGACGGCGAACGAGATTTTGGAGTTCTGGACAAATTTCATACAGTTTATACAGCCGATATCATGTATACACCATCTTCCCGATTTGCACGACCATCGTTCGTACAAGGTGGGGTAGGTGTGAACTTACATACCTTTTTGACTCTCGCTCCAAGCTGACTTATGAAGGCTACATAACGATATCAAACCGGATAATATTCTGGTATCAGAGCAGCACAGCGACAGCCCATATAACGTCTCTTTCAAACTGGTAGATCTTGGTCTCACCGGATTCGTACTGGCGAATGAGTACGATGAGACACAAATTCGCGATATACATGGCACAAAGATGTACAGTATGTTATCATGGATGCTCAGATTTACCCTGGGCTGACATACTCTCAAGGTGCACCCGAATACTTCCGTGGTGAGACGAGCAGGTTCATGCAACAAAGCATCAAACAAGCACACCCAGCCAAAGACATTTGGGCTTTAGCTTGTGTGATCAGCTTGGCCGCGGTCTGGTCCGTATTTGGCCATAAAGGGTTAATTGACTACCACAAACGGCGAGTGGACGCAACTGCGGCTATCCCATCCCTCGGAAACACAGGTTATAGCGGCTGCTTCCATGATACTACGAAAGTGCTCGCTGCTGTAGAAGTCATGCATAAAGAGGCCTGCCACTCACGCCGGACCAATATCGATAATATTGTCACCCATGTCATTCATATCGTTGGTGGAATGATGCTCGAAGATTATTCAAGAAGACCAGATGCGCTGAGAGTTTACGATGATCTCACTCGAGCTGTACAGCTGGCGACCCCACCAGGCTACAGTGTCAATCCAAACCCGCCAGGAAAAACCGCTTACCCTCGCCGCTCCATGCCTGGTCGTCTGCCCCCTGACATGCCAGTTGGACTGGGCTTGGATACAGACTCACCTTCCATGAAGTCGCCCCATGAATCTCAAGGAAGTTTAATAGATCGTCCTCCAGATAGACGTGCAACGTTCAGTGCAAGATCGCATTCTCGCCCGTTCTCCGGCGCCTCGAGTGTTGGACAGGTAGAGGTGTGGCAGCAGAGTCCCCCAGCAGCGGCTCACGATACTGCACATGTTTCGCAACAGACTCCAATAACTAATACCAACAGCCCTGTTCCGCAGTCCGGTGCGCCCGTCGGTCAGACAGCTCTTCCTGTAGCTTCTATTCATGATATCTTGGATTACATACGCAGGAGGAACTTGAACCCAAAGAAGACGTCGCTGAAAGGCGAGGAGTGGCTAAAAAGACTGCACGGCCGAGATCAGGTATGTGAACATGTATGAGTGGGTTGTGGCAATCTTGCTAACTAAGACATACTAGATTTTCCTCGTTGATGACTCCGCATCGATGCAACAACATTGGGAAGAAGCCAAAAGCGTCTTCGAGGCTCTAGCGTATCTAGTCAAGAACATGGATCCAGACGGTATCGAGTTACGGTTTGCTAACAGTTGTGAGTACGACGGCCGTCACAGGCACCGTACAAGACTTATCAGAAACCTCGAAAGGGTAATACCTGGTGGTCAGTGTCAAATGGGTATCGCACTCAACAAGATCCTCCCAAACTACTATCACACCCAGCCAAATACACGGTCATCTTGGTCCCTACGAGTAGAAGAAAAGCCTGCAGTTAACATTTATATTCTCACGGACGGTGTGTGGTCGCAGGGTGAAGATTGTCTTTCAACTGTTCAGGACCACATCACCCGCCTAGTCGATGATCTATGGAAGACTGGTAGGTTGGAACATGTCGGCATCGAGTTCATCCGCTTTGGAGATGATGAGACTGGAAAAAAACGCCTGGATTTTCTTGACAACGATGGATTGAAGCACTACCATGTCCCCAGAGACATCGTTGATACAGAGCCGTCTACCGGCAATGTTTTCAAGATGCTCCTAGGAAGTACCGATGGGAACTGGGATAACCAAGGCGAGGCTAGACAAAACTCTGTGCCGAAAGACAAGGAATATGATTGACCTATTGGCCATGTCTACTGTTTGGTAAACAGATCATTTCATAGAGATTACAGCGTGTACGGGCAGGATCGTGGGATCACACAGATTGCACTAAGAAACCTTTCCTTTTTGATTCGAGGAGTACTACGCATGATACCCAGTGTACCACGGCGTTTGGGGATGCCGGCATCGCATCCAAGGTGAACGCAACGAGACCAATTTACGTGTTGTTCAGAGGATTGTGCGACGATTTCTTTTAGGCTAGTCTAGACACATATCAGACAGTATGCTTTCTATATATATTGTACATAAATGCCGTTACTCGTGTACAGCATTTGCAGCGTACCTCAGTTATTCCGCTTACTCTTCTCCTTTTGCTTCTTCTGCTTCTTCTTTCCCTTGCCCTCCTTGCCCTCACCATCATCCTCACTTGCCCTCTTCCCGTTTCCGTTCGCTCCCTTCGTAGCTCCCTCCAGTGCACTGTCTGTTTCCTCATCCTTGACGAGTAGTTCATTCAATGCGTCATTGAACTTTTCCAACTCACATATCTCGCCAATCTTGACGCGCATGTAGTCGAATGCAATGGCGACCTTCATGTCCCTGTTGCGTACTTTGATGACACGCGCATTCTCGCGGAGCGAAAAGGAGGTTTCGTGTGTGAGGGAGGGGATCGGTTTCGCGGGTCCTGGCGCAAGGGCTGTGGAGGAAGGGATGGTGGGGTGCATGTCCATGTTGTCTGCATTTTCGATAGTGGGGTCGACTTCGGCTTCTTCGTCTTCCATGGGTACGTCTTCGGCGACCTCTTTGGGGTTGAGTAGAGGATCTTCTTCCTCGCCGTCGGTGACGGTCTGTAGGACAGGAATCTTTTGGTATCGCTGGCTGAAATGTGTGAGCACAACAGCTTTAGCGTTCATCTGTGCTCCGATACCAAGTGCTTCGGAGGTGGTGGAATGTTTCTTTGCCTTTGCGTCACCTTGTAACTCATCGTCGAAAGTTGCTTCGTGAATGAGAACTGTGGTGTCGGTTCCGATCTTGGAGAAGTGGTAGCTTGGTCTACAGTCGCCCGAATAGCTGACTTTGAGTGGCTTCACACCTTCAGGATCTGATGGTGAGCTCGGGAAAGTCATCGAAACAGCCATGGCTCCATGACAATGTGCTACCTTAGCAGCTTGTATGTCTTGGAACCCAAATAGTCGCTCGTAGTCTCCTCTTTGTACAATAGGGTTCTCAGACACGTTTTTGCCGAACGAATTTAGTATGGATAACGTCGAGCTCTTGCGAGCTTCATTTGCGGTGATTTGAAGAGGTAGAATCCGGCTGTAGCCAAAGTCTTCGATTGCGGAGTACTCGTTGAGCCACTGAAGCATACCACTGTGTGATATCACAGAAAGACCGTATGCGTTGGTGTCTATGTTGCTCGCGGAAGTATCGAGGGGCTGGGAATTGGGAACAGCATCGTGTACTGTCTGGTACCAAGCACGAATCACTGCTGCTGTACCCAGGTGGTGATCGGCATGCAGGTGGCTGATCCATATTAACCGCAAATTCTTGATAATATCCACAAGTTCTTCATGGGGAAAGACTCTTGAAAGTTGGCCCAATGTGTTCTCTCCACAATCGAGGAGGTAGTTTCCGATGCCAGGAACCCGTACCAAAGTGGCAGACACGTTACGGTATTTAGACGGCAAGGCAGAACCTGTTCCGAGGGTCGTCACCTCGGTGTCAGGACGCGCAAGTAGCTGTCTCCACATGCGCATGTCTCCGCGGTTGCCCTGCACGGCTGCTTGGGCTTGTTTGGCCAGCTCAAGAACTTCAGGTGGAGTCTCGCTTCGTACGTCGTTGGGAACGAAGAGCTTGGAAGCAGTATCCTTCTTCAAAACAAACTTCGGCATGAGTGTAAAGGACATGCCTCGATCAGCAGCAATGGCTCCGTTGAGCGATGGCGATGGCGATGGCGATGATGCTGACGGATCAGTCCTGTATAAACTTTTCTGGGGTAGAGTGGTGTTGTCGAACACAGGCGTGGAATATCTTGTGGGGTCGATCTGTCCAAGACGCGTAGCCTGTGCTGCTACCGAGTCATTTGCAATGCGATTAGGCGCAGTATCTATGGACGATATTACGTGTTCTACACTGTCCATCTTGTTCATAAATTCGACAAGAGCCGGATGACCTGCGACGCCTGGACCAAGCATCCAAACGATAGCTCCAATGCCGGTCATCACTTCTTGAGAGCTAAGCTCTTCTCGCTGAAGGATACTTTCAATATACGCAATTGAGGGAATGTCCAGGATAGCAACACCCTGCCCAGGCCTGTCAGCTCCCATGACCTGTTCTGGGGTTATGATCTCGCCGTTCGCATTCGAAACCGACTGGCCGTTCGTGAGTTTTCCGAAATCAGGCCCCGGTTTGACGCCTAGCGCTTTCGCGCGTGCAACGTCGAACTGGCCACGGGATGGGTGCGACCGCACAATGTACGAAACACACTCTGGCGCAGGCCTAGTCGGTGGAAGGGCCAGAATAATAGCGCCAGGCCACGGCGTCCGAGTCCAGACTGTGATATTGGGAAGAGGATCTGAGCCACCCGGCTTTGGACCTTGGTAGGGCTCGTATCCGTGTGTGTCGGGATTACGAACGAACATGGCCGCAGGCATTTCTACCTCGGAGATGTGTCGTTCTACAAGCGTGTCCATTCTCCAATTCGAATCGAACATGTACTTGATGGTCGCTGTCCGTATCCGGCCGTATCTTACTTCACGGTCTTCCGGGCTCTCGTTTTCAGGAGCCTGGAAAGCGTCAAACGTGTTCAATTGTGTGTCGAAGTGCTGTCGCCGCTTCTCCAGTTCCGCTTCCGCTTGTGTATCCAATTCAGAGACCCTAGGCGATACTGACAAGGCCCAAACTTTGATGCTCGCATCCTGCCAGGTCGGAACTATAGCACCATTCTCGTCCTTCTGAGGCGACTGTTTGACATACTCGGTCGCATTGATAGGTATGCCCTTCCTGAAGATGAATCTCCGACATGTTGCCAGTGTATGCTTTAGGTTCGGTGGTCCGTAGATGTCGAAGTGCGGCTTTGGTGGTGCTTCACCTTTCTTTCCTCGCTCTTGACCCTGACGAAACATATCCATGGCTGTGGTATAAGAGCTCGTACTCGAGTCAGCCAATGTGAGCATCATGCCAATCAATCCGCCCATGTTTTTCCACTCTGCTCTTCCCGTCAAGAAGAAATCCTGGGCCTTCAGCAGGCGTGTACCTTGCTGCACCATTGCCCGTTGAGTACCTTCTGCCAGGTTACCGAAAACATAATGCTTGCTCGGCGTCCGCAGTACCAGCGTTGTGCCTGGCGTATCAGCCGTAGGCGTCGTGACGATTTCGACGCTACACGACATGGTTTCCCTTCCTTTCGTGATGATTTCACCACTATCTGCCGAGGCCTTTGTTTGTACTCTCTCGAGTTCGGATGCTTCGAAAATCGGTAGCTGCGCGGATTCGCGTAAATTTGGTACGAATTGAGCTTGTGGATGGGCTTGCGCTCCTTGGTGGTTCACCCCGACCAGTTCTTGACCGCGATATGTTAAACGTGTGCGTATTCTAGGCTTTGCCAGATCATGGGCCTTGGTGTTCTTTTGGTGTGCAGATGCAAGATCGGTCAAGACATCGAGAACCGAATAGCGGGGATTACTGGTTGCAAAAGCTCGGGGAAAAACGCGAGATCGATTCGCTAGAGGGGTAGGTCTTGAGTGGAGAGTAAAGGCAGCGTAATTTGTATGCGCTATAAGTCGACCGTAACGTGGGCGCAATGCGAAGAACCGGACATTAGTCGTAATGGTCTTAACTCGCTCCGTGGCGCTAAGTTTGGAAGCCAACTTGACGAATAGAAGAGAAAACACGAGAAGCAACCATGTACAGCTTGTTGAAAGAAAGAGCGCATTCAATGAGTCGAAATGATGCGCGTCACTCTGTCGCGATGCGTCAATGATTTTTAGGCGAATAGAGGCCCGTGCGAATTAAGCCGAGCGGATTGGTTCCGCATCGCTTTGCTGCTCCCTTATCGTTCACCACTCCGTCTCGGAAAAGACATTGCTCTCGTTGGGTATCATTATTCGTACGAACTATGCTACTGCTTATCATCCTTTAGTTTTTTGTGTTGTCGCTACACACCCCTTCAGACACTTCCCTGCTATCACACTTAAGCATTCTTCTTCCTCAATGCTCCTCCGTCGACAGTGATATCCTGTCCAGTAACGAAACCTGCCTCGATGAGATACAGTGCAGCATCGGCAATGTCCTTTGGCCTTCCAGCTCTATTTGTCGGGTGGTCAGACACATCCTTCTCACTGATCTGACCTGCCCAGTCTGCACCGTTCTCGTCACCTTCCTTGCTCTCGTGTGCGACCTTGATGCGTCCAGGTGCAATGAGATTGACTCGAATACCCAGGCTGCCTAGGCTGATCGCCATCGAGTGCATCAAACCAAGCTGACCCGACTTGCTTGAAGCATAGCCCTCCTGATTTGGGTCGGACTGATGCGCACGGAAGGAGCCAATGTGGATGATGCATGGACCTGCCGGGCTGGAGTTGTTCGCATTTTGAATGTGCGCGCCGTGTTCGACATCAGATGCTCGGGCTTTCATATACGGGATGCAAGCTTGAGACATGGCGAAGGGACCAGTAAGATTGGTGTCGATGTATGCTTTCCATTCATCGATAGTCGAGGGGTCCTCCATGGTCTTGCCATCCTTCCACTGCGGGCTTGCGATACCACCGTTATTTATTAGGACATCAATGCGATCATTAAAGAACTTGGCCGCCTCTTTGACTTTGGCACGGATGTCTTCGACGTCGCGAAGGTCGCAGATCGCCGAACCAAGTCTACCGTCGGCGTAGTACTGCCTAAGGTGAACCTTGGTAGTATGCTCGAGCTCTTCTTCATCGATATCGAAAATGTAGGCGTGATGGCCAGCTTCGAGCATCATCCGAGTTAATGCTCGACCAATACCTCGGGCTCCGCCAGAGATGATGATGTTCTTGTATAGCGCTGGTGCTGGTGCTTGGGCTGCCATCTTGAGGAGTTTGAAGTGTGAGGTTCGTATCGTTTGGTTTGGAGACGTGTTCGCGGGGGTGAACTTTGCGTAGGTGTTGTTTGTTCAAGTACGTTGGTCTGACGTCACGCCTCAACACTTCGTGTGTCGCCACGGTAGGCGCTGCAAGAGATCGTGAAATCGGAAACCGATATTCTGGAACTCTAATCTAGGGGATACAATCTCTCATATTCTATGAATTTTGTAACAAAAATCACAGAGCAGAGCTTCAGGACCCTTTCTAGTGTTGCATACAATAAGAAACTGACTCCTTCGTGCACTGCACAAGGCCAAGTCCAAGCCACTCTATATTGTCCAGCTCGGCGCGAACGATGTTTCTGTGGACGCTCCTCCTCCCCATGACCAATTTCACCAGTAATCAAAAGGTGAACAGCGCCAGCGAACAACACACCACAGCACTGCAGAGAGTCAGAATTGTCCATAGAAGCCCTACCAATCTGATTGACAGGTAATGCGAGGAGGCAACACAAGACTAGGTCACTAACGTGCAAGGCTACTATGCGGATTGAAGCACATGCGAGTATGTGTACTAGAGGTAGACACTACCGAAGATGTATGTGAGGCTAGTGAGGTTGCAGCCATTGTATTTCTTGGATGTTCCAGAGATGTGAATTTGGACGACGACCGCAATGCTGAGCAGAGTAACCTGGGATATACTAGAACCGCTTGTTGCTATAGCATCAGTGATGTCTTGAATGTACCTGCCGGAATGAAAAAGATTCATGGCAGTACCGCATGGACTTTGTCCTTTCCAATTAAACGTGATGACATTCTCAGAGGTCTCGAACATGGTCGCGCGATATCTTGGAGGACGGGAAGACAAGCGACACTGCCCAGGAAGACATTGCAGGAAGAGCGAGGATTAGTCATGGACATGAGGAACATATCACCATGTTGGTGCAATCGGCACCTTTAGTGAACGTTCAAATCGCATCCATAAATCTTTTATCAAAACACGACAACCAAGTCCCTCCTGACGCCTGAGAACACCAAGTTCCGTCAAAGTACAGGTATATGACCACATGCATGCATCGTTGAAATCAGAAAAGCGCCGTCAGCCTATTGCAGCTCACATTCCGTCTATTGCGAACGCTGGTAAACACCAACAACCATGGCGTGGTCACGCTCGAAGGGCTCAAGGGTGAGCTGCTCCTTGGGCTTGATGCCCATCTCTCGTAGCTTGTTGACCTCCTGTGCGAAGACGGCTTCGGGGGCAGCGGTAGAGTCGATACAGTTGGCCTTGATGGAGATGACGATACCACCTCCGACCTTGAGGAAGAGTCCGGCGTTGAGACCAACAATACGGGCTTGATCAGGCTGAGCAACGTCGGCGAAAATGCAGTCGACCATGCCGACGAGCATGCGGTACTTCAGAGGGTGACGAGCTGTTGACTATGTTAGCGGGCTGTCAAGAGGGAAGATTGGGGAAGTAACATACCATCCTCGACAATGGGAATGACGTTGGTGCGGTGAGTGGCCATGTTGATAAGATCACGACCGGAGCGGTGGGAGAACTCAACAGCGAAAACGGTTCCCTCTGGTCCGACGATATCGGCAACGTGAGAGACTGATGTTCCTGAAGCGGCACCGAGGTACAGGACCTTGGAGCCAGGGCCCATGTAGATGTTGTCGACACCACCCAAGATACCAGCGGCCAACTTGGAGCGGAAGGGGTTCCAGACACGGTACTCTGTGCTGGATGGGGCTTCGGTCTCGCCGTCCTTGGGTGCAGTGCTGGCACCAACGCTGATGCGCTTCTCGCCGTAGACGGACTCTCCGGGGGTCAAGTTCTTGGTGACAAGGAGATCCTCCTTTCCGCGAGCGACGAAAACTCCTGCGTGGCGATGGCTGAAGAAATGGTTAGTAGGTGAATTGCGCAACTTGAGCAGGCTGTACTTACGGCTCAACGATGACCTTGGCTCCTCCACGGGCTCCGGCTCCGCCACGGCCACCTCCTCGGGGCGCACCACGGCCTCTGGGAGCTCCACGACCACCGCCGCGGGCACCACCACGGCCGCCACGGTCACCGCCGCCGCGACCTGCGCCAAATCCACCGCGACCACCTCTGGGGGTGAAGCCACCGCGACCGCCACGGTCACCACCTCCACCACGTCCGCCGCCGCCGCCACGACCGCCTCTGTTGAAAGTTAGAGCTGCGCTGCGAATGAATGATCGGATAAAAGCACGGAGAAGCGGGTATGTTCAAAGTTGCACCCTAGCTGGAAAACGCCCCAGCGGTACTCGCTATATGTTATGCTGTGCTTGCGCCATAGCATAATATAGCGAGTATGTTTAGGGTGCGATTTGCATAGGTGCGACTCAGGGAAAAAGAGCTTCTTCGCAAGACAAAATGCGCATGTTGAGCGAGTAAACATCAAGACAGCTAGTGTCTATATGATGATATATCGCTCAATATGGGATGATTCGCACATGAATCATATTGCGATAAAGATTCGAGGTGTGCGCAAGTCGTACCTAGGTGTGAAAGCCATTGCTTAGAATTGTCGGAATAGTTGGAGTAGGTGATGGAATGCGAAAGCTACTGCGCAAAGTTAGTTTTGATATAGAGGGTCGTGGATATTTGCAAAAGTACCTCTGCGTGATCTGTTGCACTAGATGCGCGTTGACTGTGCGCGTTGAAGTGGCTGTGGATACGGTATGTCGCGGTATGGATGCTGAAGAGCTTCGAAGTGAAGTTCGAGCTCACATTGAAACTTTTCTAATTAGCGCCATAATCTGCGCGGCCAATCACGTGTCGAAAGCACAAGCGGCCCACTATTCCTTAGCGAATGCACCGGGAACCACAATGGATTTTCGATTTACCTTCACGTCGCCAGACTACTAACAACAACAGCACATCTCGACAAAATGGTACGTTTACCGTCGCGATACTCTGTGCCAACCTGCACGCATCGAATATGGGATTAATTATTGCAGGTTCGCTACGGTGCCTCCTCCATTGACGGCGCAAAGTCTGCTCGCGCCCGCGGCAGCTACCTCCGCGTATCCTTCAAGAACACCCGCGAGACTGCTCAGGCTGTCAACGGCTGGAAGCTCGACCGCGCCCTTACCTACCTCGGAAATGTCTTGGAGCACAAGGAGGCTATCCCCATGAGGCGGTACGCCGGCAGCACTGGACGCACTGCTCAGGGTGAGTAGCCCTACACTCGATTCGCACAAGGGATACATGGAAAATTGTAGTGGAGGACTATCTTTTGGGCGTTGGAAACAGAGCCGATGTTGGCAATTGCAGGAACATGGGCTGACTTGAGCAGGCAAGGCTTTCGGTGTCTCCAAGGCCCGCTGGCCCGTCAAGTCCGCTGAGATCCTCATCGGTCTCCTCAAGAACGCCGAGGCCAACGCCGACACCAAGGGTCTCGACACCAGCAACCTGATCATCAAGCACATCCAGGTCAACCAGGCCCCCAAGCAGCGAAGGCGCACTTACCGTGCTCACGGTCGTGTACGTACACTTGGGTCTATAGTCGCAGTCCCCTCTAACATGTCTAGATCAACCCGTACATGAGCAACCCCTCCCACATTGAGCTCATCCTCACCGAGGCCGCCGAAGTTGTCCAGAAGTCCCCCGAGACCCTCGAGCGCCGATTGAACTCCAGGCAGCGTGGCCGCGCCGTCCGCAAGGCCATCACTGCCTCTGAGGAGTAGAGGAAGCAGAAGGAGATGATGTTTCGGCGAAGAAAACGGTCAAGGCATGGGCACGGTTTGGGAGTCAATGAGCGATGAATATTCAGGGTCTTTCCACACTCGTCATGTATGCATGATATGGCACTTCGATTTCTGCGGTGTCTGGTCCGTAAAATAAATAGGGCCACGTCCTGGTTCCCAAATGTTCAAAGCCGAGACTTCCAAAGTTGTGTTCACGATACTGATAGCCCGTATGCTTGACACTTACATGAACAGAGCGCTTGCTGATCGATGTGGTGCTTGTTTTAAGCGGTTTCATATGCCGTCCGTGCTACGAAGAAGCTCGATTTGTTGGAAGCTGTATCTAAAATTCATTACGAAGGTATTCTTCACAACTTATCTCATGTCTACAATGATGTAACATGCAGCGAATATCTTTGGGGTGCATTTGGGGCACAACTCCAAAATGAAAGAGTCTCTTTCCACAGCTAAGAGTACTTCCAAGGTTGTCCAAATCCACTTCCACATGCATTGCAGGCCATGGACCCTGAATTTGCAGAATTTCCTTCCACTCTAGGGCTGACTGGACCCAGAACACGCTAGCCCCAATCGACCCTAGCGTACTGGGGAACTTTGGCATCTCGAGCTTACGATGCTAGCAAAGCATACACCCAACGGCCAGCTAATCTTGCATGCCACGAACCCCTGATATGATGTCTGTTGCGAATCCTATATCATCTGTTTCGAGTCAGTTGTGTTTTGTTGCCTTGCTTCATTTGCCCTGGCCAACTTTCCCACGATCAATGACGCAAGCCCAGCAAGCCCAGGCATGGTTATGTACCTCGCCACAAAATGCGCCGAAAGATAAGAAGTCATGTATAGACTAGGATCTACCCGTCATTCAACGTCTTTTTCTACCGATCTGTTTCTTTACTAGAAAGGGCGACCGTTTTTCACGTGCGTGACTGCATCTCCAATCTTTACTATACTACCATGGCCCGGCTACACCAATCTACTCGCTACAGGCGGCAAAGACCATCCTGCGCCTCTCTCCTCGCCATATTCGCCACAGCAGCATGGGCGCAAGACTCGAAACGCGGTTTTGCGTTCATAGGCGACTCGCATGTACCAGACAACCACCTACTTACTTCCGATAACTCGCCAATTTCATGGTACTACAACTGGTCTCCATATCCAAACAGCGACCTTATCCCGACGGATAGCCTAGAGTTCGTCCCTATGATTCATGGCATAGATGCCACTGAAGACAGCCAAACCGAACGTGTCATACGAAGCTCGCCGGAAAGCAGCAAGCACCTTCTATCCTTCAACGAACCAGACGGTACCGAAGAAAGTGGTGGTAGCAGCATAAGTCCCGAAGACGCCGCGAAAGCATACATCGACTTCGTTGTCCCCTTCCGGAATGGTAACAGTGGGGGCAGGAACTGGTTGATCAGCCACCCAAGTACCACGGGTAGTCCAAACGGTCTCGATTGGTTACGACGCTTCAATGAGTCTTGTTATGAAATCGATTCTGAAAACGGATGCCCAACGGACTTTGTTGCTGTACATTGGTATGGTGCTTTTGACGGTTTGGCAGGCTGGTTAGGTACCCTGGACGAATTCTACAACACAAATTCAACAAGAGATCAGCCGCTGAAACTCTGGGTTACCGAGATGGCGCTCCCACAACAAGACGAGGAGAATACTGTGGGCATGATGAATCAGACACTGCCATATCTTGACCAACTGGATTACGTTGAACGATACTCGTGGTTCGGTGCTTTCAGAACAGACGATGCAAACGAATGGACCGGCGATGGCGTGGCGCTGTTCGATGATGATGGCGGCTTGACCGAGCTTGGCGCTCTATACTTGGGTGATGGATTTGAGGAAGGACAGAAGGGTGAGGGTGCAGAGGATGCGGCGAGTGGACTGAGGGTCAGTGCAGGGCTGATGGCCGCTTTGTCTTTGTGCGCGACTGTATTTGCTATGCTGTAAATGATATCCATAATAGATTTCCCTTCTGCTGTAGATACCCTCACGATTTGTATAGAACAGCAAGAATGTATAGCCATGGTTCCTGACTCAAGGCTACCGTGCCATGTGGCGCAGTTTAGCGCGGCTAACAAACATCCGATCGGGGTCCAGTAGAGTGAACGAAACCGTCACCTACAACAGTCAAACTACTATGCCAACAAACCCATCCCCGGGCGCACCAAAATAACTACAATTGCCAGTTTGAAACTTTTTCTTCTTGATACTTACCATGCAGCGGTGCAGCAGATAGCGAAGACGGGCGTGAATCTTCTGATGAGCCTAAGTCGGAATTCAGAAGAAACAATCGCAACATCTTTACATGAACCAGAGTTCAGGCCCGTTGCACGGCTACACATACAATTCAATAACAAGTACTAAACCCATGTGGACAGGAAGCTGTAACAAACATATATCGCGTCGCGATACGCCTTGCCCCACGTTTCACGCCAAGCCATCTCTAGATCTGTCGAAACATGCCAAACACTCCATGTTGGCCACTCAAACATCCCTCAGAAAACCTTAGACATGCGATCTCACACTAAGAACGTTTGATCCAGAACCATTGTTCCACTCGTTCTCCTATATGCCACGATAACCGAGACCCATGTACAGCTCGGAAGGCCATCTGCCATCCGTCTCAAACAAGGTATCAACTAAGCTTTTCCCAAACACAAGATAAGCTTTTCTTCGTACGAGCGCTTGCAAAACAAGCCTCCATATAATATGTTCAACGATCTATTCCTGTCCCGGCTCATACTGTTTCCTTTCTCACGTGCACAGCCTCACCCTGTCGGGGCTTCGGCGGCTATGGTACTCAAGTGCTGGTGCACACACAGTGTCGGACACGAGTATTTCCGAACACACATGGCACCAGAGTTGCTTTGGTTGGCCATCTGTTTCGGTAACGTTCATAGTGCGGCGCAAACGCTAGATGAAAATAGTAGGCTAAGTTAAGGAAGAGCTACATCCGTCGATATGAGCACCCGGATGTCAGAACAAGAGAACAGTCGATATATGAAAAGATACGGATGCCTTGGGTTTAAAAGTATCATCTTTTACCTCCTGTTCCGTTTACAGTCTTCTATCTAATAAACCTCGTTCCCCATGCTTCGATCATTCGATCCCCGTCAATCCTCCAAAACCACACATCATGCGCCCCTCTATAATATCAATCGTCACTTTTCTAGCAAGCATCACATTCGCAGCACCAATCAACAAACGCGACTATGCACCTTTTCCCCTCGCCAACGGTTTCCCAAACCCCAATCAAGAAGCCATCCTCCAGATCCAAAAAGACGGCCACGGTACCCTTCCCAACGGCCCACCACCACCCACAATCAGTCCGGATGGCGTCATAAACCTCAAACTCATTGCGCTAAACGAGTTATTTGAAGTGGCCTTCTTCACCGAACTAGTCGCGAACGTAACCGACAAAGTCGAAGGTTACGATCTCGGAGACAGACAAGGCTACATCATAGAATCTCTAAAAGCCATTGTCGCGCAAGAAGAAATGCACGTTCTGAACGCAAACGAGGCGTTGAAACACTTCAACCAAGTCCCTATAGAACCCTGCAAATACAACTTCCCCGTCACCGACTACGCTGGCGCCATCGCTCTAGCAGCAACCTTCACCGATCTCGTTCTCGGCACTCTGCAAGATGTCAACGAACTCTTCGCTCGCTCGCAGGACTTTGGCCTCGTGCGCGCTGTATCGTCCGTGATAGGAAACGAGGGCTCACAAGAAGGTTTCTTCCGGGTTGAGCAAAAGAAGAGACCGAGCGCACAACCCTTCATGACAACTGCGGCGCGGGATTTTGCGTTTACGGCCATCCAGGACTTTGTTGTAAAAGACAGTTGTCCGAATATCAATGTCATACCGCTCAAGACATTCAAGCCTTTGACGATTGAAACAAAGGATATCAAGGCTGAGACGCAGAAGATCAAGTTTTCGTTTTCCATGCAGGATGTAGGCATGTTTGAGATTGACCAGCTCAAGCTCGTTTGGATCAATGGGCAGAATGTGCCGGTTGTGAAGGGGTTTGAGAATGTGCAGTTGATGAACGATAGGGTCATGTTTGAGGCTGCGTTTCCGTTTGATGAGTTTGTCATGGAAGGGTTGACTATTGCGGCCGTGACGATGGGTGCAGATACGTTTGCTGGTGCGGGTGAGGTCGCCGAAAGGACGGTGTTTGGGCCAGGAATTATTGAGCTGAACTAAGTGGTGGGGTGTTGAGATGTTGATTGTGCATAGCGATGGCGTTGGTGTTTCGTTGTTTCGTGTACAAAAAGTGTTCCTGGTGTGTAATTATGTAATGTCTTGTGTTGCTCATACTAGAGATTCTCATAGTCCCTGCGACTCCTCAACATCCCCTGGCTTCTGCGCATGTATTTCATCCGAGTTCAAATTAGGCAATCTACGCTCTACAACTCGCTCAGAGGCCTCGCAATCAGAGTCTTCATATCGACTGTATGTCTAAAACTCTTCAAGAATTCCCTCATTGCGCTCGGCAGCCTTGGTTTATGCCAAATCTTCATAGTGCTCATAATGTATTCCTCATCAGGCTCCCGGTTTCTGTTTAGGTAGAATAGCGCATTACCAAGAGGCATCCAGAGAGCCATTATGCCCGTTACACCGAACTGCTCTTGAACGAAGTAGTCGATTGACTTCATAATCATTCTTGCAAAAGGCCGGGGGTGTGGGCGATCGGGGTGCGAAAGTAGTGTGTCGGTGGAAGGATCAATGCCATTTGCGATGTCGAGGGAAGAGTATATGAAGAGAGCTGTTAGCCAGTAGCGTACTGAGACGCAGGCAATGTCAATGTTGGGGAAGTTGATAGGTGTTAAGTTGTTGACAATCTCAGGTGTATAGATAGCGTTCGCTTTGGTACTGACCCAAGCTTCCAGCTCGAAGTGCAGTGTCCAGCATCTTGCTATCGTGTATACTTGCAGCCCTTCTTTCTCTTGCTCGCTCATACATTGAAACTGTAACTTGTCCACGGCTTCCAAGAGCTCGGGTATGCCACAGAGGATATCGATCAGAATATCATCGGATGTCTTGATTCGTCCCTTCCAGGGTATTGTCTTCCACTTTTCCTCATTCAATATCGTTGGTTTTCTGGCGCGAGTAGCCGGCCCAAGTAGTCGATACCTTGCGTTGGTGAAGAGTAAATGTGCTACGTCGTTCTCCGCGAATATCTCAGGGCCACGACTGACAACCATGGCTAGTTCGCCTTCACAATGGCTGAGCCAGCTCTTCGCCTGGTTGGTCGTGTTTGGTTCCGCGCCGAACAACATGTCGAAGAGAGCCATGACCCGCGGTACAACAAGGAGCGACTCGCTACTCGCTCGAGCAGGGTACTGTAGAGCTACTGCCGTTTCCTTGAGAGCTTTACCGTACAATGTTCTTCCCTGCCGCGTAAGGTTTTCGTTGTTCGAAGTTATCCCAAGCTGTGTTATGCCGACTGCCAAAGCAGCCATCTGTAGTGCTTTATCGCGCGTACTAAGCAGGGGCAACAAGTTCACAAACTCTTTTGCGTCTGTGTTGGTGGCGTGAACTACTCCCTGTGGATTGTACATACTCAGGAAAGTCGCAATGGTCTTTTCGCTGTAAGCAGATCTGGCAAGCCCATCTGGCAGCATGATTGGTACCAAAACAGGACGGGGTTTCCGTGTTCCTGGACCAGATGCAGGATTTACCTGCACAATTTCCATGGTGTGCCGATGTGGCTGTTCGGGAGATCTTGCAGTGGTCGCATGTCGTCCTACTTTGGGTATAGGACGGGGAGACCCGCCTCCGGTTTGGTAGATGAATATGCGATCCGAATCGTAGCCTCCGCATGTGATGCCGCGTTCCTTGCACTGACCGCACTCGGGCTGGGCCAAATCGCACTGGCATACATCAGCCTCTCATCCTCAGGTGTTCTCCACAGATGCTCCCACTTACACCCTTCTTTCTTTTCCGGCATGTCACACAGCCTTTGGAGCGTCCTGGAACTCCCACCATCTCGGTAGATTATAACAAGCGCATACACGATGGATTTCGTACGCTACCGCTGTCGTTCAGCGCAGAATACTCCCTTTATGGACACACATCGTCTGCCTGCAAGCGGAACGGTGAAGCACGAAGTATAGTGTTGTAGGGCTAGGAATCGGGCTTAGAGTCTAGATAGTGATTGGTGCGCATTCGTCTATGACGATACCGTTAACATTTGGCAAGCTTGGAAGGTGGCTTGTACAAGGTGTCCAGTAGAGTCAGCGCAGTGCGACCAATGAATGTCATCCGCGCGTTGCCTCTTTTGGTTGATTCTGCGACAATTCTCGCTACAGCAGTTTGGGTTAGCTTTCAACGCCGATTGATCAAAGTAAAGCTTTGAAGTTGCAGCTGCGTCCTGTCCACATCCTGTAAAGCAGATTGAAGTGACCTCGCGCTGGTTTGACCGCCACTACGATCGAACTGTAGCCTAATAGATCGGCCAGGGTGGCTCCTCTGTCGCATAGACAACTCTGTGCGGGTTCATTGCGCGCGCACTGGCAACCTACTGCTGACATGGTGCCTAATAATGGCTTCTTTTGCATACTGGCGCAAAATCTTCTCAATCCAGTATGAGAATGAATACTAGAATTGATGTTATAACATGCGACCATCTCTCTTTCGAAGATGGCGCACACTCCAGCAACCATCATCGTCTACACTGTACCTGACCAGTCTCTCACACTTAAACTAAGGAACCATTGTCCTTGAGACTCAAGCATCTCATACCACTATGGTTGCGTCACCACCATCAACAGGCGCTTTCGCCAGACACGTTATGAACCCACTTGGTTTCACAAAAGCCTATAACTTCTGGCTGTATGTCATCTTCGGCGGCGCATTCGTAGGCTGTACGTCTCCTCGTATCCCACATTCTATACAAATCCCTGATACAATTGATAGTCGCCCTAGCCCGTCTTTCCTACCTCGACTTCTCCAGAAACTTCTGTCCAGCGGATGGTCCCAGCCAGAGCGGAAATAGCGCAGCACCAGGAGAATGCTACTACTACCTCAACTTTAGCCAGTACAAGATCGGCATCTTGCTGCATCTCGCTGGTGTGCTGCCTGCCAGTCTGATTGCAGTAGTACAATTCACTCCCTTTATCCGTCGGCGCTGGATTATCGTACACCGCATCGGTGGTTACGCTGCGCTCCTCCTCTACCTCGTGGGACTTGTTGGCGCACTGATGATTGCACGTCATGCATTTGGTGGTGGCCTGGATGTACAAAGCTTCATCGGTGTTCTGGGCTTCGGTTCGTTGGGCTGCTTCATCATCAGCTACATCAACGTCAAGCGCCTCCAGATCGAGCAACACCGTGCGTGGATGCTGAGAGGCTGGTTCTACGCCGGTACCATCATTACAAGTCGCCTTGTCGTCATCATCGCTGCCAATATAATCGCCTCGCAAGGCTACTACATCGTTTGGACCTGCGCAAAGATTGCAGCAACCAATTCCGATGATGTAGACCTTGCAACTTCATACCCAACCTGCGCATCTTTCGTCAACGGTACAGATCCCGAGGCGGTGTCAAGCGTTGCGGCAACTTTTGGTGTCGGGGATACGGCAAACACTGGCGCGGCTCTGAATGTCGTCTTCGGTATGGCGTTGTGGGTGTCGCTTGCGCTACATGCCTTTGGTGTAGAGGTCTACTTACACCTTACACCAAAAGAAGCGCAAAGGTTGAGGCAAATCAGCTACCAAAGGCAGTTGGAAGCAGGTTTGTGCAATCCTGGTTCCGCAGGTCTTACCGCGGATCGCCTGGGGGATGCAGAGAAATGGGTTCCAGAAACACCCAAGAAAGATAGTACGAGTACGCCAACGGCCCAATCGACCGAATCTGATACCACAGCAGAGACCAGTTAGAAGCGCATGATATGAGTTCGGTGTTTTTGCATAGCATGCGGCGTTTTGACTTTGGAGGAAGATTAAGCATATGGGTGCGAGTCATTAGACTAGTCCTTGAAGAGAATTATTAGGTTGTAATTCAGGAATCGCATTTCAATACTCTACCAAATACTCCGCTAATAGTGCCATTAATTCGTTAGTCGTGATCTCTAGTGATCAAGCATCATCATTCATCCAGACTGCTCACCATGGCAGCTGAAGAGGAGTAGACAGCTTGTTCTTAGGTCCCAGCACGGGCTCGGCAGTACCAATATCACTGGAATCACGATTAACTCACTGCGTTGAATCTGAATTGGATGGAAACCCACCCAGGTCCTCTTGGAGCCCAATACTGTCCAGTATGACTAATATCGAACGATTCAATCCATTCGACAAGCGACTGCGCAGCGACTTCCGGTGTGACTGCACCCCCTTCGTCCCAGAACTTGTCAAAGCCCACGTTACGGGTCATTTCCGTCCTCATGAAGCCTGGATGCACGGTGACTATTGCAATGCCACGGTCCCTCAAGTCTAAGCTTAACAGTTTCGCGCACATGTTGAGCGCAGCTTTGCTGGCATGGTGGCCGTAATTACCGCCACCCTCCGACTCGTGTCTGAGCGTAATACTGCCGCTCTCTGAGGAGACGAAGACTATCTTGGACCGATCATTGAGAAGTGTGCTGTTGTAGTTGGCGAGTGCGGTGACGAGGACGGTGGGACCGATGGCGCATATTGTATACATGCGCTGTTGAGCGGAAAAGGATGGCTCCTTAAGCGACTCAGTTGCAAAATAGCCTGCTGTTATGATGACAATGTCCAGGTGTGATATGTTGTGTGATTCAAGAAAGTGAACGAGATCGCTGCCGGCATGTGGAGATTCGAGGTCGACATTTGGAATGTAAGTGATATTGTTTGCTTTGGAAAGTCAGCCGATCTGTTGCAAAATTGGAGCAAAAGGAGGCTTCGCTCACTACTCTCTGGAGGTTCTGACGTCCTTGCGGTTGCCAGAACATGGTTGTTTGCGTCTGCTGCATAGGTTTTTACGATGCTCGCACCAAGGCCGCGAGTAGCTCCTACAACGAGTATGGTAGGCATGTCAGCGGTAGAGATAAGAGAACGATTGTTCGACGAGTGTCAATAGTAGCTCAGGAAGAGAAGATGCAAGGCTCCAGGTGAAGCATCCCGATGACGTCGCACGCGCTTAGGATTGCGAGATTGCGATAAGATAAGGACGCGTCGCGTCTGGAAAGAACACTCACCTTGCAGTCTCCCCCACTTTGAACTTTGGATGACCTGGCACGAATGTCTTCTCGTGATTCTGGGAGCTCGAATCAAATTCGTTGAAATGGTGTTATTGGGACGATCAATTTTACCTTCATCTGCGTTTTATGAGCAACCTTCTAGATGTGTGATATCGGCGACGGACTTGCACGACAAAACCATGTAAGAGTTGGTTCGAGTATACTGTATTTGCGAGAAATGGCAAAAATAATCATAGTGCAAACACGAATGACCAATGTTCGGATTCCATTTAGAAGAAGCTTTGCTCAACCCAAAACACCAATACCCAAAGCGACCAAGGTCAAAGGGCTTGCAACATAAGGGAATATCAACATTCATGACCTAGTATTCGATATCAACGAGTGATGGTAAAAGTCATTACCTCCCAACGCACATACATGCCCTTGTGCGGTAGCTTTTCTTCGATATAAACTAAGGAATGAATAAGAAAGTGGATATTGGTAGGCTTGTCAAGATGCAACAATAAGAAAAAAGGTCAAGCTAGATGTCAGAATCATATCCGAAGGACTCAGTGAACGCCAGACCAGAAAATATAACTACAACACGAAGAAATGTTGATATGACTGTGCGAGTACACCGTTCGACAGGGGTTGTGTGATCATCACTGCATGCGTTTCCGCTTGCGCGCGTCATCCGGTTCATCTTCATCCGTGCGCTCCGCAGTTTCGGCAGGATTGAGTAGCGAGTGCACATTGGACGCCATACTGGATCGTCGAGTAGGTGGTCCAGGCGTGTCGATGCCTTTAAAAGGGTACCTAGCTCCAGGTAGTGTCCACCCACTGTCTGCACTTAATGTCGATGGCATGTTGTCACTTGACAGTGGAGGAGTACCGTGTCTTGATGATGTTTGCCGTGGACCGCGGGGTAGTTGATAGGATTCTAATGCATCACGGAGCTGCTGGTCGCCGCCTCCGATAGGTGGGCGGTGCGGTGACGAGGGCCACTGTGTGGAGTTGTGGCCAGAAGCGTAGGGCGAGTGGACTGGAGCGCTGGGAGGTGGTTGCGGTTGCCAGCCATGTGTGCGGATATCTGCCGAGGTATGCCGCCTATATAGATTGTATGGTGGGGATGAGCTGCTTGGCAAGTTGCTCCCCGGGTTTGCAGCTCCCGGCTGCTGGACTGGTGGTGGTGGTGGAGGAGGTGGGGGTGGCTGATGTGAAACTGGAGTTCTGGCTGAAGATGGAGAGTAATTACCCGTGCCTATTGAACCGTACCGTCGTGGAGAAATTGCAAGATGCGCCGGAACCGGAGCCTTGTATGGAGCTTGCCGCGAAATACTCGCCAAGGATCCTCTTCGCGAGTCTATTAGATTGTCTTGTGGCATTTGCCGAGGTGAAAGAGGTGGGCCGTTGCTGGAGTCTACCTGCATAAAGTAGGGTTGGCGTGCTGAGAGGGGTGGTTCTTCTGGTGGCTCTAATGCTCGGAGCATGTCTGTTTGTCGAGCAATTTCACGTTGCATCATGGCAACTAGCGAGGTTAGTATGCGTGTTGCACAGACAAGGTTTAAGTATAGGCACGTACCATCCCTGTGAATTGGATTTTCCGGGTCCGGTACCATCTGCATGATCAGAGTTGCGAGGTCCTGATTCCACTGTATGATATATTAGCTGCTGTAGATCAGGCTGAGAAAACCGACGTACTTGGTGGCATTTCATCATGCCCTCGGCCAGAACCGAGCTCCTTTGATTGAGGTAAGCACATGTGTCTTCTGACCGCTGCATGCGCGCATGCATGTCGTAGAGGCTATGCTCGAGATTCTGGAGGCGTGACTCTGTGGGATCCGGCATTGGCTCGACTGGCTGACCAGCTGGTGGTCCAGTAGGGAGCTTGGGTGCGGAGAAGGAGTCGCGATGGATGAGGGCGTGTCTCGACGCACGTCGCTTGATCTCTCGTAGACCGACTAGATCGCCGCGTTTGAAGTTTCCATTGCCATGCTTGAACTCCCACAGCGGTGTGTCTGGAGATCCCGTGTGGAATACGTCACTCACTGCGGTATGCCGTCAGCATGTTATACATAGTATAGCACAGAGCACTTGGACACGCACCTTTATGGAAACCGTACATGTTCAATTGGCGGACAAAAGAGGAAATGTTGGTATGCTTGAAATAGGACCTGGGGTACGTTAGTTGGAGAGGTTGGAAAAGTCATAGTTCCAGATGAACATACGACAGCACTTTTGAGAACTCGCTAGAGGGCGACATGACGAAGCTCTCGTTGGTGCTCGCCCAAGAGATGAGGTGCTGGATGCTCTGGTCTTCGAGCATGCTGTGTCGCGTTAGTGTCGCATCACTTGCGTACTGTTGCGGCACACCCACTTGTATAGCTTGTGTATGAAGGCCGTCTGGACGACCTTGGGCTGTTGTGCAGCAGCTGCTGCGCCCACGGCAGGCGCGGCGTTGCCGTTGGGCGATGTGTTCCCCGAGTCCCCATTTCCTTCTCTTTGCGACTGGGACTGGAATGAACTTGTGCCATTGCGATCAGACGGCGGGCCCATTGTCGACGAGGCGGGTGTGATGTCCATGGGATCTCGGGGCGGCGCAAGCGTCGAGCCGGAGGAAGGGAGGATGGGTATCGACTTGTGAAGGTTGGGATTGTGAGGGTCGGCGGCGAAGGGGCTTCGGCGGGCCTCTGCGACAGAAGCCATGGCGTTGGCGTCAAATGTGGAGAGCAGACGCAGTGTTGAGATGTTGGGCTGCTAGAGCACAAGCCTTGAGATGGGCAGGCCTGCTGGGGAAACCCCTTGATATGTTTGGACCGGGTGCGATGGATGCAAAGGTTCAGAAGTGTCTCGAAAAATGCAAAAGCTCTATGGATGCAGGGTCCGGATTTGCGGTGGCCGCGAACGTGGTGAGGCGGAGAAGGTGCGGAGGAGCATGCGATATGTGTGGCCGACGTCGCCGCAGACGCTTCGACTCGGCGGGCGCGCTTCCTGGAAGCTTTTTAGTCTTGGGGATTTCTTCTAGCGCCTGCGCGAACCGTAGAAATTTGGTTCCAGAAAGGCCGGGATGGCAGACGGTGCGAGTGGTCCTTTGTCGGATCGGGAGCGGCCGTAGCTGTGGAATAGGAGCTCGCGTGAAGGCCGACGAGGGGGTCCAAGCGTTCTTCTACGACGGTTGACACGCTTTTCCAGGGCACAATTCCATATGCCGTGTTTGAGCGCAGCTGGGCTGAGGATGGTGAATGGCTTGGCGGGGATGAGGAGAAGACAAGGTGGTGGGAAGGATTGCGAGGCGCGGCGAGATGTGCGGTCGTGTCGCAAAACTGGCAATGGAAAGGAGGTCCAGACACGGAAGCAGTCGAGGGCGGAACGGTAGCGCTGCCGAAGGGGAATTATGGGGGACCGATGATGTTGGAGCGTGCTGCGGGAGCATCTGAAGGCCTTTGCGCAACAAGAACGGAGAGAGAGCCAAGTGTCATCCAGCGCTGAGGGCGGGCGGCGGGCACATGGTCATATTCATCTATCTATATCTATGCCAGCGCCAGACCTCTAGACACACCAGCGCCGGGTGACAGTCTGGTAAAGCAGTCCAAGGGCCGCTGTCCGGATTTGCTACCGTTGTAGGGCAGTCGGCATGCAGCTCGCGGCAAAGACTGGCGTCCATGTCGTGGTTGCATGCGTCCAAGACCCCTGTTGTCGGCCAGCTGCAGGTCGAGACACTGAAACATCGCTCGACCATAATAACCCACCGCTAATATCACTATAACGCGAACTGTTTCTGCTGCGGGGTCAGTGTATAATGCGGCTGATATGCCTATCCTCACACCCTGTCCCCGTGATGCGGATGCCCATGGTCGCACAGACTGGAATACGGGCACCATCGCCATACTTGCCACTCCGACTGACTCCCATGCACAGGGTCAAACATTGCTAGTCGACTCGCGACCATCAACGCCTTTCTCGGCTTTGGAACCGGGTCCAGGGTCCGCAGGATTGGCTAGCTTGCCTACCCGCACAGACGTTCTGACGGACGTCAACCACCAAACCCATATCCAGTCAGCACTCGACCGACTTTCCCCAGGCCACTCTGAGAACGTTGGCGCTACCCCAGAACTACTGCTCGTCTGTACCACACAAAGCTTGTGATTACACGACTCGGGTCGCGGGTTGCTATCGATAGCTCTGCCTGTTCGTCGCTCCTTGATCCTCAGTAGAACCAACATGACCACCGACTTCATCAACGCGTTTCGGCGCCTTCAGGTACACGAGAGAGGCCAGGCACTTCAGAATCTAACAGCAGAGCTATCGCCTTATGAGTGGAGAGCACTCCATGCCACGACCAGTAGTCGCACCTTTCAATTCGACGTCATCGGTAGTTTGCCACTTGAGCTAGTCGCTCAGATATTTTGTCACTTGGACCCTGCTACTCCATATCGCTTGCAAAGTGTCTCGAGACGATGGAATGTTATCCTCCGGGGCCTACATGTCCTCAAAGCAAGCCTCAATCAGTGGTATCAAAGCACTGTTGATCTTCAAAATGCCGATTACGCTCAGTGTAAAAGGAAAGCTCGCAGTATACATGCCGTTCGCACTGGGAAGCCTAGTCATGTCTACAAAATCAGACCCGATGGCAGAATATTCGATCCCAGTCTGAGAGGCAACAATCTCAGTTGGCTACACAATCTCGATGACAGGCGGCGGCCACATTTCGCCTGCGTGCTCGACCTGGATCAATGGGATCTTCGCATGCTGGGCGGGCAAGCTCGTGAAACAATCCAGCACGTTTTCACATCTAGTGAAATCGTCGTGCTGACCACATTTGCAAACATCTGTTACGTTCACGAACTGCAGGGCAAGCAAGACTGCAAAAGGTTTAGAGTACCAAACAGTAACTACTTCGAGAATGTTGCCTGTCGTGGACGCACTGTCGCATGTGTTGCCTCTCTCAACAATTACACATCCGTATACATCTGGGAGTATGATTCGTGTCGTGGGAGGTCGTTTGAGATCAGACATGAGCTGGGGACCATGTTCCTCGACTCAAACCCGGAGTAAGTGGCTTCCCACCTATCCGGAGCATTAGCCGTGCTCCTTTCTCCAACAACAACATCTACGCGATGGTCTTAGCCAGGTTGGGTTGTAATACTGACCCGCATTCAGTAGAATCAATTCACGCCTTCTAGCTCCTCTTATACAGCCCAAGACCCAAACGATTGTCATATTTACCGATGCCTCACGTGCTACTACACGCCCTCACGACCAACAGCATTTCGCGTTCAGTCGGTACACATATGGTGGAGAGTGCATCAGTACGCATTATCCAAGCCTCCCTGGTATTTCTGACATCATGCCATGGCCAGTCATCAACAACTGGGTTCCAGTAGATTACAAAAATTCTGTCTTCGCAATACACATACAGGAACAAAACGGAGCTGACACATCGTCATCAGTCATGCTACTGTTCAACGAGGAGGATAACGACTTGAGTGCTTGGCAGGGTTCAAGATTGCATAACGGTGGTTCGATGGCTTTGTGGAGAGACACTTGTTATGGTGCCCCGTGGGAGGAGAAGGCTGAGCAGCCAGATATTATTGCCCACATGGGTACCAGCGACGCCAGACGCTACACGCCCATTGTCTCAAAGCCAATAGACGAATTAATGGGTGCTATCCGAGGGGATATCCGCCCGCACATCATGATGAGCGAAAGGTACGTTGTCCGGTCTGACATCAATTGCCTGTATCTAGCCTGTTTCCATGATGGCGATCAGGGCAAGTGGCCGAAGAAGAGTGAATCATTCTTCGATAGAGGGGAACTTGAGTTGTTGAAAACAATAGAGATTTAATCTGCACCCTAGTCTTTCTGCAATGAATCAAGCACAATCGTAGATCTGCTGCTGACGATTTCACACACCAAGACGTGCATGTGAATCATCGAACCACGCGCCCTCTGATTGGCCCATGAGAAGATTGCGGGGCACAGCACACCCCACCATAGATTTTCGGCGTACGCCGCTCTAGCCTTGCCTACTCAAGTAGGTAACCATTTCGACTCTGCCGCGGCAGACAGACTTTTTTTTGCAAAAACAATTCTACTCCCCCATTCTACTCAAATACCACGTTTTACACTTGAGAACCGTAGTTGAAAATACTGTCGCGAAAATGGTCGAGAAGGTCTACGTCACATATAACCAGGTATGTACATGATTCATCGTTACACGTGCGACCAGACACCCCGCGCACCCACGCGTATGCAGTATGTTTGTGTTGCTGCAACGAGTCTTCCGACATATGATGCAAGAGCTCGCATCGATTCTATGCAGTCATTGGAGGAACCAGATCAAGAGACTCGGCCTGCCTCCCCGCCTATGCGATCACGAACTTCGAGCCCTTGCGCAACGCCCAGTAAACAAAATATGCGCAACATAGCTGACAGCCCCCTCCACCACACAGGTCCACAAGCTCTGCCAAGAGGCAGCAGACCGAATTCTCGATGAATTCAAGCCCAACCTCATGATCGCCATTGGCGGTGGTGGTTACGTCCCTGCGCGTATTCTCCGGTACCTACACCTCGACACCCCACAACCAGAGAGACGTCGACTAACAACCCCCCTAGTTCCTTCCTCAAGAAGCCCGGCAGCCCCAACATCCCCATCCAAGCCATCGGCCTCTCCCTCTACGAACAGCTCGACTCCAGCGCCGACTCCGAGGTCGAAATCCCCGGCACAAAAGTAACACGAACACAATGGCTAGACCTCTCCTCCCTCGAGATGGCCAACCTAATCGGCAAGAACGTACTCATCGTCGACGAAGTAGACGACACGCGTACAACGCTCGAATACGCTGTCCGCGAGTTGGAAAAGGATGTCGAGGCCGCAGTCAAGAAGCTGGGGCGTGAGGGCGAAAAGACCAACTTTTCAATCTTTGTGCTGCATAACAAGGACAAGGCGAAGAAGGGTCAGCTGCCTCAGGACATTCTCAAGGGCAGGTATTGTGCCGCAAGGACCGTGGGCGATGTTTGGATCAACTATCCTTGGGAGGCTACGTACGTTCTCTCTCTCTCTCTCTCTCTCTCTTATTTCGTAACGATTGCGGCTAAATACTGACTATGCTTTTAGTGACATTGACGAGCATGACCGTCATTCGAGGGAGCAGGAGAGCAAGCAATAGATGTCTGTGTTGAACAACGATATGGGATAACGACGGGAAAAGCATGATGACATTTAGGCATTCGATCGAGCATTTACGGATGGGATACACTGGAGTTATCTGGAATAAAGGATCGGAAATGGGTTGGATAGAAACAACAGCACCAAATCCAACGAGTCACACCATGATCTATTCCAATCATCACAAAATAACAACCAGCAGATGTGACAAACGGGTATATTAACGGCGAACGAACTGGGTATATTGATTGACTGATGAGGGTCATAACATCGTAATCATTACCCAACAAAACGTCCATCCGATGCCATATGCTTTGCCATGACAGCCTTTCTCCATCCTTCTACTTTCTACAATCTCTCCATCTCAACTCGCCCACACAAAGGGTATATCGTGGTTATTATACAAGAAAGAAACAAGTGATTCAAAATGCCCCAGTAAGCCCCCCCTGTTTTTAGTTAACGCCGGATGATGAAAAACGCTGCAAACGCTTATACAAGTATGAAAAGCGCGGTCGACGACGTTGGACTCGTGCTAAACGTCTAGTTGGTTGTGTTTGGAACGGGCGAGAGAAGTCTTGCTTCACTTTATGCCCATTTTGCGGAACTTGCGGGATGCACGACGGCGTAGACCGTTCATGCCCATAGCCTTCCTGAGGCTATCCCTGTCTCCGTCTTCTTCATCCTCCTGTGGTACGGCGAGCAATCTTCGACCGTTCGTGTTCTTTACAGAAGTTTGGTGCGCCATAATGTTCTGTTCACGCCAGAACATGCGCTTTTGGTCAATGACATTCTGGGACAAATTCCCGAACCCCTTCTTTACGAACGCCAGGTCGTGCAATATGTTGGGGTCAAGGCAGCGCCTGGGTAGCGTCTGCACTGCCATGAAAATCTCGCCATCACCGGGACGGTATTTCTTGATTTCTGGTTCACCAAGCTTGAAGATGGCAAGAGCGTAGCGGTAGAGGGCACGGGGTCCCTCATAGAGAAAGGCGTCCCAAACGCGAAGTACGGTCTCGATCGGCAGTACACCCACGAAGATGCTCATGAACCAAGAAGTGCAAGAGAGGGCGACTGTCGGTTGTCGTTGGAACTTCGAGTTGGGATGAGCGTTCGAGCCGGCGCCGCTGTTGATGAGATCGGTGTCGTTGATTGAAGCCCACACCTTTGGCAGGTAATCCTTGATCAACATCATAAGAACATTGACTTCTGTGTTGGCGAGGCTGCGAGCATGAGCACCAGGGAGATGATTTTGCGTGATGATTGTAAGAAGGATGAAAACCTTCTCCTTGTCCTGCTTGAGGAACAACAGAAGAAGACCAGCAATGAAGTTGAGAGACTGGCAGTAACCGATGTTAGGGTTGTTCAGGGCAAAGCAAGAGAGTACCTCGCGCAGGTCTTGGATCAATGCCGGCTCGTCGTCGGATTCGCCGTCGAGTAGATCAGTTGCTGGTTCCGGGCGGAAGTGGATGTTGTCGGGGAACGTTCTGTCAAGATCTCGTTCAATAGCATCCTTGTCGTCCTTGTTGAGCTCGTCTTGGTTGACGCGAGCTACTAGAGACTTGTACAGGCCGACATTCTCTTTTTGTGTAATCATGTGCTGACCACCAGAATAGAACCACCACATTGCACCTCTCCACTCCGGGGGGTATCCTTTACGAGCATAGCGTTTGACCTTTTCGCACATCTCCGGAAACCTGGTTGGCTCATTTGTTGACAAACCTTGCTTGGCCATTAGGGAGATCCATTTGCCTCTGCGGCGGGAGATGTGCTCTTCGTACTTGGAAGCCCATGCGTTGTACTCTTGAACATTGATCTTATCGGAAGCCTTCTTGAATCCATAGCGGTCTCTCTCTACAGGGGCGGCCGTCTTCCGCAGGCCAGGTGTTACTACGGTCGTGATGTGCTGGTTGGGAGGCGCCAACGTAGGGCCTCTCGGAGTCTCAGGCTTGCTCTTGGTCGTTGTAAGTTGAGACATCATGCCAAGATCGAACAACGCGCTCTTCCGGTCGAACACGCTCGTAGAAGCGCGACGGGGAATCGCCTCGTCCTCATCCAGCTCGGGGAGCGGCTCAGATCTTTGCATAGGCGGAGATTGAGGATTGTGGGAACTAGCCAGGGATTCATTGGAAAAGGTACGCGGAACGCTTGGTCTTTTGCTATGACGCTTGGAGTAGGCTTCAATATTAGCCCAATCCTGGCGTGAAAGTCGAGATCGGCTCGGCGGCAATTGTGGAAGTCCGGATATATCACGGCGAATGTGATCGAGCTGTGAGCGGCTGCCATTGGATTTCCTTAAGTGGTGTCCCTTGGTTTCCGTGGTCCTGAGTGCCAGAGCTTGCAGTGTAACGGACACACGCCTAGGTGCTTCTTTACTTGTCCGTTTTACTGTGCCTGACTGCCTCTTTTTGGACTGCTGCACTACAGCTTGGATCGTTCGTGGTGTGTATGCGGCCTGGAATGGACTGATTTGTACCGAGGGCAATAGTTCGATACGCAACGCCTTCCGCTCGGTCGGATCCGCGTTGTATCCCTCATCCAGATCTGATCCAGAAGGTGGTCGAATGGTCAACAGCTCCTTCGAGTCCGCATGAGGTCCTAGTCTACCGTGCATTGACAAGCGTGGCCGGTCATCCCATTGCTTTAGGCTCTCGTTCGATTGGAAGGAATCTAATGAATCAAAATCGCGAGATGGCGTCTGCGATAGCTCAGGAGGCTCCAAGTCAAGACCTGCTGGCGAAGAGCTCTGCAAGTCTCGTTCACCCTGCTCGATGATAGGACTGCGCTCTTCATCCTCCTCGTCGTAGTAGTAGGAATCCAGCACGTCGCCGACAGGGTCTACGTATTCATCTTCCTCGGCGATTTCGGAAGTCTGGACAGTCTCTGGTGAGCCGTCACGGTCCCGAAGCCGATCTCTTGATGGATCTCTAGAGTAGAGGCTATTTTGCCGATCACTGGCAATGGAGCTCCGTGCGGTGGCAATACTGCTTCTTTCGGTACCGCTGGTTTCCAGTATACTCGAAGAAGCATTGGTCCACCCGGACCTGAAACTGGCTCGTGGCTCTTCGCCACGAAAAGGTCGAGGTGGGGGAGGGTAGTAATCGTTATGAGCCCAATTGGGGGCGCCTCTGTTTGGCTTGTAGGTGCCAGACAGATTAGCACGTCCGGTGCCTCCATATTGCGCGTAGTCTGGGATAGATGTTGCTGATCTTAGAGGAGGAGTGGGCTGGAAAGACTGCTGCGAAGAGCTTGTCATTCCGCGAGGCCTGAAGGGTGAAGCTGGTGATCCAGGTAGATCCTCGGTGGAGGAGTCCCATGATGGCCCGGTTGAGTTGACAGGATTGCTGGCCAGAGGATTGAAAATAGCGCGAAGATCAGGCGAACGTGGGCCGCTGTCCTGGCGAGCCATTGCAGGAGCTATTATTGGAGACATTGGGCCCTGTCCCATTCCAGCTTGGAAGTCGTTGAGAGGGGGAGGTACAGCGGCATGGCGAAGGAGGGAAGGAGCTCGCTGGCGTTGGGTGAACTTGGGGGAAGGCAGGCCCGCAAGCGGAAGGGTCGGGCTGTCTGCAGGCGACGAGCTGTAGGCGGGGCGCTCGTGTGGTGGCGTGTCTGTTGTGTCCATTTGAAGCTGAGCTGGGTGCTTGGACCGATGTGATCCAAATCCCCTCTTCGCTGCATATGGGACCTGTGGCTGTGGAGACGTCGGAGGCGTGTATTCCGTGGGTGATTGGTAGGGAGCGTATGGCTCGGGGCTCCTGTCAGCACCAGCTACTGGCGAGACGCCTGTAGCGACACGTAGAAGAGCGTCGGCCATTGTGTGGTGAAGGGGTGCAGACGTGGTGTAGGTAGGTCAGCGAAACGGGCGCTCATTCGACCGGAGAACAGGACAGCTCGGATTTGGTGATTCGCGGTAACATTCTCGGGTGCGGTTGGCAGGCTTGGAAGCGAGAGAATGGTGGTTATCGTGAAACGGCGTGGGTTAGTGGAGAGCCTGTGGAGAGCCTGCTCTGGGGGCGTGGCGGCGGCGGCGGCGGCGTCGTAGGCAAACAAAAGCAGTTGTGCTGGTGAATGGGGAAAGCGAAAGAATGAGGTTGGGTACAAAGGATAAGGAACGTGATGTGCCGCACTGGCGCGGGTGCAATCAGACGGTGGTGAGGAGATGAGTGCGGCCAAAGTGTAGCAGGAAAGTCTCCTTCAGCTACAGCGCCTGGATCCGTCCGTTACTGACTCTCTGCCAAGACGCGGCGCTTCCCTCATCCCCGATTCCTGTAGCCTGGGAGGTCGCGGGCCGGTAGGAGCTTGGTGGACCTCAGCGGGCGTGTCAGAGGAGTTCGTTACTTTGACATGCAACGGCACAAATTAGGAGAGTTGCATAAGCGCTGCAACAGGTACCGACCGACCGCAGCTTCGCGAGATTGACGCGCTCCGGGCCAATCAGCTGGGGAGGGGCTATTGGAACACGGATATTTGGGGGCGCGGACATGACAGCAATTACCAGGCAATGCACCGTCTACAAAATTATCTGCTCTGTACGCTTCATGGCGAGAAGGACTCGCAGCACTCAGGCCGGCTCACTCGGATTACATGATGCACTATTTGCTTTGCTGGAACAATGAGGCGCGTGCCCACACGCTTTGTTGCGCCTGACTCGTTAGCACAGCGCCCTTGGTCCTGCACTCGCAGCCTCCGAGCTCCTCACGCAAAGGGAACAAACTTGGATAGTCGGCCTGCCTAGGACGCAGCAATCTCAGATAGGAAGTGCACTAGACGGTAGAAGCCTTTCTCGGACTTCGAGAAGGAAATTTTCAGGTCCCCCCCTGGTCTTATGCTGCGGCTCGCTTCAGAGAGCACTGGCATGGGAGATTTGAACATGACGACATGTCGCGATTGTACTCATCTTATTTGGCGAACCCGAGTAAGTCTACCCTGCATTAATCGCCCGATGCCTAGCTAAGTTGTGGGTGCATCGCGATCTGCAAAACATTGTATGCTTCTTCGCCCACACCGGTCAACAAGGGTTCCGTCCGCATGCAAATTTCGCCGAACGCCAGAGATGCAAAATGAACATGTATCCGTCAAGTACTGTGCTGCCCAAACCGATGCCTCCATCCGCCTGGCCGGTAGAGGGCCCGTGTGACCCCTCACTTGGCGTAGCGCTTGACCCAATCCTTTACGTTCTTCTCAAACTCCTTGCGGTTCTCGCGGTATTCGTTGGCGATGGAGGGCTCAATCGCGTCGTCCGGGTTGGGCTCGATCAGGAGCGTCTGGATCAGGCGCAGTACGGAGACGACCTTGTTTGGCGGCTTCCACTCGTCAGCACGCAGCAGACCCAGGCACATGGACCCCTTGTCGTCGTTGCTGACGTTGGGATGGTAGATCTTGGTCCGGAAGCTGACAACGGGTGGCTTGAAGGGGTATTCGGTTGGGAAGGTGATCTCGAGCTTGAAGTGGCCGCCCTGCATTGTAGCTGTTAGCAGGCGCTACCGACGACGCACGGAAGGCGCATGGATCAAACAATCCAACAACATACAGCGTAGGCCGACTGGGCTGGGCCATCCATCAACACTTCCCATTTGGTCATGTTCTGCTCGTCGAAGTTGATCTTCATACCGGGCGGTGTGTCCGCCATGCACTCGCCGTACTCCTGCGGGCCTGTTAGTATGATTGCTTTCTGCGCCAGCATGTATATTGCCTTGCCTTCATGATACGCTTCTTCGCTCCAGTGCTCATGATTGCGGTTGGTTAGTGTGGTGGTGTGTTAGGTTTGGTTGAGTTTGGTTGAGTTTGGTTGAGTCTCGTGCGAGACTATGTGCTGCAATGTAGTAGGCGGTGTAGTTGAAATAAGTAGCTCGGAGCAAGCGCGAGCTGTGTAGGTAAGGAAGAGCGACGATTAATAATAGAATGCAAGACCTTCACTCTTCTCGTAGGTAGGCGGGATGCAGTGGCAGGTGATGGACGTGAAAAGAGGGTTGTCGATGTGGGGAAAGTTGCCTATGGATGACGAGGGACCTTGGATCCTTAGTCAAAGCTCCGCACGCGGCCCAGAAGACGATCGCCTTCACACGTTCTGGCAACAGGGACACGCTAGAATTCACACGTTGTTCGTTCCATCGCCGTCTCTTCTTGTCTGCAACATGTTGTACACTCCGCTCGAGTGTGGGAGAACACAACGACGTCATAACATGACCAGGAAACAGCGGGTTCGGGACTTCGCGCTTCCTTTGCGAGCACCGAACATCAAGGTGCATCCCCGTCACCATATCTTATCAAGATTCCCATGTCGTTATTCCACACTTGTATCTCGAGATTCATCTAGAACACGTGGTTTTGACCAGTTGGCGGGCTAATGTGTTTCAGCTTGGACTTGACAACTGCTAGACGCTTGCGGCTGGCTTACTGACGGACTGCAAGGCGAAGACCGCGATAAGAACCGCGACACGTTTAGCAACTGTTGCAGTCCCTGAACACGTAGGCCACCGCATTTGCGCGCTTCACCACTAGGCATGGCGCATAAGCGCCGCGTTATAGTTCGGAGCTCCGAACTTACTTTCTGGGTGCTGTCTCTGGCGGGAAAAGTCTTCCTGAACCTAGACATAGGCGCAATGCAAGGCAAGACTGAAGGTTTGGTCACTCATCGCAGACGCTATCTTTGTGAGTCACATAAACCGCCCAACACTCAAGGTCACGTTACACCGCGATAGAGACGCGACGCGCACACCCCAAACGGTCCGACCAAAAAAACGGCTTTATTTCCAAACCTCAGTTCCCAGTCCATGTTAGCTTTTTTTTTCTGCGCCTCGATTCTACATGGCCAGGTCCAACACGTCATATCACGTCTTGTTCATGGCTCGCTTACTGTCAATCCTCAGAGGGCCAGCCACATTCCATGGTCTTCCATGTTTTGCAAGGCCATCTAATGAGGAGTTGCAAACAATGACGCCTCGCAGCCTGATATCTGCTGCATCTCATCATGCAGCAATTGGCGAATAGCAGTACGAGTCTGCATGCTACACAGCCCAACCTGCCAGCGCTAGTTGTCCAGGCTACAGGGGCATCGACTTGGCATTGCCGGTATTTAACAAGCTGCGACCCCACAACTTCAACCTTACGCCTCACGACAAGCTTGAGTTCGACAACCAAAGCGTGCTTTATCTTCACCACCAGTGTTGGTAAACTCGCTAAGCTCTTCGGATTTTCAACGACTTTTCTCTCCCGAAAGGTTTGCGAAATCTGAGAGTTTCCGGAGCTCCCATTTCTCTCACATGAACGCTGCGTCACACTAACCTGTCCACTCTTTACGAGAAATTCCCTCGCTCGCTACTTCGATCTCTCTCTTCGGTCAAAATGTTCGGCAAACGCTCTTTCGCTAGTTCGAAGGAAAAAGACCGTTCAGGCAAGATCACTAAGCAGCCGAAGAGATCGTTCCGCGATGCGTCCAAGCAGAAGGTCATGGTCGAGAAGCTGGATGCGCGCAAGGACAGTCCAATGATGGATGGTGGTTCACCTGCACTCACCTCCTCTATTGTGACAGTGATCGTTGGTTCCGACCAGCGACTGTTCGCTGCGCACGAAGATGTCCTAAGTCACTCCCCGTATTTTGCTGAACTGCTGCGGGGCCAGTTCTTCGAATCCGCCAATCGCCGTATCGATCTGCCTACGGAGGAACCTGAGATCTTCAGTTGCATCCTCGAGTATCTGTACAAGGGCGACTATTACCCGCGCCTTGTCCAAGACAAGCGACGCCAGACCTGGATGCTCGAAGGTGCAATTGCCTCACCAGACCCAAACAAAACCGGCGACCGCGCAGTTGCCGTCGAGCCAACCTTTTTCTACTCCGGCGTAGGAGACGTCATTCTCCGCGACACAGCAGTATACTGTGCAGCTGATCGCTACGGCCTCGAAGAGCTCAAGAAGCTCTCTCTGCGCAAGCAGGGCCTGCAGAGCGGGATCGAGGTCGGAACCATCTTGCGCAGCGCACGCTACGCGTACGAGAACACGCCGGACAGCGACTCGCGGCTGCGCGCTCATTACCTCGCTCTGATCATCCGCAGTCGGAAAACTTTCAAGCGTAGTGGCACCATGCAGATGGAGATGGAGATGGGGGGAAAACTGTTCTTTGACCTATTCGTGGCTATGTGCAATCATGTCGATGATCTTGTGGACGCGAGGTACGCCTTGCGCTTCTCCTCCATTCAAACCCTCCCTGACAATATTCGCATACTGTGATGTTGACCTTGTACTGACAATCTTCTAGCGCCTCAACTCGCGGCACTCCCAGGACCATCTAAAGGCACAGATCGCACACCCACTTACCCGTCACTGTAACACCCGCAAACAAACACAACTCGCATACAACCCCCGGAGTACACACCAAGTTGGAAACCTTACCTTACTCCGCTCGCACACCCAAATTGCCGACCAGCGACAAAACGTGAAAACAACCAAAAACATTCGGCGTACCGTTGTATCATCTCTCCCAACTCATCTTATCTCTCTTGCTCGCTCTCTTTTACTAGTGGAGTTTGCTTACCCCCATCGCGTCCCCCTTGGCCCTTAATTCAACGACATCAACGAGCTCTTCCCCTCTCTGCTTGCAGAGAGAGTACACCACGACGAAACTGTGTTTCCTTTGTTTTGTGCTTTTAGGGAATCAAGGGTTTGTTGTAAGAACATAAAGGGAGAAAAAAAGGGGACATATATTTTTGGAAACATGGTGCTGCGTGGATTAGGAAGACATCGTGCTGAAGGACACCGCTCTCTGGTGGAGACGTGTTCGATGCGGTGACAGATTGATCGAGACCGCTTGGAAGGTTCAGACTGACTGTGGAGGATATCTTAGCGGTGGTGATAATGAGAAAACCCTTGGCCGCCGCTAAATTCTGTGTTGATGCCGACTTGATGTGATGTTTAAAATTGTCCATGTTTACCACTCTTCTCACCATGGAGTATCTTGCCTCTACGAACCCACCTCAAACGCACCATCAACCAACCCCCAAAACTCCTCGATAATCTCCTTCTGTCCCTCGCCCCCTCGCACAGCCAAATACCTCTGTCCCTCAACCTCCGGGTTCCAGTTCCCTGGGTTAGCATCAACCACCATACCCCCAGCTTCCTCCAGAATAATCCACCCAGCACAAACATCCCACGCCCAACATCCCGCCTCCCAATAGATATCCAATCCTCCACTTGCAACCCCACACAGATTCAGCGCGGCTGAGCCAAACGACCTCAATCCATGCACCATACCACCCCCATTCTCCTTTGTAGCTGCCAACTTCTTGAACGTCTCACTCTTGACCTTGAAATCATTCCCACTCCGATCACTCCCCCACTCCACAGCAACCAAACACGAATTCAGCGTCTCCAAAGGCGTTGGCGGTGATAATGGTAACTTGGTCGTCTGGTTCAGATACGCGCCTTGTCCCTTAATCGCAGAGTACAACGTTTGCGTGAAAGGGTTGTACACGATTCCTACCGTAGGCTTACGGTTTATCGCTAGACCGAGTGAGATGCTAACATAAGGGTAGCGGTGCACAAAGTTTGTTGTTCCGTCAATGGGATCGCAGATGAAGGTTGGTGCCGAGGTGAGCTTGTCGCCTGGTTTGTATGTTTCTTCGCCCATGAATTCGTAGTTTGGATATTTTTCGCGTAGCGACGTCGAAATGAGGTTCTCGACTGCGCGGTCCGTTTCTGTGACGAGGTCGACGGCTGCAAAATGGATTTTTAGTTAGTACGGGCCATTTTTTGATAGTCGGAGAGTCTACTCTGGCGAATTGTTACGTACAGTTCTTCTTCGACCCTGAGCCTTGTGTTGTGGGTTTTGCCGAGACGATGCGTTCGCCAGCTTGTTTGGCAATGGAGATCATGAAGTCGTGGACTTCTTGGAGGTTGACGTCTGCCATCTTGGATTGACGTTTGTCTTGGAGGTTTACTGTGGGATGGTTCAAGTTTCGATCTTGTGTTGGGGAATGTTGGAGCTGTGTTCGATAGCTTTCGAACGTCAGAAGCTACCTAACTGCCCCTCGGTGGGGCAGCGCCGGGAATCATGTATGCAGGGCCCTCCACGTGGGGAAAAGGCGGTTTTCAGCTGTGGACATCGCGAATCTCCACTTTGGCATCGTCTTGGAGCACTGGATTTTGGTCGAAGGATATGAGAATGGTAGATGGACGGTGGTCACGAGATGGTGTTAATAGATACGCACGAGTATTCAGCTTGAGAGTCAACATCACACCGCAACAAGACGACTACTTCATGCGGAGAGCAATGCTAACAATTGGTAAATTAGGACTAGGAGAAAGAAGTATAATTTAAACCTTTGAATTGACGAAGGAAGTATGCACTAAACCGATAGTATATAGTCCGACGATCTCTCCCCATGAATAGACAGATAGCGACCGTAGCTAACAAACCAAGGGAACACCAAACTCCAACCCATATCTACAACCAGCTGGGTCCTCCATCTCTATGTACATACTGACCTTCCTTCCCAAGTCTAAACCCTGTATCCAAGCCACCCGATAGTATTCGAATACACACTCAGATTGTCACTCCACTTTGCCTTGTCCACCCCATCAACCGTAACCATCCACTCACTACCCACCTCACTAAGCGCAAAGGCCTGCACACTGCTGTCACCCTCAATACTGAGGATCCGGCTTTGGCAGTTACGGAACCCATTTGGCGCGTCTGGACTCGAACATCCAACGTTGTAGTTGCGGAAGAAAGAGTACAAGCCGCCACCGTAGATGAGCACGTTCTTGGAGTTGAGAACGCGGAGGCCGTAGGCTGAGGCACCAGACGGGTATACCGGGTCGGAGTAGGCATCAGATCTGCCGTAGGGTTGGTTAGAAGCGTCGGGTGTGGGCATGTAGTATGGTGTTTCGGTTTGGATGAAGCCTGCGAAGATGTTCGATGCGCTGTTGAACTATCTGTCTGTTAGCTTTTGCTTATGTTGCCATGTGGCAGTATCAAGAGTGGCGGCTTACCTGGTACTGGTATAGCGCATGATGCTCGACGCCATTAGCCCATAGCCATACGTTCTGCGCTTCGACATGCAGTCCACGTCCAGTGAAGACGGAGATTTGGGTGGATCGTGCATCATCCATATCATGGTCTGCTGTCCAGAACCAGTTGTTCTCAAAGTAAGCTCCGTTCGCGCCCTTGGTAACGTGAACATTGGTGTGTGCAGCCATGCATTCCTGCTTGATGGATCCTACAGTAGAAGGGCACTGCGCAACCTGCAGGTTTGTACCTTTGGCACCTCCAATACGGGTATGCACATCCCAGAGACCGGAACCACGTTCGGTGTTGAGGTTGTATTGGATCACGATAGCTCCTGGAGTGGCGCCTTGGGTTTGCACAATCATGTCGGACCACTCGACGCGACCGCTCTCGCCAGGCTTGCCAATTTGCATAATGGGGACAGGTCTGTCTTTGTTGCCGAATGTGGCGCCTGAGCCCATAATAGAGGGAAAGGTCTCGCCAACCATTCGGGAACCAGGTGGAACGTAAATCGTTTGGGTGACCTTGTAGACGCCGTGTTCAAAGAACAGGACCTATCAGGATAGTAGAGTTAGTATTGGAACAAGAGAGAGTATGCAGTATCGAACTAACTACGTACCTTGTTTTGAGCAGCAGCTCTGGTGATGGCATCCTGTACAGCTCGGGTGTCGTCGGTACGACCATCACCTGTGGCTCCACTACCACGAGCACTGATGAAGTCACCAGTACCAAGATTTTCGTACTGTGGCTTCGACTTGGAATAGTACTTGCCGCCATCCAATAGACTTCCTGGTCGGGCGACAGGAGTGAAGGCTCCTTGGAACTTCTCCGGACCGTTCGCGTTGGGAGCGTACTTGTTGCCCTGACCCCAAGCTTGGATAGTGAGTGTCCCACCTGGGAGGACAGTGGCTCCGTTGCCTACAACAGCATTGGGCACGTTGTTGAGCCTAATGTTCTCAAGTATCAGCTGGCCGGCACCGATAGGTTTACTGTCCCTTCGCCATGCCATGTCGACAAATTTCTGACAGTTGGTGATCTCAGAGTCAATAATGACAACAGAGCCAACCTCAAGTTTATTGGCCGCCGCGCCGTTGCTCATCGAGAAGGCCGTTCCGCAGTCGCTAATCGAAAGACCGGAGTACAACCAGCCCCAGTCCCAGATCTGTGAGATACCGGTGACAGCCTTGGAGATCTTGACATTGCGCATAGTGAACTGCTGGTTTCCAATGTTCATACCATATAAACCACCCGAGATATCGAGGTCAGCCATGTGGCCACCAGACCCATTCTCAACGAAGATACCAGCATGCACCGAGTTTGATGCCTGGGTCATGCGGATCTTAACATTTTGGATAGTCGTAGCTTGCGAGGCAGGCCAGTGGATACCTTGGAAGCCATTGGTTGGTGCGACAGCAGTGCCATCGATGATCAAGTTACGGATTTGTCGTAGAAAGATGTTGGTCGATGTCCAGCCAGGGTTACCGTTGTTGCCATAAGGACTAGCGTCGATGAGAGCAAGAGCTTGGAGAGTAGGAGCAGCCTTTAGAACAGGGAGACCTCGAGGGTTACCGATAAGCTGTGTCATGTAGTAAAAGATGATAGGCTTGCCAATGAGGTAGGTTCCAGAGGGGATGTAGACCACGGCTGGTGAATCAGTGGCCGAGTCACACACACCGGGACCGCAACGGTTCCCGTCGGCAATAGCACGATTGATTGCATCGGAATCATCGGTGACACCATCGCCTATGAGATCGTCAGTGGCATGTTGGAACACGAAAAGCAAAGTGGCTCACCCTTTGCTCCATATTCCTTGACATTACGGAAGACTTTGTAAGCGCCGTTACTGTTGAAGGCGGCCCTTCCATTGCCAGAGAGGTCATTCAACCAGTATCCATCTGTGATAGCAGCAATGCCTTGGATGCTGCTTATGTTTGATGCAGGCTCAGTACTAATTGATACTTGTTGATCAGGGCGGGCTACAATGTGTCAGCGTTGAGGGGTTGTAAAGCGGGGGGAGGTGTTTATTTACATATAGCAGCGCCCTGAATGCCGACTGCACTGAGGCAGGCGATCAAGGAGGGTAAGTGCATGTTCGTAAGCATGTACCAGTAGACAATCGTATGTACAGTTACAACACAAGTAGAAGGCGTACAAAGGAATGTAGAGTGTAGTAGAGAAGAGAAGTCTCAGGAGGGAAGATGATGATGTCTATTTAATCTCCCCATTTGTTCACTGCCACCTCTCTTTAGAGGGTGTGATAGGAGAAGAACCATACACCCACTCGACCGGTTAAGGATCTGCCCCCATGAAGCCTGTCGACTGGCTAGCTTGCAGCATCCGGTGATGAGGAACCTTTACCGACTGCCACCTAGAAGGTCATAAGGACCTACCACATACCGACTTACCAGGCGGCTACCCCGTTGCCGTCTGAAGGGTTACATAGCTTATTTCGGCTCATGGTTCGAGATGTCTTAGCTTGAGTAACGTAGTCTGGGGAATGGAAGGGCGCGTATTTACGCCCTTCCTCTTCGAGCCAGATCTCCGAAGGATGTTTCGTTTTGTTTTGCTTTGTTTAGCCAGTTGAGGAGTCCATTCCACCCCCTTTTAGCATGATTTGTTTTGACGCACAAATGCTGTAGTGACTATTAGAAATTGAATGGTCGCGGATATTGGAATGCAATGCGCCGCTCGAGATTCGCCTTGGGTGGACTCCAAGCAGAGAAGAAGTTGTGAGGAGACCCGGGGGATTTGCAGCTAACCTTGATAGGCACTGGTCACCGGGTCGGCCCTATGCATATTATTGCCGTGAAGCGCTGTCCAGTGACAATGCAAACACCGATCAAAAGCATGTGATGGACGTTAGTTCCAAGACCAGAGTGAGCGTCGCTGTGATTGGCCCCACAGTCAGTCATGAATGATAGAACCCCAGATTTGCGCCATCTACAGTAGTTCGACCACGACACCTGAATGTGGGGTAGTCTTGATAATAGAGCCATGCGTCGCACTGCATTAGTCTGCCCTATGATCTTGCCCTGCAGCATAAGCCTCGAGCCCGCGTGCTCCTGCTAGTTCCTTCTTGAACGTCAGAGCACTTACTTCACACCCAACTGTGTAGTGATGGGGCAAATGTAGTGAGTCTTGTGAGACCATTGCAAGACAAGCAACCTGAAGGCCAGCCCGAGATCACTGTTTGGACCTGCCTGATCGGAACAAGGTTGGTCTGAAACGGCGCCAGTCGAAGGTTGCAAATGACGGCGACGTCAGGCGCGCGAACGCTCACCGCGGAGTGTACAGTGTCGTTTGCGGACTCGGGGATGCCCAGATCTGGGCGTGGTAGAGCTGTAGTTGGATTAGAGGTTGGCCGAGCCGTGTTCTAGAGAAGAACTTCCTGTGTGTATGCCTTGGAGATTGTAACATCGCAAGCCCCTGCTTGACTACCCCGGATTTTTAGAGCCAGGCCTAGACGACGGTCATGCACAGGGTAGATCATGTGGATCAGGTTTGAATAGATTAAAAGAATCTAGTTATGACCAGTCATGTGGTAGGAACCCGACTTGCACGTTCGGCCGATTTGCCACTAAGAGCTGGCGCCGCGCTCAGTAGCTTCATATGTCACGATACATGAGCCGGGAGTCGATGAAATAGTCACGGAGTGTGTGATCCAGGTAATCAAGCGAATCTACGCTTGTAACTTCGGACAAAGTCGGTTAGTCTATTTGCGGTAGAGAAGGTAAGCAGCGCCGGTTTTCAACTACACGCCCGTCTAGTCACAAGATTGGAAGGTAACCATGATAATAGTTGTTTGAGAATCGTAGTTAACCAGAAATTTTGTATTGCAAAAAAAGGGGTTGCGATCCGCGCCAACATGCGCAACATGGGTCTGCGCAGGGTCGCAGCATACAGTTGTTGCGCGGTGTCGTACGACGAATTTCTCGGTACACAACCGTATACGACAGATCGCCACGCTAGCGGTACGACCTCAAAGATTAGAGACTGTGTTCATGTACCAGTTTCGTACGCGCTATTGTCGTCGATGTCTTCTTGAGGCTGGTCGGCGACCGGCATCCGAATGCCTAGGCAATGAGACAGGCGCTTCAAGGACATCCCGTAACACGTTGTAGCACAGTCGCGTCACCAACTATTCACACGAAGAGTGTATGGCCTTTCATAGAGGTATCATAGCTTCGTTGAAACCCTGATGAACAAGGCCTCGCCAACTGTGTATATTGTACCGCCGCCGTCTTCGATAGTCGCACGAATATATAGTTTCCGATCGCCCGCGTCTTGTCGCTCGATCTTGGCCGTGAGGAGAAGTGCCCCGGGAGTCGGCACTGGCTTCTTGTAGGTGGTGTTCAGATCTGTCTGTGTTCAGTTTGTATTCTGGGGCTGATGGACGACATGAACGAACAGGCAGTGAAGTAATTCAAGGCAGCTGCGCGGCGACCGTCCTCTGTTATCTTTTGCACTTTTCTCTCCATATTCAGCATGATCAAGATGCCGCACATCTCGTCGAGTAATGTTGCAGCACAGCCACCGTGTATGATCTGCGGGTAGCCATTGAGTCCGTCCCCTAGATCCACGATAGTTTTAACCTCCTTGTACGCTATGTCGCCATCTTCTTCGTGGATCGGTCGCAGTGTTAGGAGGGCTCGTATCGTGCGATCTGTGCTTAGCGTTTCTGCGAAGAAGGAGTCTTCCCCGGAAGCCTTTGGTGACCTTGAGGCAGTATTGACTGGAGTCCAGTTGGGGTCATTGATCAAGGCAGCGGCCCAGGGAACAGAGGACAGACGGGAAACGACGGCGTCCGTCATGGCGCATCGATATTCTTTGGGGTGGGAGTCGCCTGTATCGCTCCCGCGACATTTATCCAGAACATGATTGTGGAGCTCTGGGTTGGAGAGATACCGAGGTGTAACGGATCGTGGAGATTGTGGGGATCGTCAGTGCTCAGCTCAGTAAGCCGTTGACGCAGCCTCATTCGTTCGTAACCACGCCGGCCATCGATACCTTGAACAAACCACAACAACATAGTCTGAGACCAACATCCACTTTGCTAGATGATACTCCCAACAACGTGTGTGAAGAGGTTCGAATCGGTCCCTAAAGCTTTCATGTGATTGCACACCTCATAATGCAAGACGTCATCTCTACGCGCTAAACAATACGTCAAAGACACGCGAGCCGTAAACAAGTAGGAAGATCTTAGACTACGCCTATATATCAATGATGTAGCTGCCGAGGTACTGGTAGGTCATAAGCTTCTCTTCCCCAGGTTTCGTACTCGACAGTCACAACATCACCAAACATACCCATCCTAAAAAAATAAAAATAAAACAGCAATAATGGTCGACAACTCGCACTCCAAGTCCGTCCGCGGCACCCTCTCAAACCCAAAGACCAAAGAAGCCATAAACTCGTCGAAATCCACTCCCGATTTAGGCGATGGCACGAGCCTGAAACCCGCCAATGACGACAAGAAATCTTTCCCTTCAAACGATTCCGCTCCACCAGCCGGCCAAGGAAATGATACACCTTCTGCTTCCTCTTCCTCATCCTCATCTTCTACCTCATCATCTTCAGATTCTGCCCCCACAGTCTCAGACCCATACCGCAAAGCCGGCACAAGCGCTGGTGGCGGCGACAAAAAAGCCATAGGCAACGGCGGAAACGTAGAGGATCGGAACATGGAAGATGGGAAGCAAGGAGGTAAGAAAAATGAGGCAAAGGAAGATCTCCCGCACAGCAAAAAAGTACGAGGTACGCTGACGAATGACGACGGGGCGAAGGTGAATAAGACTCAGCTGGGTGACCCGGCGAGTTTGAAGGCGGAGACCAGTAAGACGGAGGATATGGGGAGGCAGACGGAGAGGGAGGGGCAGGATAAGAGCGGAAAGAGTAAATTGTAGACCATGTGGAAGGAATAGGAGACTGGGATTTACATGTAGATTCGGTTACGTGAATTTGAGTTCGTCTATATCATTACTGGGTATCTCTCTAATCTAGTCTATATGCTATAACCACCATCGTGCCTCTATAATTCTACTTGTGACGATGCAAACGCATCTGTCAAAACGCTATCAAGCCTCACTCACTAGCCTCCGTTCTCTGGGGCGCCCACCCCTTGAGCCAGTTCCTTGCTTTATCTAAATCCCCACCCTCAGCTTCCATTGCAGCAATACACCACTCCAGTCCGTATCCGCCCTTGCCCTCGATGCCCTTTTCTGCGGCAACCATCTCAGCCAGTGTTCTAGACTTCTGCGTCCTCTCGTCGACGCAAAAGTGCAGCGGGGTGTCATAACCCTTCCCATCCATGCCTTGCAAGAACGGCTTCACGAGCGGTATAGCGTCTTTGGTGGGTAAAGACTTGTCTTCCTGTCCTAGGTTCTTACGGCCAGTGCGACAATATTCGTTCCTACACCAGGCTTTCCCACAGCCGGTAAGTAGCTGAGAGAGGTAACGACGCTCAATGCGGCGACGGAGTGCTTTGCCTTCTGGATCGTGCAGAGAGACATAGAGAGGTCCGAAACAGACACTGCACAGGCCAATTTCGTTGCCTGGACCCTGGCCTTTGCGCGTCCCAGCTCGCGTGTCGCCTGCCTTGTTTGCGCCATCTTGAGTACGGCCACAATTAACATTCCGGCACATGCGTGGTGGTGGGCGGGATAGGCGTTCTAGGTCGTGATGCCGCAGATGTGTGTCCATGTCTCTAAAGCGGACAATCTTGTTACAGAGGTGACATTCCGTTGTTCGACCGCCATCTGCCAGTTCGTGTGGTGTAAGACCGGAGAGGAGAAGTTCAGGAGATTGATCGTTCGGATCGCCTTCTTGTGGAACCTGTAGGTGACAGAAGCGGCAAAGAATCAGTTTGCCAGGACAAACTGTAGTCTTGTGATGTGAGAGCATGGGTATCGACGGGAATTCCATGTCGCACGTTGAGCACACCTGCGGCGTATGGTAGAGAGCATCGTGTTTCTGTCGGCTCAATGGAGTATTACCACTGAATGTGTCGTGCGGACAATGCCAATGATTTTGAAAAGCTGGCGAGCGCTTCTGAAAAACTTGGCCGCAACCTTGGGGGCAAAGGATGTTGTTTCTTAAACAAAAGTTCTCGTGCAAAAAGAGTGAGCCTTTGGGTACTCGTTGTCGGCAATTTTGACAAGTTACTTCGTCCGGTCTCGTCATCTCATTCGTCTCTGAGACCTCTTCCATCTTATCTTCTGCTTCTGTCTTGGGGTCATAAATCGACACCTTCAAGCGGAAGGGTTTGGGTGTGCTTGAGGGTGATCCGGATGGGTATGCGTGGACTGAGATCCACACAGCTTCTGCATCGTCGAGTTCAATGTTTGTAGGCCGTAGGCGTATACGTTTCGGAAACTGGCTTGTCAAGTCTGCGAAGACATGCTCGTCTTCTCGTGGGCGAGCTCTTTGCCGTGACGAATATGGGCTGACGAATAGATCGATCTCATCCTCATCGTCGACTTCATCTAAGAGTATCTCCAGTCCTTGGGATCTGTCCCATGATGACAACTCGAAATCAACATATTCTCCTTCGAGTACTTGTCCAGGTTGCGCATTGAATATATCAACCGTGCCGCCAGTAGAACTACCTTGTGATGTTCCGGGTGCGCGGTGCATCTTTGCGGCTATTCTCTTCATTGTTTCGCGTGCCTGCTCTTCGTTCAAGGCCTCGATGTCTACCTCCAAATCTGTGTCTACCACGCAGATACCATCTCCTTCAGGCTTGAAACCGTCTACAAGGAAACGGAACTGTTCGCGCTTGCCACCAGCCCCTCGACCGCCGTCTACAACCAAGACCTCGCCGTTTGTTAACGTTGTAAAGTTGGATCGCAGATGCTCCTCAAGTAGCGATTTCCAGTCTTCTGGGTCATAGCCAGCTTCGAGAGGCCGTAGCTTTACAAAGGTGCCTTTGGGCAGTTGTTTGGCATGCACAGTGATTTTCGTAGATGCAAAGCCGTTGCTCTCGAGCGGGCTTGCTCCATTCGACATAGCCACGTCGCCTTCGTCGTGGCCATTCGGACTGGCGTTCCTCGAGGGTTCTGCGGATTGTGCCTTGATTCCCAATGCCTCTTTCAGGAAACTGCTCAGCACGATCTCGCCCTCTTCTGCGGAGAACTCGCGTATTCCTGCGTGCACAACTCGGCCATTGTCCGGGTTCACAAGTCGAAAGGTAAGTGGGTGGGGTAGCTGCTGGAAGCGATCCTGCGTCTGTTGTCTTGCGTGGCGTTCGGCGTTGAACGTGTACGGGTTGAAGGGATCGAAGGCGGTGATATGCGGTCGGTTCGCGTCGACATTGACGACAGGCGCCGCGGCGAGTAGTTGCTCTAACGCTGACGGTGGAAGGAGCAGTTTGTCGCCCGGTAGCGTGCTTCGGGTTGCGTGCGCGAGTTCGTATTGAGCGGACCACTTCAGCTCTACTGGCTCTGTTTCCGAATCCATGGTAGATTTGTCTTAACTACGGAGAGTTGAATGTAGGGACGGTGATAGTAGGAAATACATCAAATGAAGGCGAATCTTGTGTTGGAGGTACAAAATGGCTGACATATGCGCCTCACGACTCGAAGCTTCGGTGAATGCCTGGCGTCATCACGCTTCCTTCCGCGCCTCGGCCCGTTAGTCTTATCGATAGCGCTCGCGCCCTCGCGTGGTAACGCGTGAAGGTACCGCCACCGTTGGACGGAGAAAACTCTCTAGTTTCACCAATCCTAGTCTTCATCTATATTCGGCCTGAGATCTTTGACGTCCGGTGAACAACCTCTGCCCCGGTGCATTGGCGAGGGCCGATCCCTAGCCTTCCCCAGACACCCCGATAGAGCATCGCCAAGTGTATCCCAGCATGTGTCCTATAATATGCGCTCGAACAGTTGAGCAATCAAAGTTTGCAGGTATGCAGCCTTTCCAACAAGAAAGACTTGGCTCTGCCCGGGCACTATCTGGAGAGATTTCTTGCACCATCTGTACTAACACTCCTGTTGAGTTTCGATATGTCGATTCATGTTCTAACCGGCCAACGTGGGGCAAACACCCCGGCGGCTTTCTGCGTCGCGTCGCATGCCTGGCATCTCGCAGCGACTGTTTTAGCCTGTTTCCACTGTCCACAACCAAGACCTCCGGCGCGGCCTTGGCTGCAAGACGTGTTCCAATCTATGCTTCATCGCGGCCTGATCTTGCAGGAAGCTTTGAGTTGCGTACTACACCGGTCTTGGCAGGGTCTCCATTTGCGATCGCCGCAGGGGACGAAGCCATCGGCCGTATCCCACGCCTACGCAACCCCATCTCCTGCAGCGTCTCAACTTCGATTAGTCTTTCCTTTTGCTCATCCAACACACACCTGCAGTGTCAGACCAGTGGCACGTGCCTGTTGGGGCTGCCGTCTTGCATTGTAATAAAGAATCGGTGAGTACCCATCTAACCTCTGGCCAAACTTCTCTGGTTGTATTCCTCGAGCACTCGTCATGGGCCCTTCTACTTTCAGTGACGACCTCCCTACCTCCCTGGCGGACCTACTTTCCAACACCTTGGTCCTGCGCCAAACTGCTCCTTACCTCCCAATATCTGCCCTTCGTAACCTGTCGCGAACCTGCAAGTCTCTACACCATGCTGTCTTCCAGTCGCCAGAAGCCTTCCGCTACCTGGACCTATCCCCCGTAAAATCTGCTATTGTGCCTTTCGATGGACCTCTTGATGTCGGTGGTGTCAGTTTTCGTGCTGAGCGAATGGATGAAGCCCTCACAGAAGACGACTTCTATAGCGGCCCTCTACGTCACATCTTCAACAGACTGGAGAAGCTTTACGTCCTGCGCAACGTACATACACTCGTACTAGACGGACTCAGCGTGACAGCAGAGTTAGTAAAGGAGCTACTTACGGAGGAACGATTCAACGTTCGTATACTCTCTATTCGCGAAGCGAAGCACTTGAACGAGAGAAAGCTTCAGCAATACCTCCGATATGCGGTCCGACCGTCAAGACCTGCGGGCACACCTCGAGTCAAAGGCATCTACATCTTTGGTCCCCGCGATCGAATACCTCAACCTGCGTCACCAGTGACGAGAAAACTGTCCGCAGACATCCCTAGGGGCGTAACAACTTCACAAGGAGCGCAGATTGGGGCACAATGGAACGAGAAATCGCAACAGGCCTTGGACGCTGTACTAGCGCGGACTGAGGATAAATGGTATCAGTCTTCTGGCAAGATCATACCGAAGCGGCCGTCCTCGGAATGGGCAGAGATACTTCAAGCGTGCGAAGGCGTCATCGCTTTCGATGCTGTACTGTGCAGAGGACCACGACATGACCCAAGCAAAGCATACGTTAGGGATGCGACTGCAAGTGGACCTATTCATCCATCCTCGTTCCTGCGGCCTACAATCGCCACTGTCGCGTTGGGCCCATCGGGCTGCGAGACATGTCACTCGTCTCCAGAAGGACCAGCAGTTTTCGGTGACTCAAGCCCGTCTCATCATCCATTACTCAGCCCGGTACCGCTGCACGGCTCCTCCGTGCGTGCTGCTCAGATACCACATACACTTGACGGGTCTGCGCCTCCACCTCTCATAGTGCGATGCGAAGACTGCCTCAAGGGACGCTGGTGCGAAAGATGTCACAAGTGGTGGGACGAGGATTGTTATACTGGATCAGTTACCGCCCAGCGTACGGAACTACAACAAACCGAGCTTACTGAGAGCTTGAAACCCGATGGGACCAGTCAACTGCTCCCAAAGCAAACGATCAAGGTACATATGGGCCTCTGCGTGGAACACTGCCTCCGTGAAGAAATGATGGCCGGAGCCGGTAGCGACGGGATGTGGGGATGATGGACCTACCTTGGCGTGCGAGAAGCGATGCTACCTTGAGGCCGTTACGATGTAGTTGGATTCCGGAAACCAGTCTTACTCAGACTGGCCGTGGAGCCTGGCTATTGGATAATTGCACCTGGAACTGTCACTTGCGCGCCAAGGTAAGTGCTCGATCTTTGATCAAGAAATAGGCTAACGTGAACCAACACAGGTTATCGGTGTAAGACGTGACTGTTTTGGCTGTGGCCATACATGCATAAGCTGTAAGGAGCTGTTCATTCGGACTTGCAAGAAATGCAACAACGAGTATTGCCGTGAAGACAACGACGCGTCTTCCGACACCATGGTCAGTACAGCACGGCGAGATGTATGGATAGCCGCTAATGCATCTACAGTGTGATTGGTGCAACTATACCTCAAGGCGAACCAGGGAGATGTACTGAACTTGACTTTTGGCGCTTACGAACAGCCTAGATACCTTCTGTGGCAACGGACATGACAGTGCTTGCGACTATTGCTGGTTTTCTGATGTATGAATGATGACTCTCCTCTTAGTATTAGTGTTAGATACCCCTCTCAAACTTATAAACAACTTTTCTGAACATCTATTATTAACTTTGCGAATGAGATTCTCCCGTGCTATATGTTTCTGCCTCAAGTGCATGCAGAGTGCTATATAGCTTCGTCGCCTTCATGTTGCTGCCAAGCCCCGGCGGCTCATGAATGGCCAGCGCCGATGCACACGATGACATGTGGCTGCCACTTTGAGCCATAACATCGAAAACAACCAATCTTTCTTTCAATTTCAGCGAGCGAGTCCTCGGTTCCCAATATCAAAGCCTACGTTTAACGCGATCTGTCTTTTCCGCGCAAGAGTCTCCGGTGACGTCGTCCTTCGCTCCACGTAACATCTCGACCCCAAACCACCTCCGCTAGACCTCCGCCAGGCTCCAGCACTGCGAAACCCTCGAAGCCAGATCACTTCATCTCGAACCTACTTCTGGTCACGATACCCCACGCATTTGCATACTCGACAATGGCGCAATACGGCTACGGGCAGAACGCTCAATACGGCGCAGGAAATGCGCAAAACCTCCAATTCTACCCGTCTTCATTCTCCAACCAGCCAGTATCTGGACATTCCACACCATTTCAGGCAAACTACGGTGCGCCGGCGAGTCAAGCATACCCCGCACAGTATGGCGCGGGGTTCGCTGCACCGGGTGTGAGTGGGCAGATGGGTATGGGTAGTTCAGGGCTACGGACAGGATGGCTGGCAGCTTTTGGTACTGAAGGGTATGTCGAGAGGACGAGTTTGTGTAACAATCGCTGACATGTAGTAGATATGACGGAGAACCGCCGCTGCGTACGCAATATCGACCCCACGACCGCATTCGACTGGCTGACATTGTGTAGTGGAGGAGTTGGGAGTGAATTTCAGACATATACAGATGAAGGTTGGTTCTAGACAACAACGGCGCGTCATCAGGGAGCTGACGAGGACTTTAGACATTGGCCGTTCTGAACCCATTTGGCCGGATCGACCAGCACATCATGGACGACAGCGATATAACGGGCCCAATACTTTTCTTCCTGATTTTCGGCACATCCCTACTGGTAGGAAGAGCAAGCCCACCATTGGGAAATATAGGCTAATGTGGAGTAGTTGTCTGGGAAGCTTCATTTCGGTTACATTTACGGTAAGCCAGAGAGCTGCTCGACGAAAGACAATGACTGATTGGAATAGGTCTGGCGTTCGTTGGCACAATTTTACTTCACCAGATCCTCTCCCTCATGTCTCCACCTGTCAACGCGGTCGAGGCAACTCCTGGAGACCACAGCCACCCGCATGGCTCACACCTCGGCTCCTCATTGACATTTCCACGATCAGCCTCGGTGCTCGGATACTGCCTGCTCCCTCTCGTACTGGTATCGATGTTTGGAATCATTGTACCACTTGACGGGCTGTTTGGATATCTTCTGACAAGTTTGGCTATCACATGGTGTTCTTACAGCTCCAGTTCCATGTTTACCGTTGTTGGTAAGTTGAGACTTGTGACGGAATTATCCTTGCAAACTAACATACCTCTCAGGGCGCATGACTTCGATGCGAGGCTTAGTAGCGTATCCCATGGTTCTTTTCTATGGTAGTTTTGGTATCATGGCCATCTTCAGCTCTCGAGGCACTGGCCAGTTGGCAGCAAAGGCGGCAGGATCATAAGGAGCTTCAGCTCAAGAAGGTTTCAAGAGCGTCTTTACCAAGACATGTAGAAAACTTTGCGCATATGCGTACGATATCTAGAATATAACTGAAAATACATTCGAATTATGACTTCCAAATTATCTTTCACAGCATGAGGTTGTCTGGCCAATCGGAGTGCGGTTGACCTGCTTAGAGCGATGACGACGAGGACCCTGCACGAAATTGTTTCTCCCGATAAACTCCGCCACCCGTCCGTCTTCTTCAGCCCTATTATACCCCTGCTTGCCTCTCGTTTTCACAACCATTCTTCTTCTTCTAAACGATTTTCCACAATGGGTTGGTTTTGGGCAGACACCGCACCCGCTGCGCCTGCAGCACGTATTGCGCCACATCCTATGCCTCGAGGCAGCATGGAGCCTCCGGTATGTCCAGTGTCACTCCACATGTGTATGCGCATCTAACAACATCGCAGCCAGAATGTCCAATGCACAAGAAACCCACAGCGCCCGTAGTCGCCGAGAAGAAGACACCCCAAGGCGCTTGCCCATACGTCCCACCTGAGAATGCCTCTACCAGCGCATCAGAGCCACCACCAAAGACCGGCTTACTCGCCCGCCTAAACCCTCTCAACAACATGTTCTCCGAACTCTCAAACGAGCGCGCAGACAAGCAATCCCTAAACCTCCCCCTCGAGCGCGAAACGTCGACGATACCCAAAGGCGACGGATCACTCTGGGAGTACCCCTCACCCCAGCAAATGTACAACGCCATGCTACGTAAAGGCTACACCGACACGGACATCACAGCCGTCGAGTCCATGGTCGGCGTACACAACTTCCTCAACGAGGGCGCCTGGGCCGAGATCATGGGCTGGGAACGGCGTTTTTCCCGCGGTCTAGCAGAAGGCTACGAGATCTGCAAAAAGGGCGAAGACGTCGCAAACTTCATGTTGGGAACACACGAAGATCCCTTTGACACAACAACGTGGGATCAAAAGGATATCCCTCCCCCGAAACTCCTTCGTTTTACCGGTCGCCCGACGGAACCTACGCCGAAATCTCAAATACTGCAGTGGCTTGGTTATGTCATGCCTGAGAAGTTTGGCACGGCGCCGCCGTTTGACCGCCATGATTGGTTCGTCGAACGCTGTAACGAGAAGGGGTGCAAGGAGGTTAGATATGTGATTGATTATTACGAGGGTGAACCCGAACCTACGGGCGAACCAGTCTTCTTCCTCGATGTTAGGCCGGCGGTTGATGGGCCCACCAGTGCGGCGGAGAGGTTGATTAGGTCGGGCACAGATGTTTGGTGGAAGGCGTCCGGGGGTGTGGCGAGGGAGTTGAGGAAGTTGGAGGAGGCGAAGAAGAAGAAGGATGAGGAGTGGGCTGCTAAGAGCAGACAGTACAATTAGGGTGATTGGATTGGCATGTGTACATGAAGCATTGCGCGGCGTTTATTGGTTTGGGGTTTTTGTATTATTGGTTTGTACGAGATATGGGCTTTGCTGATGATCTGGATGGGGAGCTACTTTGCGGATTTTGTTTGTTACGCCGGAACGTTTCTCTACTCTCTAGCTTATGTTCTCTTGTAATTATCCTTTACAGCCTCTACTCAAGCTTGAGCCCCAAAGTAAATCCTTACTATCTGTGCACCCCAATAAACGTCCTCTCACCCCGATACATATGAATACTCCGACTAAAATGATCCTCCTCCTCTTCCTCTTCCTTGATCCACACACCATCCACAAGTTTCGCTCTCACCATCTTCTCTTCATCCTCGTCTCCTTCTCCAGGCAATTTTCCCCCATCCCTTGTTTTCCCCTCTGCCATTCTCACCCCAACCGCCTCAACCACCGTATCGAAACCCTGTTCCACGTCCTCCTCGCCCCATGGCAGTGCCTCAACGTCAATCTGCTTCTCCTTGCCCAGCAAACACATGATGATAACCATGGCGCCTGCTTTGGACATGACCTGGTTGTGCTGTTTACACGCATCGTCATTACAGCACTCATTGCACCCTTCGAGACAATGACAAGACGTGAGTCGCTGACATGCTTGGTTGAGTAACGTATCGATGAACTCGAAAGCTTTGGTGCTGATGCCAGAACCACTCGCACCACCTTTTGCATCGTAAAAGGTCAATCTAGCAGGTCGCTTCCTTGTTGATTCCTTCTGCAGAAATTCTTTTTCAGGGACTTTACATTCTGTGCGGACGTCTCCTGGCATGCTGATGACGAAATTGGGCATGAGTTGCAATACGGCGTGTTCGGCGGCGTGAATCCCAGCTGCGATATTCAGGCGTCGAGACTTCAAGATATCCATTGCGCATTTCGGTACGTCGAGCCACATGCCCTTGCTAAACAGGATGATAGGTGGGTTGTCGACCTGAACGGCATCTAGAATGCGGCGTTTCTTGTCGATTTTGAAGAAGCCGTAGACGATTTGTCGGATCTTGATGGGGCCGTAGAAAGCTTTTGACCTTGAACCGGGGATTCGGCGTATGGCCTCTGTTTCTACAGGGTCGATGTCTAAGTAATCGCGTTGTTGGGTTGTCCAGTCTACTTTTACATGTTCGACTTTTGCTAACATGCGCTCTTGGGAGAACTCTTTAACGAGGTAGGTGTTTCCTTGGTGGAGGAATATGCCACCGTCGTAGAGGGTAAAGAAGGCGCGGCTGGCTTCTAATTCTTCGAGCACCGTGTTCTTGCCATGTGTGATGTCGATGATGGCGAAGTGGTCCTCTTCGGTATCGCGGATTGCAACTGTACGCGATGGCTGGGGGAGGAAACGGGAGTTGACGTGGTAGAAACCTTCTTTGTCGCACCGCATACGCTCTTTCGCAATTTTAGGAAGGAGGGGACCAAAGTAAGCGGTATCGACTTCGACATTGATCGGCATCTCATATGCAGCGCACTGTATGTGACCCTCCAAGACAAGCATGTTCGTTAGGTCGACTTGAAGTGCGCAATTGGGCTTAGTGAAGATCTCGTCTGGGTTCGACATGTAGTACTGGTCAGTAGGGAAGCAGTCCCCGACCAGAACAGATAGCGAATCTCTATTTCTCCTACCAGCACGACCACTTTGTTGACGGAGGTTAGCGATAGTGTAGGGAAAGCCGACTGTGACAACAGCATCCAGGGAGCCGATATCGACACCAAGTTCCAGCGCGCTGGTAGCTACGATACCGCAGAGCTTGCCGTCGAACATCTCTCGCTCGATCTCTCGCCTATCTTGCGGCGTGTATCCGCCTCGATACGACATAACCCGAGCGATTACCTCTGGCCTCTCCAAGTTGGTTAGTTCAGTCTTGACAGCAGCAAGCAGCGCTTCACACTGCTTCCGTATACGACAGAATGCGATAGCTCTTATGCCCCTCAACATCAATTGACAGAATAGCTTTGCTGTTTCAGCCATGCAATCACCGCGTCCAGACGTAGGGTCACCAGGATCCTTGAATGGCGTGTTCCAGCACAAGAACTCTTTGCGTCCAGAAGGGGAACCGTCGAAGTCTGTCAATTTGACTTCATCAACACCGAAGATGGTCCTCATATGCTCTTCAGGATTCGCGACTGTAGCTGAGCAGGAGATAAACTTGACGTGGCGGTTTCCAACCGCCGCGCATACCCTTCGAAGACGGCGCATGATGAACGCCATATGTGCTCCGAACAGTCCGTTGTAAACGTGCAGTTCATCTACTACTACGAATCGTAGGTTCTGAAGGTACGTCCGCCAGGCGTCCTCTTGCGGCAATATTGTGATGTGCAGCATATCAGGGTTCGTAAATATGATGCGTGCTTCGTCCCGAATGTAGTTGCGTTCGCTCATAGGCGTATCCCCATCAAACGTCTCGACTAGAACTTCCTCAAAACCCGGCATAAAGCGCAAAAGTTCCTTCATGCTCTTTCTCTGATCCTGCGCAAGAGCCTTCGTTGGGAAGATGTACATAGCTCTGGTATTTGGTTCTTGTTCTAATTGATGCAGAACAGGTATTTGGTAGATTAACGACTTACCAGAGCTAGTCGAAGTCGACACAATAACGTTGTGCCCATCGTAAAGATTATTGATAGCCTCAGCTTGATGAGCATAAAGCTGGGTGATGTTCCTCGTATTATATAGCGCGTTGACGAGATTCTGCGACATGGCAAAGTTCAAGTCGCCGTAAACAGGTTCTTGGGGGTCGAAGACGCGGTGGCCATCTGGCACAATTTGACCGGTGTACCACTCGAGTGCCTTGATTTCATTCAAGATATCGGGGATAGCCTTCCGTTCTGCTGGTATGGAGGCTGGTATTGACGATTGGTCCGGACCAGGCGTGGAGTGTCGGCTCTCTGTTGGCACAGGAACGAAGGCCTTTGACGCTTCCTTGATCTTCTCTACCGAATCAACGCCCTCCTCGGCGCATTGGTTCAGAAATGCGTTGACTGCCGATGTGAACTTGAGATTCCTCTTCTCAATCAAATTCATCATCTGTTTTTGACTGTACACCGGCATCTTGAGCTCCTCGTGCCGCAGCTTTGTCGTGGCCTTTGTAGGTTCCCCAGTCTTCTTGTGTTGCACCTCGCGCTTCAAGTCGCCATCGATGAATTCAAACAGCAGCACCTCCTTATGCTCGCCCTTGTCCGGTTCCGGCCCAAGTATCGCAAAGTCGGTCGTGCTTCTCCCATGTAAATTGTCTTCTGCGCCCATGACATTGATTAGGAGCATCGCCTCATCAACATAGGCAAAGTTGATGGCCTTCGGAACCAATGCCGTAATCTGCGCCACATCCTCAATGACTAGCTCTCGTTGTATGTTGGCCTCGACTGTGCTTCTGAGGTTTTCGAGTGTCGTCGCGAGGTGTTTGCGCGTGCACAGAAACGTGTACACAAGATTCACGGCGCGGTGTACCTGAGCAAGCTTCGTGAAGTGCTCCGGCCATGGTATCGACGTTTCGACGAATGTGGACGAGTTGTTGCGCGCAAGAGATGGTTTGCCAGCACCGCTCTTCTTTGGCGCGCGTCTTGGTTTCTTTCCTCCATCATGTGTCTTCGTGGCTACGCTGGTAGTGGTCGTCGTTTCGACGGGATCTGGCTGGTTGGGGTCGATGAGCGAGCCGTCTGGTCCAACAATCTTGTGAACCTCATTCAACCCTTCGCCTTCTACAGCTGGCGCCGCCGGTTGTATTTCCTCATCATCTCGGGTTTTCCGTTTTCGCTTTCGTACAGTCTGGTCCGAGACGGTGGCGGCCTTCATTCGAGGCATCTTGGAGGCATTGTCGTTGTTCTGGATGCAGCGTCGGTAGGGAACTTTGTTTCACAATCAATGACGCAATGGCGCAAGGAAAGAGCAATCTCGCACCAGACGGAATTTCGATGTAGCTGTTCATCTACCTATCGGAGATTATATAGGCACGTTCTCGACCATGAATTTCGTTCTGCAAGTCATCATCGCGACCGCTTACAGAAAGACGTGATTCTCGCGTTACGCGTTGCCACGCTCTCACGTGCAAAATAGTTCTGAGTGCCCCCACCCTTATTTCAGTCCAAGTCCACGACAATGCACGACAAGCAATTCAAAGACCTATAAGCGAATACTATGTTCAAGAGTATAGGAAGAGTCCATGATGCATTAAGACACCTTCCCCAGGGTATATGGCAAATGAACTCAGCATCCCGCCCACATTCCACCACCCAAGTAGCCACTTGTGAATGTACAGAAAGGTATCGAACATGAAGCACTCCTCGCTAGAATGCATGACATCAGAAAAGACAGACCTGAACAAGGAATCAACAAATAGTAAGCCATTACATCGTAAATGAAAGACAACAGCTCTCGCCGGAGAAGTTACGTCATCTGATCAAAACATATGACGCCTAGGTGCAAGGAGCAGATAATCTCGTCGCACCCCCCTATGCTCATAGCCCACCTGCGCCAGGAAGTAGCATCTCAATGCACTTGGTCAGCAAGTTGCTTGCCTCATGCAGCAACTCCCACCTCGTCTTCTTGAACATGTCCCTCATAACGATCAACAGTCCCAAGCAAGCATTGCGATTTGATGTCTTGCTCAAGTCCTCAGGTGATCTTACGCCACCAACACGGTTGAGGTAGAGTACCATGTCCCTGACCTTGTCGTCATAGCTTGGAAGTTGGTATGGCTCCTTGACTGGGCCATCGAGCGCGAAACCGTACGACCAGACGATCAGTGTGGCAAAGTACAGCACCCATGGCCGATTGAGAAGGTAGTCGTCGCGCGCCGAGTAGGAGAAACCGGCGCTAGATGGGGTGTTGGGATTTAAACTGTGGTCCCCTGCGACCATGACGTTGGAAAGGAAGCGGAGAGCGTAGAAAGTGGCGTCCCGGGCTCGGGCAGTGGGGGCCCACATCTCCTTCATGCGGCGTTGCGCACCGTTGTAATCTTGCGGGGTTATCGATCTCCCAAGTAGTCTGGGAGCGCCTGCATAAATCTGGCAATCGACTATATCGACGTGCATGGCCATATGCGCCAAGTGATGGAGGACGGTCCGGGATTCGAAAACGTTGTCGTCATCAATACCATGAGAGTATCCGTATGAGCTCGAAGCAGAGCGGTCCTCTGATCGGTTAAGTGAGCTGTCGAAATCCTGCTTCCAGAAGTCAAAAGCACGGGTTAAGGATCCCCGCCACTTGTCGCGTCCACCTAGTGCTGTTGTCACACCAAGCGAGCTGACTTGCAAATCCCGCTGGTTCATATGCCACGACACGCTCAGCAAACCTGCCATAAGTATCGTGCGCCCAAAGGAATTGGTCCGTACCGTCTGTCCATTCAGTGTCTTCTTAAGACCATCAAGAAAGGACATTGGTTTGATACCATTAGAAGTCAGGGATTGCTCGACCCGACCCACTTCGGAACTACTCGTTGCAGACCAGAGAGCTTCGTCACATGGCAGTGGAAGACGCATCTCGTGAGCAACCATGACAGCGCTGTGGCCAAACATGGTAGCGTGGATGCTGTCCATCACAAAGGCCGCGAATGCTGCTCTCCTAGTAGCCTCATTCGTGATCCAATGGTTCCACCATTCGTCGGGTGTGTTTGCTCCGCCGATGCCATTACTCTTTCCATCCTTGACACTAGGAGGCGAATCCATGGCTGACCGTCCGATCAACGAGCTTCCTCGCCTCATCAGTGTCAATGTCGTGGCATGATGGATGTGCGCTCGTTCATGCAATGGGCGTGTAGAGTACATCTTCTCGAAGACCTCTAGAAGGAGCAAGCCCTGGAATATCCATAATTTAGCGGGTGGACGGAAGTCAGCGTCCATGAAGAGTTCCCAACGCAGGTGCCAGGCCAAGAAGTTGGCCAGTTGAGCGCAAGCCTGTGTCGTCTCTTGACCGTAATTCTTTTCCAAGCAAGAAGCTCCGAGACACATGATGGCGAGCAATAGGAGCTCAGGGCAGGTGCTTGCGTTAAATGTTGGCTTGTGGAGGATTGGTAACTGTGGGTGGAAGTGAACCCAGTACGAGCTGATGTATGTTTGCATCATGTGCAGACTCAATACGTGACGGCTGTCGTCTTTATCACCGTCCATGATATCCTCCTTTTGCTTCTTGACTGGCGCATGATCTGTTTCGTTGAAGCGCAAGTGGATGAGATCAAGGAGATCTTTCCGCTTGTCTTCTGACAGGGCGGTTTCGGGAAGCGTGGTGTCTAGTATGCTATGAACAGCCATTGGATGTGCGGGTGGCGCAGGGTTGTTCAGGTAGCCAGCGACTGAGGGGTCATAGTTAAAATACGGTGCTTGAAGTCCAATTTGGGATGACGCACCAGCTACGGGGTTTACTCCGCCCGGATATTCCATGGGCGATGCACCTCCTGGGTTGAACTGGTTGTCGTTGAAGAGCCACGCCGCAAAGTCGTCGGCCATGGCGAATGGTGACCGACTGTATCCAGCACCACCAAACATTGGTATGGCATACGCAGGGTTTTGCTCCATTATGGCGTCAGAGACATTCTGCATTCTGTTGTCTATCTGGCCTGTGGACTCGACACCGTTCATGGGCGTCTGTCCAGAAGTGCCATTGTAAAACTGGTTCTCTTGTTCTCGAGAGACAGGGGTGCCTGTTGGTTGAGGATATTCTGGTGGGGGTAAGGAGGAGAAGGGAGGGAAGTTTTGTTGTGATTGATACGCACTTGCGCTGTTTTGGTAGCCGGTCGAGGGTGCGGAGGGAGTATACTGGGATGGTGTAACGGCAGAATTGTAGGGTGAGCTCGAGCCGTATGAGCTCATGTTTGACGTCTGCGCGCGCAGATCGGGCCGTGTGAAGTTACCATTACCCACATGTGGGGAGTTGTGGAGAGAGGTGCGACCTCCACCATAGTTGCCCAAAGCGGCCGGACGCGGTGGGGGTGCAAAGCTCCCAGAGCTCTGGGACTGCATGTCGTAGGGCTTAGCCTCTGAGCCACTGCGGTAGGTATCGTCGCTCCCCGTCCTTTGTAGCGAGTCTTGCCTGCTAAGGGTGGTAGTCGAGCCAGGAGACTGGAAGTTTGGCGGAGACATTCGGTTGCCGGGGCCAGTGTTGGAGGCTCCAGAGGGCGGAGACTGCATGCCATGCGGCCCTTGGGTCTTGATGCCGTGTGGTTTTGAAGACGGTGCATTCTTTCCACCCAGTGCAGCTGTCACGATGGGGTTCAGATTGTGCATGTTGAAGGTATCCTTGCGCAGTAGTTGCGAGCCCCGTGCCGTGTGTCTCTCCTTGTGGCGCGCACATAGGTCTTGTCGGACGAAGGAGCGGTGGCAATCAGGAAAGTCGCAGTGGTAGATTTGCTTGGGGTTGTCTATGCAATGTTAACCTCGTTGTTGCAGCTCTAGTGAGGCATGTTGGAGCTGCAGCAGCACTCACGGTTCAACTGGTGGCGGTACAGATGCTCTGCGCGGGAGTAGCTCTTTCCACAGCCCTCGTGCGGGCACTCGAACTTCTTGTCCAGGCCTTTCCTGCTGCGCCTTCTCTTCCTCGAGGAGCCATGGCCGTCACCCTCACCGTCGCCAGTGTCGCCGTCTTCGTCTCTGTCGCGTCGCCGGCCACGGGTCTCGCCGCTGTCGGGCGATGCGGGGGTTGGGGGCTCGCTCGCGGCGCCAACAGTCGTGTCCATCTTGTCTCGAAACTGCGTCTGGATCTTGCCTAAATCCGACGCGTGCGCAGCATGCATAGACAAGATTTGCGCCGTCATTGCCAGTGGGAGATGTAATGCAATGTCGTGTGTCGCGACTCTATTCAAGTGCGCGTCTCTGGGGTAGAAGGTGGAGGTTGTGTAGCCTGGTGGCGGGATGACTCGTGTGTCAGGGCGCCAGATGGTGTTGATGTTAGTCGAGAGGCGCTCGGCGATGGGCGTGCATGCTGCTTTGGGAATCACACGGCAGGCGGGATGCTGGGGCGGGCTAAAAGGGACGACGTGGGTTGTTTAGATGCAAATCGGCGTGATCCTGGGCGATGACTTGCAGGCAGACGTCGGAGAGCCTCTTGAGTGGAGGCGGGTGTATTGTGTCGTGTAGTGTCGTGGAGAGAACCCTGGACTGGGGACGTGGGGAAGAGCGACAGTCGTGGGAGCAAGCACGACGGGCGCGGGTAGATTTGTGGGAATGCAATGGACAAGGCCGGTGCCGACTTGTGACTTGTGACCACAAACCACCAGCGACCGGGACTTGTAGTTGTGAGCCGAGAGACGCTTACGCTGTCCGCAGTAGCCGCGATAAGAACCAAGATGCCGTGGCAGTGGATAATCTGTCTGCACCGCGCTCCAGCCTGCCTGGAAGAAGTAGTGAGGGGTAGGATAGCCAGCCTTGGGATCTTCCGAGGAGACGCAGGCTCAGCTGTCAGCAATTAACTTTAATCCACCACGACCGGCCTGGTTGATGCACTGCGATAGACATATAATCCTCGCATCGCCTGCAGCCAGCTTGAGCAGCAGAATGTGGAGAAGCGAAAGCCCTCCTGGCGCGTGGGATGGGCGACAGCTGGCGTGGGGGGCTGCTCAAGCAGATTTAGCTGATCTGACCTTCTTCGTCACCGTCACTACTTCTCGTAAACCGCCTTCTCTTTGGCTGGATTATGGTAACCGTTGATATCAACGTGTGCCTGTTCATGCACCGTATGCACAGGGCTGCAGAACGTGGCCCACACCAAGCACAAGATTCTGCAAACAAGGAGCATTCGACACCTTTCATCCCAGACCTTGTCTGGGATGTCATCCTTCCAACTTCTGATACTGCTAGTTCTTGGTATCCAGCTATCACCCATGCCATCTCTCCTTCATACCTGCAGACCCTGAGTCACGGCTTTTACTCCCTCTACCACCACTCAGCCCAACCACTCCCTCAGCATGGCCCAACGAGCAACTAATTTCCACAACTCATCACACGTGCGCCACACTCAACACCTGTCCCATTCGCTAGCATTTACCCAAAATGCTAGCGTGAACTCGGCCCGTCGGCCTCCAATTGATACTTGCATGTTGGACGCCCTACCCCAGGATCGTCTTGCCGCGCAGCGAGAGACGCATCTAGGGACGGCGCCCGCCAATGAGGAGCGGGCCGGAAGTCACTATTTGCTTTTGCGGCAATCGGAGCTCGGCGAGCAGCTCGTCGCACGCGTGTCCACATTCGATGTTTGTCGATCGATATATCAATCTATCCGAGTACGATCAAGACAGTAAATGCGTGGTTGAGCCTCAGCAGCCCTACGCACCTTTACGGACGTTGCGAGATACTTCACGCTGTGCAACATGACAACGCGGGAAGAAGAAAAAAATGAAGACTGGCTTCTGCCAAAGTCGCCCCCAACGACTGACTGGACCAAGCTCTGCAGAGGCAATTTTTCCCTTCCTTGCCGCTGAAGTTCCAACTGCATTTTTGCCGAGCGCCTCTCTGCCGCCACGGAGAATATACAATATCGCATTGCTTTTGTCCTTCCTTCATGTTTCAAGGCAAGAGCATCTTGCCACTTTTGATAGATACTGGCATTGACCCTGTCTATACGGGTCTCATGCGCAGAGATAAGGCGCTCCGCGCAAGCTAAACAGATGCCGCTAGCTGAACTACTATCCTGGTTGGTCTTCAAGGTGTAGCCTGAGGGAACCACTGCGCGTGGTCTTCGTTAATCATGCACCAACATTACCCAGCATTTGGTCCCAACTATCACCAGGTACCAATGTGAAGTAGTATGAAGTAATGTGGAGAAACCACATCACGTCATACCGTGCGTAATTACTACGAAGAACCTCGTTTTTTAACAAATTATACCCCCATATACCAAAATGCATCCTAAACGTATACGTGATAATCTGCGTTACAACTCTGCCAGATAAGTAACAGTGTATACTTTTAGGGTCTATTTTAGTATATGGGGGTACAATTTATTAGAAACTAGCTCCTTCGTGTGTGTGTAGACGGATGCCAAGAATGCCAGCTACGATCTGCCCTGCCAAGTCATGATCCCTTTCAATCCTACGCTAAAAGTACATAATAATGGCTGTCCCATGGTTAATCAAGGTCCACGATAACTCAATCCTCAGCCTTCGGTTGACCCTCTTCGATTGGCTTCGCAGCAGAGTCAGGCTTCTTCACCTGCTCCGAGTCTGCAGTAGCTGGCTTGCTATCGTCCTTCTCAGCTTTAGCATCATCCTGAGATGGTTCCTTTTCGGTATCTTGGGCGTTCGAAACGCTGGCCTCAGCTGCCTCGGTAGCCGCTGACTCTGTCGTGATATCTTTATCTTGTTTTTCTTCTTCCTCAGGCGAAGTATCCGATGCTCTTTCCTCGCCTGCGCCCTTCTTTGCTGCTTCATCCGTGGCGTCCTTGGCTTCTGGCGCCGTTATCTCTTCGGCAGATTCAGCCTCGTCATCGTCTTCATCTTCATCGTCATCATCATCATCATCATCGTCGTCTTCTTCGTTATCTTCGATGGCCGTGACATCTCCATCGCTGTCGCCATCTTCGTCTTCGGCCTCTTCTTGTGCCGATTCGAAGATCTGAGTAACAGGCCGTGATTGTAAGCTCGGGCGCTCTTCTTCCTCCTCGTTTTCTTCCACAACTGTGTGAACCACGGTAGCTCCCACCGATGGTGAGTGCCTATGTCGTTTGGTAGTACCAGCTGTTGATAGCGTATGATCTGATATTACCTCAGCCGGCGTGTTCACTGAAATCTGTGATGTCGAATCGGAAGGTTCTCGCTTCATAATCAGAGGTGGTGCTGATGGCTTTGCCTCCGTCGATGGCTCAATGCCCTCAGCCTCTGGAGGAATAGTGTAGTTGTCTTCCGGTACCAGACCGTATACGTCGCAGACCGTCTTGTAGAAAATGTATAGTCCTGTCCGGCCCTCAACCTTCCAAAAGACCTCCCGGTGCGAGTACCATGCGTGCGCAAATATTCTATAAACTCGCCTGAAAATGTTGGTCAACTGGCGCATCTGCGAATGCTGCGTCGACTGATCGGTGCCCAGTGCGAGCCTCGAGGGGAAGTGCTTCGGTGATGTGAGAGTATTAGCCGCCCAGTCGAGAGTGTGGCAGCAGTAGTCAATGGCGCAACATGATTTTGGCGGGTCGTGTACCGCGCAAAGATACTGCCACTCTGAAGCACGCATCTCTGGACAGGTCAAGGACGAGCAAGGTGGATCATCTGCGAAGAGGGCAGTAATGATCGAGTTGACCTTCTGTATGAGGAAACGGCAGAGCTCGTAAAGCCACAGAGTCCTGTCTACATTGGTTGGTGATTGCGCAATCTTGAGTGCCATGCTTCTGTCCACTGGCACGATCCCATTCGAATCGGCGGGATGCGTCAAGGAGTTATGGAGCGCTTTGAGGTGTTCGGTAAGTTGGAAGGCCGAGTCAATCTGCGCATCTTGTCAGCTAGGCGCCGTCTTTGGTGCAGAATTCCTCAGCGCACTTCTGATAAATCTACGAGCGGAGGCCCCTCTGCCATGTTCTCCGCTTTGGTTCCTGGTCGTATTCTCCGTTCCGCGGCATGGTCGAGGTTGCTAAACAGCTTCTGTTGCTCTGGCGACGCTGATACTGGGGAAAGCTGGTCTTCTGGAATGGGCGGGGGGCTGGGGAGACGGGGCGAAGCGGGCGACGTCATACTCGAGGAAGAATGGGTGATGGAATGCGCAATTGCTATGGCAGCAGACGTCGATGATCACGTAGGCGGGGTGTGGTGCGTTGTTGACATCGGACATCTGGAGCTTGCCCAGGCGGATGCAGGGCAGTGGCAGGGGTCCTCTGAACTAGTCATTACGCGACTGCGCTAGCTTCATCGCGGGTCAGTGGACCATTTTCTACATGACTCCGCCCACCCCACGACGTCATTTCGGTTCCTTTTGGCCCTCCAGGATCCGAAAGTAGATTTGTTTAGGTAAGTCGTGATGGTGGAATTGTATGCTTTGTGAGATTGCACATTTCTGCGAGTTCCTCATCGACCGCCTATTCTTACTTGACACAGATCAATATCTTGACGCTTTGACGCCCTTCCTCAAAATCCGAATTACTGTCCAGTACCAACTTGCGAGCCATGGACGGAAACGTGTCAGACGACGAAGTACCCAGCCTCGTCCAGCCAGAGACCGACACCAAAGTCATCGATGACCGGGATGAAGAAATACCCAACCTTGTGACTAGCTCGGACGATGCACCTCAGAGCAAAGTGCCCATCACCATAGTCACAGGATATCTTGGTGCGGGAAAGACGACCTTGCTGAACTACATCCTAACTGAGCAGCATGGAAAGAAGATTGCCGTCATTCTGAATGAGTTTGGTGACTGTATGTTCTCCTCATATTGAACATAAGATGTCAATCTAACGCATAACATCAGCGATTGACATCGAAAAGCAGCTCACCGTCTCTGATGCCAACTCTACATCTGCCCAGCCGGCGCCTTTTGTGCCATTAGCGAACGGCTGTATATGCTGTTCCGTCAAGGATATCGGTGTGGCAGCCATCGAGAATCTAATGGAGCAATCCGGACTATTCGACTACATTCTTCTTGAAACGACCGGTCTAGCAGACCCCGGGAACATTGCACCTATGTTCTGGCTCGACGATGGTTTAGGCAGTAGTATCTTCCTAGATGGCATTGTCACACTCGTCGACGCGAAGAACGTCCTGAAGAGCTTGGACGAGGGGCTAGGCGATGAAGAGAACATCGAAGAGAGAAAGAAAGCGAACCATGACGAACATGGCCCGCTGTTGACAACAGCACATTTGCAAATCAGCCATGCAGATGTAATCATTATCAACAAGACCGACCTAGTTTCCGAGCAAGAACTACAGCAAGTGACCGAGCGAATCCGATCCATCAACGGCCTCGCTCGTATCAAGACAACAACTAAAAGCCAAGTTCCTCAACTCGAAGGACTGGTACTAGACCTTCACGCCTACGACGAAGTCACAGATGCGGATCTAAAGTTCGCAAGCAAGGGACACAGCCACCTCGATCCAACAATCACCACTTCAACCATCTCCTTCCCTGCCTTGACACGTGATCAAGTCGACAAATTTGATCTCTTTCTTCGCACTATCTTATGGGAAGAAACACTGCCTGCCGAAACTGAACACAAGTCCTTTGAAATTCATCGCCTAAAGGGCCGCGTCCCCGTCAAGGACGGCAAAATACTTCTTACGCAGGGTGTAAGGGCTATCTACGATACGAACGAGTTTGACGCCAAGGCGGAAGATGGGAACGAGGAATCGAAATTGGTACTGATCGGAAGAGCTGTAGACCAAGAGGCGTTTAGACAGAGTTTGATGGCTACGTTGGGCGATTCTCATTAAGTGCTTCTTGAGCCGAAGATAGATATCGGGCCGCCAGGTAGTGTGACCACTGGCATTTCTCGTGGGATGTACAGAATCATAAAAGCTATGCAATCAAAGTCATCAAAAGTTGTCAAACAACTCGAAAATTCTTTTCTCTCTGCTAATCTAACCTCAAACAATCTGCAAATAACGAACGACGCTCATCGACACGGCAGCCGCCATCGCTTACACAATACCCTTCTCATTCCCGACAACAGTAGTCTCATTCCCAGACGACGCATCACCCGAAAGCGCTGCAAGACCAATTTCACGGTTAATTTCAGCCATTCTCTCCTGGTCCTTGAGCGCAGTACCCTCACTACCAAAGATGGTATCCATCTCCTCGAGTGTCAACCTCTTTGTCTCAGGAACAAAGAACCAGATAAATGCCGCACCAAGTGTGGTAACCATTCCGAAGAGAATATAAGTTCCGTATGTAATGTTTTCCAGTAACTCCGGGGTAATCTGTCCGATGATGAAGTTGTTCATCCAGTTGGAGGACCCACCAAGCGCAGTACCGTATGGACGAGTGGATAGAGGCCAGATTTCTGTGAGGGGTATTAGATCAAAAAGTGCCAGATTGAATATATATGGACTTACCAGCGATCAAAATCCAAGCACAAGGACCCCAGGAGTATCCAAAGTGGATAACAAACAGCCAGACCATTACTACTGCCGCCCATCCAGCCGCACGGTGGTTTGCAAAGTTGTCAATGTTCTTAGCGAGAATAACAGCAATGACAAAGTGTGAGAATGCCATGCCGAGGGCACCAACTGCCAGAACGGGTTTGCGACCTAGACGGTCGATATACAGGACTGCTGGGATGGTGGCGATGAACATGACTATTCCCACAACTCCAGTAGCAAGGAGTGACGTGGTGGTGCCTGTTAAACCTATTTGTTCGAAAATCTGGGGGGCATAGTAGAGGACCTGATAAGTCAAAAGTCAGCGTATATACCAAAAGTTGTTAAGATAAGTGTTGGGATCACACATACCGCATTGATACCAGTCCATTGCTGGAAAAACATGGTGACGGTAGCAACGATAACCCTCTTGAACATAGCCTTGGTCTTGAAAAGGGAAGCAATGGCAACAAACTGGAGTTTGAAGATGTTCCATGCAGTCTGCTCGCGAAGATGAGGAAAAGCTTCGGCAACGCTGCGTTTCTCGAACATGGACTGGGCCTTAATCTCAAGGAATTCCAACTCGATAAGCTCATGATCGACAGGGAGATTACGAAGGGATGCGAGATTCTTCCTAGCTTCTTCCTCACGGTCATGGTGCACCAGCCAACGTGGGGAGAAGGGCATCCAGATCATGCCGACGATGAGGACGAAAGCTGGAACGAGCTGAAGGCAGATGGGTACCAGCCATGCTGCATTGGATTGCGTCTCCAGTGTGGTGCCGCCAATGTAGTTGGTTCCGTAATTGATCCAGAAACTGATCATGATGCCAAACGTGATGGCAAGTTGTTGTAGTGCTACTAGAGCACCGCGAACCTCACTACATGGAGTTAGCATATTGTTCCGATCGTAGAGACTGGAAATCCTCGATGGTACTTACGGAGGCGCACATTCACTGTTGTACATGGGAACAATGACTGAAAGACCACCAACTCCGATACCACTGTGAATCGTTAGCCAGGATTCAGCTGGTTTAGGGTGTCTCTTTACTGACGTGATGAAGCGGCCAGCTAGAATTTCCTCATGACCACCAGAAATCGCAGTAATCTGGACCACGACGCCGATGATGAAGATTGCTGTAGCGATCAAGATACCATACTTGCGCGAGAATGCCTCGGCAACGAAACCAGACATGACGGCTCCAAACCAGGCTCCAAGTTCCAGAATAGCGGTCAACCATCCCTTTTGTGTTGGATTATCAACGTAGCCGTCGGTTTCTGCTCAATGTAAGCGCAAGGCAGTAGTCAAAATCGCGAGTACATACGTGCTCCAAAGGATGGCATAGCCAAGATTCCGCTGAACATTCCTTGGTTGTATCCGTACAGCACTCCTCCAAGACAGGCAAACAAGGCGATGAGAAACACCTTTCCGTTCTTTACAAGAGCTCTAGGACCACTCGCGCCCATCAGGGCTTGACGTCTCTGGAGCGCGGCATCGAAGCCAGTCGCACCGCCACCTCCTCCAGCCATGACAATGATTGATTATCGATATTAGGAACGTTTCGAAAGGTTGGCGAAAGTTTGAAGTCACAGGCGTCTGAGCTGTAACCCGGGATACCAAAAAGCTTACAGTCCTTTGCTCGGAGACTCCAGGCTTATGTATGGGGTGCAGGAGCCCGCACCACCATCTGCACAATCATCCAGCACCCCAGTGACAAGACCGTAGCAGTGTGGGGAACCAGGCGTCCATACTCTTTCCAGAGCATCGGTAATAAGTGCTCTTTAACCCCTTAAGCATACCAAGAAGAAACGGTCTCTCGGCAACATGTAGAACACGGCTTGAGGAGTGCCAAGCCAAAGCTTTGAGTACACTAATTGGATACGGAAAGCGATGTAAGCCTCCACTACTCTTGGCAACTAGGTGCCGTTCGTGGTCTATCCGCCGCTGATGTCGTTCTGTTGCTGTGGGCCAGGTGCCAAGGTCTACCCGAGCAGGCTTTAGGCTAAATTACTGGCAATCTGAGATTCAACATCGGTCATGAGTAACTTCGTAGGAGCGGAATGCCGATTTGATGAGACTCCGAGGGATCCTTCCACGGTTGAGACGGCAGTTTCAGTAGCTTGATCGCATCATGAGAGGCACAAATCAATAGTCCTGAAAATATGACTGCGCATCATTCGTCTGCGAATGTGGAGTTTGAGAAGAGGACGGGTGACTGGAGGATGAGTGCTGACGCAAGCAGACGCATGGCACTCGAACGGTTATAGCCCACCAAGGCGGTTACAAATCTCGTCAGACACAGGTTGTGCAGGAAGGAACTTTTGATTGGCATTAGTCTTGATACGTTATATGATCTTCGGAGGATCCAGCTTGTGCTGCAAGGATTATGTGCTGTTGGCAGCCTTCGAGCCTGTGCTGCTCAGCAGACGAACCAGGAATTCGCATTGAAATGTCGTAGATAAAATGAAGAAGACAACATCCATGACTCGTAGAAGCTGGTGCTCTACTCTAATCATAAATGGTCGATGTGGGTGGAGTGACTGAACGATGAAGGCTAACGAGGGCGGGCCCACGGGGAAGGATCGCCCCGCGCAATGGCGTGTCAGCGAAAACGCGTGGACGCGCTTTGGCTGCGTCACAACGCTAACATCAACACCAACCCATACAGCCCATACTATCAACAGACAGTCACCTGTTTTGCAAGCATGGCAGTCTCAATTTTCCAGCGAAAGCGTGATCTCATCTATCTCGTCTTCTTCATCGTGCATCTGCCGGTAATGCTAGGTAAGCACAGAAACTTGCATATTGAGCTTGTGAGCCCTTTACCTACAGCATTGAAGCAACACCGAATACACTACGACCAGACTTCTTCGTATTACGTTTTCTACACTGCTATTCGGTGGTTTCCTATCTCAATGCCCTAACCACCTACAACTGAGAAACGAACTAAGCAGTACTAACTTAACCACAGCATTTGACCTAACAGCCTACTACCCAATCCAAATAAAGCCACTCTGGATGTCCTCTTTACGCGACTGGTATATATCTACGTACGGCGATAGGTTCTTCTACAACGCCCCGGCCTGGTTTCCTATCCTGACCTTCCTTGAACTCGTCTACCATCTCCCCGTAACTATGTGGGCAATTCCTGCCTTGTTACGCGACGACCCCCGCGTTCCTCTTGCTCTCCTAGTGTTCGGTCTGGAGACGAGTTTGACGACGTTGGTCTGTTTGGCAGAGATGCTGAGTTGGGAAGAGTTGACGTCCGTACAGAGGGGTCTGCAGGGGCTGGGTGGTATGTACGGGGGTTACCTGGCTGCTGGTAAGTTATGTTATTGTGTTCATCAGAGCTACAGAGTGGAGTGTGGAGTGCTTTTCATTGGGCTAACGAGATCAGGTATCTTTATGACGCTAGACTGTTATGCAAGGTTGGATCAGATGATTGCGAAACAGCATCGAGGGCTGGAGCCGGTGACCAAGAAGAAGTTGTGACACTCTGATTTTCCTATGAGAAAGATCCAAGGAGATGGCCGTGACAGGCGGTGGTATATGAGCTAGCTACAGAGACCAAGTGTTACTGAGTTTATTCGACGATTAGGGGTAGTACATATGAAGTGAAGGGACTGAAGCCAAAGTATACGAACGAAGCTCTTGGGGGCATGAGCCCATCGAGTCAATACATGGCTACGTAACACGTCACTGTGCATAGATTGAGATATGTACGACATCAGTCCGGAAATACTTTGCATTGGAGCAGCGTGTTAGAATGATACCTGCCCGCCCCGGTGGTCATGTAATGATACAGAAACAACGTTATACCCATGCGCCACGTACTCCGCCAAGATTCGACAGAGCGTTTTTGTAACACCGACCCCATAAGCTATGTCTACCGTGACGCCGATACCTGTGTAATGACACTATCTCGTACACCGAGCGCCAATCGTTATCCTTACGCAGCTTCAAACGTATCCCAGAAACGCCAAAAACAAACACTACATAATCATCAAAACTAGCCCCAACATGAAAAGGATCAAATGTGATACAAACAATGAAACAAGAATGGCTACGCAACATAAGGAAGGAATATAAGAGTGATAGCTCTGTACAACACACCCGTTATCGTGGACCACGCTGATTGGAAGGTCGCAGCATGCACCTTGCCATAGATAGACTCTAACGTCAATCACCGGGTTCTTGTTCGACCCGACGATATTGGTAGCCGGCGGTGATGGTATACCCAGTGCACAACGAACTCATTGAGTCAGGCAATGTAACACCCAGCATATGCGCCTAATACTGCATAAATCGGTAGACTGCATATGTGTTTTCGTAGTATGCGTCGATGGCGGTACAGGGTCTGAACGTGTTCGCTCCAGCAGAATTGGTCGAGTTAACGGTGGGGGTTGGCTGGCTGCATTGAGATTTGCAGAAGTGTGTTGCCGCCGTAAATGTTCAGAGCTTGAGAGTGTGAGAGGAGAAGAACCGTTTTGAAAGCAAAGTACAGAGATTAGATGCAAAGGGAACCCAGAGAACGCCGCCCTTTTGTTTTTGTTTTGTTAGTAGAAGACTTTGATAGTCTTTTCGTCATCCACTTCTTCGGCCAACATCCATAGCTCATTAACCTTCTTGGCTGTGCCAGATCTTTCTTCGAAGTCTTCACCTAGCTTCATAACGCAGCTGAAAGCTAGACTCCAACCATTGACTCCAGCCGCATAGAACGCTTCCGCAACGGCAGCCTCGCGACTACCGCATTTGACGAGCTTGTAGATCTGGCGGCCGTTGAAGTGGGCACCATGAATGAACGGATCGCTAGCTTGACAAGTGCTGAAGACTAGGCAGTAGACGAGCGGAGTGCTCTCAAGGGCTTCAGACTTTGCGTCAGTACACTCATGACATGTCCCAGCATAGCCATCATCAACGGCATGTCCAGCAGCACATTCAAATATGTCATCGTCTGTTGGTGTCGTCATAGCCGCTGATGCCCATACCTTGGGCGTTTCTAGGCTCACTGGCCGTGCGTTGAGTAGGGGAAGTAACTCGTCCGGCGCCCATCGGTTCGCCTCGAGCGTCCTGATACTTCGGAGATGCGCTTTGGTAGGCTTCTCGTACCAGATCTCAGAACTGCCATGTTTCAGAAGCCACTCAAACTCCTTGTAATCCGCCACATGAGCCGGATGCCTTGTCATCAAGACATTGCGTCGAAAGGGCCCGATGCGGATTACGCGGCTTGCAAAGTCGGAGATGGACTCGCTAGAATATTGTACTTGAATGAACTGGTTCGGCGTGTCGGTTTCTATTGGAGGAATGAAAGACGTCACCAAGAGGCCGGGGGACGGCTCAGGTGGTGGGGGTGGTGGCTTGAAAGGGTCAGCACCGGATATCCCGAGAAGATGTATAACTTACTGGCGGTGGGAATGGGGCGGGAGGAGCCATGCCGGTCACGCTAAAGAAGGGCGGCACGCCCGGAGGTGGCGGAGGCGGCGGCTTCTACTGTCAGCTTACATCTTTGGCAAATAGAGGAAAAGTCGCAACATACGGGTGGAGGTGGCTGTTGCAGATGTCAGAATCATCCTTCACATCACGTCAGATATGACTTACTGGGGATGCCAATGGAGGGCAATTCTTCTCCAAACCCGGAAGGCCGGGTTTTGTTTGAACCGGAGGTCCCGAGATATAAGGGAAACCCATCTTGTTGAAAGAGTCCACCATCTCAGCCTCATGTTCTGTAGATTCACCAGGCTGACACCTTCCGAACAGTGCCTCGGTTGGATTCTTACTGACATTCATGGCGCCTTGCGAACCCGGGAGCGCAGCAACGTCTTTGGGAGACTCGACTGATGGTAGAGGTCCGCGGAAGGTAGACGGTGGAGTGCGATTCGCGTTGCTCCGGATTGTGGCTTCAGATCGATATGGTTCGTTCGAAGGCTCGCGGGATGATGCGATGAGGGTAGAAGATACGTTCTCAATGAATACAATGTCTTCGCCTTCCATGCCTGCGTTTCGTAGTGTAACGAAAGGTGATGATTTGGAGAGGGCTTCTATCAGAAGGTTTTATTCCTAGATTGAAGACGTCGTGAAACTATAGCTTTGTACGAATGAGAGCTTTCAATAGACTTATCGAGTCCTAAGGCTCAGAACCGTAGCTGAGTTGTCAGCCTCCGGGATGACTCTAGAAATGTGAGTCGTGGCAACAAGCTAGTCAAACGCAGAGCCCTTGGAAATGATGCAGGAGATGACCTGCCTTTTATTCTTGGGTAGTTAGCGCATATGCCGCAGCGACAAGGCCCAGTGCCTCGCTTTTTTGAGAGGGACCGTGACAGTGGCGCCACCGATCGCTAACCTTGCGTGGCAGCATCTTGCACGAGTGCCGATTACACCGTTAAGGGTATTCTTGCTTAACAGTAAGCTGGTATGTTGTACAATTGTGACTGCCAACGTTGAAAAGCAATGTTAGTACGGTTACATCAACCAGAAGATGAGCAAACGATCGCATGATCCATGACCTGTACGAAACCTTGAGAGGACAGAAATCTCCCCATCTGGTTGGAGTTCGATCGCAAAAGATCATGGGTCCCGCATCCTTCTACGAAGTGGTAGCGATGACGATTCGAGCGATTCCTTTTTCGAAGACTAAGGGTAGGGGCGGAATTACCCATGTTGTTGTCCTTCTATAGTAGACTGTTATTGGAGTCACTATGTCCGGTGATACCAAGACATCCTATCGGTCGGGTCTTGCATAGGACCGAAGTGAGGCTTGAACAAGGCGTCCATCAAGTGGTAATAATTGTCTGCATCAACCGCCTTGTAGAACACAGGATGATCTCGAGATCTCGTTACGATCAACACGGAAATGTTTCTAGGGCTCGGCCACCGCACTTGCAGCGGTAAGGATGTGTGACTGTGCGCGTTTTCGAAGCCTGTAGTACTGGCAGCCACTGATTCGATGCGCCTATCGTTATTGGTTCTCGGCAGCTACGGTGCATTTGGTGGAAACTCTCATTGGTAGCTCAATATTGCCTACTTGCTGAGCTCGACAAAAATTCTTGGAATCTTGCCCGAAACCTAATGTAAAGGCGGGGCCGAAGCTGAGTGGTAGTTTCGTTTCTGCTTTTCTTCCAGGGCGCATCAAGACCCGGGAATGCCTTTTACCCCAACATGCGGACTTTCGAGGAGAGTTCCTCGATTATAGCCGTTATCCAGAGGTTCGAGTCCAAAATAACAGCTAGGTCCATTCGGTAAGGGCCCTTTCCGAGCGCGCATGAGCGAATGGGCACAGGATATGCATCTGCTCTGCAGCAGCTGCATTATCACACCGCAATTGCGCCAAACCAAGGTACCCGCGTATGCGATATTGCAAGCGGTGAGAAATCTATGTTAAAACCGATACGGACGTTGATTGAGGCATCTATCAAGGCGTTTGATCACTCACTTAGGTTGCGAGCGTCGGGTGACGCACAGGCTTCCTGGGGGTAGTTACATTTCGAGGTTCACTGCCAAGGTGTACCATACCCTGGATGAGCTCAAGCATGTTCACCGGACGAGCATTCGTCGATCCATGGCGTACCCCAGGAACACTTGTTTGGAGTATAGTGAAGCTGGCTAGGCCGCGTGGACTGCATTTCCTCCAAACCTTAGCATATAGAGCGTGAGGCCGAAGAGCTTGGTGTGTAGATCGGTCGGATCCATAAAGCGAAAGGGAGGCTGTGGCTCAGCAACGTCCAAGTCGGTGTCTTCCATAAATGGGCCCTATGATCCTGAGGATGCTTCGTTATCATAGTAGAAGGCTTCCCGAAACTCGAAACCGAAATGGAGATGGAGATGGAAAATAGACTCGCAGAACAAGCGGCATGACTCGTTCTTATAGACATGATGCTGCTTATGGTACAAGACTATCTGAGGGATGGGCTGTACAGGTCAAAGGGCCGGCTGGTGCCTTGATTGTACTATAAAACGAGGCGGAAATGTGTATGATGAGTATAGAGATCTGCCGTCTTGAAATAGTAACGACAAGCGAGAGCAAGAGGAACAAGGAGGAGTACGTAAAGTAAGATTTCGAAAGAAGTCGGAATTGTATTTTTTCGAAAAAGGAGAGTGGAAGCAAGAAAGAAAACACATGTGAAGTCAAGATAGAGGTGGAGGACCTTCGGAGTTGGCCATTTAGGTAACAATGGGGGAAGCACGTGATTCTCGGCTTTAGCTTTGGACGCGCCCTGAGAGGATAGGCGTCATCGCATCTTCCCAAGCTCGCAACTCGACGCCGAAGGCATCTTCACATCGCCATCCCGCTCTACACACTCCCCTACCGTATCCGTTCACGAAAAGCTTGCGCTCAAGCACGCTATCGTATCGCCGCACGTAACCCCGTACACCATCGAACCAGCACATCAACAACCCGACAACCACAATGGCGAACGGGTCAGTCCTGCGCAATGAAGCTCTACGACATACATCCGGCTAACGTAAGCAGATGGGCACCTATCATCGGCCTCATAGTCACCGTCATCTTCTGCGGCGCAGCCTGGTTCCTAGCTCCAAAAGGCGAGAACCAAACGTACGTTCACAACATCTCTTCGTCCAAGATCACACCCACGCCTACAAAGCCCTGCTTGCGCACCAAGACCTCTTTAGAGCTGCTCCTCGCCATGCATGAGAATCGAAGTGCAGGTGGAGGCAGGCGCGTCCATTTCACCGACGACACGAGCAGCGATGGTTACGAGAGCGAGCAGCCATCTTGATCCACATTTGAGACGAGGACTTGAGAACCAGGAAGGAAGTGACAGACCTTGGGCTAACTTTTATGGATAGGGTCTGGCGATCTACACTTGTACTGTCTGCCGCTGCCATGTATCTCATGTGGGCGATTACCTTCCTCGCGCAACTCCACCCACTTATCTCGCCCATTCGAGGCGACTTACGACCAGAATATAATGGAGGACGTTAGCGTATCGCACTCGCAAATGTTCAAGGCGCGAGACATATGCATGCGAGAATGAATGATGGCATGGGGTAGCCTGCACTAGACGACAGAAAGCGCTAGGGCATGTAGCGAAAGGATGCATCATACTAGAGCAGCCGTGTACTGGGCGAGTCGCATCTAGGGGCTGTCGATTATGGGCACCCAAGACAGTGCATGACAGGATACTTGAGCGCATGTGTATAATTGGTTTGGCGTATTACGGAGCTTCTTGGCTTGTACAAATATCAAATGGGTATCATTGCTTGCAACCAGAACGCTCATGACTATCTCTTCGCGCCCTGCCTTCAAGAAGCGCTAATCGCGTTTCCCACCCAATCCCAAACATTCCCGGCAATCGTCCACTCGCTCAGGTACCCTTCCCACCCCGTTCCCAAGCCCGCTGCTCTCAGTATACCCCAGCCCACGAGCGTTCTCAGCCCCGCCCCAATACCGACCAGAACACCCGCTCTGAGATACCCACAATCCATGAGTATCTCCAACGCAGCGATGTTGTTCACTATCACCGCCCAACTGACCGCCGTCGCGGAACTAGGCAAATCATAATCCCAGATAATGAGCAATATAGGAAACAACTTCGTACAGCTGCTAACGAGCAGAGCAGTAGACAACGGCGTCGGAGAATGGAACTGTGGTATACATCTCTGCCAGAGTCTGCGCGCCGCACTGGGTAGACGCTCCGCGTCAAAAGCGCACAGAAGCCGTATCGGTAGATGAAAAGCCAGCGTACATAGTGTGACCAGACAGAGGAAGAATAGGTATTGTACGCCGAGTGGATGCGCTTGTAGTACTACCGCGTTTTTTATACCGTCATGTGGAGGTAAGAGCGGACTTGTCGACGTGATGTTCGCAGAGGAAGAAGAAACCGACGAGGGATGGTACGGCGATGTGGTAGGCAGAGGCAGAGGCAGTTTCTCGATACGCGCCCATGTCAGGTAGACGTCGAAAAGGAGGAGCAGTATGCCTAGTCGTAGAATGGAGCGCTGTATCTCATGTTAGTCTCATGGCTCTCTCTCTCTCTCTCTCTCTCTCTCTCTCTCTCTCTCTCCTCATGCAAAGGAAGCTAAATTCACACGTACATCAAACCGACTATCATCCCTTCCCAACCGATTAAACAGCAAATGCCGATAAACCTCCGCCTTGATCAACACCAGATCAATAAACAGAACTACGAAATCATGTTCCACGTATTTATCCGCAAACTTCTTGCACACAGGGCATTGTGTTAGGCGGACACCTTTCCCGAGGGCTCGGTCATCGGCTTTGGAGTACGTTGTGTAGAGCGTGCGCACGGGGGTGCGGCAGGATATGCATATCGGCATTGCGGAGAATGGAGAGATGTGCCGGTGTTACATGGCGTGGGGAGGTAAGATGGGGTTATGTGTGTTGCTTGCGACGTGAGATGTGGGGTTGTGGAGTGCAGGTGGAGTGTTGGAGAGGATGCGGAAAGTGACGATACTTGGGGGAAAGCATTTGGCACGGTGTTTAGGGTGGGGGCTTGTTGCTAAAGTCCGGCAACAAATTCGTTGGCTAAATAAACCATGTCAAAAGTCTCACGCATTCATTCAGACGTGCTTCCATTACAATGTTTCATTCAAGAATACGCTAGCCTTGATTATGCTCCGTTTTCGTCTTATGTCCTACAAGATTGGTTGTAATACATTCAATGCTTTTGACGCCAATCCCCGTACTCATGCACCTATTCAACGCCTCGCACTGCAAGAATGGTAACGAAGAGAGAAAAGAACCCAAAATACACAATCATCGCTTCTGTATATCTTCACAACCCTTCGGCTTTGCCTCCTTGCTCCTCAGCTCACGGCTTTTCAGCGCGCGGCTTCCTCGAGCATGGCACTGAGATCCCTCGCACGTTGGATCCAGGCCTGGTCGTCCATGTCTCGCCCCAAAACATCGCTGCTCAAGATGATGCGCATTACCTCTGCAAGACCGATGGCGTTCTCTGGACCGCCGAATAGCGCGCCAGTTCGTCTGCTTACTGCACCCCATTGCTCTACAAGGTAGATGATCCACTTAACGAGCAGTTTGCGGTTGCGGCCAGCAAAAGGCTGTTCTTGCGCATACCACAGCGCTTCCAGAGTGGCGACCAGGTTCTCAAACGGCGCTTGAAGTTTGAGGAAGACATCGATCGGCCATGTGAGGTTGGAGTTGAGTGCAAGATTCTGCGCATTCGGCGCATTAGCATCGTGTACGTAGAACTCGAGGTCGTATTGGAGAAGAAGCTGCAGGACGATGTTCACTGGGAAAACGTTGTCGTTGAGGTTGGTACGGTGACCGAGGTCCTCGACCTTCAATGCGACAATCTCCCAAGGCGCCCCTTGACGATCGGCCAAAGCGTTTCGATGAGTTTGATCAATAAGGTTAGTCCATGTCGAGCGGATATCAGGTACGTTGCGGTAGTCGGCAGCGTGGTAAATTAGTAGACATATGTCGTAGTATGCTGCTTGGTCGGCATAGTCATGGTAGAGCTAATGAAGTGTTAGTAAAATTATCACTGGTGATGTATCACATTAAACTTACTTCGTCGAGTGGGTGGATCTGGCCGTTGAGGTGATCAATGACATCTTCCCTTCGCTTACCGCTAAGTCGCTCATCGCCCTTGATTCTTTGCAAGACATCATCTTGGATGTTGGCAATGTCTAGGTGGTCGCTAATGTTTCTTAGGAGCTCCTGTCTTGACTGCCTGTTGCGCACCCCATTCTCTGCGAAGCCATTCATCCGCGTAGAAGCATTGGCCTTTGCACGCGACAGATATTCTATCCTCTTCTCGAGTGTCAAGGGTAGGGTGCTCTTTGCGAGCTGGTATTGCGTCTCAGCAGCACTAAGGTAGTCGTTATAGTGAGCGTAGTAGCGCCACAACAGATCTGCATGTGCCAGGTTTGTCTCCGAGCTTTGCCGCAAGTAGTCGACTACGAAAGGAGAGTTGATCTCCAGCAACCGCTCGGCCCAGCCGTTCTGCATGTACCAATCGTACAAGTAGTTTTGAAAGACCTCGTCGTCCGAATTGTTGATCTGCTCGTACGCTTCGTGCTTGCGACGAGTGACCTGTGAAATGACACCGTCGGGTACGGGGCCCTGGGTGTTGTACGCCTGATCTACAGCTTCAATAACCTTACAGATCAGCGTGTAACAAGAGGCGCGCTTGTCGAAGTACTCTCGGCGCGCGTCATTCGGGTCGACATTGCTGTCAGTCTTGTCTCGAATCCAAGACAGAGCTTTGTTACCCCGGTCCCATTCTTGAGCAACCTTCAGGGCCAGTCTGATAGCACCTAAGTGAGTCGTTAGTACTGTCCAAACGCAGATTGTGTAACGAGCTTACCAGCATAGAACTCGAGTTGAATGTACTGATTGACTGTGGCAGCCAGGTTCTCATAACTCAGACTCTTCGCCACCTGCTCGAATAGTCTCAGACTGTCGTTGAGCAAGATGCGTCCGCGTTCAGCATTTGCACCGGAATCGGCAGCCTTCTTCAGACTCTCTTGCGCCTTGAAAATGACAACATCGTCGGAACTGCAGAAGCTGCCACACTTCCTCCGCAGAGCTTCGGCAACTGATTCAACGTTGGAACCCTTGGTGATGTTGCGGTTTACTATTGCCTTAACCAGCTCCCTTGCGATCTCTCTGCCTTCTTTGACAGAGAAGAGACCGTGGAAGGTGAGTTGACGCACTCTACCCTGTAATTGAGGATCAGGCAGCAGTACCAGGATATCTTCCAAGCGCTCTTCGAAGAGCACCAGGACGAAAGATATGCCTTCGACAATGTTGTTGATCATCTGCAACAAACTAGTGAGCGCCCTGTTTTCGCCTTGGAGCTCGACTTCTTCTTGTCGCGATGACGCGCGACCGAGTGCCTCTGGCCCAGCCAAGCCTTCAATAAAGGACCTGTTTGATTCGAGGAACTCCTGGAGCTGAGCCAAAGAACGTTGAACTTCTTGCAACTTGGCGATCGGATGTGTTGATGTGAGGACAGGTCCAGTCGGTGTGACAGCCTCGGTAATGATGGGCGTGTTCCAAATGGATCGGACGATGCGTGACACATACATAGCAATGCCATCGTGCCTTGGTGATGCGCGGACGTTCTCTACACTCAAGCCTTCTACTGTCGCGCTCTCTGTTAAATGCGCTTTCCCGCCAAATTCAATAAAGACTCTGCGAGCAAAATCAATAACCTCGGGATCAGTAACCTTTGCGATTCGCGAATCGGGTCCAACGTCCGAGCCTTGACCGCACGCAACAGCCAAAGCGGTAGCAGAGGTCTCGGCCAAACCGTACTGCTTCGCGAGCTTACGAATGTCGCCTTCAGCACCCTCATGACCTCCGTTCTTCACAATAGAAGCAAATATGTCAACAAGCCTTCTTCGTCGGACCGTTTCGATGCCGTGCGATGTGATGATGGCGTACTCGCATAAGGGTTTGTCGAATTGGGTCGAAAGTTCATTGCCAAAACCCAGAGGTTCATTCCGAGCCGAGAAGGGTTCCGACACCAAGCCAATATCCTGCACCCTCCCTACCAGTTCTGTATACAAACCAGTCTCGGTGTATCTCGGAGGTTCTGAGCTTTCTCGCTGGCCCAGCAGCCCAGAGTGTGGAGCGGAAACAAACATGTGATGGTTTTGGTCGTTGGGGGATCGAAGAACAAAAGAGAAAAAGGCACCGGGCGCGTACCGTGTTGCGACGGTAGTCTCCCTAAGGTATCTCGACTCGAATCCAACCGCTGTGCCCCCTTGGTAAGGCTGTACCTGAGTCGAATTGCCCTGCTGCGAAGGCTGGCCGTCATTTGGAGGGAATCGAATATGTCGTAATTGCATACTGTTTGGTGCGTTTATGCTGTTGGCGCTCCATTGTCCACCAGATGTCGTGCTCAGGTACAGCCTACACCCGGAGGATGTTGTGGCCATCAAAGATAGATTGTCCGCTTCTGTACTTGAAATGGGACTCAGATGGACAATCTGCATCTTGTCCAAGGCGCCTGTCGGCCGTACAATATGCCCACACATTGTCTCGATCTGTGTTCGTGTCCGGGTGAGAGAGCTCTCCAAGACATTCGGCGCGCGCATGTAGTAGACCTTGATGGTACCGTTGGTAGAAAGGGTGTACAGGACGTTGCGTGTATCGTCGATTACCATCTGCTGGATGCCGGCTTGTCGCGTCGGTCCGTAAAATGGTAGTGCGGGTAGGCCGATGGACGTTGTGACGTGGTTCGTCTTGCTGCACTTGCTGGAAAACCACTTGTCTTCCTGCTGATAGTTCAGCTCGTATACGTCCTCGGTTTGGCCATCGCCGAAGAAGATGCGCCCGGTTGTTGTCGAGCCGGCGATTGCAGTCACGTTGATCTTCCTGACCGAGGTCGACAGTCCCGTCCGGTACATTGTGATGGCATGAACGCCCTCGGGTCCTCGCTGGCATTCCACGGCTATCAGGAAGATGTCTGAAACAGTCGCGACCACGAGTAGGTATTCGATAGTGCCAACAAAGACACCAGGACGCGGCTTGACAAGCTTGACACATGTGATGTTGCTTGGTTGCTCTTCGAATCCAACGAGTTCAGGGTTCGGATGTGTGTAGTCCCAGAGGTAGACCTGGTTGTCCACGACGACCCAGGCGTGGTTAATCTCTGCAAACAGGCCCATACTCGTCGACATCTGCGTGTGGTCTACCTGCTCAAAAACGGCCTCTGGAAGTTTGTAGGACCGCAACTTCTGGAAAGGGGCCCATGCCGGACTATTGGGTATCTCGTACTCGCCCGAGATGCCCTCTGCGCGGCTTCGTTAGCATCTCACCAAGCTTCTACTACTACTGTTACGTGACTACTCACGTCCAATGTACGCCTCTAAAGCGGGAAACCTGTTGTCTCGGTCCAGCATGCTGTTTATAGTCCGCGATGCGCGATCTATGGGACTCTCTGTTGGCGGTACAGGCAACGCTTGCTGTTGCTGTTGCTGCGGCTGTGGTTGCGACATGGAGCCTGTTCTCGCGAAGCCAGGCCGGTTGGGCGCAGGTGTGTTGACGAAAGCGCCGGGGGTGGGGCGTTGCGGAGTCGCGGGCGCCATCTGGAAGGCCATGATGGATTGTGTATAGGGTTCAAGTGTTGCGCTGGTCGTAGCCCGGGTGAGAGCGAGCTTCAGATGGAGGTTGGGGGAACGCGCCGGGGAGATGGCGTGCACATGAGCTGCGCGCGGATGTTTAGATGATGAGAAAGTAGGAAAAGCGCACAGAGTAGAAGGTCAAAAAAAGTGCTCTGGCGCAATTGCGACGCTGAGGCTCAGGTACAAGCTGCAAAAGTGACGGCGGTCCACAACAAAAGAGATGCTTGGCGCGCAGGGATGCTAGCTATTCGCGTCAGAGCGCGTTAGGGTAGTCCAAACTTTTGTGCTTTCAATGTTTGACTGTCGACGTTTCACAAGCCCCAACTCAATCTCTCCGCCTGCGAACATATTCGTATTCTAGCTGGTTACATACGCTGTCGGTGGTCGCCCCTTCCAGTTGCAGCCGCTCCTGCCTCACACCATCCAACAACACTCACAACACCCATCATCATGTCATTATTTCGCACCACAATGCTTCGGAGGCAGCTTCTCACTCCTCCCCGATCCATGTGTCTCCGCTACTCATCCACTTCCACCTCGGAAAACATTGTTCTCCCCCGCCTGCAGTCCGACCTCAAGACGGCCATGCGCGCAAAGAACAAGCCTGCCCTGAACGCAATTCGTGCTCTGCAAGCCGAGATTATAAACGCCTCAAAGACTGCCAAGCCAATCACTACTGATGGAGCCCTCTACTCCCTCATCCAAAAGCAGATCAAGTCCTCTTCGGCCTCAATTGAAGAATTCCGGAATGCAAAGAGGGAGGATCTGGTTGAAAAGGAGCAGGCGCATTTGGACGTACTGAACGGATATGCTAAAGAAATCCCGACAGTTGAGGAGAGCGAGGTTGACGCGTTAGTGAAGAGCGTGGTTGAAGGCCTAGAGGAGGGTAAGAAGAATTTTGGCAGCGTCATGGGCAGAGTCATGGGAGGCATCAAAGGACGACCATTTAACCTCGAGTATGTCACAAAGAAGATAGAAGAAGCGGTTGGGGCCAAATAAGCGACATGATGCGCTGAGTGGGGGCGGGATGAATTGTAGAAAAACTGTACATATTCCATGTAGACTATGGACGTCTCTCCAAACGAGGTAACGAAAGATACGGCCAGATTACGACACTGAAATGATGCCTTGATGATTGCTTTTTCCCGGGGTGAGCAGACCCATCAGCTTAGTGGACATTTCGCTTTGCGGGGTATCGTTACCACTTGCTCGTGGCCTCAGAACGTGGCAGCTTTGACAGTCCAACATGGCAAGGGTTCATCGAAAATTCCAAACAAGTCGATGCATTCGGACACCCGGGCTGCGGCGTTGTAGTACAACTACATCGTGGCTGAGGCAGCACCTAAGCGGATAACTGCGCCGCGATCCGCTTCCAGGCTTCGGGGCTTTGACGTCATCGGTAGTCAAGGCTTCGTTTTGCGGGCATGCATCCCATCGAATGCGGTCAATGACAGACACTGACGGTAAGGATAGCCTGGCGTGCTCAAGGGTCTTTGGGTAACAAGGCCAAGTATTTTATCTCCCGACGATGCTCAAGAAGATGTAAAGACCTCACATGACAGTGGGAACTGCCCAACATCAGCCCGAACCCACATGGATTCACATGAAACTGAACCATGGGGAACTCCGCGGCAAATGAGAAACCAAGGCACATCAGGGGTGCGTCCCTTCAGTCATGGCACAAGTTAGCGCCCAGGCCAGATGCAGGGAGTGCAGCATGCGCGAGCGCCGATGACGAAGCCCGTCGCGAATCCTGCATCTAAAGTTGGTCGCACCCACACACCACCAAATCTCCGGCGAGACTTGCATCCAAGGCACTTATATTCTCGTTGACCTGCTTGTTGCGTCGCCGTCAATCCGTCGCATTGCTGTTGCTGGCGCTCCTAGTAAACGCCCTGTTCCCTTGTGACATCTTCCGACGCATAACCGGCAGCCCCGCACCATACCTCATACATCATACATCATCACCCAACCACTGTTGAGCCGCATTTGACCACTCAGCCATGTCGGTGTACCGCTCCTCAACGGGCAACTTGGACCGCTTCGAAGAGCCACCTCGTGGCGGTGGTGAGCGATGGGATCGCGAAAAGTTTGAGCGCATGAGAAGAGGTGGAGGAGGCGGCGGCGGCGGCGGCGGCGGCGGTGGAAGTATCGCTGGCGGTAGTAGCCGTGGTGGTCGCGATGAGTACGACCATTACCGCTTTCAGGAGCATGACCGCTTTCCTGGAGGCCATCGCGATGTTGACTTCCATGAAGACCGCGCACGCAGAGGCCCTGCTGTCATGGAAAGAGAACGCTTTCACGAAGATGAGCGTTTCGCCCGCCCCCAGCGCCGCGCCCCCTCCGAGCTGTTCCACGAGCCCACTCCATCCGAAGTTGCCAACCAGGCGCTTGCCCCCTACCGCCGCAGGTCCGTCATCGACAAAGACATCAACATTGATATTGACATCAATGAGCGCCGGGCGCCAGCCCCTCGCCCGCCTCGCCCGGCACGGCCGCAATACATCCGACGACAGTCATCTCTGGACACTTTTGACCGTAAGCCCCTGCCACGGTATGGCGATGTAGAGAGATATGAGAGGTATGAAGACCACGAATACCGACCACCAGCCAATGTCCCTATCCCGCTTCCTATTCGCGAGCGTCGGCGATCACCCCCTCGCCGTTTTCACGAGGAGGATGACTTTGAGGAGATCCGATACGACGACCGTGGCGGAAGGGGCCGGGAACGAGAAGACTACCGCGAGGTCGAGGTTCACCGTGAGAAGAGCAGAATCCGAAGGAGCAAGAGCGTAGCAGCCAAATCGACACGCAGCTCTTCCATCTCCAGTTTTGAAGAGATTCAGCCTTCCCGCGCGACGTGGGGCAAGAAGGGCAAGACGAGACTTCCCAAGCGCCTGGTCAAGAAGCAAGCCGTTATCGACTTGGGTTATCCGTTCGAAGAAGAGGTATGCCATTCACACACAATATTGGAATGTCACTGATCATATTAGGACGACTTCATCATTGTTACCCGAGCACTCGAAAAGGACCATATCGATGAGGTGATCAAAATCAGCGAGAGCTATAAAGAGGGTACGCACTCGATTCATCCTTTGACGATCTTTTCTAACCATCTACAGAGAAAATTACCTACGTTTATGAGGACAAGCTCGATGAAGCTCCACCGCCGCCAGCCTCGGTTGCACCACCAGCTTCAGTCGCTCCTCCTCCGCCGCCTCCTCCTCAAGAATTCTATCCTCCTCCACCGCCATCTGTATTACACGCTCCACCTCCACCTCCGCAAGTGGTATACGCACAACCACCTCAGGTTGTATACGCTCAACCGCCGCCGTCTCACCACGCGCCAACTGTCTACGCACCATCAGAACGTGCCCCCTCACCATCCATCCACGAACACGAGCGTTACGTCGAAATCGACCGCTCAGCCGCCATCCATGGACCGGCAACTTCTTTCCTCCCAGAAGGCCGCCAACTCGTCCGCCGAGACGACCGCCGTTCGGAGCGCGAAATCCGCGACGAGATCCGCTTCCTGGAGGAGGAACGCCGCATGCTCAAGTACGAGCGCGAAGGCGACCGCGAGTATGAGTTCGTCGAGCGTACTCCCCGCAAGGAGGTTATGCGCGTTGACAGAGATCGAAAGGGTAGGTTAGCCCTTGTTCGCTCGGCCCATTAGAACGACTCGTTGATATTCGGTGGTTACAGTTGTACGAAAGGATCGCCCAAACCCCAAGATTGTGGCGCTGGCTATGGGGACACTGTCTTGATCGGTCGATTCAAACCACTGGACCAAAACAGGCGTCAATATCCCTGGATCACTATTGCCAGGACCCGGAAGAGAGTGGTACTGGGATATCGCAACAAAGCTTCTTTTTCATGTCTATTTATGAGTTACGGCCGGCTATTTGGGATACTTCTTCTTTTCTCGATCTCTATTGCACATGAGGACTATTTTTCTTTCAAGACGCGGATATACAGGCAAATGTCATCATGTTTCGGATTCATGGGCAAGTTACGAGTTATGTATGATAATGAATGATTACGACTACAAAGCATGTTTTGATATCAATCTGATTGGGTGACATATAGACCCATGATATTCATAGGTTATGTCGAGTTAGTAACATACTAGGTCTATATTGTCTTTTCTTCGAAGCGAAAGTGCCCACTATTCCTTTAAATGTTACATGCGACATGCACGACAGAGAAACCCCAATCAACAGTCACGGAAAGAGCATTTGTCTCGCACATCTCCCTACCACGTAAATAGAGCCCAGAGAGACTTGTAGTCATCAATCTGACTCCCATTACAGGGCATGAGGATCCACCTCGACAATCGGTCCCGTGTACGACTTCTTGGCGAAGAGAAGATAGTACGCCACGCTGAACAAGGCAACGGACCCTGTCACCACACCAGCCCAATTCATATGCACAAGATCAGGGCTGACCTGGCTCGGCCAGAAGCTGAAGAAAATAATCAAAGTAAGGTAGCAAATAGCCACGACATTGTTGACAACACCCCACGCACCTTTGAGACGCCAAGGACCCCAGGTCAGGCTGCGATCGTAGGCCTCGTCGATTTGGGCTTCATTGAAGATGGTAAGCGAAGAGTCAGGATTGTCCAAGTCTCCGCGGAGCCGGCGCCAGAGGAGAAGACCGATTGCGAGGAGATAGGAGAGGTAGAACCCTTCCAAGACAAGGGATATTGTCCCGTTGAAAGCAGCGCTGTTGCCGATGTTGATGAGAGCGAGTAGTGCGGCGAAAACGGTGACGACTAGGATGGATACCACGGGAATTGTGCTGCGGTTTTCGATCTGCCATTTGTCAACTATAGACTCTTTAATACTTTGTCAGTGCGGATACTCACCATGCTGAGAGCGCGAGAGAAAGGAAGACCACGGTCTCGGGCAAAAGACCAAGTCATACGAGATGCAGCTGCCAAGCACCCCATCGCGCTACAAAATTCAAGAAGAACAATGATTGCGACCATGACGGTAGCACCAGCCTCGGAACCGACAGCGTCTTTGAATATGCGGAGGAAAGGCGCGGTCGCCGCATTCTGATCGCCAAGCAACTCTGGGATATCGTGCGCGCTGAAGAGAACAGCGAAAAGCATACCTAATGCTAATGTACCATTGATAACAAGACTGAGAAGCATTGAGCAAGGGACGTCGGTGCTGGCATTCTTGACTTCTTCAGACATCTATTAACCTTAGTCAGATGTGATACAAGGGGCTATCTGGCTTACATGAACAACTGAATCTGTTCCAACAAATGCCAAAGCATTACCTTGAAGCCCGACGAAGAAGGCTAGAGTCTGCGTGCTCCAAGCACCCTCATTATGGAATGTCGTGAAGATCTGCTTAGCAGAGTTGTGGGTAGGAGTCAGGTATACTAATGGCACCAGAATGCCGAAGAAGCCAAGGATGTGGACGATCAACACAATGACTTCGATGGTAGGAAGCGCCCCGCTTATGAAAATATTGATGAAGACACACAGAAGCAGTATGGCCCAAAGGAGCAGTGTGCCGTGCCAGCCTTCTCGAGTATAGGTTCCGTCTAGATCGTTAAGACTGACAAGCTGGAGAATCAAGTCGGCAACGAAGTAGCACACGGAAGTGAGAGCTGCTATCCAGCCAATGACAGTGAGCCAGCCTAAGAAGAATCAGAATTAGACTGATAATGTATTGAGCGTTGAACACACCAGTCAAGTAGCTGAAGAACTTCTTGTTTGATCGTGGCGCCAACAAAGAAACCCAATGATATTGACCGCCAGCAGTCGGAACTGCGCTGGCAAGCTCGCCGATACAGACAAAGACGGAGAAGTTACCCAGCCATATTAGTATGAAACCGTATATGAGACCAGCAGGTCCACCGCTGTAATGTCGTCAATCGCTGTCCAGGATATGGAGATATCGAGCACCTACTTCGTGAAGCCTATAGAAAAGATGCTGCTATGACTTCAGCGAAGCTTTTCGTAATAGTCACTCACACTTACACAAGCAAAGTCTCCCAAGTGCACATCAATCCACACGAGAGACCAGTCATTGACACCAGTCCGAAGCGGCGCTAACATTATCAGACTCGAGAAATACGTGTTTCCGAAACAGAGCATACCTTTAGCACCTGCTCCTTTCCCACTCTTGCCAACTCATGCCTGTCGCGATCAAAATGCTGGCCTTTTCCTTCCGAGATGGACCCTCGGCCCCTTTGCCGCATAAGTTCACGATTGGTCGTCTGCAGGTCAACATGCTTCTCCATGGTGACCTTCGATCTAGCTCTTTAATTCACGACGTGTTGAGCAACTGGAAGGTGACCAAAGCAGTTGGCAGTAACAAGTCTCCAGCAAGCAAGCAGACCAGGAAAGGAAAGAAGATACCTGGAAGGTGTGTCGTGATACAGGACAGATGCAATGCAAGTCAATCTCTATATATATCATTTCCAAAGGTAACATGAGCCGTGTGCACCGGCAAAGACGGTAGAGGCGAGGGCTAGGAGGCGGTCGCTCGGCAATGCAATCAAACGTATGGAAGCTAGACACAAAACCAGCAATTTGCACCGCAAAGGCAATTGAAGGCTCTCTGCAGTAACGGCGGCAACTCACAAGTCGACGTATCGCACCGCAGTCGTAGTTTCAGCGACGGCTCCACAGTAGACGGGCGTTAATTGGCGCTTAGGTTGCACGATTGGGCTGCCGAAACTGCAAAAAGCGGTGGCATGCATAGATTGCAGATCCCTTGTTCGCATATCTTGGAGATGGCAGAGGCGAATGAGGTACCTCCTGGTCTTTTTCGCGTATTTGTCGAACAGCATGGGCTACGCTGGAACTGGCAGATGCATGTCTGCACCCGGTCGTCACGCTGTGCATATGCCTAGGAAAGCAGCGTTTGCAGTGCCTGCAACTAACAAAAAGCTCGTCATAGTTTTCTATTGCAAAAAGGGGCTCGTGAGGAACCTCGTCAGCGCTTGTTACTCAACGTGCGACGATGGGCTATCATAGTCTCCTTGTGGTATGTGGACCAAGGATAAGGCATGCGGCAAGTGGCAACAGCAACGGCTGTCATACCGTTAGGATCGAAAGCCGAGACACTCCACAGATTTGTTGTGGTACGGAAATGGTCAAAGAGCGTTGCGGTGGTTGGGGGACGGAGGGAAAGTGGATCATTTCATGCTGTGCGATGCTAGTTAGTCATCGTCGGCCCACGTGGAAAGCGACTCTCTATTGCATCCCCGCGGTTTCAACGGCTATCATGACGCATCGCGACGTCTTACCCAGCGGTTTAAGCCACACGCGTGCTAGCGATGCGCGTTCTACCAGATTATGTGTGAGCGGGAAGTGGGCTGCCGGTACTCAAGCCGATCTCCAAGTGGCATCCAGCCATTCTCTCCCTTCCCCGTCCTGCACGTCTCAGCATGACTGTCATGACGTCTCACTACAATCGGGAACCTGTGCAGATGCATGCCACGCTTGCTGCATGCTTCTGTCTACTCTTGGATGCTGACATTTGCAGCTACTGGTATGCCGCATTACATCTTCGAGCAGCACGCATGAAACGGTCCTTTTGCGGCATACTACGGAATACGAAAGCTCAAAGAGGCACACAACTTCTTGTTGACTGGAACAAGCACGGACCTAAGTTTGAGTACGGACCTCAGATTGGGCGTTGACCTGATCGATTGCCATCTCTGATCTCTGGTGAGTATGCAACCTATGAGCATCATGGGATCCGACTCGCGAGCACTTGGTCAGAGAGTCTCAAGAGTCAAGGCGGTCGGTATCACCCTAAAATATTGAACGGCTCATTGGACTTCAAACTAGGACGTGCGCGTGGCTCACGGGCTATGGTACAGCGGAAAGTCCATATTGCTTGCAGGACTGCGATACCGCTTCACTGGATGATTGCAAATGGCTTTCCAAGCATTGTTTTATAGTGTTCGAATGGTCCGATTGTGTACAAGAGAGGTCCCTATTGATGCTCTGTCGGAGAGTCGTACCTGAGACATCATGAAGAATTATGGTCCATTTGGTTCTGGCAAGATATCATTGTTCCAAGAAGGTAGTATCGTAAAATCCTCGCTTCAACGCACGATCGCAATCTCATCACTAGAAACATCACGACTCTTCACCTCCGCCTCCTCCCATTGCGCACCAACAACCGTAGTCTTCAAGATCTTGGAATGACTTCCGGTACTGGCTGTCTCCCATCTTTTGTTATCCCACCGTTTCTCATATCTGTGGTGTACAGCCGTTATTCCAACACCCATCCCGCCGTTGAGATGAGGAGGGCCTTCAGGAACACCGGACGCGGAATCGGCATTTGTCGTTTTCTCCTGTGAGAGCATTGGTAAGAAGCGTTTGATTCCGCTACTTTCCATCTGACTTCTGCGACTATGTCTTATTCCAGCACCCACCTTTGAAGCAGTGCTTGAGAGTTGATACGAGCCGCTTTTACTGCGCGAGTAGCCATGCTCCGAGGATGTACCTCTACGCCGTAGCTCGTCGCTACCATAGAGGCCCGATGGGACAGATTCTAGGAGCGGACGGAGGTAGGGTACACATGATGTGAGAATGGTGATGCACTCAATGATCTGTGTGACAAGTGTCCATTCCCAGAGGTCTCTGGTCGGGTTAAGTGAAGTGAACCCACCAAGGTAGGCCATCTGGACTGCGGATGCTACGATATCTCTGCAATATGTCAATAGGAGAAAGTTGTGGTGAAGTGTCTTGTGACTCACAGTGATCGCGCACCGAAGAATGTCAGGATAGTGATCTTCTTACTCATGTTCATCTGTAGCGTCATGATGACATGTACTGGAAACAGTATCAAAGCCAGATCCGTCATTATGTTGACGACACTCACTGTCTGCCAGAAGGCAGCCTGAAGAAACTATCAGCAGCAGTCGTAGATACACCAAAAACTCTTGCAACATACTAAGTCAAAGCAACTTCCATCTCGAGCAAGAAAGCGCCACGGCTCTGCAGCGCCACACTGAAAAGCCGACACGACCTCGGACAGTGCGCTCCATAATGCGATGAAACCTATCAAGCCCAAGCCCAAGTTTCGATGCAGCTTCGAGGCAGTTAGGATCATTAGCAGCGAGATGATGGATAGTTTCGCGAAACATAATGTTGCAATGTAGAGCAACTTGTTCGCATAGTCGGCCTGTAACGCGATCAATAAGTGACTTCGCATCGATGAGACCCAGCCAGATGCTTACTTGTTGATATACCACAATTTGAATATCAGTCATTTCCTGAATATCTCGTCCAAGACCACTGCCGGTCTGCACGCTGACCGATACACCAGAGCCTATACTCGCAACCTATTCAAGACTGATCAGTAAAAAAAAAACATTTACGTACGTTGAGCAATGGCATTTTTAATGACGCACCAAAGCCAGCAGAACGAAAGCATCGTCAACATCAAGGCTCCTTTCGAGTGCACGCTTCGTAATAAGCCTAGTTAAGACAACCAAAGCAGAAGTGATCAAGAGAATCCAAGTAACAACGTTTACAAATGGACCGACATCCGCGCTACTTCCGGGTTGGCGCGGGAGAGGGTGATGAGAAGAAACAAAGAGAGATGGGACCATCATCGCATCGTATCTGTGGTAATTAGATTAGACACCAGCAAGAGCAGCGTAAATCTCCAAAGAAACTGCTGCGGTAGGAACAGCCAGCAAGAAACAATAGACTCGATACGCGTCGGAATGTGCGAAAAAAAAGCACCAGTCAAAGTGGATGCTCATGTAATCAGGCGGCTTGTACGTATGGATAACGAGCTTCCCAACGCCCGTATCCATCTGATAGAGGCAGAGTGCCAAATGTCACCAGGTAGCCTTCGGTTGGGAAACACTAAAAATCAACATAGCACATACTGTCGTTGCCCGCCCTTCACCTTGGGTGCGACACATACTTACAAACGAGGGAAGTCGATTAGATTGAGAGCTGGCTGGGGAAGGGTCTGCTACACTGGGAAGTAGTCGTACAGTGTTACACAAGTGTAGCCAAATAGAGGGACGAGTATGCAATGACGACTAGACACTTGTGTATCCTCGATGGAACTTGCCTCCCTGTGGAAGGGGTATTTATACTACATGGTACGAAGTCTGGGTGAGCCTGATATATGCTGGTAAGTTAGTTTAAGGTACATGTCGGGCACTAAAATAGTAAGCAGCATCGTAAAAGCCGGTATGTTAGCTAGGTAGCTTGGACGACGCCCATCATCTTGCAATCGCTTGCTGGCCCGCTCCAGGGTCTGCTAGCCTTAGTGAAGCCTTCCAACAGGTTAGGCTCGGCGCCGTATCACGCATGTTTGTTACGCGCGATTCAAGAGTGGTGTTACAATCCGGTGGTGGAACATTTGCCAGCACATCTTGTGCGATGTCCCATTGATACGCAAGCTCTCAGTTGGGTGGCCGTTCCCGCGGTGGCGCTATCTGTCAGATGATGGCTTCTCACAGGTTGTTGCACGAAGAAATTTGTGGAACCCGCCAAGGCGGACGTGACAACACTAAGGCCGAAAAACAGAAATCAAACAGTGGTAAAGTGACGGGTGTTCGTATTCTGTTGTGCTGCTACATCGGTCTTCGCGACTCGTGCTTGAGATCGAAGAACTCCATCTCTTCCGTGTATAGAACGAATGTGAGGTACTTCAAAGTTAGTCGCATATGGGGGCTTGCCACGTCAGTTAGATCGGACTCGTGCAAAAGCCAAACTCGTGCCTCAACTCAAGCCTCTTACGGGCGGATCTCGACAGGGTTCTTCGCTGAGTGATGGAAATTGGGTGTGGTTCTATCAATAACAATGCTCTCAGCATCAGCAACCGCTCTGCCACTAAGCAATTGTTTTATGACTTCTTTGAGCTTCTTGAGATCGTCTGAACTGAGGTGACTGGTATCGCCGAGTGCCGGTTTGCCGTGGTCGTCCCAATCAACTCTATCATCGATGGGTGCCGGGTTGCGGGCGACTTCATTAATATCTGGTACGGCTCGTGTGACTGAGTGTAGTGTTGTTGGAGCTGCAGCGGTGCCCATCGCAAAGGCAAGTAACGGGAGTAAAGCGGTAGTGGCGTGCGTAGTGAGTGCCCTGATTGCTTGTTTTGGTTCTGCTCATCATCAGAAAGTTCACACTCTTTGAAGCACTCTTACTGACACTTGAAAGGGGATATAGATAAGACTTTGATGAACAAGATAGTACATTCCCTACTCTTGGCCCCAGAACATATGTGTCGACTGCTATGTACTCAGTGTAGCATCTTCGGAACCATTACTCCTCGTATGTGATCATCACATCCCGACGTTTCAGACACACACGCCTTCAAAACCGCTCAGCCACTTTTAACAATCTTCGGTCAAGTATCAGCGTTACACTGCGCTTTTTGTCTTCTCGCCATCTAGTCATGGTAAGAACTCGATCAGTTCGGGCCGTCCAAGAGACTTGTCGACTGCCTGCGCCCACGATATCGGCTATCTGACAATGTGCAGAGTGACACAGACACTTTTCGTGGCCAGGGAACTTCGGAGTTACACGTCCTTCCGATCCATGCCGTTCGGCAGCTCAGGGCTGATGCTGATCATGTAGTGTAGCCTCCATCGATATTAGGTCGCATAATCATCGGAATTTCTGACAGTAACCCGGTCTTTGTTACCACGATCAGAGTCGAAATAATGTACAATTCCATCTTAATTGGCTCCTGTAAACAACCATAGCCATGCCCATTCCATCTGTCATTTTGTTGTATCTCAGTCACGACTCTTGAACACCACTACTTTTTCCTCGTCATCGTTGTGTTCATACGCGTCCTTGTGTCCGTGGTACTGGAAATAGGCCTTCTGAAACTCCTGATAAGGCGATCCCGGTGGACAGAATGCAAAGTTTTCCAGGGCGTTTGTCGCTTCGCGATAATCGTCAAATTCGTAGCAAGCATGTTGATCAGGGCGGGTGGCCCATGAGATCAGCTTATCCCAGTCACGGCACTGTCGAAGTTGGCCATCACTCCCTTGGTGCGCAAGTGGAGCTGGCATCGGTGTGTCATCCGCAGTGCACATGATGTCTTGACGAAGGCCATCAAGGCAGTGGTAGAGGTGAAGAAGATCAAAGGGCTGGGGGTTGCTCTTGTGCTTTGAGACGATGGCTTTGCGAATAAGTTTCTGATAGTGTTATTGGATGAAGGTCGAGGTTAGCTTGTAGATACGTACGAGACAATGCAGATCATGAACCCCTTTAATATAGTAGATGCTTCGCTCAGTATCCCAGGGAAACCGAGTAGAGGAGGACAGACCCATACGTTTTGCAAACCTGTCGTCGAGCGTGACTGCCATAGCATTGGTGTCGATGGCGTCCCATGCTACTTCCATATCACTATCACTCGCGTTCGGATGCCAGTACTCTGACGTCGCGTGATATGGCACAGTAATGTCGTAGGCTAATCCACCTTCAAACTTTGTAAGCTAGTATCAGACCGAGATGATTCGTTACTTACTATATTTACTCTTGGCTGGGCTGTGCGCAATGCGAAGCTTTGCATTATCCATCACGAGTAAGATGTTTGCTGAAAGAGAGAGCAGCAGAAGAGACATGTACGCTACGAAGCTTCGTGTGTTCGTCGGGATAATTTCGGTATTCTTAGAGTCCCACGATACACCCTCCTTGTCCTCTAGCTCTTCTAGGATCTCTTTCTGTTCATCGCTACACACTGGTTGATATGCTGGAGGCCGTTCCATTCTTCGTTTCACTTTGTAAAGTGAAGGTGGAAAGCAAGCCTCCGAAGCTCCATAAGATGGGGGGCGTCCATTGCGTGTGACAGACTCCCGCCTCCAGTTGCACAAACCTATGTCGAAAGCCTGTTTCGACGAAAACGTTCTCCAACCACAACGCTCCGAGCTCGGACCATGAATGAATAGCAACACGATCAGCCTCGGTTCATTGTTACATCGCCCGGAAGACTTTCTTCCCGCCCCGTACGATCGAGGAAGGTCGCAAGCATTTGAAGATGATGATAGCGATACAAGTGCTACCGAGTGGCTGGAACATGTGTGAAAGGTGAGGGGCTATCTGGGGAGGTGTGCTGGGGCGCAAGGGTGTTACTTGCCAGCCTCGCCAAGACGCTAAAAGTGTCAACGGTACCTTCCTTGTTGGGATACTTCACCCTAACATGGCAATCTATGATATCCAATACTTGGGTCAAGCTATATCTCCGATTGCGCTGTCAATGCGTAGCGGCGGCGAGGTAGCGTGGTTGCAGACTACTTTACCTGTCCGATGTCGCCATGGCTTGACCTGATCACCGGTCAGCAGCAATGGGACAACAATACGTGATTCGAGAAGCAAAGACAAAGGAAGAGCTGGATGCGATAACGAACGTCATATGGGCTGCAAATTACACACCTTACGAGCCGTTCATGCAACTCTTCTTCCCTGTTCTCGGCTACACAACGGCTCATCGCGAAGCTGCCATCGCTGAATCGAAACAACGCTTGTGGACACAACACCAAGCCGACAACTCCAGTCACTGGTTCTACGCTTTCGACACAGTCACTAAAAAGACTGTCGGTTGCTCGCAATGGGTAATTTCCACATCGAACCCATTTGTTGGAGGCATACCGAAGTTGACCGCGCCTTGGTGGCCCGAAGGCGAACATCGGAGGTTCTGCGAATCAATTCTCAATCAGGTGTACAGGCCGCGCGCGAATTGGATGACGCGGCCCCATTGTGGTAAGTGGAGCACCTCTGCGTTTCTCCAAACGCGCTATCTTCGGGTCGAAATTTGTGATTGTACGAATGGAAGGGATTTTCTTCGTCCTGCCGCTGACCTATAATCAGCACTCAACTGGATGGCGGTGGATCCCGGTCATAGAAATCGTGGCGTCGGCTCTCTTCTCATGTATGTTGGTATCACACGCGCTGATGGGCTTGACCTTGAATGTTGGATGGAAGCGTCTAGCATGGGCAAGCCACTTTACGACAAGTTCGGGTTCCAGTCCCTTTTGAAAGTTGCTTTCGACAACGAAGAATCAGAAGCAAGCGACGAATGGAGGAAGTGCGCACATGACCTGACGCCTCAGCCAATCTTTGCCATGTGGAGACCGAAGAAGTCCAATGGGTCGGGTCCCCAAGAAGCTTGCAACCTGCCATGGGCGTTGGGCACTCGGTGATGAGAATCATGATACAAGCGATCTGTATAGGCAATAGTCAGAGTATTCAGATATTTTAGCACTTTATGGACGGCATGTAACCGAACAAAGGCATGTTAGAGATCAAGTGGGACTGGATGCTAGCTCTCAAAGCGGATGGAACTTGGGTCTGCTGTGTCTTGAGAGAACGAAGCTGCAAATGGTAGACTATGTGGAACGTGAGTGTGATATGTTTGACGGATCGGAGAACCGGAGGGGGATATGTACCAGTAGGAATTGCTATTTATCGTACTTGCCCATAGCGCATGATCGCCTGCCAACGATCACATCTAGTACACTATATCTGATCCGTTGAACGTGTTGCTGCTCGTACTATTCTGCTATGTCAGCGCTTGTTAGCCAGATAATGCATATTAACGCACCTCGAAGCTTCTACTGTCATGTTCCCTGCTCGATATCTAAGATAGTGCACTGTTGTACAACAACTATCCGGCAAGCTGGCAATAGCCAACGAAGAACTTATGACTGCACTCCAACAGATGTTGCCGAGCTCTTTCGTCTCCCAAATTTCTTCTGCACCCACAACATTCCCACAAACAATCGGGTATCGGCTCTGCACCGGGGTAGGGGGTTTGATAAAATAACCGGTAGGCTGGGTTTCCTCGAGACATGCTAGGGACCGCTTTCGTGGTGGCGTTTGAAAGCTCCTTTCTGGGAGCTTGGAAAGTTCTTGGTGTTGTCGAGCTAGGCACAGTGTCGCGTTGCCGTAGGAGATATAGTGGTCTACAAGGTGAATCGGAGGTCTTTGAAGATATGCTGGATAGTAAACGTGCAAATGTACTCTGCGAGCGGGCTCGTGTATGGCCGTGGATGTTGTGGATGGGCTTCGTCGGCATCGCGGCTAGTAATGTGAGCAATCTCGAGTGACAGTATGATGATTCGCGAAGAAAAACAGCAAGAAACAGTAGAAAGTGAAGAAATCGCTCGTTTGTCATAGCAGAATCAATTGCCGACGTGTGCAGTTACCAAAGTGACTTGGGAAAAAGAGAAAGAACCCACCACTGTGCCACTCTTCATGCCTTCCCTCAAGGCTAGACACTGAGACTACATTCTACAAATGGTGCGTCGTTTGGTCATGTCTATACATAGCTTGAGTTGCAAGTATACTCGATAATTGTATATGTACCACTTGAGCTCGTGGTGGTTGCTATGTCCAGATATCATCCTTGACATACCCGCTCGCCACAATGGAGGCGAACTTGAGCAGAACTTGGGCGACTGTGAAGGATTTATAGAAAGCGGCCAGAGTTGCACTTCTTGGGACGGGTCCTGCGGCGCGGTACTAGCCGCACGGTTCGCTCATTGCCATCCAGCCTCCAGTTTCTCGATTGCCTCATCTTCAGAAACAACATCAGCCATCTTTGCGTTGATATCGGAAATGTTCGCATCGTGGACAGCAGGGGACTTGTCACCGCATGCTTCTCCAACAACCTGGTATGATTATTAGTGACGTTCACAGCGACTCATGCGTTGCCAAGTCGGTCCACACCATTGGTCGAAATCCAAAACACATGGCGTCGAGAGCAGTCGCGCGCACGCAACCACTTGTACTGACGCCACATATTATCACAGTATCGACGTTGTAGAGTTGGAGTCGTGTCGCGAGATCGGTTGCGAAGAACGCGGACGGGTAGCGTTTACAGACAACGACTTCGCCAGCGGCAGGCTCTAATCCTGGAATCCATTTTTCAAGGCCATTTCCGCAGCCGGTCTGGAACAGCTTCAGTAGCGGTACTTTGCTGTAGAAAAGTCCCGCGTCCGACATGTCTGGCTCCGTGTATTCGACTCGCGTCCAGATCAACGGTACCTTGCCTTGGCGGGCGGCAGCGACGAGTTTTGCGATGGACGCGGGCGCCGCCGCAGACGCAGCGTTCGATTTGGTGTCTAATGGACTCGCATCGCTCCAGTAGGCGTTACAAACGTCGACAAGTAACAGCGCCGGTCTTTGACCCCATCCTATCTTCCCGGCAAAGCCTTTTTGATAATCGCGATGAGCTCTCGAGGGCATTTCGTGGTTTGGGACACTAGAGGTGAGTCATGATTAAATTTCCGGTGGAGAAGAGCGAGCACACTATGACGGTAGCGTCGCGCCGCTTGCTATAGCCAGCGTTGGAGGCCATCACCATCGCCGTCCATTCCATTGAAGGCGCAACGTTAAACAATACAAAGCACTGGTGCTGAACGGAGCCTCGGAGCAGTTCCGCCAGGGTAATTAGGCGGCTTTCACGCCCCAGGCCTTCGGGAGCAAGCAACCGGTTCCCAGCGGACCATCAATATACCGACATATACTACCCGAGGTATCTTGTTCATTTCGCACCGCCACATGGACAGACCCTCGGCGGAACCCATTTCAAAGGCTCTTGTTCCAATGCAATGGCTTGCGGCACTGCCAACTGCCCTGTCAGCATAGCGTTGATCTTTGGTGCATCCGTTACGCGCGCTTGAGGGACTCAATTCACAACGACCCCGGACTTGGCACACCACATGATCGGACTTCCCCACATGAGCGCGCAGCCGGAGGCCGATGGCTCTCCTTCTCCTAGGACTGCCAGTTCAGTCCCCGCCATGGACGCAAAAGAAGGAAGAATAGGGAACGCCTTTGCGTGCGAGCGCTGTCGAAAGCACAAGGTTCGCTGCGTCCCATCTGACACTCCCGCTATCTGCCAGAGGTTTGTTTATCCAACTGTGTTTTTGCTCCACATCGAATGACACGTGCCCCAGATGTCAGAAAGCCAGAGTTGAATGTGTGGAACATGTTGCGCGCAGACGGCCAGCAAAGGCGCGCAGCGATGGCCAAACACCCACCAAACTGCGCGACTTCGACAAGAAGTTAGACAAGCTGTCTGCTATTGTTGCAACAATGGCACCCTCTCCCACGCAGTGTAGCCTGCCCTCGGTGGCCACCATCCCTTCGCAGGTGTTAGATTCCTCACAGCAGATGCCGACGCCAACGCCAATTGCCGCTCAGCCTGTGTCCATACCGTCGGCTCCCAGAACTTCAATCCTTCCAGCTCATGCGAATCAATCTGAGAGTTCTGTGCCATTCTGGGAATCAATGATCGATACGTTGTCTGGCCTTGGTCGACTGGATCCTGTCATCAGATCCATCAGCTTAGTGCATATGCAGATGCTGCTTGACACGTACCGTAGCATGATCGACTTCTTTCCCTTTGTAACATTACCAAGGGAATGCCGCTGTCAGGACCTCTTTCAGAGCCGGCCAATGTTGATGTTTGCCGTGCTGACCGTTTCTTCCTACGATTCGGTCTCGCTTCAGCGAGCACTGAGCCTGGAGTTCCGTAAGGTGGTCATGGTCCGGATTATGAAGGGCGAAAAGACTTTAGACCTCCTGCAGGGACTCTTGGTTTTCATAGCTTGGCATCATCACTACATGGAGGTCCAGGCTGTTTCGATCACTATGCTCCTTCAGCTGTGCTTGGGCATAGCACACGACTTAGGCTTAGACAGCATATCCAGGACTGTAAGGAGTCCCCTCCAAAAGGATAGCCTAAGAGATAGGGAAGCCAAGCGAGCTTATCTGGGATGCTACTACCTATCTTCCAATCTAGGTCTGATGGAGCCTGGGAAGGCAAGGGCTATGTCGCATACTAGCACACTCCGAAACTACGCGTCAGAATTAGCTTCTTCCTGGGAGAATACGTCGGACGCGGTACTTCCGATACTGACCGATGTCTGCCAATACATGGAAGACGTTGAGGAGACTTTTCGGAATCAGTCTGAGCAAGCAGTCGTGGTTCGTACTCAGGTCAAACGATTGAGTGACAAATGGGACAACATTCGTCTTGCGTCCAAGCTGCAAGCGAACGATTTCAGTAAGCAGTTACACCACAGCAGGATATTTAGTTACTAATTCACGGCCAGCAATACTACAATGGCTACAGCTTGCAGCACGTATACACCTGTATCGAACCGCAGCTTCCATTGATCTCGTAGATCGCGACAGCACACCATGGGCATCAGGATTCCAGCTATCATTACGTGTCACCTTGGTGCGGTCAATCGAACAGTTCCTCGATAACAGCACAAAGCTTCCAACTAAGCATTTCGATTTCGTATCGTTGATCGATTGGCTGAACTTGATAAACACCATCACTAGCTTGAACAAGTTGGCAGTCCACGCTTCACCTATGCCAGGTTGGGATGCTAGCGAGCTGCAGATTGCAAAGTCGTTCGACTATTTACGCGAACAATTGTGCTCGCAAATGCCTCGCCCTCGCGATACCTTGGAAAGCCACGAAGACGCGTTTGGGCGTTTTCGACGTATCACATCGGTCATGAGACTAGCACTGCACGATGCGATTGGCAGGGGAAGCCCGAACGGCAACACATTCGAACTTGCGACTGGTTCAGGACGGACTGTCTCCCTGCTCCACAACCTGGCTCTTCCTAAGATTAATGGCAACGGCTCGACGAGTGGAGTGGAAAAGCTGCCGAGTTTACGAGACGTAACTCCTTCGCTCGACATCACCAGTAGTGATTTCCACTGGAAGTTTCTCATGGGCGCGGTCTGAAGGAAGTTCTGTTAGAAAACCTTATGCCCTCACATATGGAAGTCTGGCACTGGCTCTGCAACATTTTTATCCATCATCCTCGAGACCAACTAGCGACGGTTGCGCTTCCCTAAAATCTTCGCCATCTCACCGGACTCCCTATTCCGCATCAAACACCGCCCACATCATGCGGCGTCTCCTCGGAGACGTCTCCCCCAGACCGGACGATCGGGCATTGTTGACCGGCCAATGGCCTCGTCTCGGTGGTTGTGTCCAATGTCCGTCCGTGCCGAGGCCCAGTCTGCTGCACGCCTACAAGGCAGTCTTACGGGCAGAATCCACAGAAAAATCATTCGCACGCCTCCGGTTACTACATCCAGATGAACTCCCGAAATTCTTCCGTAGTTCGTTGTTCCAGCGCGGTTTATTTCCGCTTTGATATTAGCGATGGTCTGCTTTCGCTTTTGCATCTCGTATCCTATCGTTTATATACCCAGCATCAACTATCGCATCGAATATATGATTTCAGCATCCAATCTGTGTGCAGTTTCTTATTGTCAAAATTTGGACCCGAGTTGCAGCCAAGATTTTGCTGCATGAAACTCTACGCGATAGCATCTAGGCGCAAGCCACAGGCGTTATCACAAGACCTCCTATACTTGTCGTACCAGCTCAGCCTCCTCTGCCGTGTTGAACCTTGAGAAGATATATGTTAGCACACTATCAGTAGTCATGACCCGATTAGTTTTGTAGGTACTTTTGGTCAGCGATCGCCCTGTTAATAGTAAGCTCACTATTCAGGCCTATGGGTCAGCGCTCACTACCTGTGTATAGCCGTATCGCCTGTCCACTCTACACAATCGCTCGTCTACGTTAGGTCGGTTTGAAAGAGCATCAGATTGAGTAGAAGACTACAAGGATCGTCAATAATGGGCTGTATATCGAGCAAATCTGCTGGACCAGAGCGCCGTCGAGGCGACGACTCGATGAAGCCGGCGAAGTCTCTTGACCCTCCCCAGACAAGAACGGGCGTCAAAGCGCAAGCACATGCCAAAGTTATGGAAGTATTGAGGCCAAGCTCGAGATGCGGCGGAAGTCGCCCCGGCTGGGGTTTCCATGGTGGTGGTGGTGGTGGTGGTGGTGGTGACGGTGGAGGATGGGGCGGCAGCGGCGATGGTGGTGGTGGTGGTTGATGCCGTTACGGGTGAGCTTTGCGCCATGTTTATTTGAATCACTTGTCGTTATATGAAGGTTTTACTCTGATTATATTTTCTCCAAAGGCGTATGCAAAGTATATACAATATTCATTGTTCACTGGAAGCTGAGCTACATGCGCTTGCAACGCATCAGCTGCGGCGATGACTTCAGCCTTGCACAGCCATCATCTCACCTCATATCAAATCCGTCTAAGTCAAAGAATTGTGATGCCTATCTATCCACTTCATCCTTTTACCCTGTCTTCTTTCCTCCCAGACTCGGCTTGCTTCTCTCCTTTTTCTCCTATAATATAGCAACTAAATCGTTATAACACCACCGCAACACCATCGCTCAAGTATATTCATTCCAAACAGAATCGCTCTCCACGGCACATGCGGATTTCTAGCAGTCACGGTCTGCGAAGAAAGATACACCATGGGCTCTTGTCTAGCCAAAGCAAATCGCGAACTTGAACGCGCACAAGACGAAGCACATCATACATCAGCAGTATTTGCTGCTCGTAGATATGGAACAGGTTACACGAATCATGGAAATAGCAGTGCCTATGGAGGCGCATATGGGGCATATGGAGGCAGCAGCGGTGCACATGAAGATCATGGTGGCGCTGACTGTGGTTACGACGGAGGAACCTTCTCCGGAGGGGGAGACGGGGGTTTTAGTAGTGGAGGAGGGATGTCAAGTGGAGGTGGGATATCTAGTGGAGGAGGAGGAGGCTGCTAGATAGCATTATTCACGGAGAAGTGCATGCTAGGACGAGAGAGGTTCGAGTTCGGTAACGAATAGCGAAGAATCTGAGTTGTGTGAACACGTCCTTATGTTTGACTTCACACGCGAAAACATCACCTGGAAGCATTTACCTTCATCGTCTGCTTCATGACGCCCGCTTAATCCCAGCGTATCACCGAACACCGTAGTGACAGTTATGTTCCTTTCTCAGTCAGAAATATTGCTGTTTATATAACTTCCTCGAACCTACTGTCTACTTAATAATAATAAAATACCCTTTGCAAGACGCTTTGCCCCACTTTCAGACTCAAACCAGCATCCAGCTCCCCCTCCCAGGAACTCATCATGGGATGTTCTTCCTCAAAACCAATCCCAAAGCTCATCACAAAGCCGCAAGCGACTTGTGCGCCACCCACCAATCCAGAAGGTAGTGCTCGCTATGGACATCCAGAGCCGTGCAACATTACCAATCCAGTCGCTCCACCTACGAACAAAACAACTATAGCTACTGTTGTTGCGACAACTGTTACTTCTACGAACAAATATAGCTACTACGACGCAGGTTACAACTGGATCAGCAAGCGTGAACACCTTCAGAGTTAGGATAACTAGCTCGTTTACTGCACTATAGGATAGAATTAGCGACGGGGTTCCCAACCGTGGAGACTGACAAGTGCCGGAGATGTTGTTGTTTTGAGGAGTAGTGGTATTTGAGTGTCATTGCGGTACATGATGGAATGTACGACTCATCGTGCGTTCCTTGATCCTCCACTTCCACCCCCTTTCCTTGTTTCCCCATTGAAGATGCCAGCTAACCCTTTCTACCATACACAGCTTATGACTGTATCTTATTCGTCTTTTCTCTCTACGCCTACGAAAGTCTAATTCGTATACGCACTGATCACCCAGTAACGACCATCTTCGTAAACATCTACTCTCGATTGACTTCAGTTTCATGACGACATATCTATAGTACTGCCTCATAAATCCCTTACACTCAAGACAATACATCACCTCTTTGTTTCGAGACGCGGATTACTCGAAGGCTACTCGCTATGTTTTACTGTCGCTCCTTTACTCACAACTGCACTTCCTTTTTGTTTTCTGACAAACGCCTATACTAATCTTTCCTAACACTCGAGCAACTCATGGCACTCGATTATGTCAACCCTCACTCATACAAATGTTATGGGCTGCATACCGTCGAAACAATAACCTATCGCTACTCTCATCCCCATGCTCATCACTAAGAGCATTAGCTAGCCAAGGCCAACCCGAACCCCAATCTATGATCCTCCTTCGTACATCGACTCTAGCAAACCAATTTACAGCCGAGGAAGCGGAGGTGTGTATACTGGCGCTTCAGGCAGCGAGTACAACTGCAGCAGAGAGTCAGGGACTGGGGGGTGGACATGAAGACGATGGCGTAGGGAGCTAGATGTGTGAGCCAGCAAAGCAACGAGCTGTGGGAAACGTTGGACATGGCTAGTAAGCGAATAGATCTTCTGGTGATTTTAATTTCGATATTGATGCGAATCTGACTCCGGGTATCATTGCGCCGTTGCTGCTTTGACAGCTCTATATTTTGAAATGCCCGTTCCACCGGTCATAGGTTTTCATAGACTTCTATGCCTTCTTCTCTCGCCTTTGTACTAATAAACATGCTACATGCCTAATCTCTTATGCGAGACCATACCGTTGCAGCGCCTCTTACCGTATCATGCGGAATGGATGACCTTCGGTGCTAAACACCCAGCTATCCAAACTTGCAACCTCGACATCCGAGAACGTAAGCCAGAGGTATTTCAACGTTTCCGCTGCCCAGAAGCTTTCTTGCATGTCCACCCATTTGTCCTCACCCTTCGTCTGCGTATTGTACACGTCGGCGAGTTGTGCGTAGCCGAACGGCGCTTTGCAATGCTGTTCCATAGCTGAGAAGGCTTCCCATGCCCACTCACGGTACCGTTGATCGCCCGTTATGCGCCATGCGTAGAACAGGCTCTCCACATACTCAGGCCGGCCCTTGTATGCTGGTTCTAGTGCCCAGATGCCGCTCTTCATGGCTTCTCGCTCCTGACGTGTGGTTTCCGGGACGAAGAGCGGATCATCATATCCGAACTTGGGTATCCAGGCCCAGGTCTCAGGACCGATCTTCGTAGGTGTAGAGGTATACGAGTGGCGGCAGCCTTCGAGGAGCGCGAGCGCAAAGGTTCGGAGGTAGGGTTGGTCGTAAAGTCTGGAGGCGAGGAGAATGGTACCAGGTGCGAAGCAGGCGAGATGGCCTTGCTGATTCTCATATGACTTGTCATTATGGCGCCCTATGTACAAGTGCTGCATGTAGTGATCGGGCGCAGGTGCGGAGCGGGAACTGAGATGCTTGCGTAGGGAGTACGCTGCGTCAGTAAAGCGTTGCTTGTATGTGCCAATATGAGGATCTGTCCGCGGGGCCAAGAGAGATATTTTGACGAGGTATTCATAGTATGAATCATGTCCGCCATCCCAGTGCCTTTGGCGACCTACTGGCTCCCCTGTCATAATATCAATGGGTGCGTCGACCATACCGGCCCATGGTGTCTTCCAGTTCGACCACACAAGGGGTGCCCATGCATTCGTCGAGTTCTGCGTGTAAACAGGGTCGCCAGTCAATCTGGTCAGGATGCGGTTCTCGAGTATCGAGGAGCCAGTTCGCGCAGGGCCTATGGTGGGGTGTTCGTCGTATCCGTGCTTTGTTGGATCGTCGCTGAAGACCCAAGAAGGGTCCGGTTCGCCCTGTTGTGTATCAAAGTCGACACGAGGCCACGGCATACCTGTAGGGGTATCGTATGCTGGGGCAAGCTTCTCTGCTAGAGTGACAGCATGCTCGAGTACCAGGTCGCGCGCCTCCTCGCTCAGTATATCCTCCGGAATGAGTCCAACATCGTACATGTCCACAATAGACAAGAGCCCGCCCAAGTATCGTATCGTAGTCTCGAAAGGGTCGACGAGGTCTTTCGCTTCGGTAAAGTCAATCGCCAGTATATGCTCCAAAGAATGCGCCAGCTCGTCCCATAGCCCCATCAGTGCCAACGTGCTAGCTGAGTCTACGATGAAAGCCCCCCACCCATTTCTAGACGAAGAGTTGCCTCCTGACACAGGTAGGATATCGTCGCAGCCCCAGGCGTTCTCCCTGTACTTCCAGAAGGTATATTTCATGGCATCCCGCACGCTCTTTGCCCGTGCCTCTTCCGCCTTGCCCGTTCCATTCCAGTCCCCATGCTGGACCTGTGCGCCAAACGCCGGTATACCCCTGTCTCGAACAGTCGGGTTCTGGAACTCTTTGATGAGGAGGTACAGTGTGATGACGATGATGGCTGCGAGGAGCTTGAACGACGACTCGGGATTGCGCTCGAATTTGGATTTGCCCCAGCGGCGGAAGCCGGGCATAGTTGGAAAGTGGTAGGAGCCTTATGATGCTGCCGGGTGCGCTCAAGAAGCGGGTGGTAATAGCGCGTACATCTGTTCTCAAGGTGCGGAGCTGGTGCGGAGGTGCGACGATCGATGTCCAACGTCCCACGCTATCATGCCAGGCTTGGCTCAAAGGGAATGACTTTTTGCGTGGGAGCCGAATATGAGCTTTTCGAAGTAATCGATCGTGAGTTCAACGCGGGCTTGGTGCATGTGAACGCTTCGGTCGTGTCGCGCTGGAGTCTGTGAGTTCGTCCAGGCTTGGCATGAACTCTCTCTGCGTCGTCATCCCGAACTTTGCGACACCATCGCAATTGCACCTTTTCATCTTCGACATGGCTGTCTGGCAGTGCGTGCATATCTTGACTATATACGTTTATACGACTAACATCCAAACAGATGGTTCAAGGGCATACCACCCAAGACGCGCATGATAATTGGCGTTGGTGTTATGGCATACGCGGGTGCTGGCCTATACATATCCGACAAGGCTGAAGAGAAATTCGGTCTCACTCCGACCGAGAAAGATAGGGAGGAACTACGAGATGTGCTGCCTAAAGTCTCCACCGTCGAAAAGCGAACCTCATGACGGACTTGATCTTTCTCAGCTGTAAGATACACCAATCTGGGAGGAGATGATGCACACCAAACATGTGTGATCGATAGGCCTTTTGACTCGTAGAAATGCTGACGCGAAGTCAAACATTTATCAGGCGCATACATAGCCTTCGTTGCCACCACGACGCCTCAATGTACATATGCGGATACTAAGGCAGACATTGGCACTTCACCACAACGAAGAATGTCACCTGAACAATCGTCCCTTCTTGAGTATCTCAACCATGATTATGTCTTACAAGGCAGTGCTTAGGTAAAAACCACGTCTTCCTATCCTTGAATCCACCTCAAGGCTTGACGACCATGGCTCATACCTTGACGATTCTACGACGACCACCGAGGCTATGCAAAAGCCGCGAGGGTTATCTTGGTATAGCGTCAGGAGACGAGATTCACCGCTATGCCGTACTCGTCTGCATGCATGGCGCAGTACATAGAAACGACGCAACCTCGGCGCTTACCCAACTGCCTTTGTTGGCTCCAAAACTCAGCCTGGCGCTGTTTATCGTATATCCTTATTTGCTTCTTGTTGATTGATGTTTCATGCAACGTCCCCTTGGACGAACTGATGGATTCCTCCCCGTCGACTGAGTATCATACAACAGCAAGACGTCAATATACGGTAGCGTGCGGGCACTGTCGAAGCAGAAAGATACGATGCATTCCATCCTCCCATGACTCTCAAGGCCGATGTGCCAATTGTATCCGATTGAAGAGAGAGTGTAACCTGCAAGAGCGCAATGCCCAATCCAACTTCATAGTGAACGGCAAAGAACATGTTCCCGAGGCAGAAAGAGGAAGAACTCAAACTCGCGATCGCGCCACGTCGCCCTATCACTACTCAGACAATGAGACAACGCGATCACAGTCGCCAGCCCATAGTTTCTACCATGGCGACTCGCCGGCCCGGAATGCGTCTCCTATCGGCATTGGAAGTCATGCTTCTCATAGTAGAGTCCTTCCACCTTACGAGAATACCCATGCGCTCTCGGTCTTAGAGGGAATGCCCCAGGCCATCATAGCGTACCCAGGTCCTACGCGCACGACAGGCTATCAGTACACTTCCCTCTTAGACAATGAAATCCGACTCCTTCGGATCACACCCGGTTCATTCAACAGCCCTCTCCTCTGCTCCTTAAAGATCGTTTCCATGAAAAAAATCATCACGGTAGTACACGAATTTCAGGCTCTTTCGTATGCGTGGGGCAATGATCCGCCTTGGTACGAAGTTCTCTTGGATGATCTTCCCAGATCAGGCAATGAGCCGATTACTACAGGGGTGAAGCAATTCCAGACGTACGCTATCCGTAGGAACCTCTATCAAGCTTTGAGACATATTCGTCTCACGGACGACTATCTGTGGCTCTGGGTAGATGCTCTTTGTATCGACCAGACGAACATCCATGAGAAGAGTCAACAAATCCCGAAATTGCCTAGTATCTACTTCAACGCTTGGAATGTTATTGCGTGGCTAGGAGACGGCGAGTCCTTGCCAGGGGGTGTTGAGAAGGCCGTGAGCTTAGTGCCGGACATTCTCAACCTCAAGACGCTAGATATCGACTTGCGCGGGGATACACTTGATGAGGATGTGCTTCGCTCTTGGGCATCCTTCGGTAGCCTTCTGCAACAACCGTGGTTCGAGCGCCGGTGGGTGATTCAAGAGGTAGCTTGTGCGAGGAAGCTATCAGTTCGCGTTGCAGATAAGATCCTGAGCTGGCTGGATTTTGCGGATGCCGTAGATTTGTATTCGGCAAACATCGATCAGATGCAAGCGCTCTACCACCAATCGGCACTATTCAGAACAGAGCCTGCTGCTTTGGATCACATTAAAAGCACTAAAGCAGTGGCACTAATGCAGTTTTCGCGTAACGTATTTCGAAAGCGATCTGATCCGCCAAGCGTTTCGAAGTTGATGAACCTGAGATCTCTGGTCCTGGCTGCTTCATCGTTTGCAGTGTCAGATGTTCGAGATGTTGTTTATGCCTTATTGCATCTCGCCAACGATGGACGTCAATCAGTCACCATACCGCTCGGACGGTATGACGTCTTCGTCTCTGACTATTCAAAACATCCTGTGCAAATCTTTGAAGAGTTTATTGATTATAGTATCCTAACCTCAACGTCTTTGGATATCCTATGCCAACCTTGGGCCAGTTGGCCAGGTCCTTTACGCACTACCGCGTACAAAGGCAGAACCCTACCCAGTTATATAGGGGTAGCATCATTCGATGAGGGTGGACTTTGTCAGCGACATATTCCACCAGACGATCTGCTCGGCCCCGTCACGGGTCAAACCTACAATGCATCTCGCGGTGTCGCTATAAAAGCCAGAAGATTACCACAGGCAATCGATATCTTGGAAGTCAAGGGAATATTGCTAGGCACAATCGAAACGTTTACTGCTTCAGCTGTGCACAGCGGGATGCTCACGAAGAACTCGCTAAGTATGCTTGGGTGGTGCGGTACTCTGGAAACGGGCATCGATGACAGACTTTGGAGGACACTCGTTGCCAATCGCGATCCAGATTCAAGGATCGCTCCTACCTGGTACCGGCGCGCATGCGCCTTAGCACTCACCAAGATCGATGGCGACGGCCATCTAGATTCAGCCGCTTTGATTGCTGATAAATCGCAACCAAGTACATTGATAAGCTATCTCCGACGTGTGCTAGTGGCAACTGAAAACAAGAAGATCTTTCGTTGCACAAAGAATACCACCTCTGATGACTCTACGGGGGCGAAGGAAGGGGCACAAGAACAGGCAAAAGAGCAGATACACGAAGCCATAGTTGGTCTAGGGCCAGAAGACATGGGGTCTGTTGGTCAGCAATGGGTTTGCATTCTATATGGATGCTCGGTGCCAGTTATACTCAACGAGGTCGATGGCCGTAAATATCAAGGCGACGGAACATATCACGTTAAGCTTACCGGACCCTGTTACGTACATGGATACATGGAAGGGGAGATATTTGCTGGCATGAGCGAAGAGGACATTCGGAGCAGGTCAATAACATTCAGCATCCATTGAAGTTTGCACCGATCTTTAATCATACAAGCTATTGTACATATAAGACCGAAATGTCGTCTCATCGTAACCCAAAGGAACAACGGAGAAGCAAACCGCTCTACCACTCAAGCATCCCCTTCACCCCTTTTTCCTTTTGCCAGACTCAGGCCACTTCCCTCCATCCTGAGTATAATCTGGAAAACCATGTTCAGCTTTCCTCTTTTCCCCTCGCACTTCGGGTTTTCCAAGCACGCCGCCGACAATGGTCGGTTGACCAGCAGTCGCTTTGTTGCTGTCTTCTGAGGACATAGTGAGATCATCTGGAACAGTTTGGTTTCCGGTTTCGCTAGTGTCATTAAAGCCCTGCGCAGAAGCGTCTTTGTTCACACGGAAAGTTTGCTCAAGAATCGCTTGCAGGGCTGCGTTGTTGTCGTCGTCCTCATCATCGTTGTCATCTTCATCATCATCACCGCCATCCGGACCCTTAGTTGGACCTCCATCACCGCCAGATCTGGGCGGAGGCTTCTTATACCTAAAATGAAGAACCCCATTTAACAGATCAACAGTGCCAAGGCAGTCGAGAATCTTCAAGATGCGCACTGTCATCTTATAAGGCAATTCATCCTCACCCAGGTTCTCATCCGCTACGCTCCGAATAATCTCCTGCATACGCTTACGTGTCTCGAGCGAGTTGAACGCCATTCTTTGGTGGTGGTATTTCTTATCTCTTGGTCTAAACGCACCGTGAAGGCCGTTTGTGAGAAACTTCGGGTTTTTGAGTAGGTATTCGAGCATGGCGATAACCCATGGCCCACATGCCGAGTTCTTGTCCCCCTTATAGCTGTTATCATGGGTGTCATGAGGGACATGTTTGAGGGTGACTGCAGTAAATTGGCCGCGCTTCAGATCCATAACTTTGTCGTATCCACAGAGAATTTTCCCAGCAGTCCACGCTGGTGGAAGGATTTCCTTTATGCACCACTTTCCGTTGGACTTTTGTCCAAGTGTCAAATGACCGTCCAGCCATCTGGCATCGTTTCTTTGCTTGTCGATTATCATGAGGCCCCAATGCGTGCCGCCACCAGGGATGATGTCTAGCATGCTTTGATCACCTGTTTCTGAATAGTCTCCTTGGCCTGCTTTCCTACTCTTCTTAGCTTTCGCAGCTTCAGCTCTCGCAGCCTTTACACGGGCTGCTTCCTCCGGACTAGCCATACCATTCGTTACGGGAACGATAACCCATCGAATGCTTTCTTGCTTCATAGCATCGTAGCATTGGCACGAAAGAACATCTGTCTTGAAATCATTCTTGTCGCTGATACATAGGCCAACGCTAGCGAGCTTTGTTGCGGCATTTGATGGCACGACGAGTATATCAGTTCGACTCGTCGTCATGAGAGCTGCAGCCAGGCCAAGTGCATTATCCTCTAGCCAACTTTTACCAGGGTGCGTAGAGCTAGTTGCAACGATATCGATAAAGTCCTCTATACTGAGTACAAGAGGATCCCCTAGATGGGAGTGTTCGATATAACGACTGCGCAGCCATTTGTTGATAGTCTCTTCTCTGGTTTCTGGCGGAGGCGGGGCGGGTGGTGGCATATTCCCGAAGGTATCGCCGGCAGCCGGAGCGCCTTGATCGTTGTGTTTGGACATGACTGCCGCACTATAGTTTGTTGCTGAGAGATTAGACCTTGAGATTCGAAAGAACTTTGGACATCCACATACACGGGTCACGCCCAAGGATGATTTGTACCGTCTCCCTCAAGATCAATGAACAAAGCCGAAGGATGTATGGAAAGAGAAAATGGTGCAAGAGACAAAGCCACTAAAACAAGTGATTACTTCCTTTGTCGAGTATCAGACGACACGATCATTGTCCGAGTCTCTTTCACACCGGTTTTTCCGAGATGATGGCGCCACCTGTGTACGCTAACATCTTTTGGTCAAGAAGTGGATTATTCTATAGCCAGCCTGGCTATTAGTGAAACGATAAAAGGGTCGGGATTGTGAGAAGGGATAAATGTCTCGAAGCATTTATAATGTAACTAGTGGAAGCTGTAGTCTATCATGAAAGACTTGGCTAAAAGGCCGTATTTGAGACGTTATGTCAAGAACCCGAGGAAAGTGATAGATATCTATCCTGGTTGCCTGCTGACCGCCTAGCACCTTTACCACAGTCTTTTACCTTCATTATCTGGTCTTTGGCTGGTGTGCCACAATCTCTTGGCCTCCCACCCCCAATCTGTATGGGTCCTCAGGGTCTTCAGGGTCAGCGAACGGGTTCGTATGAATCTCTCGATCCTCGAACGGCCTTTCGCATCCTGTAACCTTGGGCTGGCTGTCCGAGTCCGGGTAGCATCTATGAACGTAATACCGAAGTTGTTCATCGGAATGGGAGCAGCACTAGTGCTGAGGCCAGAAGATGGGATGTTGCGGCGGTTGTCTGTGTTGGTAGTGAATGGAGAACTGTTAAGATTGTCTAGTCTCATTGACTGCTGCGCATCGATTCGCTGGTTCGTGTACGCGGCAACGAGCGCGAATGCGAAGTAAATGGCCATGCTACTGTTGGTTAGCGAATGCCCTAGTGCTTCCAGTGTATGTGGTGTTTCTCGACTTACCATAACGCCCCCAGCGTTCCCAAAACCTCGCATCCTCGTACGATACCTTTTGCCCATCTGCTCCATCCTTCCAACGCATACATCGTCTTATCATATTGCCAGCACGTATCGTAACTTTCGTCGATTTTACTATTAGGGAAACTGTTTAGCCAAACAGCACCTAGAGCGACCATGGGGAAGTAGATAGTGAAACATGTGGATCCGAGCATGCCGGCACGGTTTGAGATGCTCGCGGACCGGTAGTGGCCTCGAAGAAGGAGTAAAAGGTCGACGATCAGCCAGAAAGGGTTGAATATGAGGACCGCTACTATTGTGCTGTGGGGACGTTGATCAGCATCTCTTCATGCATACAGTGGTAGAGCAGATAGGCAAGGCTACTTACAAGGTTCCATAAATCTCTCTAGCACTCAGATACTCAGGACCTGACTATCCTCCCCCAGTATCTTCAGCTCTTCCTACATTGAAAACCTTGTCCAGGTTTGCATAGGTAAGCGGCAAGTTCTTGGTTTCTGTCTGGAACACAAAGTCTGATGGGCTGGACCCTAGACCAAAGCCGCTGAAGTCAAAATCGCCAGTGTTGCTCACGTTCCAACACTGAACCTCGTGGGGTGAGCTAAGTAACCGGTGTGCCATAGCGATACAGAGACCGAACTGCGCTGTAGCGACAAGGATAGACAGAACGAGGAGTGCATCGGTCGCGGTCCGGGTGCTGTTGGGCCAGCGTGTAGATTTTGCGTGAAGGAACAGAGAGAAGCATGATCGTGTCTTCTCCCAAGACGTGGGTCGTACCATGCTGGTCGGGATGGGAATTCTACACAATGTTGTGCAGCTGCTGGTCGATGTCGTGGATACTGGAATGTGGCATGAGCGAGGATAGCAGGTGAGCAGGACTGCTGCAAGAGCAGTGTCAGCCCCTCAGAGTCTCAGGGTCCTTGATGTTATCTGGTAGCGGTTCAATGAGTACCGTGGGTACAGCGTCGGAAGCGATGTGGGTGCCATGACAGGATTTCCCTGTGTTTGTGACAATTGTGGCTGTGTAGTATACTGTGAACAGATATGGAAGTGTCGCATTTTCAAGAGGAAGTCGTGATAGTGGTTCAGTGAGCAACAAGCCACATGGTAAGTAAAAGAGGAAAGAGCGACCGGTCGGGAGGTATCAACTTGAATTGGCAGCTACATAGAAACATCGGGCGCGGGGGGTAACAAAAGACAAAAAGGCTCGTGACAGTGAAAAAGAGATTAATCGTATCCAAGAGGTGTTGCAATTTACATGCGGCTGCGATAGGGCCTAGGCACAGCTGGCTGGAAAAGCCTATCCGGCAGCCTATTTCCGTACTGATCGAACCGGTAATCCTCCTTTTGTTCAATCCACATCTGCCCGCATGTCAGCCTCATGCTAACATCTAGAGCTTGCTACCGTAACGGGGCGGGTAGCCAGTGTTGTAACCACTCACCTCGCGTTCGGCGTACTGCCTGTCCAGAGGCACTGGTTGAGGATTTAGTATTTCTTCGTCGCCAAAGCCCGCGTCTCCTTGAAACCTACGCGAATAATGGGCTGCGCCGATGGGTTGGGGTGCACCGTACTCGGCGTACTGTGCGCCACGGGGGGCGTACTGACCTGGGCGTTGCTGGTTGGCGCGCGCGTTGCTCTGCATCCAGGAGTCGCGCTCGGGGAGACGGTCCTCGAACGATTCAGGGCGGCGGCCGAGGGGCTCCGGGAAGGGACGGCTCTGGTTGTAGTTGCCTTGAGTTTCGATAGGGTACTGCGAGCGGTAGTGGTCTTGCTGCTCAAAGCGCTCGTCATACTGAGTCTCGTAACGGGGATCACGGCCATGTTGTTCGAAGTGAGCGTCGTAACGGGGAGCGGGACCGCGCTCATCGTAGTGTTGGGGTCCGCGCTCGCGCTCATCGACGTACACGTCGCGATGCTCCTCGTAGTGGGCTGCGGGTTGACGGTCGCGCTCAACCCAGACGTCGCGGTGTTCCTCTACGCGTCGAGCCGGCGCGCCGTCGCGCTCGACCCAGACTTCCCTGTCGATGTGCGTCGTGTGTGTCGGCTGGGCCTGAGGCTGAGGCTGAGGAGGTTCCTGATGGATGTCGATGTCGATGTGAGTTTCCTTCTTGGTCGACTTGGGCTTGTGCGGCTCCTCGTATGGCTCCAAGGCAGTCAAGTAGCCGAGCACCTCGCTGAGGCTGGCATGCGCGATGTTGAGTTCCTTCTCTCTGTTCTCCAGCTTCTCCTTCTCGCTGAGTAGCCAGTAGACGCGGTGCCTTATACCGATACGGCGGCCGTCTTCGACATCGCCAGCGACGCGCTCAGTGTGCGGCGTGATGTTCTCAAGAGCGCCGCGCACGTCGCGCATGCATCCGTAGACCCACTTGGACTTCTCAGGGTTGGCTTCGAGGATGTCGTGGATTTCGCGAATGGAGAGAAGACGTCTCACTTCATCAAGGTCGGACCGGACGCGGCCAATGATGCGCACGTAGACTGCATTGGAAGGACCGACGTCGCGGACGCGCTTGGCTTTGGTGAGGAATTCGGCAAGCTTGTAGGCACCTCCAAGGGCACCAGCGGCAGCACCGAGGGTGAGGATCTCTCCTTTAACCATGACGGGCGGTGTGAGGATAGCTCCAGGGAGCTACCGGCAAGGTGATGGTGATGGTTCAATTGAGTGAGTGAGGGCCTGCGTCTCTGCCTGTACCTGGCGCGAGCATCCCGCGCAGGTTCAACCGGCTGCGAAAGTGGGGATAGACGCTTTGGTGAGTTTGTGAGGAGAGCAGAGTTGTTGTCAGTCAGCTACTCAGGGCAGCTTCGACAGGGGCCGATGATGTTTAGTGTTATTCGGGGGCTGGGTGCTAGCCACATGGGGTGGGACTAGCTGCAGCTCATCACTCCTCGCGACCAGTCCGAGGTCTTTCCTCCCCCATAGCTCCACCCGGGAACATGTGGCTTCCATCGCTTGCAACCGACGAGCTGATCATGTTCATCAAGACGATCCAGAGCGGTGAAGAGAGACACTTTGACCTCACATGAAGAGCGCTTCTTCTGCCCCGTAAACAACAGTAAACAACATCTCCAGGTCTTGTTTACTCCACCTTTGATACGCGCCTGGATCATCCCAGTCCAACATGTCAGCTCCACTGCGACAACGCACCGACCTGCCCTGAAACCTGTTTGTCAAAACCCTCCCTCTATTTACCATATTTCGCGATGAAAGCTCGAACTTTGGGGTCGCTCAAGCTTAGTTCGCTGCCTTCGGCATCCAACAGCTCTCGGTCCTTGTTCTCAAGCTCCAGCTCCATCGCTTTCAACTGCTCGTCCAGTTCTGGGTCTGTTAAGCTAGCCTGCTGGAATGGCGCGTGCTTATATAGCGCACTCAAAATAGCCCTCAAATCTGCGTCTGCTTTGCTTGATCGCTCAGCAAGTCCATCATGAGTCGATATCGCGGTAGATTCGTAGTGGTCTTGAAGCTTCTTGCTTCGCTCAAGTTGAGCTTGCTGCAGCACATCTTGCAGGCTCTCAATGTTGTCCTGGCTGAACGATATGCCTGCATAACGAAGCGCATCTTGGAGTGCTGATGGAAGGTCAAGCGTCGATGTGGGCTTGAGCTTGACCATGGGGGTAAAAGCTGACGTGCCAGAGTTCATGCGTTTCAATCCGGGCGTCGCAACTGGTGCGTGTGTCTCTGGCATACGCTTCGCTGCCGCTGCTTGAACATGCGCCAGTGCTTGTTGGAACCCGTCAGTATCTCGCGTGCTAGTAGTGATGATGCTGAGGCGTTTGCCCATGTATTCGAGTGTTGAGAGCACCTGACTTATTAGCAATGGTCCAATGACTCTTGAGATGTTACTCACGTAGTTGAGCCATGCAGTTCGTGCTCGCATGGTGTCTTTCTCCTTGCGCTCCTTCATCTCAGTCATCGGCTTGCGTATTTCATGCTCGACGACCATTTCAGCAACAGACGCAATCTCCGAGTGTAGCTCTTCCAGTTCAGCTTGCAGAGCAACCTTTCTCTCTTTGAAGTCGTCCTCTGCTTCCTCCGAAAGGCCGTTCTGTGAGTCTCCTGATGCGTTGGTAAGAAATACGGCGTCCACCCGAGCTTTAATCTCTGCAGCGCGAAAGGAAACAATCGCCATGCACCACTGTTCCATCGACTTCTCGTCCTCACTGACTTCAGGCTCAGTGACGATTTGAGACACTAGCTTAGGGAGTCGGCTTAAGATCTGATCATCTGATGTAAAGCGTTCTGACAGGTAGCTCTTCAGCGTTGACTTCTCAGAATCGATCTCGCGCTGAGCATCGGTCATCTGCTCTGTGACTGTTGCAACGACATCATCGACCTACGCAAATTAGCAAAGCTAAGAGTATGATCTTTTACAGCTTACAGAGACATCTAAACGAGCTTTTTCTTGTCCCTCTTTCCTCCTCCGCTCGTTCCTTGCATGTTCCACGTCCAAGTTTGGCTTGTCAAGAGCTTTTAGCTTCATCAACGCATCTTTCTGTGCTTCCAGAGCTTTGCACTGGGCCTCGATCGCAGTAGTGGAGCTTCTCAATGATTCAATTGCTGCTGCGACTTCATGGTCCAAGATGGGTCGGATGGGTTCACCCTCGCTTTCGTACTGGTGCAAAAGGCCCTTCTTCTTCAAAGTCTGGTACCTAGACTGCTAGTCAGCAAGAACCAACATAATCGGAGTGTAGACGCACAACTCCAGCTCCTCTCTACTCAACAAGGTGTCCTCGTGTAGGTACTCCTCAACCCACACCGCAGTTTCGTGCTTTGTCTCGGCATCCTCAAAACCTAGGAGAATGTTGTCGAGATCGACTTTGAGACCTCGCTCCTCCACTACGTTCAGTAGATGATGAGCTGCTTGTTCTTCCGCCATGCTATCAGAAAGTGTGTTCCAGTGTCGGTGTTTTGTGGCAGATGCGAATGCAGTTAGGTCGCGAGCATTTCGATACGGTGAGCCGCGAGAACCATTCGCGCAGTCGCGGTTTTGGAGCCCAGACGCGCTTCGCGACTCCTACTCTAACGTTACACCACAGCACTCGAACACATACACAGACCTCCAATCCATAGTCAAAATGCCTCCGAGTGCACTAGAACCCGTCATAACCCCTGAGCCTCCCAAAGAAACCGCGAAGCAAAGCGCACCGCCAACCACAAACCCGACGGCACCCAGCAACCCCGCGCACGAAGAGCATCAATACCTTACTTTGATCCGCGACATACTCGAAAATGGCGAACACCGCCCCGACCGAACGGGAACTGGCACGCGTGCTATTCCTTTCCCCGCACAAATGAAGTTTGCATTATCGCGACCTTCGAGCGACCCCACTCAGACACCAGAACTCATCCTGCCCCTCCTCACAACGAAAAGAGTATTCACTCGCGCCGTAATTGGTGAACTGCTGTGGTTCGTTGCAGGCAGCACACATAGCAAGCCGCTCTCGGACGCTGGTATCAAGATCTGGGACGGCAATGGTAGCCGGGAATACCTTGACAAAGTGGGCCTGAACCACTACGAGGAAGGCGAACTGGGTCCAGTATACGGCTTCCAGTGGCGGCATTTTGGCGCCGAGTACAAGGGACATGCAGAGGATTACACAGGCCAAGGCGTCGACCAAATCGCTGAAATAATCGACAAGTTGAAGAACAAGCCCTACGATCGACGCATCATATTGAGCGCATGGAACCCCGCAGATATCAAGAAGATGGCCTTGCCACCCTGCCATATGTTTGCGCAGTTCTACGTTTCCTTCCCTGGTCACAAGCAAGGCGAGCAAAGACCAAGAGGTGTTTTACACTCCCTTCTCTACCAGAGATCCTGCGACATGGGTCTCGGTGTACCCTTCAACATCGCTTCCTACGCGCTTCTCACACACATGCTGGCTCATGTGTGCGATCTAACACCTGGTACCTTTACGCACACAATGGGCGATGCACATGTATATATAGACCACATAGATGCGCTGAAAGTGCAGATAGAGCGTGAACCGCGAGACTTCCCTACACTCAAGATCAACCGAGAGATTGGGGGCAGTATCGATGGCTGGAAAGCCGAGGAATTCGAGGTCGTGGGGTATAAACCACATGCGGCTATAGCCATGAAGATGAGTGTATAGTCCTTTCCAATGGGCAGCTTAATACAAATGAAACGCTTGATGAAATGCAAGAACATTTCCCCACCATCTCCTAAACACACTACCGCATCTCCAATACACTGCTGCATCTGTGAAGAAATTGCGCCAAACTTATGTGCAAGCCCTTTGCGGTGCACCGACTTGCAAGCATAGTCTCCTCTAGGTCTCGCCAACACTTGGATGGAGAAATTCACTTCGCTCGAGATAGGATATTGATGGAAAGAAGTATTGCATTACCACGCTGCTTTGATCAACAGCGAGTTGGTATCTAATGCATCCCAAACGCCAGCCATGATTTTCCCCACCTGCAAACACGCAATGCAAGAACGCGAAAGACTCCAGGTCCGCTTATCTGTGGCTGGTCTTTCCGATACCACGCTTTCCGGCAGTCTGAATAACTGTTAGCATCTATACTGATTGTGGGAGAGGGGAGAAGCAAACTTACCAAATGCTTGATCAGAGAACCAGTCTGGTGCCTATCGGCCTCACCCTGTCTAGCCATCCTGTTCATCTTCTTTTGCGACAACTTCGCCAGCTTCTCAGCCTTGGAGGCGGCGGTCTCATCCGTAACACCATCCGTTCTCCTGTTGGTGCTTTGGCTACGGCCTCGGCTCTTGGCACGCTCAAGCATAGCAGCTCCAGGCGTATCGACATCCATAGCATCGCCACCAGGACCCTCTGATCTTCCACGAGCCAAGCTGCGGCCTCGCGCCTCTGCCTTCGCAGTCGTACGCTCGATAGCCTTGGAGGCATCGTAGCCGAGACTTTCGAGATGTGACTCCATCTGTGACATCTGCTTCGACTTCTTAGTCCTAGGGATGACGGCCCTGTTCTTGAGACTCTTGCGCATCTTGGCTTCGTTCCGGATGAGTTGCCTCTTCTCACGGATCAGCTCTGCCTTGTACCTGATGTCCGCCTCCTCGGCGTCCTCAAGATCATCGTCCGACTCGTAGAAGCCCTCACCCTCCAGCTTCTCTTCTTCAGCCTCAAGTGCGGCAAGCTTAGCCTCGATGTCAGGGTCGATGAAGTCGTAAACATTCTGGCCCTTGAAGACCTCGGGAATGCGGTCGTGTTTCCACTCGTCGTTCTCGAGAAGGTAGTTCTTGCGAAGGTCGATGTTGTACACACCGGCTCCACCGTTCTCCTCTTCCAGGTCACGCTCAAGGAGCGGCCTATCAGGGTCCTCTTTGTCGTACTTCTTCTTGTTAAGCACTGCTTCTGGAATATAGGTCTCGCGAGTGACGCCGCCCAAAGGTTGGGCAACGTGGATCCGGCGAAGAAGTTCACCAAGACGACCGGAAGGCTCGCCAGCGCTGTTGGTACCAGCCTTGAGCTTCTCGGCGTTGCGAGCAGCAATCAAGCGATCGCAGACCGAGTTTCGCACAGCCATAACACCCTCGAGAGTGTTGCAGGAAAGCTCTAGCATCTCAACTTCGCCAGACTTGAGCATACCCTGAAGCTGTTCCTGTGTCTCGGGGTCAAGCTGATCCGGACGCATAAGATCGATCTTGTTGACGACAATCGAGATCAACTTGTTGGCAAATAGAGGCTTAATGTTGTTGAAGAGGGCGATTTGCGAGGCGACAGAGTAACCGCATTGCTCACTGAGATCCATGAAGTAGAGAATGTGGGCGCGAAGATGGGCAATGGCGCAGATGGACTGATGTTCGATGGTGTTCATGTCCTCGAGTGCGTGGTCCAGGATACCGGGAGTGTCGACAGCCTGGAAACGAAGCATCTTGTAGTCGAAATGTCCGACATACAGACTCTTTGTGGTGAAAGCGTACGGCTGAACTTCGACATCGGCTCTTGAGATGGACTTCAAGAATGACGACTTGCCGACGTTGGGGAAACCAGCAATGACGAGTGTGCGGGTGTTGGGGTCGATAGACGGGAGACGACCCAGATGCTGCCTGACCTGCTCAAGGTAGACAAGAGGATCCTTTAACCTCTTGCAGATGGTAGCCATACGTCCCAGCGCCGCCCTCTTCAGCTGCTTGCACTGGAACAGGGATTGTCCGTACTTGAGAAGGCGCACATAGTCGCGCGCAACTGTCTCAATCAGCGACTTTGCAGTCGAAAGCTGACCAAGAGCAATACGGAAGTGGTCCGCATCGTAGAGGGTGTTGAGGAGATCGCGGTGGAACGGGTGGATGTCCGCCAGGCGCGGGAAAGCCTCGATGGTGGTGGAGAGGCGCTCGGTAAAGGTTTCGGACGTGTACTTGACTTTTCGCGTGTAGAAAGCTCGAATTCTGCTAATCTTGAATCCTGCACGAATCTGGGTCGGCAATCTAAGAACTAGTCAGTTTATCGTCTTTCATGCGATACACATTGCGCCTTCAAAATCGCGAAAGTGCAGGGCGGTAGAGAGAAGGCGCTTTGCGCGAGTGTGTTTGGAGAAGGAGCCTACCTTCTCTGGGTCCTGGAAAGTACAATATCCAGGAACTCCTGGCTCGTAGGCACAGCGGGGATGTCTTTCCACTGAGTCTTCATTTTGGCGACTGCGGTATGTTGTTGTCGTGAGAAGCGGTCTGCGCTTTCCAAGGACTTCAGGGCAAAAAAGTTCGAGACGCTATCGATACCGTGTGGGGCACGTCCAAATAGTTCGCCTCACCGAAGCGCTAGTCCCGCATTCAGTCGCTAGCGCTCGATTGCTGACTGGGCACCAGCATGCACATTCAAACAGACGCCTGACAAGACTACTATTCGTATTTCCAGCTATTCTTTCTTGGAATCACTCACTGTATACAAGCGCTAAGTTGTGCTACTATTGTTTATCAAAAGAGAGCTGATTGACTTTCAGAGTACGATCGTATGGGTAGAAGAGGTAGTCCGCCGTTACTAGTACTCGCCCCGGCTTTTCTCTTACGCAGCTGCAACTTCGAACGGCTGACGCCGCGAGTGGTGCCTTTCATTTCGGCGTTCGCAGCTTCCCTTTGTTTCTTCTGCCCGCAACGACCAATGTTGTATGTCTCATAGGAATGTGTTTAGTGTTGACCTTTTTCGTCAGTTTAGACTTGGCGGGTCCAGACTCGTCGTAGTCATATCTGAGATGAATTCAGGTAAAGCTATGTCCTATAATATCAACATTCATCGATAGCTCTATGGAACGGCTCTTTTAACATCAGTGCTTCAGTCCAGGACCTGGTAATGAGCATCTACGGGATTCTTCCCATTGATCGTAAGAACGTCCTGTGGGCACGCACTCATCACCACAACTATATCTCTGAGCGCCTCCAAGACTACATAGTCTCCAGGCTTCGTCTTCGGTTCTTCAAAACTGATGCCTCGCTTCGCACCTTCCCCTTCCTGTGTTATAGGAATGTTCATGAACAGATTAAATGGATCTGGAACTCTGCACCCCATCTTTGCTTGTAGGCCTTCTAGAGCCTCCTTTTGGTCAGCCGATAGTGACGGAGACGTGGTCAGCCCGTGCAAAGCGTCCCAGAAGTTGTCTGTGCAAGACTCGTGGTACCCATTGACGCCCAGCTCACTGTACCGCCATCTATCACACGCTGCGACCAGAGTGTCGTGCACGCCTGGACTTGTATCTTCCACAACCTTAACCATCGGTGCCCTTTTTTGACTGACCATGATATCTCCTACCGCAGGTGTCACTTTCAGTAGACTTGCCCGGCAATGACACATGGACATGTATTCGGGTGCGCTGGCGGCGGTATTGGCAGTAGCGGAGTACTTGGAGGGCGAGTCGGAGGTCGCGTTTGGGTAGAGAGGTGCTTCGATCTTTGAAGATGCAGTCATGAGGACGGCAGAAGGAAGCGCGAATGCCCAGGTATCAACGACTTGATTGCCATGGGTGTTTGTTATCTTTATCTTTTGGCCGGCTTTCACGAGGGTGGCTGCTCCGCGGCGGGCGGGGACGGTTTGAACAGAGGAAGACATGTCTTGAGGTTTGTGAGGTGTCGCAAGGCGTCTATAATGGGAGTAAGAAGTTATGTGTGCGTATACAGTAAGACAATGCTGCTACGTGGAGATCAGTGAATACGCCTCCAGATATACATGCATACCCCACTTGTGCTGTCGCGTTAGGCCGTGGGACGGGAAGATAGGAAGATGGGGTTCAAAATCTGCGTCATCCCGTGTAGGCAAGGTCAGCATACGATAAGTACCCGTATCATAGTCATTAGCAACAGCTCCAGCTGTATCTGCAGTTCAGCGAAAGAGTCCAGGCACACAGGGTGAGCGCGTAGCATCGAGCGGTATTCATGGATCCTGATGACTTCCTTGATCATGAAGGTAACCCAGACGCGTGACGAGTGCCGTTTCGAACAAGGCAGACTTGAGTGAGATGTATGAAGTATGCGAAGACTTGGTGAGAGTGAAAGTAGGATGTTGAAGCTGTGACAGTGAGGTGCTGCAATCGCGCTTATCACGTGTCAAGAACGCGGCTTCCATAGGACACCCTAGCATTCCCGAGCGCCGCAACCCAAATTATCCCCACCACAGCTCGACTCCTTTACCGCCAACCCGCACCATTCCTACCCAGTCTTCACCATGGCTGCCCTCGCCAGCAAGACCGAGTCGCAAAACATCTTTACGAAATTGAAGTCAAAGCCTGCGAACAAAGTATGTCCTTTGAACAGGGAGATATTTGATCCATATCTAATACATGTCTAGATATGCTTCGACTGCGGCGCAAAGAACCCGACATGGAGTTCTGTACCATTTGGCATCTACCTATGTCTCGACTGCTCGTCCAACCATCGTAACATGGGTGTCCATATCTCCTTCGTACGATCCACCAACCTCGACAGTACGTTCACTCAAGACTCTGGAGACCATATACAGTATATGCTGACCAAGGCTAGTCTGGCAATGGGACCAATTACGAATTATGAAAGTTGGTGGTAACGAAAGCGCTACCAAGTACTTCCAGTCGCACGGAGGCTCCGCCGCGCTTGCGAGTAAAGACCATAAAGCCAAATACACCAGCAATGCCGCCACCAAGTACAAGGAGGAGCTGACTAGGCGCTGTGCTGCGGATGCCAGAATGTACGGAACAACAGCCATACATAGTAACTCAAGCTAATCTAATCCTACTAGGTACCCCAACGAGGTCGTAATTACGGACGTACTCGAAACTGGCAGCGACGGCAATAACACTCCCGCTGGAGAAGACGACGACTTTTTCTCCTCATGGGACAAGCCCACCATCAAGCGACCGTCGAACCCACCCTCCCGTACCGGTACACCCAAGGTCGGATCGCCCTTCCTAAAGCCTGGTGCCAACGGTAATGGAACCGATCGTCCCAAGTCACCGCTCGTGGGCGGCTCTGAATCGAGCGCACCCGCTGCAAAGCCAGCAGCCGTACGAAAGACGACTGCAGGCGCTGCGCCGAAGAAGAACATTCTAGGAGCGAAGAAGAAGGGTCTCGGAGCGAAGAAGGTGGTTGCTGCAGATGGAGGGCTGGATTTCGAAGAAGCAGAACGAAAGGCTCGCGAAGAGGCAGAGCGCATCGAGAAGCTGGGCTATGATCCTGAAGCCGAAGCCGCTGAGGCCGCCGCAGCCACGAAATCGAAAGCCCCAGAAGCATCAACCATCGTCTCTCCCACTCCCGTATCGCCACCACGAGGTGGTTTCGGCTCTACTTCCAAGCCCGAGCGCTCCAGTCAGGATATGGAGAGGTTAGGCATGGGCGTACAACGTCTAGGTTTCGGGCAAGTAGGTGCCGCGAAGAAGCCTGCAGCACAGAAAAAGATGGGTGGCTTTGGCAGCGTAGGCAAGCCTGCGCAAGACGACGGTGAGAAGTACGCACGGGAGAAGTTTGGCACACAAAAAGGTATCTCGAGTGACGAGTTCTTCGGACGAAACGCATTCGATCCCACCGCAACCGCGCAGGCTAAGGAGAGACTATCAGGTATGCATCTTCTGCAAGGGTACATATATTTTACTTTGCTAATTCTTTTATGTAGGATTCGAAGGCGCAAGCGCCATCTCCTCCAATGCATACTTTGGCCGACCCGAGGACGATGTCGGGGAAGAAGACTATGGTGACCTTGAAACCGCTGCCAAGGACTTTGTCCGCAAGTTTGGTCTTACGGCTGGCGACGATCTCGAAAACCTGACGAACATGCTTGGCGAGGGCGCTACAAAACTGCAGGGCGCTGTCCGGAACTACCTCAACTCGTAGGGTGGCTTTGAGGCCGTGTACTAAACAAACGCAGCTGGCGTGCGGGGGGCACAATTGATTTCCATGCGCAAAGCTCGTCGCAAATGATGAACAACACGTGTATGGGCGCTTGGTGCATTGAACGGAGCTTGGAGAAGAGACACCATGAAGCGTGTTGTTGTTTTGGTTTCTACTGTGTATTCTTTTGCGCTGAAGACCTGGACTTGGGAATGGTGTTTTGGGAGTATAGACAAACGCAAGCAACAGTCCTTCAATCCAACCTTGTAATCGTGTTTATATGATTCAGGCTGTGACTATCAACACCAGATATCATTGACACGTGAAAAGAGGATCGCGAAAACGTCGTTCGAAATCCGTTCAAACGCCTTGTACTACCTCAGAGCTAACACTCAATCATCCCTATCCCCCCAAACGTCAGCTTCCTCCCTAGCCACCGCATCCAAATCGATCAACCCCCCGTTCCCTCTGCTTTCACTACCTTCGTCCTCGTCGTCACTACTATCATGTTCACGGGCCTCCTCCCGGCTCATTGAACCCCACCCAGCATCCTCATCCTCCTCATCCTTGGGGAAAGCTGGTGACACTGGAACGAAATCATCCATGAGATTACTGGGAAGGCCGGCCGGTGCGGGACGCGGACGGGAAGAAGACGGCGGAGAAGGAGATAGAGGCATCATTGCCATTTCAGGGTGCTGGGACAATGGGGTTTCTGGTGTGTGGTCGACGAGATTTGGTGGTGTAGTGGCGCCACGATGGAGATTAGATGGCTCTGCGTGAGAAGATGTAGGTGATGAGGCTTTTGGTCTATTTCCTTCTTTTGAAGATGGTCTAACTTCTTCTTGGTCTTTCGTTGCTTGTCGCGAGGATGATTGTATGGCTGGTGATGTATCTACCTGTTGCGTAGGCGGTAGCTTGGCATGATGCTCTTGCTGCTGTTGCTGCGAGAATGGGAATATGGAGAATAGGCTTGCACTTAGGCTGTGTCTGTTTGGCGCTCCGGGTCTTTGTTCTTGCTTCAGCGTTTCTTCTCTGCTCCTCGGTACATTTGGAGGTGGGTGTGATGCTGAGTGGGAGTGCAAAGGGGCCTTCCTGTTGGCGGCTGGACTGGGAGGTTTCTGGATAGGCGTTTCTGGCAAGGGAGCTTCGCACATCTCACAGGCTGTGAGATTTGGATCGTTGAGGAATGTGCACCGAGGACACTGTTTCTTGAGGTCGGGTGTTGATGGGCTTTCGGATGCTCCAGCTTCCAGAGGAGGTTGAGGTTGTGGTCGAGGAGGTTGACGAGGAGGTGCTGCATCGCTTTGATTAGGCATTTGATAACCTGGACTATATCGCTGTGCGGTCCTTGAGTGTGTTGGTGCCGTGTCGCGTTGTCGGCTTGCAGATGATGTACTTGCATTCGCTCCGGCATTGGGATTGGGGTCCACGGAAATTACAACCTGCACATCCCTCTTCGTTCCACACTTCATACACTGACACTGTCGTACAACAGTCTTTGTATACGTATCCGTCACCTCAGCAGGTGCATCGAACCTGATCTCAAACTTGCCTGGCTCACCAAACCCGGGGGTACTTCTGTTATCTCTCCCTTTGGCATTCGCGTAGCCTGCTCCTTTCGCTACGATAGGTATGATGGGATCAACCGCTCCGAAGATCAGATGGTCAACAAAGGGTATCAACATCAGCTTTCCACTAGTCTTCATGTGGTGGTCGACTTCCGGACGGAGTTGGAAAGAGTCGATAGACTGTAGAACGCGGAAGTACTTGTTGAACATGTCGCCATACCATTGGCGAACTTGGACACCTTGCTGCAACAGCTCTTTCGCAATGTTTCGTGGTGCAGGGCTCGGCCATAGTGCATCTATCAAGTGTTTCTCTTTCAGCGCCTTTCTCACCATCAAATCTAGTCTCGCGCATTCATACAGCCTCTTCTCTAGTCGTTCGTGCAACTCGTACTTTGCGAATCGAATAACCAAACCTCTGACGAATCCAGCATCTAGGTTCCATTTCCTTGTGAAGTAGTCCAGAGATTCCAAATCTTTCTGCGCTTGCGCATTTGCAGGCCGAACAACAAGTGGCGAGAGTTCATGGCCCATGGATATCCATCGTTCTGTTTGGCGGGGAAAGGCGGTTGCTGTAGACCAGAATGAGCGGATAGGGTAGTATTCGGCTTTGAAGTAATTAAAGATGAAGTCCAAGAAGTCGACCTCTGTAAGCGGCATTGCTGCATGGCCGCGAGGGATGTCCATGGTGAAGGTCGGTCGTTGTAGGTGGCGAGCAGGTGGAGAGATCACAAGGACAATCACAAAATCATTCGTGACAGAAAATGAGGACTGCAATTGCAGGCGTGAAAATACTCGAAGCCCGGTTGCAAATCTAGCGACCCGAACTTCTTAGGTATGTGAAAGGTTGCTGCCTGGATGGTGGAATAGATTACGTGTGCAGGGAGAAGCTGTGAGAGTTGACATGAGTGACGATGCCTATTCAGAGCTGCGCCACAGCATGTGATAGTATTACAAGCGCTAGGAGGATTGCTTGCTCTGCTTGTTCTTGTGACGGAGTTTCTGGGGTGTACGTCATTGTGTGGCGGTGGCTGTGCTCGGTCGTTCTTCCGCGTCTGGCCGCCCATTCATCCTCGACGTTGTCAGGTCAATACACCCACATATGCAGATTGTGTTGGTAACGCTCTATAAATCACTGTGAGTACCAGAGCCCAAACAACCGAATGAAAAGAAGGTTGGCCAGGCGCTTCAGACGAGGAAGCGCATGGCAGCGCAAATCCGTGATGCAGCAAATACAGAGCATTGCTAGCCAGAACGTGTGCGATCTCAGCTACCTTATTCCTAGTGGCATAGCCCTGGCTTATCAGGGTGACGGTTTTTCGTATTTCTTTGCGTGGAATATTGCGCGTTCTTGGTATGCGGCTCTGAGTGGTAAACTGACTTCTCAAGAGATGCGAAGAAAGCGTCAGAAACAGGACACCTCCTCGTTTCAAGAAAAATCTCCTCCCTGTCCAGATACTAACCCTATTTGAAGGGGAAGGCAAGATGGTTCGGCCAAGCTTTGCGCAAGGGTCAGTAACGGTAAGGGGTGAGCAAGGGATTTCCTATAGGCACATTGATCTGACTGATCCGTGTGCTTGATCTCCCACTCTAAGCTCTCCCATACGTGGGATCTTACAACATCGTACGTTGAGATCTGCCCTTCTGCCGAGATAAGAGGGCTTTCGACATCGTCCCGCATATCTACGATATATAGAATGCAGCGATCAACCAGGAGGTCTCGGCAGCCCTACGTCTTTTTGCTGAAGCGCACCCATAGCCGACAATCTAACAAAGGTGTCTCGATTACCGGGCGCCTTTTACAAGAGTGATAGACGGTAGACGCATACAGATATACTCGGCTTGGTCCCTCAAATTGGTTACACAATCACATTAACCGTCCCCAATCCCGACCTCAGGCTTACGCCAGACTACATGGACGATGGAGAGGCCGGAACTCGAAAAGGCGGAGAGGCTGGATATGTCAGATGGTTTGCAGATCGCACAGCCTGAGACCTATCCAGAAGCAGTCAACCGCTATTCTGAGCATGGCGACACAAAACTGCCACAACTCCACAATGATGACGGCGATGGCGGACGCGATCGTTCACAACGAGATACGGCATCAACACGTACGGGGAATTCTCACGACCTCTTGTCATATCGAAACGGACCACACAGTGATCTATCACATCAAGCACCCCACATACAGGTTCCACCTGACATGTGGAAGAAGTTCTTCGCCCACAGACGACGCAAATACTGGTTTACAATCGCCATGTCGATAACCATAGTGGCTGCACTCGTGGGTACCAGTATAGGGGGAGGGCTGGTTGTGCAAGATAAAGCCGACAAGTAGGTCTTTGTTGTGCCATCCTTTGCCGTTTCCTAATGCTTTGTCAGGAAGGCTGAAGCTCTTGCAGCTGAGCAAGCTGCAGAAAGTTCGCGTACGATGCTAATGCCTACACCCATATCGGCAAGCGCTTCGGCGAGCGCCTCGAATACTTCATCAGATATTCCAACGAACAATCCATCGGACGCATCTAAAGACACTGGAGTAGACTACACAGTGCGGCCTTTTGGCGCCATCCAGTCGATAAATACAACGTGTCCGTCCACACTCGTCATCTCGAGTCGATTGGAAGGCAAGACGTCAGACATTAGTGGCCGTTACATGTATAGCTGTCTTGACAGCACCAATATACTGGACTCCACCCTCCTGAGTTTCACTGCATATACCTTGGAGCAATGCGTCGACGCGTGTAGTCAATACAGCGCCATGCACAGTAGCATAGACAATATATGCAAAGCCGCCGTAATCAGCTCCGACTTTAGTGGAAGATACGAAACTGCGAACGGAGCGAACTGCTGGTTGAAGAGCGGAGCTGGCAACGCTAGTACAGGACAGAGCGGGTACACAGCGGCGGTGCTTCGTGAGGCGTAGGTTGAGAAAGACATGGTGAAAAGACACAGGGTTCGGTTATCAGTCGACCATTGCGAGGGCCATTGGCGGCGTTTGCACTTTGTTCAGAGATTGATGGGTTGAATTTCCTTATCTGTAGGATTAGCAAGCGTTTGAAGTGGCTTCTGTCATTATCTGTTGTATACCAATGTCAGTCGTTATAGTTTCTTTACGACGCGTTCCTCTCCATGTGTGCATCTTTGCAGTGCAAAGAAAAGGTATAGAACTCTGGAAATCCAAACGAGTTATAAAAATCTGTAAGATGTAATCTAATGTAGCAAAGATAATTGGTGGCGTTGCACTGAGGATCACCCGTAACCCCCAATGGACGTATCATCTTGTGTGCAAACTCGATCGAGACTATCTACCCAGAGACAAATCGTGCGTAACTTCCTACGTATAGGAAAAGAAGACAGAGTCCCTGCCCACGATGGAGAGAAGAAAAAAGACTCGTTTTTAGACACAAGGGACGTACTCTGCCTTGTTCTGATGTGCATCCGAGAGTGTATGGAGTGTCTTGGGAACTTCCCAGGTTCAAACACTACGCAAAAAGGTATTCTCGATCCAACAACAAGCAAAAAGATCGTTTTCCGACACAATAGAGTAAGATGCCTCAAAGTAAGGGTCATGTGTTCTCGATCTTGGGAGTGATTTGTGAGATATGTCCATTGGTGTGGTGGTGGTTTTGGGTGGGTCAACTCTGCAAAAATCACTTTTTGGCCTCCTTTACCAAACAGAGACCTCTCAACAGCTTTCCACTCAACCAAGATGATAGAAAAGAGCAAAATGAAAACTTTTCCGACACCGGGAATCGAACCCGGGCCTTGCCGGCACTGTACAGTGAACTGACTCTGCAGATGAGAGCGGCAAATCCTAGCCACTAGACCATATCGGATTTTGATGGAGAGAGTGGACAAACAATGTAATATATTGACGAGATTGAGACGGCTTCATGACAGGAAGGTCGAATGGGTCCTTGTGCAAACCCGTGGACGAGAGCGGGAAACCACTTGGGATCACCATGGAGAAGGTATGACATGTCGAGGGTGTTGGCGGGGCACTTTTTTCTGCTTACCCCTGACTACCCCACTTCGAGAAATCTCTAGCATCAGGCCCCTCGGAGGCACCGCGGATATACTAAAACACTATTCGAAGCCATTGGATATGTGGTTCGAGTGTTGGGACTGATCTGCCTAGCGTTGCTTTTGATACAAGCCAGTCTGGCGAGATTTTCCAGAGCCAATGTCTCCTTTCTACATCTTGGCCGGAGCAATCTTCACAACTCTGCAACATTGCACAACATGAATCTGCCTAGAGCATTGAGATACTTCTGCCTTTGTCACTGATACGCATTGGTTTTGTCGTTTCTCTTCCTTGTTGATGTAGACACTGCTGTATTCCGCGCCGAAGACATATTGTATTTGGTACTTTAAGCTATGAGGTGAACTCGCAAGCATACTGGTTACATGTACAGCTCTTTTCTGGCATATGCATCCGATCATCCACGAAAAGATGTTCACTGATAGCAAGACATCCGTTCTATCATTGGCGCGGATGGTGCCAAAGGGCCCGAATTGCATTTCTAATGGCCATGTACCGTATACTAAAATGTACTCCCTAGTACATGAGCACTTCTAGGACCGCATGCTGTCAATATCTTGTCGTACTACAGTAACCATGTTAGATTAATCAAGCAGTTGAGTCCATCTTACCTAAATTGCGCAAAACACAACAGACCATATCTATTCATTCCTCGACAACACTTGCCCCAATCCAGATCCTTGAGAGCCTGGCACTCTTTCTTACAGCGGCACCATTTCCCATCAAGTTCTATGATCATGATATACTTCTCTAATGTCCACCGTAGCGTAGAATCCGTTCGCCAAATAGCCACTCTCTTTCGACTTTGTCGATGGATGCAATGGAAGCTCTCCTCTCGTCTTATGACCAAGCGACAAGATTCGGGAATGCGATATCCGGCTAGAAGCAATTTCCTGTGTATGGCATGAAGATCGTTCTATTCCAGATCTGCTCGATCTTCGAACAATGGAGGCGCTTCCAAAAACCAGCCCTTATCATTTTGAGCCTGGTACAAGACTTGTCTTCAGCTGCTTGTTTGAACTGTCGGGGAGTGTTATTGAGGCGTTCTAAGCCCAGATAGTTCAGATCAACAAGACCGGCATTCTCAATCGGTATATCATACTTTGTGCTGGGCTAACACACGGCTTATGTTCCATGTACGACGATGGTAGAGCGAAAGGTTGGCTCTGGGGATGTTGGGTCTAGTCCGACACGCAATGCGTTCTAGAAGGGTGACACGTCATCAGAGTCAGAACGTGCAGTGTTTTCCAGCAGCACATTTTGATGCCGGGCAAATTCGGCATGGTGGAAGATGTGCTTGATGTTTCGAACCGGACCAGGGTTCTTAGGTGAACGCCACGCTATGAAAAGATCTTGGGAAGTGGCCAGAATCAAAGCTAGAACGAAGCAAAAGCAAGGTCGCTGCATATGTATGTTAGTGCTCATTACTGACACTAATCACAAACGGATAGGGTGCATGTTATAGTCTTGATCCGAAGGGGCGAGGGGATTGTAGGCATGAATAGACAAAGCGATGCGACGTGGTCGGGCAGGTAACAGTAATAATGCAGTTCATGTTTGACTACGCCACACAACGTCACCTTTCTATGCCAATCATTCGCCATCTCAATATATTTATATTGAACTAGACGTCACTTTCATCTCGCCACTTGAGGTTCTCAGCTTGATTGGAGTTGCCTAGCCAAAAGAAACGCAGATAAGAAAAGAAAATACTTCATGCAGAACAGGCCGGATACGGAATAGTAAGAATACCCGCACACAATAGTAATGAAAAGACAAGTAGAGTTCTAGGTCAAAGTCAATTTCGGTGATAAGGTACCCAACTTGCTTTGCCATGAGAGATGAGTGCTAGGCCTATTGTATGGATAGCATCGTAATGACGGATAAGACGGTACCAGTTCCAGAAGAAGAGAAGAAAACAAGTTGGCTCCCGAGTTCGGCAGCAAATTGTGCATTGCTGTCGCGTACAAAAACGCAAAAACATACAACAGCAGGGATTCGCCAGTGGTCACCCACCTGACTACTAATCCGCCGGTCTCGAGCTTGAGTACCGCTGAGCGAACGGGAAGCGCTATGATCTTGAGCCTATGGTCGTATGTGGGAGAAAAGCTTTTGCAGTGTCTTGATATTGTCCGTGGTCGGGATGATTGACAAATGCAAATGCAGTGGCTGTGTTACGGTTGCGCCTGAATCCAGTAGAACACTATAATCGCACCGATACTAGTACTTGGTAACTTCGATAAGCACTCTTCACATAAGACCGGGTGTCGTTGCAATGACGTGCATGTAACCTACCAGGATTGTTGACATGGGTAGCCGATCATTGTCAGACACCGAAGCATCCTTCCGATGCGTCCCATTCCTTCGGTAGGAACCCGAGCACCGGAATCTGGGGATGAAACATGCTAGTTACCAGATCTAATGACGACGAATCGGGGTTTTTGGAAGGGAGCCATGCGCCTACGCAGCAGTGACGGGCATTAAGCGTGAGGCAAAAGTGTAGGCTGGTGGCGTCCAACAGTGGCGTCGGAAAACTTCGCTTTAGCCCTGATCAACTATGCTTGTGCGATATCAAGCGGTGTATGCTGCGGGTGTCGTTGCGCTAGTAGTGTCTTGTACGCGCTTCCGTCGCAGTGGAGTTGTACCTGCGCAAGACTTACAACCCTTGGATAGTTCGTAGTTATCCTGTAGCTGCTACTTGAGAGAAGTCAGCAAGAAAACATAGTGTGGCGTGTAGACCCTGATACAACGGTGTTTATGATCAGCTACCTTGATGTGGCGGCTCCTTGCAATCGGAAAGGTTGTGAAGGAAACATGGAGGAAACTTTGGCGACTTCTGCACCAACGTCGCATATCTATCACTACGATCGTTCCGTCTGGTGGGTTAAGCTGTGGAAACACAATAGGTGCATGATTGTGCATAGTCGGCAGAGATTGTGAGCTACGTTGAGGGTTGCGCTCGTACATAAGTGCCTCGTGGGAGTACTGTCAGGTGTCATGGTACTCTACTAACAATAGTAATGATCGAAGAGACTGCATCACTTTGGGAAGCACATGTTTGGTATGCGACGGCCCTGCAATGGCCCCCACTCAAGGAACATGCTGCACTGCAAAGGCGCAAGAGACACCCGGCATCGCAGAGCGTCCCAACTGAAGGAACTGCTCTCGAGGACGTAGGGATCAGCATGATACCTCCGCAGAGTACTGCATGTGCTATCGAATGCCGAGTCGTGTATAGTTCCCCCCTAACCACGACGTCAGCGTCTCCATCAAGATCACGTGCTCTTCGCAATAACTGACAGAAGGGCTTAGCGAATGTGGGGAGCGCCTGTCAATCAACTTGTCTAAAATGGCAAGCGGTTGACGTGCGTAGATATGGCATCAGCCCATGTAGAAATCAAGCTTTGGATCTAGGGTCCAGGTCGCTAAAGTGCGCCAGTTGGAGTAAGGCCCCTTCTGTAGTCGCCGTTCACCTACCACCATGCGCCCAATGCTGTTCCGTCTCTCGTGGAAGCCACATCAGAGAACAGAATTGACCCCTGCATTCGTTGCAAAATGTGCATTCATCTGATCATCGATGTAGTTTTCTGCAATACATTTCCCAAATCCGGTTGTTCAGCCCGCAAGCTTCCTCAAGCTGGTTGCAGCCTGCTATCATAGAGAGCCTTGTCTATAATAGGTTTCATATTGCGGTCACTTCCGTAACCAGCTCTGATCGGGAGGTACCGATGACTCGGAAAGTGGTTTGCTTTTGCAGCCAAAATGGGAGGTGCAGCATCTCGGGTCCAGAGCCTTGGTAAACTTGGGCTCAGCCCCTGCTTGTATCCTGTAAGGACTTCGTTATCATGCCAAAGGTCATTCGAGCGCTGTTACTGGCACCCGTTTGTTTGCACCTGGTACTTAATTTTCGGGATGAGTACCCGTTACCGTCGAACCGACGATCCGTTTGACGTGAGGACTAAAAAGCAGGAAAACCCGCGATTGCGCCGAGCGAACCAGTAGACAGTTCTCCCGGTGAACGTCTGACATTGACTTTGGAAAAATAAAACAGGGCAGAATTGTGTCTTTGCCAACCCTGAGTCGGTGCATGAGTGCAGCACTAATGCAATCGTGGTGTGAAGATGCTGCATTAGCGTTCTGGTGAGGCTGCTCTGTCGCAACCGTACTCGCAATCTCGAATGCGAAGTTCAGCGGCCATGTCTGGAAATAGAGGTATTCCGAGCCCCATAAAAGCCCACATGATCGTCATTCGGCACCGTGGACTGCTACTCATCAGCACATAGCATCAGGAGGCATAGCGCCGACACGGACGCCGACCGGCATCTCGCTCTCTTGACCGCGTACCTAGGTGTGGCCTTGCGTTGGGGCAGCCTGGCGGCAGGCGATTCATGAGTTTAGAGTTGTCACAATCGGAGGCTGATGGGTGCCCAGCTGTCGGGTCCACGCGATTCCTAGATGAAAATCATATCTGGCACACAGACGGATAGGCGTGCGGGTCCACACGGCAGAGGCTCATCATTGCGGAGTTTGGAAATGCGCTCAGCTTGCCCTGAGCCAGCCACCAGCGCGAAGGATGCTGCGTGTGCCGGCCATTCTAGTAGGAGTTATGCAGGTGACGTCGAAACATGTCTGGGGTGCTCGGTGAATCAAGCGCGCAAAACTGGAACAGAAGGTCCGGTAGGGTGGTTGACGGTATAGGTTAATTGGCGGACGCTTAAGCTCGTTGGCCAGCGTAGGCCGCGGCGCGCGAGACGACGCCATCAGTCGATCAGTACCATGCCTCTTTGAGCGAAGCTTCCTTAATGCCAGGGCCAAGTATCAGAAGCAGTCCGCCTGGTGAGAGACCATCGCGGCGATTGCGCGGAGTCGCGGAGGCCTGGTAGCAATAGCGGCTAGCTGGGTCCAATGTCCACAGTTGTCGAACAGGGCGAGTAGTGTCAGCTTCAGCTGGGGCCAGTCGACATGAGGAATTGAGATGATATGTGCGTGAACAACGGTCGCATATGAAGTGTCTTTTGCGCCTAACCAGCAGAAACAAGGTTCGTGTCGTGGAGACAGAAGCATAGCCAGCTGTCCCCAAGTCCCACGTTCCACCCAGGTTCCACATACGAGCGGAATCTCCACGCGACTGATGCTGATGACAGCTGCCCAAGCGACTAGCAGACAAAGCATGCCTTTAAGGTGGAGCAAAGTGTCAGAAAGGTTGCTTTGCCGACGTGCAGTGGGTGAAGGCAAGAAGGGTGAGGATCCTCGGCAAAGCATCGTAGCCGCATTCGAACTAGGCAGCGCACCAGGTGAATTTCAGGTTAGCTTGTCAAGCCGTCATCCCGCCATCCATCTTTCAACGCTCGCAACCAAAGAACCTCCATCGCTTCGACAGTCGTGTGTCTATATCGGGCAGACTGGCCAGGAACCCACGTCCTGACCAAGACACCACCCCCCCTTCATCAGATCCGTTGATCAGCCGCCAATTTTCTTCTCCCACTCCCCTAGCGCAAGCCCTTCACCACCCCCCGGTCCATTGGCACGCACTCCGACGAGACCTCGCACGACAGCTGCCGAATCGAAACTTGACTTCTTGCCCTGCTCCTCTGGACACCTCCAAGTCCGTGTCCACACCCGCTATTTCTGCATCCGACTCCCAGTTGCTCACCCTGATTCAAACCCCATGTACCTTGTCGCTCCCCAGAAAAGTATGGTCCCAATTCTAGTCTAGAACATACATGCTCCCTATGGTCTTTCCATACCTGATGTAGGCACACTGTGGGCGCGCTATCATTTTACGTACAGCCTTCCGTCTCTACGAACGGCGGCGGGCTTGCCGCTCTCTCCCCTTTTGGCCTTACCAGCGGCCTTTGACACCTGGTGCGTGCTCCCCACTTCGTTATAACTAACATTGAAGCCCTTGACTCCACATGGCTCCCGTGGGCTGAATGATCGACTTCCTTGAGTAGATTTGTTCTTGCTTACGACCTCTGAACTACTACAAGACGACACCATCACTTCCATCTTTATCACAGTTGACCGTGAAGCTTGACTGCCTAGCCACTGGCGCCCCGCAGGACTCTCCCATTTCAGATCGGCACTTCTGCGAGGTTAAACACTCTTGGCTCCGCCGCACCCGCTTCCAAGCGGACCAACATCATCCCGCCGATCTTGTGCCCCCGTTCGTCAAGATCGAAGATTACTTAGGTATGACATCTACCTAGCCTGACATCCCTATTTGTGTCGTCAGTAGCTTCGTACTAAGTGCTATACCAGACTCGCTTGTCATCTCTCTCATCTCTTCACCTCCAAACTATGGCGAATATGGCGCCAGCTCCAGTATCGGGTGGTCCGGGCGATGTTTCACCAACAGGCGGCTCGGGGTCTGCAACGAACTCCAAGATGAGGAAGAGGACCAAGACTGGATGTCTCACCTGTCGGAAACGCCGCATAAAGTGTGGTGAGGAGAGACCTACTTGCGCCAACTGCATCAAGTCCAAACGTCAGTGTGAGGGCTACAACCAGAGGGTCATCTTCAAACCACCAATTGGCGACTGGCCAAATCACCCAGGCGTGGTCAGCACTATACAATATCACACTTCAATGCTTCCTGGGACACGTAACCAATCATATCGCGGGCCTGAGCCAGCTACCGCTGTGGAAGAGAGCATGCTTGGTTCGATTCAACCTCGCCCGCATGGTAGCTTCGACTTCTCACACATCGACACGAGCTCAGGTCCTGGGCCTTCAGAACCCCAGCAAGGTTACGCTGGAAGGAATCCCAGCTATACACACGAGCAGGCTTATCAGCAGCCGATGCCGTCCCCTCTTCACCAACAGCCGCTTCCCTCGCCAAACCACCAAGCACATAGCCACACTCCCACCGCTTCATATTTTCCGCCGCCTTCGTCAATGCACACAAGTCCACAAACACAATTTAGACACGATTCGCACAGCACCTACCAACCACCCCTTCAATATACCCAGAGTTCATCATATCCACCGGTTTCAGTCTCGTACAACCACGAATCCAACCCAAAGGCCGCGGTTCCTCAGCCTCCGCCGATCTACTCACAAGCCTATCGATCTGATAGCCAACAAGCCGAAGGTCCTTATCGGGATCATTCAAGTGTATCACCTCGAAGCGACCAATATCCCCATTACACAGAGGCACCGCTGGGGGTGCAAAGATATGACAGTCATCCGCAAGCCCCTGTACACCCTGTGCAAGGAACTTCGGCAGATTTCAGCCAAATTGCAAATCTTAACTACCCAGCAGCAGTTTCTCACGCTGACTTCAGTCATGCAAGCTATCCTCCTGTCCAGATGCCAATTCATGATATGACCCCAGATGTAAAGTATATGTCACAGCCTGTCCTCGGTATGTCTCGTGTCTAGTTAAAACCTCGTATACCCCAATGATTACTATTATTTTCTCTGTGTCTAAGCCCTTGTCCACTGTCACTCCATAAATTTGTGCATGCCTCTAAAGCCTGGATGTCTCCCCAATCCTCTCCAACCACAACAGCACGCTACTCTTCACCACCTAAAGTTGTATGTTACTTAGCTGACTGTTCGTGTCTACAGAACAACCTTCCGCCGTACCACAAGCGCAGCGATCTCAACCGCAACTTCTCCTCGATGGCTTTGGTGGTGACGACCACGTTAGCCCTACACAAGTTCTCGACGAAGCCGCAATCGAAAACGAAGATGACGACTACTGGGATGTTCAATCGGACGAAGACATGTTTGATGCGGAATTTGTGGGGGATGAAAATGCCTTACTTGCGAGCAAAGAGTTCGACAACATCCGTCGCATACACCTTGAGAACTACAACGAGCTGGGGATCAGACGTTATGATGCATTCTTGTATGACGGGTTGCTGTCAAACTATAGACCAGAATATGCGGCAAGCCCTTTGCGCAATCCCAAGACTGCGAGAGTTTTCGCGCACTACATACATGTGGTAAGTGCGACAGGGACAGCTGCACAATATGTGTTATCGCAGATGCCGCGTGGTTTCCCAAGCCGCCCCATTCATACGGTCCACTGACTTCCATAGACCGGACCAACGTTATCAATGTACGAACGAAATCCTAGAAACCCCACCCTCATCTTTGAAAGTACTACGCACCCCGCTCAGCAAGGTCTTTGGACATACACACTGCCTCTGAAGGCTCTCAGTCATCAGGGATTGTTGCACGCCATGTTAGCGCTTGCGAGCCTGCACATTGCAAGATTGCAAGGCGCCTCCATAACACCGTCCTACAAGCACTACGCATACTCCTTGAAACGACTCGTCCGCTCTCTCAGTGATCCTAAGAAACGTCTATCAACCCTGACATTGGCCACTTCCTTACTTCTGGCCTTCTACGAAGTTTGGACAGCAGAGCATGTCAAATGGGGTACGCATCTTATCGGTGCCCAGCGCCTCATCACTGAGCTCGACTTTCGGTCATTAACGCGCGAGGCAAGACGGCTGCGAGCGGTGCAGACTGCCATGGAGCGACAATTCCCATACCAAAACCCTGAGATGCTCATCGACCAGAGGCAGTTTGATCAGAGACTCACAGATAGCGCTTTGATGCCAGATCAGAGTCTTGTAAGCACGATTGTAGGCCAAAAGGTCAACTATGACGACTTCGGAATGGTATTCGAGGACAACGGCCCAAGGCACGACACAAGACCTAACATACCTGCGAAATTGGACCTGCAAAGCTACGAGACACTACAGGATATATACTGGTCATACGCTAGGCATGATGCTTATCAAAGCATTATCAGTGGCAATCGCCTTATGTAAGTAACGTGGATGGGGATTTAAAACATACAACTGACAGGTAGCAGCAATTCCTATCGCAAATGGTCTGATTGCCCTCCAAGAGCCCCGCTTGGCCGAGCCGATGCACTCTATGGCTCTCACGACCATATTATCCTTCTTTTGGGTCGCATCGCAGACTTCATGGTCAGAGACCGCAGTCGCAAACTTCGACAAATAGAAGCGGACGGTGGATGGCGACCACGTCCTAATATGCCTGGTTTTGGGAACATGGGATCGCCTCTAGGCGGCCCACATGGTCAGCAACAAATGCCCCCGAGCTCTACAGGACCTCCACCTCATATGCAAGGTCCACCACCAGGATGGAAGGGGCCACCACCGCCAGGCTGGACAGGTCAGCCTCCATCACAACCTCCACCAGGCTTCGGACCGCCACCTATGTCGGCTAGAAAACCGCCTCAGGGTGGTCAGCCCAAACCATCAGCTATGCCTAATTTTTATGGAATGGCGCCATCGGCAGGCCCAGGACCCATTCTTTCCAGTTACGAAAATCCAAATTATGAACGCTCACCACAGACCCCAAACACGCCTCACCCTCAATATACTGACCTACCTTCTGAATACGAAAAGGCAATTTCAGAGTGGGAGAGCATAAACGATGCACACACGGCAGTCGTGCGTATCTTGGAACAAACTGATACCTTCGCACCATTGCCAGAAGACACTTATCCACCAGCGCCAGGAGAATACCCTAATCAACAAGGAAACATGACACCCTTCGGCCCAGCTATATTACACAGAAGCTACGACATATCCATTATATGGACACTGGTTCACCTCTCCAAGATCATCCTTCTACGGTCTCACCCGGGTATGCCACCCGCTGCACAAATGGCGGCTGGTGTATGTGCATCCGCCACCGCCCCATACTGCATGCTCATCGGCCGCATATGTGCCGGTTTCCAGATGCCCATCGATTCAGATCTCTCTCCCTTCCTTGGCGCAGTCTTGACAGAATCTACCTTGTCGCTGTTCTTTGCCGGCATTACATTTCAGGACCCGCGACAACGCGAGTGGCTCATAACCAGGCTGTTAGAAACAGATAAGAGGACAGGCTGGGCTAGTGCAGGGACCATTGCTGTAGGATGTGAGACAGCATGGACAAAGGCTGCCGAGATAGGAAGAGGGCCGCCATACAAGAGGAGGACGAAACGGGCTCCAGCAGTTAGCCTTGAAACCGAAGAGGAGGAAATTGGTGGAAGAAATAAGGAGCAAGCCAGGGTACAAGAGATACATAGGGAGACAAGATATGTGGTTAAGAATCGGCCACCACCGTGGGCTATGAATTTGTTGGGCACTGAGGAAGATCTTAGAGTTGGCATGGAGAGATTTGGATTGTAAGGAGACAAGGGGGGAATAAGAGAGAAGGGAGAGCTGGTGACCGACACTGCGAGGAAATGGCAGAAACAGGGACGGAGCAACGAATCGCACAACAGTACCTCATCGAACGAACCAGCATCGCGAGACTCGGATTGGCCAAAGCCCAAGAAATAAGCATCATCACTTCAGCGGTGGAAGCATACCAGGAACTCATCTTGAAAGGGAAGAAAACAAGATTCAAACCTAATTCCCATCACTTACCCCGAGGAACTACCAGTCGTCAACGGAGCCAGGAATTAATAGGCAACTGCATCAACATCAGTAAATAAAAAAAAAGCCTTGGATATTCATTATACGCCTTACTACGCTCTTCCTGCACGAGGCACATGAACCATACCATACGATACCCCCTTCAGTTAAGAAAAAGCATTGTTACGTTGTTGGGAAGATTTAGCGAAGGGGATAAAATACAAGAGAAATTGTTTGTTGTGGATTGGAAAGCTTGAAGCATGTTATAGGGCGATAGCAGGATCTGTTGGTGACCAGGGTATTTAGTCAATACAGATAGACGGCTAGCGTAATCACGGTACCAGACGACGACCATTTGTTGACGTCGGCCCCATCGGGTGGGGGGATGACCCTGTTGTTGAACGATTCGGGGCATGCAATAGCAGACAACGCGGAGAAAGTCATCCAGCAGGATTCGAGGAAGCGTATTGAACTTTACATGTTGATTTGTCTACAGATTCTCCAAAGGTCAAATTGCGCCCGCTCGCTCGTTAGCTAATGAACATAAGGGGGTTTTTTTTTTAAACAACTCGTGTCCGATGGATGCCACCAACGCCTCTTCCCAGCCCAGCAACCAGGTCGTGTGAATCCAATTACAAGGATATGTTGCGTGCCGTATAATATGCCAAACTCCAATGTACGCCTAATCCAGTGATGGCGTAATGTGACCATCTCCAACCGCGGGTATCTCTCGATGCCGCAGTATCCATTACACTTCTAAAAAAAGTAGTAGAGCACACCTCCACCCGCCGTCATGAAAACGCCAAACCACCACCATTGGTCAGCCTTGACGGCACCAGGCGCCCTCTTGTACAGCACCTCATGGTTCATAGGCAGTTCGCCGCGCTTGGAGTTCTTGGCTGAAGCGGTTTGCGTAACGAGGGGGTTGAGGGTCGTGGTGGGGAGCATCTTTGGCGAGGACATGGCTTGGTAGAGAGGCATCATGGGCGCACCGTCCCATTGGTAGAGGGTGATGCGTGGGATCTTGGCGTAGGCGTCTGAGACAACGTATTCGTAGTGCTGTACAGAGCAGTTAGTATGAAGGACTTCAATGTGTTTACTGAGCGCCAATGAATTTGGGGCTCGGAGAAAGGCGTTTCAGCATACATCGAATAGTTCGGTCGCATTGTATCGTGTGTAAACAGCGTTCTTGTACGCGCACGGGTCGGAGTATAGTTGTCTGCCGTCAACCTTGATAGGCTTGAGGATTAGGGAGCCGTTTGCGAGTTTCTCAAAGGTTCCGTGTTGCCATTGGATTATGCCCTTGGGACATTTGGGATCTTGCGCTGTGATACTCGTCAGCAATGGCTCTGTCATCGCGCCTGCTCAACACGGTTGTGATAGCGTTGAGACGATTGCTGATAACGTACGGTTTGCGATAGCACGGTAGTATGCCTCCTCGAAGTGACCATCCGCAGTAAAGGAGTAGCTGATGCCGGTGTGCTTGGGCTCGGTGAATTTCTCATTTACGGGATCGTAGAAGTCCTATAGAGTGGTTAGTCTGGTGTTACTGGCAGGTATTGATATAGGAGTGCATACGGGCCCGGTCATTGTCGAGTTTGCCTTGCTCGTCCATGTGCCGACGAGTTCAGCAGGAATGGCGGCTGTTTGGGCTTGCGCGCCCAGAATAGCGGCTCCTGAGAGCAGCAGCGCTGCTATCCGTGACAACATGGTTGGTGTGATGCGAGTGTGTGAACGAGTGTGGATGGTCGGCGATGTGCAAAAGCGAGCGTGGGTGCGCGAGGGCGTGAGGGTGGTGAGTAGGGCGGTGTTGGTTGTTGAGGAGAGGATGTTTGGGCATGTTTGAGTGTCGCCGCCTCCTGGCTTGGAACGAATCGACAGGGATCACGCGGCTAGTTGCAGATCATCACCGGCGTCCGGTGGACAAGGCCGACATCATCGCCCGCACCCGCAGCGGATCTCTTAGCTATTTCCGCCCTCATTCGCTTTACCGTGACTCTATAAATAATCACCGTTACAATCAACATCTTTGCCAATTGCTATCGACGTTCCATCACAACATTGCAGCACCAAGTTCGACTTCCGGAGCACCGGTATTATCGCTGGAACGCCGTTACGCTTGCAATTGAAGGACGCTATGGCCGCGTCACTAGCAGCTGTCAAGAAGGAATTGCGCAACAAGATTAGGACCATGTTGAAAGAAGTTCCCGAAGCGGCCGCTGCTACTCAAAGTACGTCATGCTTCTGTGCCGTTGCTGCTTCTACTTATGCTACCAAGCATCCAATGCTACCAAGACTCTGTTGTCCATGCCAGAGTACAAAGCTGCACACAGGATAAGCGTCTACCTATCTATGCCGGGCGGTGAAATATCTACGAGCGACATTGTGCGCAATGCACTTGACGAGGGCAAGAAAGTCTTCATTCCCTACACGTATAGTTTGGAGACTCCCAAAGAAGGCCAACCAAAGTCCATCATGGACATGGTAGAGCTAAAGTCGATCAAAGACTTTGAATCGTTGGAATCTGACAAATGGGGTATCCCCACTCCAAGCAAAGGTTCCATATCATCACGTGCAAATTGCTTTGGCGGTACCGGCATCACCAATGGGGAGACCGAAGGTGTGAGTGCTGGTCTCGATCTGATCGTCATGCCAGGTATGGCTTTCGACTCGCAGTTCGGCCGCCTGGGACACGGTAAAGGCTTCTACGACTATTTCCTGACGCGTTGTCACCAAGTATCGCGCATGCCTTTTCGCGGTAAGAACTACTAGTATTGTGTATTTGGAGGGCTAACTAACCAAGTTGAAGTTGGCCTCTCGTTAACTGAGCAGTTCCTGCCACCAAACGAGTCTGTTCCCATGGACTCCTCCGATTTTCGCTTGGACGCCTTGATCACTGGTGACGGCGAGCTCCGCCGCGTGGGATCTTGATCTGCTCCCATGAACCTTTACAACGAGATGGTCCGCGTTACACGGCGTCATCTTCCTCCTGACCTGATGTATGCGCCGTGTCCATCGCATGTCTCTTCGACCGTGTGGGGAATAAGTAGGCGTTCGCGCTTATTGGAGCTGCTGGATGAGAGAGATGTTGTCGCCCTTCAACAGGATCTGGCCGACTTTGCGCCTCTCCTCTGGCGCGTCCTTCTTTGCGAGGGTGACTTCAATGGCGTCGTCGATAACGAGGTTCATAAATTCGTCAAAACCCTACATAGTTGTCAGCAGCCATCGCAACGACATGTTTAGGCAGTCGTACCCTCAGCTTTCCCTCAATGCGCATGCCCAAGTTTTCGTACAACCATACCGAGATGGTCGCCCGTGATTGTAGAAGCTTGAAAATGAAGTTAATCGGAGGAAGGAGAACTAGAAAGTAATTAGCTACTGTCGAGGCGCATGCACGTGGTAGCGGTCGTACCCTTTCCTCCACCGCGGCCTAAAACGCGTTAGCTAATCAATCTGTAATGAGGCGGGTATACTGACCACCACGTCCAGTCATTGCGAGAGGTTGATCGCGAGTCTCCGGTAGTGTCTGGTAGTTTGTAGGGTCAGAGTCGGGGCGCAATGTGGGGGAGAGGCTTGGAGGAGAAGCTGTGGTGGAAGGAACATTTCTGGCGCGACCTGAGCGGTCACAAACGCCTTGGCACCAACGTGGGGATCTTCGTACTACTTTGACTATGCGACCAAACGCAACTGCCCGTCCCCGAGCAAACTCACCACCACCACCACCACAACAACTGCCGCCTTTCTCACTACTTCACCGCTTGCACCTGCCACCTTTTGCACTCGCCTAACAAGCCAGTTCATGCGCGCAATATAACACGCTCCCCGCCGCCTTGCTCCGAGCAGTGTCCGCATCCGTTTCCCCCCCACTACCTCCTCGAATTCCCTCACCATGGCTGCCAACGGACAGCAGGTCTTCGACCCTGTGCTGGCGGCGCACAATACCATGGCGTCACAGGCGGATCGCGCACAGAAAGAGCAGGCACATCAGTTTCTGGAACAGTTCCAGAAGTCGGTATGTAGCATGGGCACGTTTGTAGGAGGCATGAGGGGCTGATATGTCACAGGAAGAGGCATGGACAACCACACTGGCTATGCTAGAGGCAAACTCAGCAGACGCGGCTGCCAAGCTTTTTGCTGCCACTACGCTCAAGGGAAAGGTGGGTTATTGCTACTGTAATGTTGGTATATGCTGACTGTGCCAGATTGTATATGACCTTCACCAAGTGCCTCGCGCACAGCTTCCAGAGCTCCGAGCATCTATCATGCGGAATCTGGCGGTATTCCATGCTGGACCCAAGCCCATACGTTTGCAGCTATGCGTGTGTCTGGCGAATCTGGCGATACAGATGACCGAGTGGAAGGATGTCCTCAAAGACGTCGTCAACGCCCTCGGTTCAGATCCAGCAACGCTACCATGCGTCTTGGACTTTCTCCGCGTTCTCCCCGAAGAAGTCACGCATGGACGCAAGATCGCTCTCACAGTACGTCCGAACGAGCCGCGCCCCGTCATCAGCCCACGACAATCCCCCAAGGTGTCGACATATGATAGTAGAGTTGTAGTCTAATATGTGGTGGTCAGGAACACGAGTTGACTATGAGGACGACCGAGTTGATCGACGACAACGCCCAAGAAGCCCTGGAACTCCTCATCCGATACGGCACTTCTTCACGTACGCTCAAACTTGCCCTACCAAGCCTGCTTCTACTGACCCGCTATAGCCGCTGCTGCCCAGAACCCACAGCTGCTCAACTGTATTACATCCTGGATACGAGAGATACCACTGGATGCCATCATCAACTCCCCTCTTCTCAAAATTGTCGTCGATGACTTGTCCCTGGATGACCCCTTCGAGGCCGCTGTTGAGTGTTTAAGCGCCCTCATTGCAGAAACCAGAGATGTCGATGAGACGCTCAACTCAATAATGGTTCTGTATCCCCAGGTCATCAACCTTCAGACCAAGCTCGCTGAAGCGGCGCAAGAGGAAGATTCCGAGAAGTTCAAGGGTATCGCTAGGATATTTGCTGAAGCTGGAGAATCATGGGTTATCCTCATCGCACGTCTACCGACCGACTTCCGCGCCCTGGTCCAAGCCATACTTGCGACAGCTGCACTGGACAAGGAGAGGGATGCCATATCTCATACCTTCAAGTTCTGGTATGACCTGAAGCAGTATCTTACCATCGATAAATATGCAGAAGCACGCAACCAGTGCTTAGACGTCTACTCCAAATTGGTAGACATCATGATCGGTCATCTCGAATTTCCCAAGCCGGAGACTGGCGACGAAAAGGATCTATTCGAGGGTGATCGTGACCAGGAAGAAAAGTTCCGAGAGTTCCGTCATCAGATGGGCGATGTGCTGAAGGACTGCTGCGAGGTTATGGGCGTCGTCGAGTGTCTACAAAAGCCCTACGATCTCATGCAGCAATGGGTCCAGACATATGGCGCTCAAGCTGGTCCAAACAATGTGCCCGAATGGCAGAAGCTGGAAGCGCCCCTGTTTGCTGTCAGAGCCATGGGTCGCATGGTACCTCCTGATGAGAACGTCATGCTGCCCCGTCTGATCCCGCTCATCGCAGGCATACCCGACCACCACAAGCTGCGATTCCAAGCTGTGATGGCCTTGGGAAGATATACCGAATGGACCGCTCAACATCCCGATACGCTTCAGCTGCAACTAGATTACATCATGGCCGCCTTCGACCATTCCGCCAAGGACGTGATTCGAGCCGCTGCGCTATCGTTCAAGTTCTTCTGCAACGACTGCGCGAGCCTGCTGGTAAACTTCGTTGGCCCCCTGCAACAATTCTACGCAAAGAACCTGAACAAATTACCAATCAGCAGCCAAGAAGAGATCACTGAAGGTGTTGCGTCAGTAGTCGCCAAGGTACCCAACGAACAGCTTCTGGCAACACTCAAGCTGTATCTCGACCCGGTCATGGCTCACTTGATCGAAATTGCACGACAAGCCAAGGACGAGGCGGACCAGAAGCTCATCGCAGACAAGATCAATCTACTGACCATCTTCTTCGAGATGGTCAGGCCAGAGATTGCGCCCGGTCAAGAACATCCAGCCGTCAAGTACTGCCAAGAGATCTTCCCTACTCTTGCCAACATGATCACACACTTCAACGCAAGCATACCTATCCTTGAGCGTGTATGTCGGTGCTGGCGGTACATGGTGCTCTCCTACCGTACAGCTATGCGCCCACTCCTGCCTGATCTTGCGACCAAGTTGATTGAGGGTTTCGACAAGTCGAGGCAGGGCTGCTTCCTTTGGGCGACTGCATCTATCGTACGGGAGTTCTCGCAAGGTGTAGATGACGTTGACCCAAGTCTGGCGAACGATGTCTACCAGTTCTATGAGCAGCAAGCGAAGACCTTCCTGCGCATACTGAGCGATCTGCCACCTGAAGAGCTCCCAGACCTCATCGAAGATTACTTCCGTCTTGCCGCCGATATGACACTCTATTTCCCTTCAGAGTCAATTATGTCGCCACTCATGGACACTGTTCTTCTCGCAGCCTGCAGCTCCCTGACATTGCTTAAAGAGGACCCTATCATCGCAGTGCTGCACTTCCTACGTGATTTGCTCGGTTACGGTCGCAACTCGTCGCCGTCATCTAGCTTCGACAATACGCGTCACGAAGTCCCCGAGCAACTGCGGAACCGCGTCAAGCAACTTGTTGTTAGTGCGGGCGTCCAGTTAGTTCAGCGTATTATGACTGGTATGATGTACAGCTTCCCCGAGGGCTGCTTTGCAGACTCTTCTGGCGTGCTCCTCGACCTCTTCGAGCTCATGCCAGAACAAGTCGCTCAGTGGGTTGCCAGTACCGTCGGCATGTTACCGCAAGGCAGCATCACACCTCAAGAGAGCGAACGATTCCTCAACAATATCCGACAACGTATCCAAACTGGCGACGTCAGAATGATTAGGACTATTCTCCAAGATTTCACTACTAGTTACCGTCGGCGGAATGTTGCACCCCGTGAAGGTCTTGGCAGACTGGAAGCTTCGCGGTTCAGGTTCTCCGGTTAGATGCTGGATTCCGAACCAAGGCTTCTGTTTCAGAATGGGGACGCACCAGAAACTGAAGAGCGGTTTAGGCGTTCTGCGCTCCTACTTCAGATGAACCAGTTGAGCGCTTCCATGGGCCAGTAGGACAGTGGTGTGTTTGGTGCGTGGTGTAGTGTATATCGAATAGCATAATTGTACTTGAAGCGTTTGTGTGTGGGCATTTGCATGGAAGATCGGGACATGAAAGGGCAGGATACCATCGGTGGAACAAAGTGGGGTTATTGTTCAATGAGTTCAGATACTGTGTTCATCTCTATACTTCACTTTTTTTTCCGATGTTTGTGTAAGTCTTCAAAGTGATGTTAGGCTTATTTTATGCTGGTCGAGATACCAGTTTTGTGACACCGATTGATAACAGGTGCATTTAGACTACGCGTAGACAAATCACCAGCGGAATTGTTGAATGTCCAAGATTTCGTCATTGGTAGGTAACTTTGCGCATAGATTCAGGTGGCAACATATTATCACGACGTAGGTCACGAATATGCATTTGCTTAGTTTGAAGCGCTGTGATCGTGGCTGCTACACTCATGCCTGCTCCTGTTCTCTGATGCAACGTTACAGACCGCACCCTCTTCTTGTCATATAGCAATTATGCTTGAAGCGCTACAAAGTGGGCAGCAGCGACCTTATGTGACCCTAACAAACAACAGCAGCGTCATACCAGCTTCCTCACAATTCTGCATATAGGTTCATTTCTGATCGCTTACCGATACAGCTTTGCGGCTATCGAACAACATCCTATCTGAGCACCAACCTTTGACTTGTATCCGTTTCCTCCTACTACAGTGTTTCCCCTATCATATCCCTTGACCCACTGCCGTTAACGCTACTTCCCGCCATCGATCACCATTCATCACTATCCGGCATACTGCGCTGCTCACAGCCCTTTCCGTTCTTACTCCATACAGTGACAGGCCTGCATCGACATCCAAAGGCTCTTGGTCCCGAAGCCGATAACTACACGCTAGGTATGCTTTTGACTCCTAAGTAAAAGAATGTGTAACATGAGATCGAAGTTGACGCCAGATATTCAGCAGGGTCGATTTGCGAACGTAACAACGTTCCCCTTCACCTGTGGTATCTGCGCACCTCCCGCCTGGTATTGGCAAGAACAATATCGGCAGAATCTAAAGCTCGCAACCATCCAGGAAACGAACATCCTGGATCTCCCATACGGGCGACCCGGCCTCGCGAGAGCTAACTCCACAGGATCCGGTTATAGACGCACCTCAATCAGGTCGAGCACTTCGAGCGCATCACAAGCGTCTACCAGACCAAGAAGACACTCGCAGCCAGCCCTCCCGCCAACACTTGCTGAGAGAATCGCACTAGGCCCTCGGCTCAATCCATACCACAGCAAGAATCCCTACCGCCTCGACAGATACAGTAACGTTCGGGACGTTTACCTTGCCAGACAAGAGCAACGTACAAAAGAAGCAGCATATCAAGAAGAGCGGCTTGAGCAGCTTCGCCTCCGTCGGCGGAGGGTTTCTCGTCAATTTGACGGATCAAGATCAGCTGGAGCTTCACCAGCTCTGAGCCGCACAAATTCGGAGAAAGACCTTCCCCGAACATCTTCTCTCAAAAGCTTCACCAAAGAACTGACAGCGTCTGAGAAGTTTGTGCCACTTAGGCGCACAAATACCGGTGACTCCAACGCATCCTCATCTGGACAGTCGAATAAGTCTAAGAAGTCAAACCTTTCTCGGGTGTTGACGGCTGAGCGCTATGATCGAGACGCTCAAAGAAATGAAGCACGGCAAGAGCGGCAGTTACGAGAGCCTGGCGTTGGAACGAACGGCAAGCCAAATTCTACATCGCATGGAGGACAAGGACTCGGAAGACTCCTTGGAAAACATGCGGACAAGAGTACTCGGTTGGCACTTTCTTCAGTATCATGTTCATGAATCCAGATGACTGATCTGCTGTAGCGAACGCGCGCGCGATATATGGACCGAATCGTTATCTAGACGTGATAAGTTTCGCCCCGACTTCCTCACGAAAAATTGGAGCTTGCATCGTCGAACACAATCCTTCGAGTAGATCATACGTGCACTGCTGCTCGGCAAAGGAAGACTCGCGTCTCGCTGCCTTGGAGCACTTGCTCGTCATCACTGAAGATCTGCTCCAGCGACTTATGGATGCCGAGGGCATCGCGAGTAGTGGCTGGTTGCCCGCCACGCCACAGTCACACCATGCAGCAATGTTCGGAAGTGCGCCCGGTAGCACAGCGGGTGGAAATGGTAGCGTGGCAAGCAGTGTTCAGCCAAGCCGAAGGGGCAGTGCTCAACCACAGGAGTAGGACTCTTTTCATGATATTTACATTGGTATACTCACAAGAAGTAGCCTCCTCATCGACTATGCGCAAGGTTCACCGCAATTGATGCAGCAGTCGCCGCAGTTTCCACCACCCCCGCATTCAGTCTCGTCGCAGACTCCTTTTGTCAATGATTTCAATACGCCTCATTCGCATCACCACATCCAAAAGCCTAAGCTCCCTAGAGGTAGCAGTGATACACTGTTTCAGACGACCACTAGTCCACCGAAAGCGTTTGTGCAGACGGTCCCAAGAACCGACAGCGATATTATTCAGCAACCTAAACCGATGCCTGTCGGGCAGTTCCAAGGCCCTGGAAGAGGCAGGGTGCAATGGAATCTGGGCTCTGAAGGGTAGAAGAATTGGGTCTTCCGTCATCACCTGGTTGAGGTCAGGGAAATGATGGATGTTGGGTATTCCTAAATTACATACGGATGCTTGAGTTGACTTTTCAACCGTATTGTTACTGCACGGATATTTTCATCCTGAGTTTGCGTATGATTGATTCTACCAATGGTGACTTCCAGTCTCGACTGTGACTCATGAGCGTATCATACATGAGACGGCAATAGAGCTGCCACTTGATATCACGTATTGTGGATTGCCAGTATACTCTAATTAGATATGGTCAGTCACTCAACCCATGACTGACTTCAGTCTACCTAGGTGGTACGTGTGATGGATATGTGAAGCTGCGCAAATATGGTGACAGTGACTCTTACTGCGTTCCGTGGTTGATGAAGCTGATGAAAGGGAGTGATGAGTCGCAACACCCTATTAGCGCGAAATCTTGGCGGCGCACCGCACACATTGAATTGCCCCACTGGCTACCGCCACTTCTCGCTTTCTGCTATATCATCAGGGACCCCGACTACCAACGACCCCAACATTCACAACACCACAACCACAACCGCCAAAATGTCAAGACCAGCAGGGTGAGTCTACGCGCACCTTTTTCTGTCCATCTATGCCGGCGCTCTCCCACCACCGCACATCAAAACGCGGTCTTTCGCATACACCCCAGCCCTGTTGTAGTCTGGTGAGCTGACAATAATTCTATAGCCGCACCGACTGGGCGGAAGAAGACGACGAGGAATCCCTCACCTCCCTCCCACCCAACCAGGTCATCAAGAACAAGGACGGAACAGAGACAGTCATCTCCTACCGTATCGGCGAAGACGGCAAGAAATACAAGACCACTCGGCGCATCAAGAAGACGGTCGTCAAGCAGATTGTAAACCCTCGTGTGGCCGAGCGAAAGCAATGGGCCAAGTTCGGAGCAGAGAAGGGCAAGCCCGCGGGCCCGCAAACAGACACCGTCTCCGTCGCTGAGAACATCGCCTTCCGACCAGTATCCAACTGGAAAGCCAGCAGCGAGGACAAGGGTGATGAGGCGAAGAAGAAGGCCGAGCTCAAGAACGCAAAGATCAAGTGTCGTATTTGCCAGGGCGACCATTTCACCACAAAATGTCCTTTCAAGGACACCATGGCTCCCGAGGGCGACGTCGCGCCCGCGGATATGCCCGATGACGCGCCCGGCGTTGGAGCAGGAGGAAGTCTGGGCACTGGCTCTGGAGGCTACGTTCCCCCGCATCTGCGTGGACGTGCTGGTGCTGGTGAGAAGATGGGCGGCAAGTTCGACCGGGACGACAGCGCAACCCTCCGTGTCACCAACGTGTCTGAATTCGCCGAGGAGCAGGACCTACGCGACATGTTCTCCAGATACGGACACGTCACGAGGGTTTTCTTGGCCAAGGACAGGGAGACTGGCCGTGCGAAGGGCTTTGCGTTTGTTAGTTACGCAGACAGGTCGGATGCCGCCAAGGCGTGTGAGAAGATGGATGGATGTAAGTTTCAGGAGAAGTTTGTGAGATTGGACAATGCTAACACGATTCAGTCGGTTTCGGTCACCTTATCCTGCGTGTTGAGTTCGCTAAGAAGGCTTAAGCTTAAGGGATTTGTGATGGCTCAATGACGTTGCAATTTGGCGTTCGGGTGGTTTAACGGGCTATGACATCTGTAGACATGCGTCTCCATGGTTGACGATAGTTGTCGTTCGTGACTTCAGACGAGGCTGCTTCTCATGAATACCAATGATAGAGTGCTCGCTTTGAACACATCCCACACGTCACTCTGGAACAATACATAGTTTCATGGGATTGGAGGAACGTTGTGAAACTGGAATGCCTGCGGCTCTAGTAGTATTGCAGGCGGCATTCTTACAGCCGACCGTCGCTGATCGTAACTTCGTGAACACTCTTCCAGAGCGATCTAATCGCTCGCCTTGTACTTCTCCCGGTACTCATCCAGCCTCTTCAAATCCTCCTCTCCGCCCAGACTCCTCAGATACTCGACAACATCATCAAGCGTCAAGATAGCCAAAACCGGGATGCCGTACTGCTTCCTAACTTCACCGATGGCACTGGGGCCTGGTTTCCCATCCTCGTCATTGGGAGTGGGTGTCTTCTCTTGCCTGTCAAAAGCAACGATAATGCCGACCAGCTCTCCGCCTTCCCTCTTGATGATATCAATAGCCTCCCTGATGGCAGTACCAGCAGTAATGACATCATCAACGATAACAATCTTCTTTCCCTTTAGACTTGCACCAACAATGTTTCCACCTTCACCGTGGTCCTTGGCTTCTTTACGGTTGAAGCTGTAGCTCTTCTGTCCGTACTTGGCAAGATCCAGATCGGCGAGCTTGTCGACTGATGCTGCTGCTAGAGGAATGCCCTTGTAGGCTGGCCCAAAAAGAATATCCCATTGGAACGAAGGGTCTGATTCGCCATGTGCCTTGAGAGTGTGCGCATACGCTGAGGATATGGAGCGTAGCAAATCGGCTCTGTGAAACAGTCCTGCATTGAAGAAGTAGGGTGATATGCGCTTGGACTTGAGTGTGAAAGTGCCAAACTTGAGAGCACCGGCTGACACGCAGTCCTTGAGGAAGTTTTGTTTGAATTCTGGGAGCGACATGGCTGATGTTTTCGTTATCGTTGATGTTTTCGTTTTCGGAAGTGGGTGAGGATATTCAAACATTTCTTTCCGAGCTCGGAAGCAGCGACCCTTCGAGAAGGTGTCCGTGCACCAATCCGTTCGTCACTGTTCATGTTGCTCGCCAGAACTTTTCGCATCACAACGACGCCCCAGCACACGCCACTATTGTCTGCGCATCTACCACTTGTGACACTTGTTGGTTTCTTTTAGCTCGGCCTGTCTGTTTTAGGTTTTCGGGCGTCTGGGGAACTATCAGTTCGGCTGTGGACAATCAGGCGCAACTCTTCGTCATTTCTCTACGCCATCACAACCTGACATCTTCAACATGGGCATGTATGTCTTATTCCAATTATGCACCCACAAACCCACCCATACTAATTGACCTTTTAGCTGGGACTCCCTCACCGGACGCAAGTCCAAAGACACGGCATCCGCCTCGCCCCAAAATTCCGATTTTGTGAAAGAAGACACCTTCCAACCCACACCCTTCGACCCCAACACCGCTATCCAAAATCCTTCAGAATTCCTTCTCGATCCCTCGCAACTACACCCTCTCGCTGGCCTCAACCAAGATACTCTCGACTATCTATCACTCGAAGACTCCGTCCTATCCGATCTGCCTGGCGCACAATCCGCCTTGCCTTCTCGCGGCTGGTCAGACGACTTATGTTACGGCACGGGTGTATCATACCTCTCCGCACTGACTATCGGAGGAGCATGGGGACTTGCTGAAGGACTACAAAAGAACCCGCCTAGCATGGCGCCGCGGTTGCGAATCAACGGCGTGCTCAATGCGATAACACGGCGAGGACCTTTCTTGGGAAACAGTGCAGGTGTGATTGCAATGGTGTACAACGGCATGAACAGCACTATTGGGTATTACCGGGGCAAGCACGATATGAGCAACAGTGTGGTGGCGGGCGCGTTGAGCGGTGCGCTGTTCAAGAGCACAAGAGGGACGAGGCAGATGGCTATCAGCTCGGGAATCTGCGCGAGTGTAGCAGGAGGATGGGCGGTACGTCCAACAAACCCCAGTATTGCGAGTATTCACTAACACCCCACCCAGATAACACGAAAAGTCTTCTTCGAGCCCGACTTAAAAGCAGTCGACTAAACTCCAAAACAAAAAAGGATTGCCCCAAGCAAATGGACTCACAATCTAATGCTGCCTCGCCGAGCCTTATTCCAAAAACAAGCGTGCAGCGATCTTTTCCCAACTTCTATTACGTTCGACGTTTATCCAGCATTTACACGAGTGCGATCTTAGCGCATCCTCCTCCTCATCACCACTCTGCGGGCCTTGCCCAACTTGTACAATAAGGCTGGCGTTCATCATACGGAGGAAAGACCCGGTTGTCACAGAGGGGTTAGAAAAAGGTTCATGGTGTTGGGCTGTTCTTTTTCTTTCATCCGGGAATGGGTCTTCGGAACGGAACGACTAGGCTGTGTGCTGTGTATTGTGTATGTATGTATGTATGTAAAGACGAAGTGATGGAATGAAATGGAGCAAAGATTAAGTAATGACATATTTGATCAAACATCAAGGGCGAGATACGCATGGAGGATAGTTGAGCTTGGGTTACTATGTGCTTGTTGGACAATCATGTTTGCTGTCTAACCAATTGTTCTCAGCAGCGTTTCCAGATCGCAGGACCTACGCTGCTTGTCTGGAGTAAATCGACTTTTGAGAGGAGATATTAGTATATTCTCGAGGCAGCCTATCTCTACCTCTATCTCGCCGCATTCCAATTCACCTGAGCACTATACAACGGAGAGCCCAAGCCCTCTTCTTTCACACAAACGAATTCTGCCTCGTCATCAACACGGGTCAAAGCTCTATCTACTACATTACATCTTCGCCCTTGAACCGCTTGCTGGACTTGATCCCAAACTTGGTATTCCTCATGTTTGAGTCAAGGGCGTGCCTGGGTGGCTTGTTGAATGTTTTGAACTCAGGTTTCAAGGGCAGGGCGGTAAGTTGGCTGAGCTGGAGTGGGGAAGTAGTTCAAGAAGCAGAAGGTAGTAACATGTTGATGTAGTATAGTGGGGTTTGCGACATGGATGCAGGCCTCACAAAGTGCCCAGCCAATATGCACGAGCGCGTCCCTAGCGCGTCCCCGGAACAACTGAAGACATGCGCCTCCCCTCAATCAATCAAAGTATGCCGTCGCTTGTGCGCACCCTCGTATATTTCACTGACACGCGCGATAGTGACTTCTGGCGCTACGGTTACCGGAACTACTTTGACCTGTAGCTTCTGTTTGATCGGCAATGGGTCTTGCCTTGGCAAATGGGTCACTTCCGTTACATCCCTCTCTGGAGAGGTGTCCTGAGCGTCGGCTTTCACCATGGCGGTTTCATGAACTACCTTCTTGGTGGCATTACCACAACCGGCATCTTTTTCTTTACCATTGCATGATACGTTGATTGGAATACTTCGCGCAACATCACATTCAAACCACCTACTTGATGGTGCTGTTTGCTTACTTCTCACGACACCATTTCTCCCATTGTATTTTCGATGAAAGACTATAAGCCGCAACGTTCATCTCACAATGCGTAGGATTAAAGTGTCCCGCGGAACCCCATATCACCGGCCCATGTCGAGGCAACACAAACGGTCCCTGCTATATGCGCTTCTTTCGGCCGTCGCGTTTGGCGGGTATTACTGGCTGTACGCGCAGCCCATCGATGTGTTCGCCGTTCCGTTTAAAGAACACGAAGCATACATGCATGATGGATCGACTCGCGCCTTCACTAAATCGGAGCAATCCTACGATTGGCGGGAAGCGCCCTTCGTGAACAAGATCGTGTCCTACATACCGCTACCAACAACCACTCCTCGCAAACTTCCTCCCGTCCAGTCCAAAGACTTTCCCGAAATACGCGCGCAAAGAAAGCAGAGAGAGCAACGTAGAGTCGCCGTACGAGACGAGTTCAAGCATAGCTGGGACAGTTACAAGGAGTTTGCTTGGGCACAAGATGAGCTCAGGCCAGTTACAGCGGAGGGTGAAGAGTCGTTTGGCGGCTGGGGTGCCACTTTAGTCGATTCGCTAGACACACTCTGGATCATGGGCCTCAGAGACGAATTCGAAGAGGCCGTGGAGGCTGTGGCGGCCATCGACTTCGGTAAGACCAACCTTACCACTGTGAGCGTCTTCGAAACGACCATCAGATACCTGGGTGGACTGTTAAGTGCATACGATATGAGCGGCAAGCCCATCTTGCTTAAGAAAGCGATACAACTCGGAGAGATGCTGTATCGAGCGTTTGATACAACCAACAACACACCTCTGGGCTGGCTGCATGTGGAGAACACCAAGGCGATAGGGAGGGCAGCCTTTGCTGCTGAGAGCAACATCTGCTTTGCCTGTCTTGGAAGCTTGACAATGGAGTTTACGCGTCTTGCGCAGGTCACGTTAGAGCCAAAGTACTATGATGCGGTCGCGAGGATCACCATAATGATGGATCACGCGCAAGACAGTACTAGGCTACCTGGTCTATGGCCGACTATGGTGAACGCCGCGAAAGAAGAATTCAACCAATCTCGCTTCTTTTCTATCGGCGCGCTTGCTGACAGCACGTACGAATATTTCCCCAAGATGTATGCGTTGCTCGGCGGCGTGGAACCTGCGTACGAGAAGATGTACCGTGACTCGGCGGAAATGATCGACGCGTACATGCTTTTCCGGCCCATGGTGCCTGACAGCGCGCACGGAGAAGACTTACTACTATGTGGCGATGTCTTTACACGCGGCGAAGATGCCAGTCTCGACCCTACCATGCAGCACCTGACATGCTTCATTGGCGGCATGTTTGGCTTAGCCGGTCGCCTCTTCTCTGACCCTGACCACGTGGATCTCGGCGCGAAACTTACCAAGGGGTGTATATACGCCTATTCTGCTACCCCTACAGGCATCATGCCCGAGACATTCGATATGATCGCCTGCGATTCCCGGAAATCCTGTCCCTGGAACCAAACAGCTTGGGAGGTGGGCGCAATGTATCACTACAGCAGCAAATATATTGCTCATTTCGATGATGCGGTGGAAAAGTACAAGATCCCACCTGGCTTCACCAACATCCGTGATAGACGGTACCTGCTCAGACCTGAAGCCATCGAGTCCGTGTTCATCATGTACCGCATCACTGGTGACCGTCAATATCTGGACGACGCCTGGGACATGTTCACCAGCGTTGTTGCCGCATCTCGAACGCCACACGCAAACGGACAAGTCCGAGACGTTACGTTTGTGGCGCCAAAAGCCCCAGGCCGAGGATTCAAGTCCGTTCCAGGTGTAGGCGATGTACCGTACACACACGAAGACAATATCGAGAACAAGATGGAAAGCTTTTGGACAGCGGAAACGTTGAAGTACTTTTATCTCATCTTCAGCACGCCAGATATGATCAGCTTGGATGACTGGGTTTTCAATACTGAGGCGCATCCCTTCAGGCGGCCAAAGCCGAGATAGGTACAGGCTAAGGATGACGTTGAAGCTAGTATGGGAGAGTAAAGAACGGGATGGACGAGGTCAGCACGGCTGTTGGTGTCGCGATCTCATATGATACCCGGCACAAGCGAAGAAACGCCTCATTGTCGCTATTGCTTTTTGGTAGCATAGCCGGAACATTGCATTGATTGGCGTTGTACAGTAAGCTTAGATAGTCTTTTATGAACTTTTGGCACTACCTTGTGTAGTATGTAGCCGGTTTTCGCACTTTGTCTTCTTTTTTTGCACTGTTCTTTCTGTTCTATCTACCGGCTAATTGTACTAGTTAAGGTCATGGAATGGGGTCGAGCTCATGCGTCTGACATGTAGCCACCGCTAACCGACATCTTCACGCGCTTACTGCGATGCGCATTCTCGCCTTGGTCTTCCTCGCAATCCGCCAGTCTCTTGATTTCCTTGCCCTTCTCATCCGCAATGAAAGTCGTCACTACTGGCTTATCCTCCACAACATTCTCTGGCATAGTCCCAACAGCTGTCTCAAAGACCACCTGGAAAGACGCCGGCTTGACGAAACGCGAGTCTACAAGCTGATCCCACTCCTGCGCCACGTACTTGAACTTGTTCTCTGTGCTCAGCCGCGGATTAACATGTATTTTCGCCCTAGAAACAGCCAGTAAAATCGGTTCCTGGTATGAAGACAGCTGCGGATGATCCTTCAACATGCCTTTTATAGCGCTCCAGGCTTCGTGGTAGATGACGGTCCGAGTACTTGTATACTTTCCCTCAACGCCAAGATGCCACTTGCTATCTGTCCAGGCGGGCCAATAGTCCCGTACTGCACCTGGCTTTCCATTACGTAGGCGCTCTAGAAACCCGGATGCTGGATGTGCATCGCGTTGCGTATGCACACCAGTTGGAGGTAACACGCGGGTAGGTGTGTCGAGAGAAGCGCCCTGAACGAGTGTAAGACCAGAGTCTCTCCACGCTCGGTCGAACGCCGGTTTTACGATATCGTCGTGCCAGATCTTAAGGAATTGGTTGTCGAGGTAAGGGACCATGGTAGCATGTGGAAAAATGAGGAAGAGATGGGGGTACGTGCCCATGTCTCTTGACATGTTATCTCCTTCTGGCGTGGGTGCGTATGTAGTTCCGAAAAGTAGCGCGCACTGGACGTCTCTCTGCGTCACATCGTGACAATGTGAATTCAGATATTGGACGATGCGATGTGCATCAGCCTCGCCTATCGGATTCACGGACTTGTGATTCAGGGTATTGGAAATCCAGGGGGTTTGCTCCCATGTCAGACGCTTTGCAAATGCGAGTGAGGTTGGGAGGCAGAAAGAGAGCTCGACGTGACACTGTTCTGATTTGGCGATGACGGAGAGGGTGGCTAGGCCGTCGATATCGCGCTCGTGGGTGGTGGACATGATGGTGTTGAAAGAGGGGGCAGGAAAAAGAAGGTAATGAGAGGATTCTGGTAGTATAAGTACTAAGAAGGGGTTTCGGAACTTACCAAGACTATGGAAAGCGACCAGGACATTGTGAACATGTATATGTCGCGCGTAAAGACAGTGAAAGCTGAGGAGAGACCACTAGTGATGACGCACGCACTGAGACATTTGGGCAACTGAATGAAAGCGTAGAGATCCTTTTCTTCCAACTATGATATTCAACATACTTGAGTAGAGTACGCACGATGCTAAACATACTGCAGTGCTTTACTGCTCGATGAAAACTGGCTCAAACTGTGATATACCCGTAGCGTCGTCACAAAAGTAGTCAAAGTATTCCAAAAGGACTTGAGCCTGGACATCAGAGCTCAATTAATAAAATCTCGAAGATAGCAGCACTGGAAAATGCTAGGCTCTGAGATTGTTGGAACGTACGCGACACGGAGGAGCAGAATGTCGAGATGGTGAACTTGACGGATGTGACAGATCTAGTGAGGAAGACGACGAATGCCTCAAGTGACATCGCGAAAGTCAGGATAAAACGCTCTTATTACGTAGGGTTGTACTCTACAATCTAGGCTGTAAATAACAAAGAATACAAGGTACACCAATATAGTAGGCAAGGTCAAATACTAATTCTTCTGAGATTACTATAAAGACTTGCGTTTGTAGTACCCTCTTTTCTACACGACCTACAGCTTTCGCGATGACATTAGAGGAATGCGTCCGTCCCATGCAGTGATTTCGGTGCGCGCAGCTAGATTCTCAATCTAAAACATATTCTACTGCATCCCTGACTTGGTTTCTATTGTGTTTTCTAACCACACAACGTTTAGATAGAGTGCCTCTCCTTCAGGCTGAGTCATGCTGTAAGCTGCCAAGATGGCAGCCTAACGTCAGCAAGGATTTTAGGACGTAGTATTAAGTACACCTGCCTCTTCGCGCATGAACACTCCATCTTTCCTATGCTCACTCGGAATTTCCTAATCTTCTCGTCGATATTGTTAAGAGATGGATGTTGTGTCGTTAGGGAAGCACACCTCGGAAGACCGGCAGCCTATCTCCCCCCACCAAAGTGCCACTGCGGCTTTAACTACCGGAATGTTCGACGGATTGAGCTACCACTCCGCTGCTTGCGGGAACGCCACCCACTTGCGTGTGCTTCAACTCACAAAGGGTCCATCTTGGTGTGGATAAGCTTGACCAAGCGGGCGCCACCAACTTGGCAACGCTTGTTATCGCGTGCTCGAGGACATCGCTATACTCCCAACGACTCAATCGCACAAGATACAGGATCTTCCGTAACACTACCGCCGACAAATTTTCATAGATTGCACTGCAGTTCGGTGACACCACGTCTGGCGGCGATTGGCTTGTCGTGCGGTCATAGCACAGCGAACCCTTGACCCGGGCGCATTCGAAATCGTGTCTGCGAATGATGCCATCTAGCTTGGTCGCACCAGCACCTCGCTATTCATCGACCGCTATCACCATACGGTTGCAATTGGACTATAGATTGCCCTTTTCGGAGAGGCATCTCCGACGCGAGATGACACGAACCTCACTCTACTCGTCGTCTCTCGCCCGAGACACGATTGTAGACCTTGTTTCTGATATGCCGGGTGTTCTAGATCCCGATTGATGCAAGAAGAGCAGACGATAAGGTCCATGGGTCGCGCAAGCAGCTTGACTTTCGCCCCACTAACATCGTCCCGCATGGCCTTTGGATAATGTCTTAAATTCGGCCGCCTTCTCGTATAGCACACCTGCCTTTTCAAACTTAGGGACAGCCCTCATATGGCTTTTAGAACAGGGGTCTTATCTGACGTGCTATTGCGCGCGACCTCGCTGCAATCGCACATGTTAGGACCATGATAACGCATTTGTACCAGGAACATCACATATATATCTTAGAAACGGCACTTTGTGCTCGAGGTAAGAATCAAACGGCCTACCACGCGCAACCATGGCTGCAAATCCCCTTGGTGATGTGTTAATTCTCGGCCAGCCTAATGCAGTTGGAGGCACAGCCGTCACTCTTCCCAGCCACGAAGCGATCAACGCCTTTAGCGACGAGAAGAATCGCCTGGCTGTTGATCATGGAGAAGTTGACAAGAAGGGTGCTCTGGAGCCCGAGGTCAAGGCAGCCCTTCCCGAATATGATGCCGCCGAGCACGAGAAGGACGGCGATGGCGAGGATCATATCATCGTTACTGGCGCCGACGCAGCTGCTCACCTACTGCCATTGCGAGACGACTTCGAGTCTGCATTGACCTTTCGAAGTCTCTTCTTGGCCTCTATTCTATCCGCGTTCCAAGCCGTTGTGTTCCAGATCTACCAGGTAAGTCCACAGTCCTCAGATCTGTATATCATAGAAGCTGACATGCACTCTAGTTCAAACCCACCCTCATCACTATCCAAGGCACTTTCATCGTCCTCATGGCCTATTTTCTCGGTAGAGGATGGGTCAAGTTGTTGCCACGCGGAGACAAATTCGAGGCTCGATGGAGAGAAAAGGGCGGAGTTGGCAAGACACCCCTATGGATCACAATCATGTCCTTCTTCAACCACGGCGAGTGGAGTTTGAAGGAGCATGCTATCACGTCGATCACTGCAACATCGGCATCGATCGCTGCTCCTAGCAGTCAGGTCTTCGCGGCATCCGACCTCTTCTACGACATGCCTCTGAGCCCCATCACTGTTATCTTCAGCACCATCTCCATTGGACTCTTCGGCTACGGCATCTGCGGAATAATGCGCCCCATCTGCGTTTGGCATGTTGATTCGGTTTATTGGAGTAGTCTTCCCACCGTAAAGGTACTCCAGGGTCTCCACTGGCAGACCGTCAAGGACTCGAAGCCACTTCGGTGGTTCTGGATCGCATTCTGTGGCATGTTTGTCTATGAATTCTTCCCTGCGTACATTTTCCCGTGGCTGAACTCTGTATCAATCCCTTGTTTGGCTGCCATGCATGCGACCGGGTCCAAAGCAGCCATACTTACCAACGTCTTCGGCGGAGCTACCAACAATGAAGGCCTAGGCTGGTTCAGCATCTCGTTCGATTGGCAATATGTAAGGAAATTTTCTCAAACGTTTGTGGTTTGCAAATTCTAACCTCTCCCCTAGATCACCTCCTTCCAGTCATCACTCCCGCTCAAGTTCCAACTGCATCAGACTGCCGGATTTATAGTCTGCTTCTTCGTCATGCTCGGTATCTACTACGGCAACGCCTGGGGTTCGAGGAGTCTTCCCTTTATGTCGACGCGTCTCTTGACCCAGGAGGGCAAACAGTATCCAAGCGAAAGCGTCTTCATTGACGGGGTCCTGGATGAGAAAGCTTTGCTACAATACGGTCTGCCGAGGATTACAGGCACATTTGCCTATGCTATGTTTATGGCTAATGCTGCAGTAAGGTTTTTACTTCTAATACACACCGTTTGTGCTAATTTCTCTTAGATCGGTGCTCTAATTGCCCATATTATTCTCTTCTGGGGCGGCGATACGGTTAAAGCATTCAAGGATGCGAAGAAGGGACGGTTCGATGATCCCCACCACGCGCACATGGCCAAGCACTACAAAGACGCGCCTCAATGGTGGTACCTCGTTGTACTTCTCGTCAGCTTCGTGCTCGGTCTTATTGTTGTGATCAAAGAGAATGTTACCCTTCCAGTATGGGCTTATGTCATTGCACTGGCAATGGGAACAATTATCTCGCCATTCGTAAGTTTATGCTCGAAGCCTGTTGATAGGTAACGTTTGCTAACTGCAGACTAGAGTACCTTGCTCTATGCTCGCTTTGGTAACGGTATTGCAACAAACAATTTGTCCAAAGTCATTGCTGGACTGGTTCTACCTGGACGCCCAATAGGAAACATGTACTTCGCGGCATGGTCTCATAACGTCATCAACAGTGCTGTTCAGCTCAGCATGGATCTCAAACTGGGCGAATACCTCAAGATTCCTCCTCGCGTCATGTTCTTGACGCAGATATACGGTACCGTTCTGGGTGGATTCATCAACTACGCCGTCATGATCTCAATCGTTACGGGTAACAAGCACCTCCTGGCTGATACCGACGGTAACGCATCGTGGAGCGGTGCAACTATCCAATCGTACAACACCAACGCCTCGACCTGGGCGCTCGCCGCCTACCTATACAAGCAAGGGAAGGCTTACTCCATTGTGCCCTTTGGTCTTCTCATTGGCGCCGCTATTGTCCTCGCGCACCGTATCTTCGTCCGATTCGTCCCGCGCATCGGCAACTTTTCCCTCCGCGAGATCAACTTTCCTCAGTTCATCCAGTACGCTGGTTACATTCCGTACAACCAAAGCCAGACGTGTGTGATTCTCAGTTGGACGATTGTTGGCTTCTTCACGCAGTTCTATCTGCGCAACTACCGCCCACGCATCTTCAGGGACTACTCGTACCTTATTGCGGGTGCGTTCGATGGCGCAAGTCTGACTTGCTTGTTCATTCTGTCGTTTGCTGTATTTGGCGCCGGAGGGCCCGCGATTCCGTTCCCACAGTGGTGGGGAAATAACGTTGCTGGCAACTATGATTTATGTCCTGTGGCAGAGTAGAGGGCTAGCGTCGTTGCGCTTGACGTCTCAGTGGAAAACCAGAACCAAAAGTATGAAGCATACTTTGCATCGCACCTAGAGCGACAGTAGATTATAGACCACCATCTCTAATCTCTTGACTCCAACTTCTTCCTGTCATCGGTGCTGTATGCTTAAACAATGCGTGGTTACAAGCTATGATTTGATGTCTCTAGTAGTCTAGCGTACGCATCGACTCAACTGCCGCCACAACTCTGTACCTCGCAATTCCCTCATCTACCACGGTACTGGTGCACCATCGTACCGATAAAACTTCCCACTATCAGTCTCCTTAAGCCCAGCCACCACATCCAACATACTCTCCACACTAACTTTAGCCTCGATCATCGCACCCTTTCCACCCATCCTCGTCTTCACCCAACCAGGATCCATACAGATAACCTTGACCCCATTCGCCTTCAAATCCTTCGCTTGATGTAATGTCAACATGTTCAAAGCTGCCTTACTCATGCTATAAGTACAGCACTTTGTCACATCTGTCGCAACAGTCAAGCTACCAAGTCCCGAACTCATATTCAGCACCGTCGCGCCCCTCGCTAAATACTTCCTCAGACTTTCGACAATCTTGGCCGGACCAAGGACATTTGTCTGCATATGCTCGTTCAAACTCTTCGGATCGAGCGTCAGGCTTGTATCAGCGCTCGTTGCATTGATCCCAGCGACGTTGAAGAGGAAATCCAGGCTAGCACCGGTTTTGGTGAGGATCTCTGCAACACGGAATTCGATGCTGGCAAGGGAGTCGAGGGAGCTGACATCGCACTCGATAATGTGGATGTTTGAGTTGCTGTTCAGGCTTTCGAGTTCCGAAGTGTCGCCTGATTTGGAGCGGACGCCTGCGATGATGGTGTTGGATGGTTTTGCGGCGAGTTGGCGTACGAATTCTAGGCCGATGCCGCGGTTGGCACCTGTCAGGAAGTAGGTTGCCATTTTAGGTGGTCTTCTTGAGCGGGATCGTATGGGTAGGTGGCCTTTGCTACTGGTGGAATGCGACTTCGAAGTTACGACAATGGTTTGATGTGAGATTGGCGATGAATTTCTTAGAGGAAGAGTCTCTGGAGCCGATTTTCGGGGTACTAGTTGGAGGTGGGGACGAGAGAAGTTTTGAGACTGCGAGGAGCGACTTGATGAAGTACTTCGCCTCCGCGGGCGGGTCGATGTGGTGTTGTTGTGCCGTGTGTGCTGCATGCGGTCTACTTCCACCGGGTAAATCATTGCTAGTGACGTCGAGGTGGAGTAGAACGTAAGTGGAAGTAGATGTTTTTTGACCAGTCGTAAATATTAGTACAGAAAAGTGCTATACATGTTCGTCAGTTCAATATATGTATAGCATGCACGCACCACATGTTTGCCTGGAAGGCGCCGGTTAAGAGACCCGCAATCCCGTTACGAAGTGTCAGACCGTCAATTCTGTTACATGGAGGTTCATGCGGTACCCGGCAACAACCAGAACAAGGCTGCGATATTATGCTTTCGCGGACACGCTTGTCTCACGTTCTCCGAATTCTGTCGCTCGTACAAATTGTTGTTCCTAGTGAGGTTTGTGAGTCGGAGATGATAGGTTGCGCTTGCCGCTTCGGACGAACCGAACGCGGATTAAAGGAACTCGTCATGCGGAAGACAACCATTTCTCGTGTTGTAGTGACGGGTCCAGTAAAAGACAGATCGAAAATGGAGTGAGAGGTATAAAGCTGCGATTTTGCATAATTACTATTTTGTGCTCAAGTTTGAGAACTATTACCCTTACCACTAGGATATGATGAAAGGGAAAGAAAAGCTTCACCCGGGCAGAGGCCACGAAGAACACCCCCGCCGCGACTGTCTGGTCCGCGTAGCGTGACCTTGACTTGGTATCGGATCCGCGATTGATCTTTCGACCATTAGCATGACACCTCCGTCTCCTAATTCCCCCATAATCCGACTGCTCCGCGCCGAAGTAGTGTTTACTCCATGTGGTCCACCTTGCGCTTCTCGCTGGCGCCCTTTACTACACTCGAAAGATCGACAACTGCATCACATTAGTAAACGAGCAAAGGACCAATGGGTATATAGCAAACTTACGAGGAAGGTCTAAGGGGAAGTCGACGCTAGCCAGCATAATTGCTAAAAAGATGTACCATCCACAGAGGCAAGTAACGAAGCAGAATGCACCAGAAGCTTCAGCAAGCTTGGCAGCAAGTGCTGCTCGACCGTTTGCAGCCTGGAGATAACTGCCAGCCAGGAGGCCGAAAGCAGGCACGAGGGTAAAAAAGATAAGGAAGAAGACCAAATTCGTGCGGATGGAGCAGATGAGGTAAACAAAGCATAGAATGCCCATCATGATGAGGAAATATGCTATGACAATGGTCAGAAGTGCATTCTCGTATCTCTTCTTGGGAGTCTCTTACCAAGACCGACGTTGAAGCCAGCAGACTCTAGGCCTGTACTGCCTGCGACGTTAGGGTCGGCGTACGCGCCATATGCGTTGTAAATAGGCTGAAGGGTGGCGGCGAAACCGAGCCAGAAGGCACCGAAAGAGCAGAAGACAACAAAGGGGAAGGTATTTCCGAGGATCCACTGTGTCTGTTGTTAGAGAAGACCATTGAGAGCTTTGATAGAAACACACTTCACCAAGACCACCGAGAATCATGAGCAGACCGCCCGCGAAATAGTACCAACCGGTGCTTGCTGCTCCACTTCCACCAGCACCTCGCCATCCCATCAGCGTCATGCTCAAAGGATGCAGAGACAACAAAAAACCGATAAGAGCGCTACCCAGAATTAATGTTCAAACTTCAGAGGTATATGCAAGGAGGACGTACAGAGGCGTTGGGTTACCGAATGTCTTGCGCAGCTCTCCTTTTACTTTGTTCTGTGGTGACAGATATAGTTTCTCAAAAAGTTCTGGCGAGATGGAAATGCTACCTGCTGTTCGAATCTGATGCAATGCAGTACCCGAATCGGCCGAGGCTTCGAGGTGCGTATGTCCGCCATATCCATTGCCGTAAGCTAGCGAGGGTCAGTCAAAGACGAATGTGTGTACTGCAAGAGAGTCCCACGATCTTGCCGAGAGAAATCTTTCTCCAAGGCGTTGGGCCCGTCCATCATTCTTGTTGTGGACTCGTTTCTCGCAGTTGATCCAGCCGATAAGGTCTCTGCGTCTCTAGCTGTAGTAGCGCCGAGGTGGGCGTCGTTCGTTGCGTACTTGTGATCGTGATTGGAAGTCATACAGGCGACGTGGTTGTCGAAGAGACCGCTTCCGTTGGAGTCGTTATTAGAATTAGAGGTATCGTAATGATGATGACCGGTCGAGGAAGTGGTAGTAGATGTTGAAGTCTCGTAACGTGACATAGGAGGCTAGGAGGCTGGAGAGTAGGATTGATATAGGGGGCACACAATGTTCATTAAGAGTGTAGATAACGATAACGCTCCGCAAACCTTGAGGGCACGGATTCCAACTCCAAGAAAGCATAGCTGCGGACGAAAGCAAGCGATCATCACCGACAATGTGGCAGGTGCGGCCAGACCCCCCGGTAGAACAAGGCTTTGAGGACCAACCACTGCGGCTCCGCGTTTGGCCTTATGCACGTAGTCGAATTGGCGGGAGGGCAGATCTGCCCAGACTAGAGCTTGAGGAGCGTCCAGGTCTTGATTCGCCGGAGTCATGAGGAGTTCCTCCTTAGCTGCGAACGTGGCTTCCCTGGCGACGCAACCCAGGAACAGCAGTGGCGTCTCATGCAGTTACGTCGTACGCCCTGGACACTCCGCCCACGATACCGTCTGAGCATGTTATAAGATCGATGACGAACGTGTGGATGAACGAGTGGAGGGATCAGATTTCCATCAATGACGCTACGATCAACACCATGTTTCTATGTGAAACGCCTCTTCACATAATCTTAGTCTCGCCGCATGGACAAGACCCCGGCGACCCTAGTACCCAAAACGGTCGCAATGGCAATGGTACACATTCGAGGTCACAACGTGATCATGACCTGACGCAGCAACAACCAGTAAGGGATCAACGGCTCCAGGAAGTAAGATCGGTTCTGCGGAGTCGAGTGGAGATGAAGCACGCGAAAGCTGGGGATGTGTGCGGAGCCTAGACTTTGAAGCTAAGTGATCGTCGGGCCGTCACTAATGGGGGTTGGCTTTGCGGGGAAAGCGTGCTAAAAACGCTAAATCCGGATGAGTGTTGCAGGTGTTATTTCCAAACGTCATGTCGCGCACGGCATCTTAAGATGTGCATGAGATTTCGTTTTTTAGTCTCGCTGATGGTAATCGAGAGAGCGACAAGGTTGCACCAATGCCGCTCTGAAATGGACCGGGGTGCAACCTTGCAGTTGTGGTGGTTGCAGATTTGTACAACAAGGGCATTCTGATCGACTGACTCGAGTCAGTCCAGGTCATAGATAGTCCGGCCGTGTGCGGCGAAGCTGTCGTGAGCTGGTCGTATGTTCATCTTATGATCCATGAGCCATTCTCGTAGCCCCAAAATGCGAGGGAAGGCCTAGAGGCCTCAACCCCCGCGTTTCACTGCCGAGGTGCGCATGACGGCATAAGAATCTATTGTGACTCGCGTTCAGGTGTAGGGTATTTGGCGAGTAGCCTGCGCTCATCCGACAACGTATCCGGAAGAGTCCAATGGTAGTGACGGGGTCATTCCGCATGCGAAGACGCCTAACCCAATCCAGTTGACCATAGTAAAGCCCCGGGAATTAGGTATTATCCGCAAAAGCCGGGCTCGCGATGGAAGTAAGTAGGGGCTGGCATATGATACAAGGTGTTCCGATCGCAAACTTGGGTGCTGCTGGATCCCTTTGCATTCGCAGAGAAAGCCCGGTTGACTCCACGTTGGGCAATGTTTCCCACTGATCATTCCGATTAACACGCGGTTGCGACCTTTTAGACGGTAATAGGCAAGTTTGCCAGCTGTCCAAGACGCAGACCGCATCTTCCGTGGTTCCGAACCATCAGCATCCCAGTAAGACCGCAACCCAGCATACTAGCGGCGCACCCCTCTCTGATCCGAAAGCATTCGGGTTTTGTGGAAGATAGTACGACAGGAAAAGATGGCATCCAACCTGATGGAGGATCTTGTCCGTTGAACTCACATCTCCTTATGCATTGCAAATGCATCCACTTGCTCCACAGGACATCCTTCCACAGCGTACAAGCTATCAGAACCCGAAGAACGTAACGCGACGCTCCAAACAAATGCCATATCACATTGGATCTAGGAAATGATGAAGGCACAAGTTTTCAGTAGCATAGTGCGTAAGGTGTTGAAGGTTCATGCCGGCGGTGCTCGGAGGTTTTCGGTGCTTTCCAGTGTTGAGATGCCGAGAGCTGATGGATAAAGCGAAAGACGGTCCGGATCGTCGGTGTCTTCAGACGTTCGATCGCTCAAGACTCTCTCTCCTGTCTTTGGCATCTTGTGATCCTGGCGATTACTATAGCTCAACTCGGGTGTATGCACAGCTGCCCTTGCCTAGTGCTGAACACTGCGTGTGAGATGGTTCATCAGGATCAAGGAGGTGCAGATAGTAGCGTCGAGCGGAGTGTGTACAACGATGATCGGATGAAGTTTGTGATGGCGGAGGGCATGCGTTCCGCAGCAATCAAACACGATGCAACCTCAACAAGGGAGCTGACGATTGAAGAAGTATTGTACGTACTCTCATAGAAGATGGGAAGGAACACTTTGGTGGGGAGTACCAATGACAGCACCTGTGGATGTCGCGCTCTTCATATAGCATGTGCACATGACAAGGTCGGCGGTGATGACGAGAAGATAGGTAATCTCTTCCGGCCGTAACCTTCACTTTGTCGCCCCGTCCCGAATGTGATTCTTCTTGATCACATACCATGTTGAAGCTATCAGTTCCTTTCTGTGCATGATCTTCCGAGGCCTTAGGCTCCGCCTACTTCTTCAATGACCTTCTTCAGATTCTTGATATCATGCGCAAACCGACCCAAGAACAGGCCATCGACGCCCTCGGAAATCTTTGCAAAGGTGCCGGGTCCAGCGCTCCCTCCGTAGACAATCCTCGTAGTGCCGGACCTACCGGCAGCCAGCTTCCTAAGCTCTTTTGTGACGTTGACAACGTGGTCGGGGTCAGCGGGCTCCTTTGCGCCAATGGCCCACACGGGCTCGTAGGCCAGTATCACTTCGGTGTCATCCGGTACCGCAGCCAGCACCGACATGACTTGAGGCTTACACTCTTGTATAGCTGCACCCACGGCTGCCGATGCGACGCTGTGGTGTGTCTTCTCGCCAATGCACACGAGCGGTATCAGGCCGTTCCTCGCTGCTGCACCAGCCTTGTTCGCCACCGTCTCGTCTGTCTCACCGAACACGGCTCTGCGCTCCGCATGCCCAATTTCTACTATCCTTGCTCCTGCCTGGCGTAGCACCAGCGGGCTGACCTCGCCTGTGTATGCACCCTTGTCCTCCCAGAAGGTATCTTGCGCGCCAAGCATGATGGACGAGGGCTCGAGGATACGGGCGGATTCGGTGAGGGAGACGAAGTCGGGGATAACGAAGAGATCTATACGCGCGTTCCAGGCGTCACCGTCGAGTTGCAAGACGCCGCGAACGTAGGAAAGCGTGCTGGGCAGGTCGAAGTACATCTTCAGCGAGACGCCGACGATGCGGCGGGGTCGGGCGATGGGCGGCATGGCGGCGGCGGCGGCGGTTTGCGTATGTGTGTATAGAAGGAGTGAAGGCTACCAGTTGCTCTCCAAGTACTATGTAACAGAAACAACACGTCCTGGAGCTGCGTAACAACGATGATCCGGGGTTACCGCAAAGGGTAAACCCGGGGAAGGAAAAGCAACAAGCCGTCATCGGTGGAGGAGGGCAGGGGTGGGCCGACGGACACGTTTGTGGGGCTTTCATGCCACATTCACCACCACATGCAATGCCGCATTATATTATGCGCGACTCGCGACTTACTGCAGTGCTCTCGCCGTCCGCTGTGAATGAAGCGCGCCCACAACATGTCACGCATAGCCACACAAGCTTCAATTGGTGCCACCCACCTGCAAAGTAGTCATGGCAGGCCGCCGAAAATGCGCCTTGCTTGGCGAGGCTCCGATTGTTCCTCCGTACTGCGCTAACCTCTTTACTGTCAACCTTCCGCTAAGGAAAACTGCACATCAACGCATCACTAACCCTTCCGCTTACTGACTGACCGACAGCAAGAGAGAACAGTGGTACATGTCGCGGACACTCGCAGATCGCTGGGCTCGCAAAAGATACTTTGGATAGCTCGTGGGGGGTCAACACCGCAGTACGCAGCATCCTTGCACATCCCGCCCTGAGCTCACCGCGGGGTGCATATTCCTCATATTGTATTCTCACCAACGACGGCAAGAATCGACGCAGATTCTCTTTTCCCTTCTTCTCCTACTTCAATTCCTCTCATAACTCTCCACCATGCACATCTCTCAGAAACTCGCCCAGGCGAGGGAGGAGGGGAAGCCGACCTTCTCCTTCGAATTCTTCCCGCCCAAGACAGCGCAGGTAACTATACCCTCGTATCCCTGGCATGAGGAGCGGGACGCTGATTTCATCTAGGGAGTCCAAAACCTCTACGACCGCATGGACCGCATGCATGGCTTCGGTCCGCAATTCATCGATCTTACCTGGGGCGCTGGTGGCCGCCACTCCAAGTTGACCTGCGAGATGGTCAAGGTTGCACAATCCGTCTACGGTCTCGAAACCTGCATGCATCTTACATGCACCGATATGGAGAAGTCCAAGCTCGACGACGCCCTCCGCGACGCATACAATTCCGGCTGCACCAACATCCTCGCGTTGAGGGGAGATCCGCCGCGTGAACGAGAAAAGTGGGAGGCTACAGCAGGTGGCTTCCGCTACGCAAAAGATCTTGTCGTATACATCAAGGAGAAGTACGGAAACCATTTCGATATTGGTGTGGCGGGATACTCCGAAGGCAGCGACGACAATGACAACGTCGATGAGCTCATCGACCATCTCAAGGAGAAGGTTGACGCCGGAGGAACCTTCATTGTGACACAGATGTTCTATGATACCGACCTCTTCCTTGAGTGGGTCAAGAAGGTTCGTGCCAAGGGCATCGATGTTCCTATCATTCCTGGTATCATGCCTATCCACACACATGCGGCATTCCTACGGAGAGCCCAATGGACGAGATGTAACATCCCGAAGCATTGGACCGAGGCTCTAGAGCCTGTCAAGAATGATGACGTCGAAGTACGTGAAGTTGGCAAACATCTAGTCGCAGACATGTGTCGGAAGCTGATCGATGCTGGTATCATGCATCTGCACTTGTAAGTTGTCCGCCCGTTACAAGAAAATAGCCTTTCTCATACCCATATAGCTACACCATGAACCTCGCACAAGCCACCCGCATGGTCCTCGAAGAGCTAGACCTTCTACCAGACTCCGAGTCACCGCTAGAGAAGCCTCTACCATGGCGGCCTTCGCTGGCACTCAACCGACGAGACGAGAACGTACGACCCATCTTCTGGCGCAACCGCAACCGATCCTACATTGCACGCACACAAGACTGGGATGAGTTCCCTAACGGTCGCTGGGGAGACTCGCGTTCACCCGCCTTTGGCGAGCTGGACTCGTATGGTATCGGTCTGAAGGGTACCAATGAGCAGAACATCAAGCTATGGGGCACACCAATGTCCATCAGAGATCTGTCTGAACTCTTCGTACGCTATATGGAAGGAAAGCTCGACTCTTTGCCCTGGAGCGAACAGCCCATCACGACTGAAGCTGGGTCTATTCAGGACGATCTGATTGACCTGAACCGTCGTGGTTTCTTGACCATCAATTCCCAACCTGCTGTCAATGGAGCCAAGTCTTCAGATCCGGTATTTGGTTGGGGTCCACGTAACGGTTATGTCTACCAAAAGGCATACCTGGAAGTCTTCGTCTCCCCAGAGCACATTTCAGAGATCATCACGCGTCTCGAGCGCGATCCTGAATTCACCTACTATGCTGTGAACAAGAATGGCGACTTGAAGACGAACGCTCCCAATGAAGGACCAAATGCCGTTACATGGGGTGTCTTCCCAGGCAAGGAGATTGTACAGCCGACCATTGTTGAAACAGTCAGCTTCCTCGCGTGGAAGGATGAGTTTTACCGTCTTGGACAGCAATGGGCGAACTGCCACGCAGGTGTCAGTCCATCACGTTACGTGCTCCAAGGTATCGTAGACACTTGGTACCTCCTGAACATCGGCAAGTACATTCGCTTGATAACTACGTTTCCTTTGCTAACATCGTGTGCAGTACACAATGACTTCCACGCAACCCGCGGCATCTTCCCCATCTTCGACGGGTTAGAGGTCAAGGACATGGATAAGCCGCTAGTCAACCCTAGCGTTGATTCTCCTGGCGCAAACGGGGAGGAAGCGACCAAGGCAGTGAACGGTGATAGCCACACCAACGGCACCAACGGCGAGCAAGCAGGACCTCGCAAAGAAGAAAACCCAAGCCTAATCGACGCTGCCAAAGCAGCCGCTGTCGAGGTCACCAATGGCATGAGAAGCCTGGCAATGTCCAACTAGGCTTGCATGGCTTCGGGTCTTACTACATTCAACACGCCAAGACCAACTTAACATGAGTCTTTTTTTGGAGAATCCTCCACTCCTAGACTGGCGTCCAACAACACACACGACAGAGTTCCTACTCTCAAGAGGACTCTTGCACTTCAACAAGCGCAAATTTCTGGTTCTTCATTCTTTGGCGTAATTCGGTTATGGTTGATATTGAGAAGAAAAGGTTGTGATTCGCATTGCAATTATGTGCAAGCATCTGGGAGGCGTCTATTCAACCTAACGACTGCCACGAAAGATGTGGTGCGGGAACCTAAAAAGTTCAATAGCATAGTGTAGGATGATATGACTTTCTAAGATATCCGATCACTGCCCTCAACGGCGGCGATCAATTTTCCACTACAATCCTTATAAATCACCTTGAGTAGATGTCTTTGAAATAGAACATGGCATGCTATCTTTGAGACTTGGAAACTTCACTGTATATGCAAGGGTTTGAGACAAGCATATGATGTGCATTGTTGTTTCTCTTCGTTTTGATATGAAGTGTGAGTATATAAAAGTATGTGGAAAGAATTGAAATGTCGCGCCATCAAGACGTCTTACTCGTACACACTGCTCCATCTTCTTTCCACCATAACACCCTTTCTTGGGTGAGGATAGATGTAGTGAAAGTCCTAACTCTAAGGGCTCAACTCACTCTTTGCCGCCGCCGAACAGGCTGCTAAGCCAGTCAAAGAAACCGCCCGGAGCATCGTCGCCAGGTCCCTCCTCGCCATTCTCCGAACCGGGCAGCTCAGGCATACCCGTGGGCTGAGGACCGCGAGTCAGAGTCTGCATTGTAGTGGGGAGACCAGGCATTCCGGTGCCAGGGAAGGGGAAGGGAGAGCCACCAGTAGGCATGGGGAAAGGAAGGTCGGTTGGGAAAGGAATATCGGATGGAGAGGGACCATCGCCAGGTGGCTTAGGAAAGCCGCCAGTGGGGTAAGGCATATCAGGTCCACCAGTTGGCAGAGGGAATGGAGCGTCAGGCTGGCCTGTTGGTAGGCCAGGGAAACCCCCCTCCGTTTCTGTAGGTAGAGCGGGAGTACCGTCTGTGGGCTCCGCCAACGAGAAGCTGGGTAGTGAACTGCCGGCTCCGGCTTCCTGTCGTGGAGCGAGCTGGTAGTCGATAGCCAAATTGCGGACGCGGTGACGGACAGGCTGCATGCCGTCGGTGGGAGCAGGGAATGCTCCTGTTGCTGTGGGAAAAGGGAAGCCAGATGCTGTACCGGTTCCGATTGGGGCGAAGCCAGGCATCAGCTCTGGGGGAGGAGCTTGACGGGACTCTTTGGTGCCGAAGATGGCGTCAAGGTAATCGCTGAATGGGGCAGCGACAGTGGTGCTCGCAAGAGCGGCGAGGATGACGGCGTTCTTCATCTTGATGGTGGTGTCTTTGGTAAGAAATGTAAGGGTATTGTTTGAGACAGAGCGAGACAGGCGGTGTTGATAGTAAAGATGGTGGCACAGCCAAAAGAATGTATCTATACCGCTAGGATATCTAGAGAGCGACGACAAGAGCAAAGAAAGGCCTGCTCAAAGAGTGTGTAGGACAACTGTCTGTAAAGAACTGGTTGATGGTCGTCCAATATGAGGCCGAACCCAAAGTATATATCCTCGTCCGGAGATTTCCAGCCATGATCAACCACTCGTTCATCTAAAACCTGGTTCCCGCAAGCCCCAGAAAGCCCATTCGTTTGACATTGCTGGAGAAGAACGCCCGTGCGACCTGCTAGTTACAGATAAGATCGATCAAGCCTTTGCGAAGACGCGCCGAAGGGTTAGAGTAATCTCTGCGGGTTAGCGTCACGCCCCATCTGGCCAGTGTGATTCGGAGAGTATAGTGTGGAATTCATGCCGATCACTTCTGTAGTTTCATTTGTGCTCCAATTAAATCGTTGTGTAAGCCATAGGTACAAAGTGAACAATTGGGTAGCTTGGGCCAAGCCGGTGTTTTGCATAAAAGCAAGGCTGCGATGGCCATGGATAGATTGCACTGAGAGACCAACATGTTTCGAGAGAAAGGTCGAGATGCTCATGCCAGGCACGGAAGGGTCGATCGCATATAATGATACTTGTGGGTCCGTTTCAGGCGTACGCGTACCTCAACGCCAAGATCAGAATATCGCCAACTGATTGGCGCAACCTCCTCCCGACCATGTATGCTCTGTAACAGGCACATCGTTTACTTGAGCATCGGAAGACTTGCCTGGTGTTTGACATATGGTAGCGGCGTGGTGTGTGTGACGTATGCTCAGTACAACGCAAAGATCGGGATCGAAGTACGTCAGGCATCCTCAGGCATCCAAAGCATCAGTTCATATCCATCCAATCCTCCTTGCAGCATAACCCCAGCCACTCAGTAGTGCAGTCACACCTGTGAACGCAATCAGTGCTCCGTATCCACTACCGTACGCAAAACCCGCACTCCAATCGCCAGCATGTAGCAGAGCTTCCGAAAGCGGACCACTGCATAAATTGCCCACGCCTTTCCCAGCCGATAGACACGCCCATACGAAGCCAGAGTCAGCACCTTTGCGCTTCTTCTGGGTGTCTGCGACGATAGCACTCCAAGCGCTCGATTGACACCCAGCAAAAGCACCATAGACTACGCAGAAGATGTACAATGGCGCCAGTGATGTGGAAAATCCCCAGAGCAGAAAGATGCCGACTGTTGAGCCCAGGGCGGAGACCATGAGGCAGGTGGTGACATGGTACTTGTCGGTCGCAATTCCCATGCACAGACATCCGACAAATGCAGCAGCATTGACGAGAATGATTGTGACTGTGCTTTCGATGCTACCTGCACCAATAGACCGAGCGAAAGTGGGTAGGTAGATGGCTGGTAGGAAGAATCCAAGGCTCTGGATGATGTTGCCCGATTGCAGAATGAGATAATTCGAACAGGTCCAGAAAGACAAGTCGAATCCTCTGGATTGCGATGTTTGAGACAGTGGAAGGCGAGGTTTGAAGAAAAAGACGATGGGGAAGTTGAGGGCCACAAAGCTGAGTGCGCATACTCGTAGAGTCGTCCGGAACCCGTAGGAATGTAGAAGCCATTCGAGTATGAGAGGCAGAATAGCCCCACTCAACCCTAGGCCGGCCATGGTAACTCCGTATGCAAAACCTCTTCTGCGTACCCACCACTCTTCGATATTGAAGAGGATTGGCGTCCATGCGAGACCGCCGCCCAGTGCGTATAAGATGCCTTGGGTAATTATGAGGTGCGTTACGCTCGTGGAAAGAGATCCAAGGCCCAAGGCAAGGCAGACAACTACTAACCCAACTGGTGTGGCCCAGATACGAAACCTGGGAAAGTACTTTAGTACGACGAACCATATTGCAATGTCCATGTACATGATGCCCTGGGTAGGTATTAGTCTTGGTCTCTGAACAACTACTGTAACATACCATTGCACAAGTACCCACAACGGCAACGTTGCTTTGGCCAGAGAACTCCTCACTGGTAGCGTAGTATTCCTGAAAGACGCCGTAAGAGGAAGGAAAGCCCCAGATCATGGCCTCGAGCATGAAGCAGGAAAACAGGCAGAGCCATGCATCCTTGCCACCGTCGGTAGACGGAAGGGAGAATCCATTGTCGCTGTTTGGTTGTGAATGGTCATTTTCTTGTAGTAACTCGATGTCTGTGGTGGCAGCCGAAGAGGGTTGCTGTGGGTAAGTGGCCAAGTGGACCTGGGTACTTTGAGTTGGAGCCATCGAATGCCTTTGTTTGATTACTGAAGCTGTACCAGCAGACTCATACTTATGTACCTTCTTTCTAGCATGTTGGAGTCGGTAGTGACGATATTAGCCTAGTTTTCAATCGTACATGTAGGGCGCGTTGGATGTAGGGTTCAGTGGGGCTCTAGAGTCCCCGGAGCCGTCGGAAAGCGCAACAGTCATAGATGGTACCGGTATCGGTGCCGAAGCACACCTGTAAATACTGAGTACCCCGCTGGCGCTACCTGATATGGCCTGTACAGGCAGTATTGACTAACAGTCTGTTGTGATGTTTGATGGTGTTCCTGTTCCATCTGGAGAAACTAGGCTCGACGGTTCTTGGCATAATGCAGGGGCGCCCCAGGAGCGGAATTCTAGCGCGACGCGACTTCGAGACGGACGCGCCTTGACCAGCGCTGTCACGGCCTCGAGCCGATTCACTCGTACCACGACCATGATGCATTTTCAATAACGAATACCAACCAACTATACATCTGTAACTCTAGATCGCCCCAACTGCCGCCATGGATGACTCTCCGCGATCTTCTAAGCGGAGAAAGCTCGATACTCCAAAGCGCACCGAATCGAGCCCATCAACAAAACCGTCGACACGGAAAACCCCTGGCAGGCTTGCGACCCGATCCGCCGCAAATACGAAGGGTGATTCTGTACAGGATGATGCAAAGAAGCCAGCACCAGTGCGCAAGGGTCGATTGACCAAGAGCGCAACAAACGGTACGCCGGCGAAGCGTGCGGCAGAAGAGGAGATCGATGTCTATGATGATATCGAGGGCGCATTGAACGTCGAAGTATCCTCGCGACCAATCCGAGCCCGTAAACCGACACAGAAAGCAACTAAAGAAAACACTCCGGTTGCTACGCAGGACAAGGAGGAGATACAAACAACCACTCCACCCAAACGACGAAGGGGGCGACCTACAAAAGCGGAAAGCGCACGTCGGGCCGCTCTGAAGGAGGCCGGCGGCGAGACAGGAGGATCCAAAGATGCTGTCACGCCTGTTAAGCCTGCGAAGGCTGTCCGGAAGCCAGCTGTGTCCACGCGCAAACCAGCAGCCCCACGAGCAGGTGCTTGGAAGAAGAGAGAGCCTAGCCCCATCGCAGAAGAGGATGAAGAGGCAGATGAGCTGCAAAACAATATCAAGGCCACTAAGCTCTCGAAGCCACGCTCAATACGGAAGCCAGCTACCAGTACACAGAAAAAGGCTACAGCGCTGGAATCAGAATCAGAAGAGGCGATTGCAGTGACGCCCTCCAAATCAGCCAAGCGACGAAAGCCTGTAGGAGAGCAAACAACCATACCAGAGAGTGCCGACGAACTCGGCGACGGCTCTCCCACAAGCAACAGGAAGCTGACTGCTAGTGCACGAAGACGCTTTAACCGCACAGACAACATCGCGAATAACGACGAAGAGCGCTGGTCGAATGCGGAAGATCAGACCAATGGACACGACGAGGACGAAATGGAAGTAGACGGGAACAGCCTCCTGGATAGCGTGCTGGACCCCACCGAACCGAGTCCCTTCAACAAGCCTACTTCAGCTCAGAAAGAGAAGCTCGCTCCTTCGGTCATCTACAGCAACCTGGTACCGGGTCGTGAGCTTGATCTACTGAAGACAGTCGTCATGGAGCGTATTACTGGCAAACGTCCCTCACCTCTAGTTGGTTTAGACGAGGAGTACAAGTCCGTGTACCAGCTTGTCGAACATACCATCACCGCTGGTGAAGGCAATTCAATGCTTGTCATCGGAGCTCGGGGCAGTGGAAAGACCGCGCTCGTGAACAAAGTTCTTTCTGAAGTCTCCAAAGATAACGGTGGCCAATACCATGTCGTACGACTCAATGGCTTCATTCATACAGACGACAAGATCGCGCTGCGGGAAATCTGGCGTCAGCTGGGCAAAGAGATGGATATCGAGGAGGATGGTAGCGGGCCAGGAAAAAATTACGCGGATACCTTGGCGACGCTGCTTGCTCTACTTTCTCACCCTTCCGAACAAACTGGCGAAATGACTGATGAGGTCGCCAAAGCTGTCGTCTTCGTGATGGATGAGTTTGACCTTTTCGCTCAACATCCCCGCCAGACATTGCTTTACAATCTATTCGACATTGCACAGTCACGAAAAGCGCCCATCGTGGTATTAGGGTTGACGACACGCATCGATGTGACTAACAGTCTCGAGAAGCGAGTCAAGAGTCGCTTCAGTCATCGCTATGTGCATCTCAGGCTGGCGACGACTTTTACTGCGTTCCAAGAAACATGCAAAGCCTGTTTGTCAATACAGCCAGAGCAACTGAGCATCGAGGAGAGAGGTATACTAGAGGGTGGTACCAAGGGTACGCCAGCAAAGAAGGGAAAGAAGAGCGATACGCAAGAAGATGCGCTATCACAATGGAACTCCAATATTTCCGTAAGTTCATCAACAGCCCTTTGCTGTCATGTCACAACCAAATTAATAATCTGCTAGGAACTCTTCGCATCGCGCTCTTTTCTAACCCAACATCTTGCACCATCCTTCTACCTCACAAAGTCCGTCCCACAAATCCTAACCTCTTTCCTCCTTCCTACCGCCACCCTTTCCCCCACCAAACCCTTCCAACCCGCCAACCTGCTCAACTCTCCGGATTCCAAATTATCTCTCGTTCCCTCGCTGTCGCAGTTATCTCTTTCCCTTCTTATCGCCGCTGCAAGACTAGATATCATCCACGACTCTGACACGTGCAACTTCAACATGGCCTATGACGAATACGTTACCCTCGCATCACGGGCCCGCATTCAGTCGGCAGCTGGTGGACTGAGTTCAAGCAGCGGGGCGAGTAAAGTCTGGGGTAAAGATGTAGCGAGACGAGAATGGGACGGTCTTGTTGACCTGGGTTTGGTTATGCCGGTTATACAAGGACAGGTTGGCGCGTTTGGCATGGTGAGGTGTGATGTTGCTTTAGAAGAGGTGGGTGAGGTATTGAAGGGAATCAAGGGGGGTGATAAGGGGTTGGAGAGGTGGTGTAGGAGTATTTGAGCCGTCTTGATTCTTATTACTAGATATGATGAATGGCTTCGGCTGGGCTGTTGTTTGATTAGCATAGCGCCTGTAGTTGGCGACCATCTGTAGCAAGGATTACGTCCTTTTCCATCAAGCATAAGATGTGAAGATATTCTCATTTCTTGGGCTTTTGGGGAAGGCGTCGGCCACGTAGGTGATACGGTGGATTTACTTTTTGGCAGGCGCAAAGACGATAACACGGCGAAGAACCGTATGACAAAAGCTGCGAAATGGCGCATCGATCTTCTGGAGTGAGACAGAGGGCACAACGGTGCATGATTTTTGTAAAATAGGCATAGCATAGCATCGTCTTCAGCATTAAATTTCCATCTTCCTGTACACCTCATCACATCCGATATCCTAACAACCCCAGTAAGTAGCCCACTTACTCTTCCCACCAAGCACGCCCACAAACTCCCTGGCGACAACTCGACTCGTCTGCTCACTAGGATGCAGCGGGTCATACCACATGAAGCTATCCGGACTATCCGTACTCGTACAGTTACTTCCTTGCGCATCACACAAATGCTCTACACCCTTGACATTAAGCGGCGCCCCCGTCCCATTCAGATAGCTCGCAGGGTTGTTGTAAATATCCGTCATAAGCGCGTTAACATCAAAACTAGCCACATTCGCATCTTCCCAGACTTCTTCAACTTTGGCTTCAAAAGGCGTGCGGTACTTGTAGACTTGGTTGAGTGCTGCCACGGTGTTTTGTATGCGGCCGTGCACTTCGGTAAGGTTCTTGCCAGGGACATCGGGGTAGTATTGTGTTGTTTGTAGACCGCCATCTTGGGGCTGTTGATACTGAGGGAGGAGGTTGAGTGGAGCGAGGTTCATGATAACAAAGTTGCGGCCTCCGTTTTCGTAGAGGCGTGTGATTTGGTCGTAGACACAGTCCATGTAGTCTGCCACGGTCTTACCGGGGACTTGACTGTCTGTCAGGAACGCCCCGTTTCCGAGGTCATTTGTTCCAATCCAGATCGCGTACACGGTGGTGGAGGCTTTTCCGGTAAAGAATTTGGTTCCATTGGCGTTGCTAGCTTTGGAATCCGCAATGAAGGCGGGGAGTTCGTAGCCGGCAATGTCAGGGAAGGGTGCGTTTATAGCAGAGAAGTCGCGTGGTGTCACTTCGTTAGAGCACACAGCTCCTGAGACGGCGTAATTGTAGAGATTCATCTTCGAGTAGATGCTAGCGTAACGAGCCCACGAGAGGCCGCCTGAAGCAGTTGCTAGACCCTGGGTGTTCTTAGTAAAAGGCAGGAAGTCATGATACTGTCCGGCTTACCACCGGTTGCTGCCATGCCACAGGAGGCGCAGAACCATTGTTGTTGATGAAATATCCTAGTCGATTCTCATCTGTGTAGCTGTCGCCGAACGTCACCAATGTCTTGAATTTCCCGTCGCGCCAACCCCCTGCAACTCCACCAGTAATCGCTAGGTTGGCGACAAGCAATCGAATTGACCAAGAAGACACCATTGTGATATAGCCGAGCTACCGGCGATAACATCTTCGCTGAGAGACACACTGGTACTTATACCGCTAAGCTGGTGGAGGCTGGCGGGAAATATCTAGAGCACTAGTCATTCCTTTCCGCCGATACATGGGGCTCATTCAGGGCGGCAGATTTTCCATGATCAATTGCAGTTGGTACGCGGGGAAACTGGGGACGCGAGCCCGGTTGTACATGGGAAATGATGTCGGTCGCGGGAGCTATACGCTTTGTGGGCATGGCTGGTCTGGGATCAGGCTAAAAGGTCTGCACATTGCGCAGCTCGATCGAGTGCTGTCGTCGATGAACCGGAGATTGAGAGCTGCACCAATAGTAAGTACTTCTAAGTATTAACCTCAAAGACTGGCGTTCAACGCTGTTCTTGTGCTGTAGTTATGATAGTATACAGCTTCGAGCTGGCCGTGTCCGATTCGTCATTTTCAATTTATGCAGCTGATGATGGTGATTCAGGGGGCTTCTACGATATTGCGTGATGCATAGATCTTCCACGCGGCTTGTGGGCATGGCGCAAAGTAGATCTGGAGAGGAACGATGGCATCGTCATTCCTTTAGAGGCTGGTAATGTTCGAGACTGATGATATCGGGTACCCGCCCGAGGTATGCTTCCTGTGGCTCCCAGCCGAGGTCTGGATTTAACAAAATCTTGCGCGCGTATCCTGGTATCGCAGCCGTGTATCAGTATCTGACGCGCGGAAGATTATGTTATGCCGCCTGCCGTTAGACCTACTTTAGATAGTTTGCTGGGGTAGTGTGAGCGCTATTCAATTTCGAAGCTCCTAGTTCAGAACTTCATGGATGGGGCTCCCAGGGGGGAATGGAAAAAAGCAGTTGTTGTACGCTCCTCAAACAGTGATCCGGTTGTATGTCGTCCTCTTCATATGCTTCTTCTGAGGGTGAGGCGTGGTAAATTTCTTTTCTGGGGACCAACTCTTTTATCGCTAGGATGTTCGAATCGTAGACCAAACGCGAATCGACACTTTGATAAGACAACATTGTGCACGCCAATACTGGCATAGAAGTGTCTCGTTAGGCAGCTTGGTCCAACGTGGGCTCCTTGATAGTACCCGCTTCCCCGGTGCACGCGTCTTGGGCAGGCCAACGCTGGTGGATACTTCTAACTATATTGGATCAAGGCAGTCGATAGCCCAACGTCAATACGCGGTAGTGCCTCAAATGAAAACAACACCACGCTGAGTTAATAGTAAGAGAGAGAGAGAGCAAAAGGCACCTATGATGGAGGCTTCGGCATGCCAAGTTCTGACCCGAAGGAGGTGAATCACTGCCAATGAAGCGGCATTCTACAGTTCGGTCGCAAAGGCGTTGAAGTGTAGCCAGCCAGACAAGCGCCCCATAAGAGCGCCTATTTCGCTACCAGACTGTCGGAGAAATGGCATGAGGTCGAATAAATCTACCGACTAAGTCCCCGTCTCGTTGGATGGCTGTGTTCGTGGCGCTTCACCCCCGATCTGTAGAGCGAGGACGCGATCTCGAAGGTTGACGTAGGTGGTGTTGACTACGATGGTTCCTTTCTTGACATCGAATACACACTCGTCAGGGCCACTAGCGTCCCATAGCCTGTCCCTTGTCGCCCCACCTTCCCTCGTGGTCTGTTTGACCCTCTCTGCCTTCTGAATTCTCATCTTCAGTACCACCTTCGTATGCGCGCAGCATCCCAATGTCCAAGCTGCGCCGCCATCGTGCATATCGCTTGCCGATCCTCGCCCTCTCCAGCCTCACCAGCAAACCTTCATCACACTCGGAGTCAAGCTATACATCAGCTTGAAGACATGCTCGAACGTGCCACAAACACGCGCTCACCTTCGAAGAGTCATCTTGACATAGTCGCTGGCTGCATGGCATAGCAGTACCTATAATTTCATTGAAGCGAGGCTTATTGCAATCGATGCAACCTGCTCAACGGGCGACTGTGACGAGTATGACCTTGGCGTGCTTGGAATTAACAAGCTTAAGGGAGAAGAACGTTACTACTAAGATCCCACTATGACACGTTGTAAGTGTATATGCGAGGGTGTGGAAGACTTCTAGGTTGCATGTCAGCCTGTTTAGTTTCAGAGCATTCGGAATTAGCTTTTTAATATTTACTGAACACGATGAAGCCGTGCGGGCTGCCCTGCCTTCATCATACAGTTCTGACAACCATAGGAAGATGCCCTTGCTCCCGACTATATCGGCCATCCCTCTTCACCTCACGCAACCACGAGCCTGTGCACCCGTGCATTTTGAGAGTTCCATAGTGTTATGCAGCACCTATATCGAAGCCAACAGATGCATGCCGTATCACCGGGTGCTTTTTCGACCCCTAGCGACATACCTGGAGCGAATTAGACACACACCATCAATTAGGACAGATCATCATTTACATCTCGATGTACAGTTTCAGATCCACGTTCTGAAGCTCTGTTCGGACTTCCCCCATGAGGGAATCAAATTCTCTAGCTGTATAACCAAGAGTCGATGTGAACGGCCATAACCCAAGCGACTCAAAGAGATCACCGATCATCTGGGCATGTGAATGCGCGGTCAGCGGAATTCCACCAAATATAACAGGGATGTACGTACCGTGACAGACTCTCTACCGAGGCTGGCTTGAGTCGGATCTATACATGACTTCTCAGTACTGTTGTGAAACAGGGCGTAGGTCTAAAAATGGCCGAAGATGGCTGGCACTAGGGAACAGTAAACGGCTTCCCATGACCGGAAAATACTGAGTAAGAACCAAAAGACAAGAGATGGGTGGCAATAGAGAGACCTTACCTGGGGACCAATCACCTATGTGCAGCTGTATCACATCGACGTCAACATCTCGGTATCTATTATCGAGCAACATCTGCTTCAACCGACGGCCTACTCTTGGATTGCGATCCATGCTTGCCATAGCGCTTTGGTACAACTGCCACCATCTTCGCACGGCAGATTGTTCCGTAAGACGTCCATTATGAGATTGAATAATTGGTAGGTATTCCATCACCTGGACCCAACCTGCCGGCTTTAGCAGTAATTTCACGTCTCTGATATATCGGACCCATCTTTCAGTCTTTATACCTGGGAACAAGAATCGCGAGTGGACGAGATCGTAATGATTCGATTGGAATATGTCGGGATCGCGAAGGGGGTCGTTGAGATTATGGCAGATCAGGTCCAAGTTTTCGGGTTGGTCTGGAAGATCCCTAGAAATGAGAGGTCGGCTCAGTTTGCGTATGTGGGTAAAGTCCATATATGGCCTTTACTTACATAGGGAAGATATCGACGGCAGTTACCTGGGAGCGTTAACATCTTCCCAGCGGTATGAGGCCATTGCAAACACCAGTCCACTAAGATGTTGCTACGATATGATCAACTACGCACCTCGCAATCCTCAAATTCTTCTGCGCATTGGACAGCCCATTCTCCATCACCGTAGCCGCATTCCAGGATTGCACGGGGTTCCCCCACTGGTACTCTAGAGGAGAACAATCTATCGCCAAAGATTCTAGATACAAGGCGATGTTGAGCGGTCAGTCTGCTCTCTTCGCGGTCATCGATGGCTACTGGTGCGAAGTAGATACTCTCGTCGAGGGATATCCTTTGGAAAACTCGGCCGTGGACGCTGACTCTCTCTGAATCTTCGCTCATTGCTATTCGGGTCTCTGACAAGAGGTTTGTGACTGAGGGTACTTTACGACAGCTCGCAGTCAACACCCGAGGAAAAAACTACTACGCTAGATAAAATATGGTAGGCGACGGGGATGACTTAAAACCCACAGCGACTGCAAGAGGATAGCAAGACGTTGTAGACTTCACGATCTGCAAATTGCTGTGAGTTGGCGACAAGCTCGGCAAAGGCGCAAAATTATCCGATATCGTGGCGAAAGGAAACGTCACTAAAGCATGCTGACGAAGTAGCCGCAAGTCTTGAATCACGGGTAGTAAAGTCTGGACACCTTTCATCCTCGCGGAGACAAGCGTTATCTCTTCAGCTTGCCGTTAGACATTAGGACGATCGCCACGATCTGGTGACATATGTAGCTTGGAAGGCTACTGGACCGGTGAGAACAACATCCGTCGCAGGATGCAGAAAGATGAGCAGATCGTTTTACTGCTTCCATCCCAACATACCGGGCGCTATATAGTCGGACCAGAATGAGGCGTACTGCCACCAAGGACTGGTAATCAGGGGTTCATTGCTTCCAGTAGGAGGGCTGGTTCGAAGACTCTTCCACAGTCGTACGGCCGTGAGGCATCATTGAAAACTCGTATCCGGCAAGCCGCAACGCCTGGCACACCGGCAATTCAGGTATGTACCCAACATTAGGTCAAGACAAAAGAAGACCCACCATAGTAGCTCTACCTACCTAGGTTTGCTTCACCCACGACTCGCTTTAGACAAAGCTCTCATCGGAAGAAATTCCGCCGCACAATGTGCGATTCGCCATAAATACAGGCGTTACCTACGCTAGTGTATAAATCCGGTCGTTAATGAGCACGTGGTGCATGGCATGCATCAGGCGGGCGGATAGCCCCGCTGACAGTCTCCTCGAAAACGACACCGCTGACATGGCCTCGGGATACGAGCACACGTATGGAAAGCCACAACACGACGTCATTTCTGTGGCTGTTGGGATGATGTCTACGTTGATGAGGCACCTAAGAGGCACTCATCATCGCCACAGCTTTCGGACTACTTCACAGTTACGGGGATAAGTGCTGTGACTGCGCTGCCCTGTGCGTTCGTTAACCCATGAATCTTAACACCAGAACGGCCGGTTAGTAAAGATGGGCCTAGTGTAGCCTGCTCTCGGCCTACTACATATGTAGCCAGAAAGGATGCGGCCCATTATTCTCCGAGCTTTTGACGTAAAGACGACAACCTCACATTCGTCGCCGAGACTCCTGCGAGCAACACGACCAATCAGTACTCTTGCATCATAACCCACGCGTGTTCGACGGGCCCAATGGAGAAGCTGTG